CCCTTTGGAATCTGCCAAAAATTGACCCGGAATAAATCCACCTAAATCGGTGCTTAATGGACTCAATCATCGTTGGAGAATAGCATCAGGCCAAATTCGTGATCTGTAGCCTTCAATATCCAAAAAAATGGCCTTTCGTCGCCCAAGAAATTACGAAAATGCCATCCGAAAATAAATTGGCCCATATCGATACTTAACGTACTTATCATCCGTGGAGAATATGATCAATAGACTTCATTATCGGAGGAGAATAGGCTCGGCTTGATTCCGTGATCTGTAGCCTCCAGAATCAAAAGAAAATGGCATTTCGGATAAATGGCCTGAAATCTGTGATGGTACGCCCTTTGGAATCTGCCAAAAATTCACCCGGAATAAATCCGCCCAAATCGGTGCTTAATGGACTCAATCATCGTTGGAGAATAGCCTAAGGCCGAATCCGTGATCTGTAGCCTTCAATATCCAAAGAAAATGGCCTTCGGTCGGCCAAGAAATTACGTAAATGCCATCCGAAAATAAATTGGCCCAAATCGATGCTTAACGGACTTATCATCCGTGGAGAATAGGATCAATAGACTTCATTATCGGTGGAGAATAGGCTCGGCTTGATTCCGTGATCTATAGCCTCCAGAATCAAAAGAAAATGGCATTTCGGTTAAATCATCGAAATATGTGATGGTACTCCTTTGGAATCTGCCAAAAATTGACCCGGAATAAATCCGCCCAAATCGGTGCTTAATGGATTCAATCATCGTTGGAGAATAGCCTCAGGCCGAATCCGTGATCTGTAGCCTTCAATATCCAAAGAAAAAGGCCTTTCGTCACCGAAGAAATTACGAAAATGCTATCTGAAAATAAATTGGCCCAGATCGATGCTTAAAGGACTTATCATCCGTGGAGAATAGGATCAATAGACTTCATTATCGGTGGAGAATAGCCTCGGCTTGATTCCGTGATCTGTAGCCTCCAGAATCAAAAGAAAATTGCATTTCGGATAAATCGCCCGAAATCTGTGATGGTACCCCTTTGAAATCTGCCAAAAATTGACCCCGAATAAATCCTCCCAAATTGGTGCTTAATGGACTCAATCATCGTTGGAGAATAGCCTCAGGCCGAATCCCTGATCTGTAGCCTGCAATATCCAAAGAAACTGGCCTTTCGTCGCCCAAGAAATTACGAAAATGCCATCAGAAAATAAATTGGCGCAAATCGATGCTTAACGGACTTATCATTCGTGGAGAATAGGATCAATAGACTTCATTATCGGTGGAGAATAGCCTCGGCCTGATTCCGTGATCTGTAGCCTCCAGAACCGAAAGAAAATGGCATTTCGGATAAATGGCCTGAAATATGTGATGGTACCCCTTTGAAATCTGCCAAAAATTGACCCGGTATAAATCCGCCCAAATCGGTGCTTAATGGACGCAATCATCGTTGGAGAATAGCCTCAGGCCGAATCCGTGATCTGTAGCCTGCAATATCCAAAGAAAATGGCCTTTCGTCGCCCAAGAAATTACGAAAATGCCATCCAAAAATAAATTGGCGCAAATCAATGCTTAACGGACTTATCATTCGTGGAGAATAGGATCAATAGACTTCATCATCGGTGGAGAATAGCCTCGGCCTGATTCCGTGATCTGTAGCCTCCAGAATCGAAAGAAAATGGCATTTCGGATAAATGGCACGAAATCTGTGATGGTACCCCTTTGGAATCTGCCAAAAATTGACCCGGAATAAATCCGCCCAAATCGGTGCTTAATGGACTCAATCATCGTTGGAGAATAGCCTCAGGCCGAATCCGTGATCTGTAGCCTTCAATATCCAATGAAACTGGCCTTTCGTTGCCCAAGAAATTATGAAAATGCCATCCGAAAATAAATTGGCCCAAATCGATGCTTAACGGACTTATCATCCGTGGAGAATAGGATCAATAGACTTCATTATCGGTGGAGTATAGCCTCGGCCTGATTTCGTGATCTGTAGCCCCCAGAATAAAAAGAAAATGGCATTTCGGATAAATCTCCTGAAATCTGTGATGGTACCCCTTTAAAATCTGTGAAAAATTGTCCCCGAATAAATCCTCCCAAATCGGTGCTTAATGGACTCAATCATCGTTGGAGAATAGCCTCAGGCCGAATCCGTGATCTGTTGCTTTCAATATCCAAAGAAAATGGCCTTTCGTCAACGAAGAAATTAAGAAAATGCCATCCGAAAATAAATTGGCCCAAATCGATGCTTGAAGACTTATCATCCGTGGAGAATAGGATCAATAGACTTCATTATCGGTGGAGAATAGCCTCGTCTTGATTCCGTGATCTGTAGCCTCCAGAATCGAAAGAAAATGGCATTTCGGATAAATCATCGAAATCTGTGATGGTACTCCTTTAGAATCTGCCAAAAATTAACCCGGAATAAATCCGCCCAAATCGGTGCTTAATGGACTCAATCATCGTTGGAGAATAGCCTAAGGCCGAATACGTGATCTGTAGCCTGCAATATCCATAGAAAATGGCTTTTCGTCGCCAAGAAATTACGAAAATGCCATCCGAAAATAAATTGGCGCAAATCGATGCTTAACGGACTTATCATTCGTGGAGAATAGGATCAATAGACTTCATTATCGGTGGAGAATAGCCTCGGCTTGATTTCGTGATCTGTAGCCTCCAGAATCAAAAGAAAATGCCATTTTGGATAAATAGCCCGAAATATGTGATGGTACCCCTTTGGAATCTGCCAAAAATTGACCTGGAATAAATCTGCCCAAATCGGAGATTAATGGACTCAATCATCGTTGGAGAATAGCCTCAGGCCGAATCCGTGATCTATAGCCTTCAATATCCAAAGAAAATGGCCTTCCGTCGGCCAAGAAATTTCGTAAATGCCATCCGAAAATAAATTGGCCCAAATCGATGCTTAACGGACTTATCATCCGTGGAGAATAGGATTAATAGACTTCATTATCGGTGGAGAATAGCCTCGGCCTAAGTCCGTGATTTGTAGCTTCCAGAATCGAAAGAAAATGGCGTTTCGGATAAATCGCCTGAAATCTGTGATGGTACCCCCTTTGGAATCTGCCAAAAATTCACCCGGAATAAATCCGCCCAAATCGGTGCTTAATGGACTCAATCATCGTTGGAGAATATCCTCAGGCGTAATCCGTGATCTGTAGCCTTCAATATCCAAAGAAAATGGCCTTTCGTCACCGAAGAAATTACGAAAATGCCATCTGAAAATAAATTGAACCAAATCGATGCTTAACGGAGATATCATCCGTGGAGAATAGGATCAATAGACTTCATTATCGGTGGAGAATAGGCTCGGCTTGATTCCGTGATCTGTAGCCTCCAGAATCGAAAGAAAATGGCATTTCGGATAAATCATCAAAATCTGTGATGGTACTCCTTTGGAATCTGCAAAAAATTGACCCGAAATAAATCCGCCCAAATCGGTGCTTAATGGACTCAATCATCGTTGGAGAATAGCCTCAGGCCGAATCCGTGATCTGTAGCCTTCAATATCCAAAGAAAATGGCCTTTCGTCACCGAAGAAATTACGAAAATGCCATCCAAAAATAAATTGGCCCAAATCGATGCTTCAAGGACTTATCATCCATGGAGAATAGGATCAATAGACTTCATTATCTGTGGAGAAAATCCTCGGCTTGATTTCGTGATCTGTAGCCTCCAGAATCAAAAGAAAATGGCATTTCGGATAAATGGCCTGAAATCTGTGATGGTACCCCCTTTGGAATCTGCCAAAAATTCACCCGGAATAAATCCGCCCAAATCGGTGCTTAATGGACTCAATCATCGTTGGAGAATAGCCTCAGGCCGAATCCGTGATCTGTTGCTTTCAATATCCAAAGAAAATGGCCTTTCGTCACCGAAGAAATTACGAAAATGCCATCTGAAAATAAATTGAACCAAATCGATGCTTAACGGACATATCATCCGTGGAGAGGATCAATAGACTTCATTATCGGTGGAGTATAGCCTCGGCCTGATTTAGTGATCTGTAGCCCCCAGAATCGAAAGAAAATGGCATTTCGGATAACTCGCCTGAAATCTGTGATGGTAGCCCTTTAAAATCTGCGAAAAATTGCCCCCGAATAAATCCTCCCAAATCGGTGCTTAATGGACTCAATCATCGTTGGAGAATAGCCTCAGGCCGAATCCGTGATATGTAGCCTTCAATATCCAAAGAAAATGGCCTTTCGTCGCCAAGAAATTATGAAAATGCCATCCGAAAATAAATTGGCGCAAATCGATGCTTCACGGACTTATCATTCGTGGAGAATAGGATCAATAGACTTCAGTATAGGTGGTGAATAGCCTCGGCTTGATTCCGTGATCTGTAGCCTCTAGAATCAAAAGAAAATGGCATTTCGGATAAATGGCCCGAAATCTATGATGGTACCCCTTTGGAATCTGCCAAAAATTGACCCGGAATCAATCCGCTTAAATCGGTGCTTAATGGACTCAATCATCGTTGGAGAATAGCCTCAGGCCAAATCCGTGATCTGTAGCCTTCAATATCCAAAGAAAATGGTCTTTCGTCACCGAAGAAATTACGAAAATACCATCCGAAAATAAATTGCCCCAAATCGATGCTTAAAGGACTTATCATCCGTGGAGAATAGGATCAATAGACTTCATTATCGGTGGAGAATAGCCTCGGCTTGATTCCGTGATCTGTAGCCTCCAGAATCAAAAGAAAATGGCATTTCGGATAAATGGCCCGAAATCTATGATGATACCCCTTTGGAATCTGCAAAAAATTGACCAGGAATAAATCCGCCCAAATCGGTGGTTAATGTAGTCAATCATCGTTGGAGAATAACCTCAGGCCGAACCCGTGATCTGTAGCCTTCAATATCCAAAGAAAATGGCCTTTCGTACCGAAAAAATTACGAAAATGCCATCCGAAAATAAATTTGCCCAAATCGATGCTTAACGGACTTATCATCCGTGGAGAATAGGATCAATAGACTTCATTATCGGTGGAGAATAGCCTCGGCTTGATTTCGTGATCTGTAGCCTCCAGAATCAAAAGAAAATGGCATTTCGAATAAATGGCCTGAAATCTGTGATGGTACCCCTTTGGAATCTGCCAAAAATTGACCAGGAATAAATCCGCCCAAATCGGTGCTTAATGGACTCAATCATCGTTGGAGAATAGCCTCAGGCCGAATTCGTGATCTGTAGCCTTCAATATCCAATGAAAATGGCCTTTCGTCACCGAAGAAATTACGAAAATGCCATCCGAAAATAAATTGGCCCAAATCGATGCTTAACGGACTTATTATCCGTGGAGAATAGGATCAATAGACTTCATTATCGGTGGAGAATAGCCTCGGCTTGATTTTGTGATCTGTAGCCTCCAGAATCAAAAGAAAATGCCATTTCGGATAAATAGCCCAAAATCTGTGATGGTACACCCCTTTGGAATCTGCCAAAAATTGACCCGGAATAAATCTGCCCAAATCGGTGATTAATGGACTCAATCATCGTTGGAGAATAGCCTCAGGCCGAATCCGTGATCTGTAGGCTTCAATATCCAAAGAAAATGGCCTTTCGTCACCGAAGAAATTACGAAAATGCCATCCGAAAATAAATTTGCCCAAATCGATGCTTAACGGACTTATCATTCGTGGAGAATAGGATCAATACACTTCATTATCGGTGGAGAATAGCCTCGGCTTGATTTCGTGATCTGTAGCCTCCATAATCAAAAGAAAATGCCATTTCGGATAAATAGCCCAAAATCTGTCCTTTGGAATCTGCAAAAAATTGACCCGGAATAAATCTGCCCAAATCGCTGATTAATGGACTCAATCATCGTTGGAGAATAGCCTCAGGCCGAATCCGTGATCTGTAGCCTTCAATATCCAAAGAAAATGGCCTTTCGTCACCGAAGAAATTACGAAAATGCCATCCGAAAATAAATTGGCCCAAATCGATGCTTAAAGGACTTATCATCCGTGGAGAATAGGATCAATAGACTTCATTATAGGTGGTGAATAGCCTCGGCTTGATTCCGTGATCTGTAGCCTCCAGAATCAAAAGAAAATGGCATTTCGGATAAATGGCCCGAAATCTATGATGGTACCCCTTTGGAATCTGCCAAAAATTGACCCGGAATCAATCCGCTTAAATCGGTGCTTTATGGACTCCATCATCGCTGGAGAATAGCCTCAGGCCGAATCCGTAATCTGTAGCCTTTAATATCCAAAGAAAACGGCCTTTCGTCACCGAAGAAATTACGAAAATACCATCCGAAAATAAATTGCCCCAAATCGATGCTTAAAGGACTTATCATCCGTGGAGAATAGGATCAATAGACTTCATTATCGGTGGAGAATAGCCTCGGCTTGATTCCGTGATCTGTAGCCTCCAGAATCAAAAGAAAATGGCATTTCGGATAAATGGCCCGAAATCTATGATGGTACCCCTTTGGAATCTGCCAAAAATTGACCAGGAATAAATCCGCCCAAATCGGTGTTTAATGTAGTCAATCATCGTTGGAGAATAGCCTCAGGCCGAACCCGTGATCTGTAGCCTTCAATATCCAAAGAAAATGGCCTTTCGTACCGAAAAAATTACGAAAATGCCATCCGAAAATAAATTGGCCCAAATCGATGCTTAACGGACTTATCATCCGTGGAGAATAGGATCAATAGACTTCATTATCGGTGGAGAATAGCCTCGGCTTGATTCCGTGATCTGTAGCCTCCAGAATCAAAAGAAAATGGCATTTCGGATAAATGGCCCGAAATCTATGATGGTACCCCTTTGGAATCTGCCAAAAATTGACCAGGAATAAATCCGCCCAAATCGGTGTTTAATGTAGTCAATCATCGTGGAGAATAGCCTCAGGCCGAATCCCTGATCTGTAGCCTACAATATCCAAAGAAAATGGCCTTCCGACGCCCTAGAAATTACGAAAATGCCATCCGAAAATAAATTGGCCCATATCGATGCTTAACGGACTTATCATCCGTGGAGAATATAATCAATAGACTTCATTATCGGTGGAGAATAGCCTCGTCCTGATTCCGTGGTCTGTAGCCTCAAGAATCGAAAGAAAATGGCATTTCGGATAAATCCCCCAAAATCTGTGATGGCACCCCTTTGGAATCTGCCAAAAATTGTCCCGGAATAAATCCGTCGAAATCGGTGCTTAATGGATTCAATCATCGTTGGAGAATAGCCTCAGGCCGAATCCGTGATCTGTAGCTTTCAATATCCAAAGAAAATGGCCTTTCGTCGCCCAATAAGTTACAAAAATTCCATCCGAAAATAAATTTGCCCAAATCGATGCTTAACGGACTTATCATCCGTGGAAAATAGGATCAATAGACTTCATTATCGGTGGAGAATAGCCTCGACCTTATTCCGTGATCTGTAGCCTCCAGAATCGAAAGAAAATGGCATTTCTAATAAATCGCCTGAAATCTATGATGGTACCCCTTTGGAATCTGCCAAAAATTAACCCGGAATAAATCCGCCCAAATCGGTGCTTAATGGACACAATCATCATTGGAGAATAGACTCAGGCCGAATCCGTGATCTGTAGCCTTCAATATCCATAGAAAATGGCCTTTCGTCGCCCAAGAAATTACGAAAATGCCATCCGTTAATAAATTGGCCCAAATCGATGCTTAACGGTCTTATCATCCGTGGACAATAGGATCAATAGACTTCATTATCGGTGGAGAATAGCCTCGGCTTGATTCCGTGATCTGTAGCCTCAAAATTGAAAGAAAATGGCATTTCGGATAAATCGCTCCAAATCTGTGATGGTACCCCTTTGTAACCTTCAATATCCAAAGAAAATGGTCTTTCGTCGCCAAAGAAATTACGAAAATGCTATCCGAAAAAAAATTGGCCCAAATCGATGCTTAATGGACTTATCATCCGTGGAGAATAACATCAATAGACTTCATTATCAGTGTAGAATAGCCTCGGCCTGATTCTGTGATCTGTAGCCTCCAGAATGGAAAAAAAATAGTATTTCGGATAAATCGCCCGAAATCTGTGATGGTACCCCTTTGGAATCTGACAAATATTGACACGGAATAAATCCGCCCAAATCGGTGTTTAATGGATTCAATCATCGTTGGAAATAGCCTCAGGCCGAATCCGTGATCTGTAGCCTTCAATATCCAAAGAAAATGGCCTTTCGTCGCCCAATAAATTATGAAAATGCCATCCGAAAATTAATTGGCCCAAAACAATGCTTACCGGACTTATCATCCGTGGATACTGGGATCAATAGACTTCATTATCGGTGGAGAATAGCCTCGGCCTTATTTCATGATCTGTAGCCTCCAGAATCGAAAGAAAATGGCATTTCGGATAAATTGCCCGAAATCTGTGATGGTACCCCTTTGGAATCTGCCAAAAATTGACCCGGAATAAATCTGCCCAAATCGGTTCTTAATGGACTCAATCATCGTTGGAGAATAGCCTCAGGCCGAATCCGTGATCTGTAGCCTTCAATATCCAAAGAAAATGGTCTTTCGTCGCCCAAGAAATTACGAAAATGCCATCAGAAAATAAATTGGCCCAAATCGTTCTTAACGTACTTATCATCCGTGGAGAATAGGATCAATAGACTTCATTATCAGTGGAGAATAGCCTCGACCTTATTCTGTGATCTGTAGCGTCCAGAATCAAAAGAAAATAGCATTTCGAATAAATGGCCCGAAATCTGTGATGGTACCCCTTTGGAATCTGCCAAAAATTGACCCGGAATAAATCCGCCAAATTCGGTGCTTAATGGAGTCAATCATCGTTGGAGAATAGCCTCAGGCCAAATTCGTGATCTGTAGCCTTCAATATCCAAAGAAAATGGCCTTTCGTCGCCCAAGAAATTACGAAAATGCCATCCGAAAATAAATTGGCCCATATCGATGCTTAACAGACTTATCATCCGTGGAGAATATGATCAATAGACTTCATTATCGGTGGAGAATAGCCTCGTCCTGATTGCATGGTCTGTAGCCACCAGAATCGAAAGAAAATGGCATTTCGTATAAATCACCCACAATCAGTGATGGTACCCCTTTGGAATCTGCCAAAAATTGACCCGGAATAAATCCGCCGAAATCGGTGCTTAATGGACTTAATCATCGTTGGAGAATAGCCTCAGGCCCAATCCGTGATCTGTAGCCTTCAATATCCAAAGAAAATGGCCTTTCGTCGCCCAATAAATTACGAAAATGCCATCAGAAAATAAATTGGCCCAAATCGATGCTTACCGGACTTATCATCCGTGGATAATGGGATCAATAGACTTCATTATCGGTGGAGAATAGCCTCGGCCTTATTTCATGATCTGTAGCCTCCAGAATCGAAAGAAAATGGCATTTCGGATAAATCGCCCGAAATCTGTGATAGTACCCCTTTGGAATCTGCCAAAAATTGACCAGGAATAAATCCACCCAAATCGGTTCTTAATGGACTCAATCATCGTTGGAAAATAGCCCCAGGCCGAATCCGTGATCTGTATCCTTCAATATCCAAAGAAAATGGCCTTTCGTCGCCCAAGAAATTACGAAAATGCCATCCAAAAATATATTGGCCCAAATCGATGCTTAACGTACTTATCATCCGTGGAGAATAGGATCAATAGACTTCATTATCGGTGGAGAATAGCCTCGACCTTATTCCGTGATCTGTAGCATCCAGAATCAAACGAAAATAGCATTTCGGATAAATGGCACGAAATCTGTGATGGTACCCCCTTTGGAATCTGCCAAAAATTGACTCGGAATAAATCCGCCCAAATCGGTGCTTAATGGACTCAATCATCGTCTGAGAATAGCCTCAGCCCGAATCCGTGATCTATAGCCTTCAATATCCAAAGAAAATGGCCTTTCGTAGCCCAAGAAATTACGAAAATGTCATCCGAAAATAAATCGGCCCAAATCGATGCTTAACGGACTTATCATCCGTGGAAAATAGGATCAATAGACTTCATTATCGGTGGAGAATAGCCTCGACCTTATTCCGTGATCTGTAGCCTCCAGAATCAAAAGAAAATGGCATTTCGGATAAATCGCCCACAATCAGTGATGGTACCCCTTTAAAATCTGACAAATATTGACACGGAATAAATCCGCCGAAATCGGTGCTTAATGCACTCAATCATCGTTGGAGAATAGCCTCAGGCCAAATCCGTGATCTGTAGCCTTCAATATCCAAAGAAAATGGCCTTTCGTCGCCCAATAAATTACGAAAATGCAATCCGAAAATAAATTGGCCCAAATCGATGCTTACCGGTCTTATCATCCGTGGATAATGAGATCAATAGACTTCATTATCGGAGGAGAATAGCCTCGGCCTGATTCCGTGATCTGTAGCCTCCAGAATCGAAAGAAATGGCATTTCGGATAAATCGCCCGAAATCTGTGATCGTACCCCTTTGGAATTTGCCAAACATTGACCCGGAATAAATCTGCCCAAATCGGTGCTTAATGGACTCAATCATCGTTGGAGAATCGCCTCAGGCCGAATCCGTGATATGTAGCCTTCAATATCCAAGGGAAATGGCACTTCGGATAAATCGCCCGAAATCTGTGATGGTACCCCTTTGGAATCTGACCAAAAATTGACCCGGAATAAATCCGCTCAAATCGGTGCTTATTGGATTCAATCATCGTTGGAGAATAGCCACAGGCCGAATCCGTGATCTGTAGCCTTCAATATCCAAAGAAAATGGCCTTTCGTCACCCAAGAAATTACGAAAATGCCATCCAGAAATAAATTGGCCCAAATCGATGCTTAATTGACTTATCATCCGTGGAGAATAGGATCAATAGACTTCATTATTGGTGGATAATAGCCTCGGCCTGATTCCGTGATCTGTAGCCTCCAGAATCGAAAGAAAATGGCACTTCGGATAAATCGCCCGAAATCTGTGATGGTACCCCTTTGGAATCTGCCAAAAATTGACCCGGAATGAATCCGCCCAAATCGGTGCTTACTGGACTCAATCATCGTTGGAGAATAGCCTCAGGCTGAATCCGTGATCTATAGCCTTCAATATCCAAAGAAAATGGTCTTTCGTCACCCAAGAAATTACGAAAATGCCATCCGGAAATAAATTGGCCCAAATCGATGCTTAACTGACTTATCATCCATGGAAAATTGGATCAATAGACTTCATTATAGGTGGAGAATAGCCTTGGCCTGATTCCGTAATCTGTAGCCTCCAGAATCGAAAGAAAATGGCATTTCGGATAAATCGCCGAAATTTGTGATGGAACCCCTTTGGAATCTGCCAAAAATTGACCCGGAATAAATTCGCCCAAATCGATGCTTAATGGACTCAATCATCGTTGGAAAATAGCCTCAGGCCGTCCGTGATCTGTAGCCTTCAATATCCAAAGAAAATGGCCTTTCGTCACCCAGGAAATTACGAAAATGCCATCCAGAAATAAATTGGCCCAAATCGATGCTTAATTGACTTATCATCCGTGGAGAATAGGATCAATAGACTTCATTATTGGTGGATAATAGCCTCGGCCTGATTCCGTGATCTGTAGCCTCCAGAATCGAAAGAAAATGGCACTTCGGATAAATCGCCCGAAATCTGTGATGGTACCCCTTTGGAATCTGCCAAAAATTGACTCGGAATGAATCCGCCCAAATCGGTGCTTACTGGACTCAATCATCGTTGGAGAATAGCCTCAGGCTGAATCCGTGATCTATAGCCTTCAATATCCAAAGAAAATGGTCTTTCGTCACCCAAGAAATTACGAAAATGCCATCCGGAAATAAATTGGCCCAAATCGATGCTTAACTGACTTATCATCCATGGAAAATTGGATCAATAGACTTCATTATAGGTGGAGAATAGCCTCGGCCTGATTCCGTAATCTGTAGCCTCCAGAATCGAAAGAAAATGGCATTTCGGATAAATCGCCGAAATTTGTGATGGAACCCCTTTGGAATCTGCCAAAAATTGACCCGGAATAAATCCGCCCAAATCGATGCTTAATGGACTCAATCATCGTTGGAGAATAGCCTCAGGCCGTCCGTGATCTGTAGCCTTCAATATCCAAAGAAAATGGCCTTTCGTCGCCCAAGAAATTACGAAAGTTCCATCCGAAAATAAATTGGCTCAAATCGATGCTTAACGGACTTATCATCCATGGAAAATAGAATCAATAGACTTCATTATCGGTGGAGAATAGCCTCGGCCTGATTACGTGATCTGTAGCATCCAGAATCGAAAGAAAATGGCATTTCGGATAAATTGCCAGAAATTTGTGATGGTACCCCTTTGGAATCTGCCAAAAATTGACGCGGAATAAATCCACCCAAATTCGAGCTTAATAGACTCAATCATCATTGGAGAATAGTCTCAGGCCGAACCCGTGATCTGTAGCCTTCAATATCCAAAGAAAATGACCTTTCGTCGCCCAAGAAATTACGAAAATGCCATCCGAAAATAAATTGGCCCAAATCGATGCTTAACGGACTTATCATCCGTGGATAATAGGATCAATAGAGTTCATTATCGGTGGAGAATAGCCTCGGCCTGATTTCGTGATCTGTAGCCTCCAGAATCGAAAGAAAATGGCATTTCAGATAAATCGCCCGAAATCTGTGATGGTACACCCCTTTGGAATCTGCCAAAAATTGACCCGGAATAAATCCAAATTGGTGCTTAATAGACTCAATCATCGTTGGAGAATAGCCTCAGGCCGAATCCGTGATCTGTAGCCTTCAATATCCAAAGAAAATGGCCTTTCGTTGCCCAAAAAATTACGAAAATGCTATCCAAAAATAAATTGGCCCAAATCGATGATAAGTCCGTTAAGCATCGATTTGGGCCAATTTATATTTATGATGGCATTTTCGTAATTTCTTGGGCGACGAAAGGCCATTTTCTTTGGATATTGAAGGCTAGAGATCACAGATTCGTCCTGAGGCTATTCTCCAACGATGATTGAGTCTATTACGCTCCAATTTGGGTGGATTTATTCCGGGTCAATTTTTGGCAGATTCCAAAGGGGTACCATCACAGATTTCTGGCGATTTATCTGAAATGTCATTTTTTTCGATTCTGGAGGCCACAGATCACGGAGTCAGGCCGAGGCTATTCTCCACCGATAATGAAGTCTATTGATCCTATTCTCCACGTATGATAAGTTCGTTAAGCATCGATTTGGGCCACTTTATTTTCTGGTGGCATTTTCGTAATTTCTTGGGCGACGAAAGGCCATTTTCTTTGGATATTGAAGGCTACAGATCACGGATTCGGCCTGAGGCTATTCTCCAACGATGATTGAGTCCATTAAGCACCAATTTGGGCGGATTTATTCCAGGTCAATTTTTGGCAGATTCCAAAGGGGTACCATCACAGATTTCGTGCGATTTATCCGAAACGCCATTTTCTTTCGATTCTGGAGGCTACAGATCACGGAATTAGGCCGAGGCTATTCTCCACCGATAATGAAGTCTATTGATCCTATTCTCCACTGATGATAAGTTCGTTAAACATCGATTTGGGCCGATTTATTTTCGGATGACATTTTCGTAATTTCTTGGGCGACGAAAGGCCATTTTCTTTGGATATTGAAGGCTATAGATCACGGATTCGGGCTGAGGCTATTCTCAGACGATGATTGAGTACATTAAGCACCGATTTGGGCGGATTTATTCCGAGTCAATTTTTGGCAGATTCCAAAGGGGTACCATCACAGATTTCGGGCGATTTATAAATGCCATTTTCTTTCGATTCTGGAGGCTACAGATCACGGAATCCGGCCGAGGCTATTCTCCACCGATAATAAGTCTATTGTTCCTATTCTCCACGGATGATAAGTCCGTTAAGCATCGATTTGGGCCAATTTATTTTCGGATGGCATTTTCGTAATTTCTTGGGCGACAAAAGGCCTTTTTCTTTGGATATTGAAGGCTACAGATCACGGATTCGGCCTGAGGCTATTCTCCAACGATGATTGAGTCCATTAAGCTCCAATTTGGGTGGATTTATTCTGGGTCAATTTTTGGCAGATTCCAAAGGGGTATTATAACCGATTTCGGGCGATTTATCCGAAATGCCATTTTCTTTCGAATCTGAAGGCTACAGATCACGGAATCAGGCCGAGGCTATTCTCCAACGATAATGAAGTTTATTGATCCTATTCTCCACGGATGATAAGTCCGTTAAGCATCGATTTGGGCCATGGTCATGCAAACATAACCCTAATGTAGGTAACTAATAGAGGACCATAAAATGATTGAATACATCATTTATCGTCGTTCACACATTTAAATACATAGGAGCATAAAACGAAATTGGCAACCACAACCACACATTCATCCCCATGCAGGTAAGGGTCACATTGTCCCCAATGTGAAGGTGAGGTAAATATGTACGAGGTTATCATCAATTGATGCTCGGGTGGGTGGGTGGGTGGGGTAGGCAAGTGTAGGTCTTGAAAACTTCTCAAAATCAAACAAAGATATTCACACGCAATAAAAAGTTGCTCTGATAACATAGCTAAATACGATAGGAAAAGAAAACTACGAATTATTACAAGTACGAAGTACGAAAGGAAACAACCATTAATACATTTTTTTTAAAGTTAAGAAGGGAAAGAAAGATGGCACTTGGAACCTTGGTCTCCACTCATTCGACGACACGTGCTCGAAATGGTCAGAACTCGACTACTCCTCTCCAAGAAATTAAAAAGGGTTGTGAGGAGGATTCGACACCATCATGAGGTGAGAGTAAGCCACCATATGCCTCTGTGATTCCGCCTCTCAGTTAAGACATTTGTTGATGATGTGATAACTCCTCTTAAGAGTGGCAATATGAACCTCAAGTAAGGATCCAATGATGAGCCAGATGGCGTCGGTAGTAAAAGAGGTTTATGAAGCTTGACCTGAGGGTCAATACCAAAGTATCGACAAAGCTTAGCTATGTTTACTTACCATGGAGACCCTTAATCATATTGTCGATGATTTACCTAGAAATGAGTGCGAGGACTGACAATCTGAGGTATACGTTGAAGTGCCCCACCATGGAGCATATGAGTCCATTGTCTCATTTTGAGAAGTTTTCCGTGCTCTCATATCTGACGCCAATGGAGTGGGAGATGACGTGATGAATAATCCTCCACTCGGAGTGTACCTTGCTCCCCTTGGATATCTTGGTGGTAAATTTATGAGCATTGATATTCTTGAGGTTATTGTCATAGAAGTTCCCCAGCTCGATCGAGAAGATGTACTCTTGGGTGAGCTCTAAGACAGTCGGTGAGTCCACATGGGTAGATGTCGAGCGCTCATGTGAACTCTCAAGGTCATCTTCGTTTGCACTCCCCTCGATATAAAATTGGATGTTGTTGGGAAAATCGGGTTTGACTCATGGATGATCAACGGAGATGGTATTAAAAAAGTCCAAGGTGTTCTCCTCATTAAAGTGCAAAAAGTAGCAAGAGCATTGGTTAAGCCAAAAGGTATGACTAGGAACTCATATGAGTCATACCTCATCACACAAGCAGTCTTCGCATCATCCCCCTTGGCTATCTTCACTTGGTAGTAGCCCAAGCGAAGATAAAGCTTGGTGAACCGCCTTGCTTCTCCAAGTTGATCAAATGAGTCGACAATGTGGGAATTGGCCACTTGTTCTTCACTGTGACCTTGTTGATAGCTTGATAGTCGATGCACATACGTAACGACACATCCTTCTTCTTTTGGAATAGCATCAGTGCTTCATATTCCATAGGGGGGGTTCAATGGTTGGATGAAACCAGCATCCAAAACTCATTCAATTGTTTCATCAATTCCTCCAACTCGGGAGGGGCCATGCGATAAGGTGTCCTTGCTGGTGGTGTTTTCATAGGTTCCAGCTCGATCTTATGATCCACCTCTCTCCTTGTAGGGAGCTTCTTTAGTAACTCCTTTGGCATCACGTCCACAAACTCCTCCAACACACCATCTATGAGAGGTGGTGTTGCCACTGATCCACCTTCTTCCTTCATCTGCAAGGTAGCAAGGAACGTGGGTTCCATCTTCTTGAACCCCTTCACCTCTTGCATGGAAGATATGGCCCTTCTTTGCTCAACAAATTCATTGTGCATAACTCACCTCTTCTCGAGTCACAGGGTGTTGGAGTTCATCGCCATCACCGCCCCTTCCTTCATGATTTTCACTTCGGCTCGAACAGTCTCTACAAAGTGTCAATGGCTTTGGTGATGATGGTTAGAAGATCATTTCAAAAACCTTCCAAGCTAACCTCCAACCCCGTCGTTCAAACAACATGATGTGGTCAGCAACCTTCGTCTCCGCCTTCAAGAGCCTCTCCTCGAGAGCAATCAAAGGCTCACAAGTAGACTTGTCTCTTTGAGGCTTGTTTGTGTCCTTATTGATGTCGTGTCCACGTTGCTCTTCATTGAGAACCTCTGACCTGGATCTAGCCATCTTGTCGAGATTTCTTCTCAATTGATGAGTCACAAGAAAAGGCTCTGATACCACTTTGTCATAGACTAACTCTCGTCGTGCGGCACTTAATACTCAAATCTCGTTAGAGCACTAAGTAAACCTAACTCAAATTTACTAAAACCACAACATAGGAGAAAGCTCTAGAGATGAATTACTCTCGATATTTATGAATGATGAAAAGTGAAGGAAAGGGTTGTTTATTCAGGAATCCTCTACGCCAAGTACAATATAGGTAGCCCCTCATTAATGGATGAACCTTGAAAGTCCCCCCATTACATGAATCAAGTCCGTACATGAAGGATAATAAATATGGATGCATGTACATTGATATATGAATCTAAAATGATTGTGATTTACCTAAATCCTACTACACCCTTCTACGGTCTTCTAGAATGTTCCTCGTGACATTATCCCCCACTCAATCTCGCGGCGCCCTCTTTGCGGTCTTCACATGACATGCCTTGATCAAGTCTTTGTGTCGCCACAATGAAAGCTTCTTCTCCCAAGTGATGTCACTCTCCGAATGCCCCTTCCACTTGATAAGGTACTCCAAATAATTTGGGTGAATGCCATGCCTAGGCACAACACGATGAGCGATGATCTTCTCGATTTCATGCTCATGTGTTGTGGTGATGAGAGTTGGTGCTCTCACCAACTCCTTTCTCGCCTCATCTTTCTTGTCTTCATGATATGACTTCAATTGACTCACATGAAAGATTGGGTGAATTGCCAAATGCGATGGCAACTCTACTTTGTTAGTCATCGTGCCAATTCTTTTAAAAATAGGATATGGCCCCTCATAACGCCGCAACAGCCCCTTGTGCACATTCTTGAGATGCTTGAATCGATGAGTGAAGAACTTCACCATCACCAAGTCTCCCTCGTCAAACTCCAAGTGACGCCTCTTCTTATCAGTCCACTTCTTCATCTTCCTTGTTGCTCGAGCTAGATAAGATTTGGTCATCTTCATCTTCTCATGCCAACTTTGTGCAAACTTGTAGGCAGAGGGATTGTTGCCTTTGTACCCCGTCGTCATCGTATTAGGTGTCAACAGTTAGCCAACTCGAACGGGCTCATGCTTGTGGCTTCACATCGATGCAAGTTGCAGGAGAAATGGGCCACAACCAGCAGCTTCACCCAATATCTTTAGTTGGCATTCACATAGTGACTCATTTCTAGTACTTTGATTCGTGACTCCTTGCAGGTCCTCTATTTGATAATGTCCCCCACCCCAAGAATTCTTAACAACGGCCAATACTACTTTGGCCTACTAGAGGGTTCTAAATGCAGAAATAGAGAGGTAGATGCTCAACTAGGAGGTGGGTCAGGAATAGGGATGGCAATGGGGTGGGTTGGGGCGGGTTTTGTCAAATCCAAACCCAAACCCATGGGTTTCTCCGCCAAAAAAACCCGGGGTAAAACCCGTTGGGTTTGAAAAACTCAAACCCAACCCAACCCGCTGGGTATCCGCGGGTTCATGGGTACCCGTGGGTTTTTGTGGTAAAAAATTTACAATAACAAGTTTCTTTCAAAATAAAAGTTTAACATCAATTTTCTCATACAAATTAATCATACAAAAAAAACCAATCTAGAGCATACAAGCAAACCGCAAATGATCAATACAAATTGTTCAAAATTAAAGATAAACATCTATAAACAAAAGATTAATTGAAAGCTTCTTCCTCGTCAACTAAGTTTCTTCACTCTCCACTTCATAATATCAACTTTATTCTAAACAATTAGAAAGAACAAATTATACATGTCTCCACAAACACAAAGAATATTAATTGTTTAAGGAAAATATATTATTTAGAATATTAAATATACCGGGAAATTAATTATGTGTGTGGGCGGGTACCCATGGGTCGGGTTTACCTAAATCCAAACCCAACCCAACCCGATGAATAGTGTAACGGGTTTAAACCCGAACCCGACCCAAAACTCGTCAACACGGATTTTACCCGCGTTGACCGAGTTGGGTCGGGTGGGTACCCGTGGGTTCGGGCTTTGTTGCCATTCCTAGTCAGGAAGTCATTTGCAAAGATGGTATGAGGGATTGTTGGAGTGGAGCCACAAGCATGAGCCCGTTCTTGATGGAGGGATTGTTGGAGTGGAGATTGGTGTCAACCGTCAAGCTGTCAAAGTCGCTGTCATGCACACTTGACATGTCCCTTGAATTGATCTCAAACAATTGTTGCAGTAAGTCTATGTCGTGAAGCCGATTCAGTTGTTTGCACCACACGAATCGTTGAATCAAATCAGCAAAAATGAAATTCTAGTTCAGATCAGGATGTCACTGTAGTAAATACTATTACATATGTACATCGGATTGCAAGCACCAAAAACGCTGTTCCAAGAGCCGCCTCTATCAACAAAGTTTTTGAAGTCTCTTCGGCTCTTCCCGTACCCAAAAGCAAAAAACTGAACATTGAACAACAGATACAGAAAAGACGTTGCCTAAAGATGAAGGGCCTGCACAGCGTTACATCAAACTCAATTGGGACTTGCTGAGCAAGTCCCCTTCATCAAATAATACTGTTACGGGAACTCTCTCGTGTTGATCTTGTTAAAAGCTCTGTCATCATCATCTCATCATCTTTTCCTTGCCTACAATAACACCCAAACAACGGAAACCAACAAGAAATCCGATCAACATCATCATCTGTGACAAAATTGTAGAACCAACAAGGCAGCACTACACGAGAAAATAGCCAGCCGTATGAAGCTCACCAAATATGCTTGTTTTTAATGGGAAACGAAGGGATGGCCCTTTCACTTTTAGATCCTTCAGTTGCCTGCTTGGCTTCTCAAATTTCGTCGCACCGCTCCTGTTTGCTCCAGTCAAAAGCTCGGGGGCTTTCTGTGCTCTCTCGTGATAAACAGCCGGTGGTGCCAGCCGCAGCTGGGGCATGGTCTCTACGTAAGCCAGCTTCTGATCTTTCCCAAGATTGCTCAGGATCTCAAACTGCAGTCACCCCCATATGGTTTTAGTATAGTTACTTTGTAATGCCACATGGTTAGAAGTCCAGAAATGGAGGTGTATTTGTAAGAATTAAAATTGAATTAAGAAAATGGTTAGGTGGCTCCACATTTATTTACTATTTAGGGTAACAGAAATTATTGGAACATTTGAGTTGCATGAAAGGACTAAAAATGACGCCACAAGTTTTTGGAGTTAATATGAAAAAGTAAGGCTGGAATTGGAGGTAATGAAAATATAATCCGTGGTAGGCTCACATCAATGTGTAAATTAGATTGTAAAGGTGGATACTGGAAGCGCAAATGTATTTAATAAAGAAGCTGGTTATTTGATCACCTGGCAAGAACCGGTACCAACTAGTATGAATCAAAAAGGATCTCCAGATCAGACGTGCTACCAATTGATATGAAGAAAGCATTGAGTAAGTAGGTTTTACCCGTGACATTTGCTGAAGTCCATAAGAATTCTCCATTGAGTCTTCGTGTGGAAGTAACATGCCTACGCTTCCTTGTGACCTCCTGGGTCTTGACATCGTATTAACCAAACCATTACCCGAGAGGCCTGATTTGTTTCTAGGCTGCTGAGTATTTGTTTTGGCCATACAGATGGGGCATCCAGTTAAAGCTGCCTTGCTTGAAGACTCACTTTCAAGAATTTCACATTCTAGATGGGTTGTGTGACCACAGTTGAAAACTCGGACACGAAAATTAGAACTATTCTTCGAGAGAGGGCAACTGCATATACAGCACACAAGGCTTTGAGGGGCATACCCATGAGATGCGCCCCTCTTTAGAATATTCATGGTATAGAACGTGTCATCCTCTATCAGGGTTTTGGCAGTGTCCTACAAAAAAAAAAAAAAGATTTAGAACTTCTATAAGGATTTCCATTCTAGAGTGTAATTTGAAAAGGAATGAGTGAGAAGAGGAAATGGGAAGAGATAAATAAAGAAAATGTAATACCAGAATTCTTCTTTCAAAGCCATAAGTGCCAAGCATCCCCAGGATTGTAAGTTTGAAATCCCCAAATTCATGACCACTGTTATCGGTAAGAAGCTTCGACATGATGGTTGGAAGGGGGATGTACCCTATCATACCCTCAACAATCTCTTTGATGAATAGAGAGAACAATTTGCGCAAAATACGAGCACCTTTAAGAGACTTTCCGACTTTCCACTTGATCGTGCTCGACTCATCATCTTCTGGCATGCCTAAGGTATCTGCCATCATTCCACGGTTTTCTTCTTTCAAAATAGTTTTATCTCTGCTTGGCTCTATCAAGGGTGCACAGAACCTACATCCATAAAATCAAAGATGATTATCAGTGTTTGCAACAAATTGACATTTGGAGGGTTGAAGACATCTTGTTTTTTTGGATGTTAACATGCTATACAAATATAAAGCTAACTGTTGCAAAAAGTACAAAAGTAAAACATTTATGTGATATTCACCAAGGTCAATGCAATCACCATTGCAGAAGCCCTCTCAAGCACCTTTTGAAGGTGACTAGATCAACCTATTGCACATGTATTAGAATTCTCATATTAACTGTATACATTATAAACCTGGGGTGTGTGCGTGGGTGGGGGGTGGGGGGGGAGGAGGACAATCATGACATGACCATCTATTATCACATATAATATTATAGCCATGTCAAACGTTGCACAATACACTTTGTTTCTCCCCCAGAGAAGTGAAAAGCAGCCATTTTAAATTGGTCTTACGAATCAAGTAGTTTGAACCAGAGCAACTCTGACTGTTCAGGCTGCAACCGAGGGGTGTTCCGCTGACAGAGTCCAACACAAGCCTGCAATATGCACCGAATATCATCCACCTGCAAAACCAATGTCCATTACTTATATAAAAAAGCCCTCACATTTGGCAGAAGAAACAACATATAGACAAAAACAGAACGCGAGCCATCTTATTTCACTAAACCAAAGTATGCCAACCTGTTTTGTCTTTAGAATTGCATTGCACTGCTGAATACCACTTCGAGAATTCTTCACAAGCATTGCCACTTGTTGATCAAGTTCAGCAAATTTGTCACTGAGCCCAGAAAGCGTAAGTAAAAGAGCAGACCCAACATCACCTACTCTCTCCAACAAAAAAGCAGCAGCATCTATTATACCATGCTCCTGGCAAAGGCGTAAACAGTGTTCTACACGGTAGCTGTCAAAAGTCTCCAAGAATTTGAGAACTGAGTTGCGCTCATACCGACACAATAACTGCAAAGTCAATATAAAAATTAAATGCTAACCCATGTGAGGACAGATGATGCTAAATTAATTTAAAAGGAGCTGAAGCTCTGAATGTTTGAAATATTTGAATTAGCAATTCATAAAGAAGCATTTGATTTCAGGAATATCACCCTTCAACCTATTATTTAGAATTATTATAGAGTTGAACCACAACCTTATCGAAAAGAATGAAAAGAAAAAAAATTTCACTTAGATAAAATCTGGTAGATCATTAAGGAATGATTCTGAAGATGGCCCAGGACTAAAGTGGATGAAAGCAGGTACTAGTGTGTGTACTAATGGCACTCAAATTGTCAGTGAGTTTGGGTTAGTGGGGTTGAAATACTTTATCAATTGCTTGTAATCTTAATAACAGTGTATATAGCTCACCTCGACATAAAGCTCGATCATATCATCAGTGATAGGTACAGGTTTGTTACGCATGAGTTTAGGAAATTCGGATATTCTTTCCAAATAAGCTTCAAGTTCTTTCGGCCAAGCTTTCGCCTTTCGTCCGTTAAAATCAGCTACATGAGCATCTTTTAATAAATGCGTGAAATCTAGAGTCCCAGACAAATGAACCTCAATCACTGTCTTCAAGTACAGAAAAAGGCTTTCTGGATTGGACTGCAATCCAGAGACAACTTGTGGCATTTCCTTGTTTAAATGGCTGACAACCAACAAGAAAGTTCCTTCTCTGCAAAAGTCCGTTAGCTAATAAATCAATAGACCAGTTTTAGAAGAATAACTGTTGCATAATGTTCAACGAGAGTACCTGCTCAAGGAAAGCAACTCAGGTATTCGAGACAATATGGCAGATCGAAAATCATTCCGTTCTATATTGCTCAACTGTTCCAACATGTTGTTAATATAAAGGAATGTGTGAATCGGTTCGCCCACTTCTTTCATATAGCTGTCCAAAGCAGCAAGATAGTGACGCCTCATGGTGTGAATTAAGCCACAAACCTGGGGGGAAATCACAAAATGCATTGGCGGACAACAAATATGTAAAAAGAAAACTGTTACAACTCCAGTAGACGAAGCTGTGGAGTTCATACCTGATGGAAACATGCGTTCTCACACAGTGTTAATACATAAGAGGAAGTCCAATCAGTGTCAGGCACTACTTCTAAAAGGGCAAGCACTTGCTTCTCTCTCTCCCTTGAAATTTCAGATGTATGTGAGGAAATACCAACTGAAACTTCATTCTGCGACGTCAGGTACTCTAAGATCTTAGTCAATAGCCTCTTTGAAACTCGGGCTTTTGCACTCATGACATACGGAACAATGAATTCAAACAAATGCCCCAAGTCTCTCTTTGAAGGCCATATCTCTGCAGATCCATTGTCACCATTCTTAGGAGAACTATCTGCTTTTGATATCTCTTTTCCAATAATTTCTGCTAGAGCATCAATTGTGCTCTGAACTAATAGATTCTGAGTTTCATTTACCGCATCTTGTTCATGTGAGCGCTCCTTTTGTGCATCGGAATTATCTGAAGAACCATCAGGCTTTGCATTTTCATCATCCACAAAAGCACATCTTAGAACATCCAGAGTAGCTTCTGTGTCCAATTCCAAAAGATGATAAATATTGAGATAGCTTCCTTCTGATGACAAGCTTGAGGTAGTCCGCGAATTTCCAGCTTCAGAAGCCTCCATTAAGAACTTCACTAGCTCCACTCTAAGTGAAGGCAGACGCTCAGGAGGAAGGGCACCGTGTCCTGCACAAGCTCAGTTGTTTCTCATTTTTTTAACCAAATAACATGAGGACTAATTACAATACAATATGAAATATATTTTGAGTTCATTATTTCGGTATCAAACTATTAATACCTATTCCCCAACATAATAATCGAAATTAAGTTACATAGAACAGGAATAGTACAGTAAAACGATGCGAACAAGATTAGGGTATACATCTATTGTCCAATGACATCATTTAGTTTTGTCAAATGCACCTTATAAATTTTGGCCAAATCCTGTGCTTTATAACAAGAAATGAGAAACATTGAATATCTTATTTAGACATGGATGTATGCATCAGATGAATGAATTAAAAATCCATGATATTGACCCACACCTGGAGGAAAGGCAAGACCTGAAAAGCAATACTTTAGATACACCAGTAATCTGTACCTGCACATGAGAACAAAATGTAAAATATGTGAGTCACCATTCAGAAAATATATGATGAACTTGCCAAACAAAATTATAACTTCGCTGACTTGCCAAAGGAATTACAAAGGTAAGCAAGTTTCAAAATATGATGAACTTTTTATAATTATTTAGTTCAAATCGCTACATAGGGTTGTTTACTGAGAGCCTATCAAATGCAAATCTGAATTAACGAATTTTCACCGCCAATAAAGAACATACAGCATGTATAGTGCACTTTCAATCAGTAAAAAATAAAGAGCAGAGCAGACTGGGGTGACTAGAGTTGTTGGAGCTTCTCCACCAATGCTATATGAAAAGATTTACAAAACAAGGAAGCTCAAACTTGTCTGGAAGGACAAAGGGAACCACTAGCCAGACATCACATATGGCAAGCAAAAATACTCAAATGGCACAAACCCAAGAAGGAACTAGGATGCAAATAATTAAGCCAATGTTTTCAAACTACAACAATACTTTCTCTGCTAATTAACCATACACACGAACCAACATTTATATTCTATCATTGTGAGACTCATAACATGAGCAGAGAATAAATCCACTGCAAATATATTATAGCTAAACATGGAGCAAATCATGGTGCCGAACGATTTTTGCTGATTTCTAGAAGTTGGCTCTTTATAAGATAAAGGAAGCAAGAGAGGGACAAAGGTGTCATTAATATTTACTGGCCCATACAGGCACTCTCCCTTTGTGGACTGCTTGGGAAGCAAGAAATACAACCTGGACCTCATGCTTACACTTACAATTAAAGTCGTGATTAACCTCATCACATCTTCGCTTGGCCAACTTAACCTTATAGAGCACAAACGTTTTCGGAAGTGGTAGGCCAAATGGACAAAATAATATCAATGCTCAAGCTAAAACTGATACTAGAGGTAATCACAAGCCTTACGTACATACCCAAGAGCAGTAGCATCCTTCCCTTTACTATTTCTGGTAACAACCAACAATTCCTCCAAAGGAGCCTTGAAATCATCCAATCCTCTATTGAAAAGATAAATGAGGGCACCATACAGCCCATGCTCACGGCAAAGCCTGACCACCTACAGGTAAACCTATGATATGTTTAAATTCTCAGACAGAGGTATCTGATTTTCTTGAAATAAAGATTCGATAAAGAAGAATGAATAGAACCTGATTAAAATCCAAGGAAGAGATATCCATATGAAGAACACATTGTTCAACACGCTGCAACCACCCATTGCTGCTATAATGTTCAACCAGTGCTTGCATGATCTGTACCAAATAAGGAAAATATGCATTAGAAGAAAGATATACTTGGACTGATGTTTGCTTTTGACTACTCAACTTGGCAGAAACTTTTTGCCATCTGGACAAATTAGTGCATCAAAACATTAGAGATTACCTCTGGTGGTAAAGAACCAAGCATGTCTCTCAAAATGTATGGCTCTAACAATTCCAAGAAGGTATCTATAAACAAAGGGGGGAAAAGAAACAGATCAAGTAACATGTGTGCCTATTACAATGCTCAATTATGGATAAAGCAAAATCATAACTATTTCATGATCCTCAAGATATCGTAAACCAATTCATTTTCACCATTCATTTTATGAGAGTGGTTAAAATGTCATGAGAAACTTGTATGAATCGGGCTCTGGACTGTAACTAATAAAGTTTGGCAGTACCTCTTTGGTTGGCAGCTCTAAACTTGGAGTGAATTTCATCAAAAAGTATGTCAGTTCGCCGAATGTGAACACAAAACTCCACAGCAACACCACCAACACGGGTGAACTGCTCTTTTATTTCAGAATGCACAGAACTACTTTCAATCTTAGAATCATCTTCCCGCTCCACTTTTTCAATTTGGTTACAAAAAGCCACCGAGATATAAGAAAATACTTCATCAACATAGGCTAAAAGCAACTCCACCAGATAAGGCATTATGGCTTCTTGAACAGCATCACGAGTTCTAGGAAGGTCAATAACACCATGAGCTTTCCCATCATAAAGCGTCATTGCCATATTCAAGGCACCCATCCAATCTCCTGCTCCACGCAAAACCTGTATACGCTCCTTCCAAGGAAGAAGGCGGGAAGTAACAAGATGTGTGGTTCCAAGAATGTATATTGAAGCCCCCCTAATAGCAATGCAATTGTGGAATGCTTTCTCAGGATTTCCATAGACATTCATAAAGTGGGCATGATAAGCAACAATGTCATCTCCTCTAGAACCATCAACAGTGAAACCAGTCTGGTGAATCAGGGTGCCATCATTAGTGAATAAATAAAGTTGTCTGGTGATAGTGAGAACTACAAGCATCTGAAAAAAGAAAACAAAAATATCAGACATGAGTTTGCCTCATAGAAAAATATAGGGTGGCAGCTAGTGTAAATATGTTGGCAAACTAAAAAGCAGATTCGCAAGGTAACCAGTAGCTACTGGACATGAATGCAATATTTTACTATCCATACAAGGAACATACATGAGAATCCAACCAAGCGACCCCTATGGCTGCACTATCCAAGTACCAGCTTCCATATACTTCTAACTTGGATTTGACCAATTTTGCAACTTGAACTTTTCGATCCCAGGCAAGTGCCAGCAACGACACTCTATCCGCTGCATCTGTAGCAAAATTTTCTGCAACATATTCAAGCTCTTAGACAGATGTCATCTAAAAAATCAAGGAACCAAATCATGCCATACCAGTAAATGAACTACGACTTTGCACTGTAGATTTCCAAGCTGTATAAGGCATTGAACCCTCCCTGACACCATCCGGCCTGGAGAGTTCGGCATATACTTCCAGCGTAGGAGTAAGCCTAATCTGTAGAGAATGGAGTTCAAGCATTCAATTTGCAAGAAGACCATATTTGGAAAAAGTAGGTAAGCATCAAATGTGCAAGACCTAATAGCATGGAAGTTGCAGAAACATCCAAGGCTTCATACCACCAAAGCAGTTTTATGAGTGGCGAATATGACCACACCTTCTTCAACCGGCGGAGGATACCCTTCATTGAATAGTTTTACACCTCCCGCTCCTCCAACTACGCCTCCCATCATGCTTCCAATGCTGGAGGATGATATAGAACCATTACCTGGTGAAGATGGTACAGCAGCTCCATAGAATTCTTCAAAAAGAAGTGGTGAAGCTGATAAAACAATGCCCGTTTTTTGTCCATCAAGAAGACACTACATTATCCAATTATGAAAAGACGTTAATTTAATAAGACTACATAATTGCAATGTCACCAGAACATAATTACATTTTTAAAAGAAAGTACCATGTGACTACACACATTCTTATTCAGGATAAACGTTACCTGAGTCTTAACGTTGAATCGGTTTAGCAAAGGAACCACTGAGAACGAATGCAACAGAACCACACCTTTGCTATCACCGGTCACAGCTTTAAATTGTCGACTGACTGGAGAGTCGTGACCAAGAAAGAATGCATGAACTACAGGTGCATTATGCTCGCCATTAATAACTTTAGCTGCAGATGCCTTCTGTAGATCCCAGACAGTAACATGGCCATCTCCATAACCAGCCAAAAGCAGATCACCTTGCTGATTGAAGCAGATGGAAGTGACAGGGGCATGAGATCGATCCCCTAGCAAACCTAGCATCAGCATCTAAAATAGGAAGAAAAGAGTAATATATGAGATGCTTCTTTTAGTAGTGAGACCATGAAATGTGATAGCCAGACCTGTCCTTTCACCGAAAAAAACTACCACAAAAAGTCTCATTACCAGAGCCAAGAATATAAAATTACGATCTAATTTCGTTACGATTCCATGCATAAAAACAACGTACATCTAACTGCTTCAAGCTAAAAAAAATTTGGCAAAACACAGACCTAAAATTGTATCTGGCAATCTACACAGTCCTTCGAGCACATCGTTAACCAGCATATATAATTGGCATACCAAAACTCATGAGGGGAAGACAGCATGAAGATTGGCCGATCAAGGAAAAAACTAACTGCAAGTACCTTTGTATCCATACTGTCAACAGTATGAGCAGAATATCTACTAGGAACAACAAAAATGAGCCCTTTTGACATGCCCACTGCGATGTAGTTTAGATGAACACATAGGACTTGTGGGGAACCATGATCTCGTTTAAATGCCTGAGATGCTATTGTTCTTGAGATAATATTATTGGCATCATTATCAAAATATCCTAAAGCAACCGAACCTCTTCGAACACCCTCAAGCCTCATTGGCTGAGCAGCAGCACCCTCTTCCAAGTGCAAGCCAGTAGAAGCCTGTTTCTTCTCAAGTTCTTCTGCCAAATCAAGAGGCTTCAGGACAGCCTCCAGCTTATCTTCTCCTTTATGGATTCTCTCACTTTCTAGCTGTCCTTTTTTCTCGTCTACAAGCTCAAGAAATTCATTATTTAGACCAAAAATATCTCCAGAATCAACAATACTCTCCCCTTCGCTTGTTAAGGCAGACAACCCGTTCTGAACACCCTCTACTTCTTCCAATGAAGCCAATGCAGAATCCTCCTCAGTCACTGTATCCTTACCATTATAAGCCCTTTCAGTGGAATCATCCCCCAGTAGTAACGTAGAATCATCATCAGCCAACACAGATGTTTCTTCTCCATCTTCTTTACTTCCACTGGAACTTGGAACTGTCACGACATCATCCATACCTTGGCTAACGGTAGTTAGCATACTGTCAGCGAGGACACTAAGTTCATCATTATAAAATTCGTGCTTCACTTCATTTTCCACGAGCTTTTCATCCTTCTCTGAGCCTCCTCCATCTAGGGCAGACTGAGGATCAGCAATTTTCTTCCCGTAGTCGGCGAATTTGCGAGCTGACTCTGTCAATTCACCACCAACTTCATTCGGGTCTGCATTCGATGAAGTTGGCGCAATCTCCCGATCACCATCGCCAGAACCAATTCCTTCACTATCCAGAACCTTCAGAAGCGCCCCAGTCCCACTGACGGCCCTCCTGGACTTGATCGCAGCAGCGTGAGGCGTGCGGAGAGACCGAGAAGCAGCTGCAGCTGCCGCCAGAGCTGCACCCGGCTTGACGTTGGATCTCACCCCGGCAAACAGGGAAGGCAGCGGCCGCGTAGAAGAAGAAGTAGAAGTAGAAGGAACTTTCCATGTTCGATCACCAGCCAACAAGCTAGCCTTAACCTGAGCAGAGGAATTCGACTTGAATTGCTCGGATTTGTAAGCCGGGCCGAGAGATCGAGCACGATTTAAGGATTGCGATGGCTCCGCCAGGTCACCAGAGCCGAATCTATCTGGTGGGCGATGCAGACGAGAAGAGAGAGAGGTAGGGGATGAAGGAGGGGAAGGAGACTTGGAGGAATCGGAGTCGTTGAGGATTTCATCGAGCGACCGGTGAGGGAGTGGATTGAGTTCATCGTCGTCGGAGTCGGAGATGGAGTGCAGTTTGAGGAAGGAGTCGATGTCGAGCTCCATTTGACAGTTCCGAGCGCTGGGTTTTTCGTCCCGGTTATATCGGGTTACGGGCGCCCATGCTTTTTATAGAAGACCCGCCAATGTTTCTTTTATTTTCCAGGCTTTGGCCCAATTTTTAGTCTCGTCATCACATCACCGCCAAATCACCCGTTTTTTTACCTTTTTTTATCCAGAAATAATGGGATGTGTACAACCCACTTCCTAGACGTTGGTATTCTCGTCCGTGTACCTTACCTTGTGCCTCCCTCTTCTCACACCAGTGGAGACGGTTGACGAACCATGCGTTTGGGAGTACACGACATGCCCTGTAGACGTTGTTAAAACTCTGGCTTGAGTTCGTTGTGGCAATACCCCATCTGGTACCTCCGTCCTTATGAAACGTCCACATTGTTAGGTCATGTTCATCAAGCCACTGCGCACATTCAGGGCATAGCTGACGGATATTCTGCATCTTCTCTTTAAATTTCTTCTCTTTGTAAGCGACAGCTGATGAGTATACGAACAAAAGCGTAAGGTAAGCAAGGCTTCCGTTTTGAGCAATACAAGTACACTCGTAAGACTTTTAGGAGAGGTATACATCTCCTTAGAAACACAACCAGTTTGACAGAAAAAAGAGGGGATCAGAGGATCGCTTAGAACCCGATTTTCCTAGGAAATGGGAGGATTATGATGATCGCTTAAAACCCCATTTCCTTAGGCATGCATAACTTTATAAAGAGTCTAAATAAGTGTTGTATTGTATTGATTTAGTCCTCATTTTTCTAGTTAACAAAAGATAGAGACCAATAAAATAGAACTCTTATCGATCCACCATAGACTATCAGCAAGCTTCTTTCGCTTGAAATTATGGTTCCAGTTGCTCTTGAAATGTCGTATGCACCATCTCTGTGACCACTTCTAGGATGGATCCAAGCCTAAGATGGCAGCCCTTATACCGGCGTGGCGATCAGAGATGATGGTTAGGTTCGTCTGCCTGGTGACATGGAGTTGAATTTGTCTGAAGAACCATCCATAGCTATCGGTATTCTCTCCCTCAATAATGGCAAAAGCTAATGGATATACTGCTCTATTTGCATATGCTCCGCTGGCGATCAGTAGAACACCCTTGTACTTGCTGGTAAGGAATGTTCCATCAACTTGAATCACAGGAACACGGAATGGAAAACCATCAATACATGGCTTGAATGGCCAGAAAAGACGCTTGAATGGACGCTTGTTACTAGGCACCGGCGGCTGAATTTCTTCATCTTGGTAGCGGGGAGAGAAAATGGTGCCAGGGTTAAACACCTCCATAGCCAAAATCAATCTGGGAAGGAATGCATACGATTCTTCCCAGTCACCAAACACGGCGGCCATTGCTTTCTGTTTTCCATGCCACGCCTTCTTGTAGTTAATGATATAACCATAACGACTAGAAATGTCGGCGATGATGGTTTAACCTTCAAGGCGGGCTGCTCCTCAATTAGATGTTTGATAGTAGGGATGGGCAAACGGTTCGGTAAACCCAAATCGAAATCGAATTAAACCGAACCAAATCGAATTAATGCTAGTCGGTTCGATATTCGGAAGGAAAATATTGATAGTTCGGAAATCAAGGTACTTTCAACCGAATCGATTTCCAACCGAAAAACCAAAATACTATAATTACAAGATCCAAATGGTGGATTTTTATGTTTGTAGTTGTTTTTAGACTTAAATATTTGAAATGTTTTATGATTTATGTGTTGAAAAGTTTGTTTTTATCATTGATGATGCATATAATTGCATATTTATTGTTTATATTATGATGAAAAATAATTTAAAAGTGAGAAAATACAAGTAGCTTCACAAAATCAGTTTTGTGTGAAAAACCGAACCAAATTATAATTCGGTTTGAGATTTGGGAGAATTCAGAGACCCGATATTTATAATTTCAGTTCGATCGAAACCGAACCGACCGAATGCCCACCCCTATTTGATAGCCGCTACAACCACCCTTGATTTCAACTGTCGATGGCATTGGGATGTTATTGATGACACACACATGTGTGTGTGTTCACCGCACGGGATATGACCCAATGGCTGACTCTCTTGCTCTTGATAGCCCGAACCCTAGCCTTGCATCCCTCATTTTGATTTTTGCATCTAACCACCAGCCTCTTCTGGTCGGAACGGATTGTGACCCCATTCAAAACTCCGAGTCATTGCTTCAGTGGCAATAGCGTGCCAGACCTCATTTTTTGTTGCAAATTGTTGGCCCTTTGTAAAGCCAGTGAGTGGAGCCCATATTGGCACCTCTGGGGGGTCCATGTCGGCATCAACATACCAATCTTCATTTGGAATGTGATTGTAGTACGGGATAGGTACACGGTCGCGAGGTACCTCATCATCGTCTGCGTCTGAATCTGGACCGGAATCATCAACACCTTCAAGAGGATCGAAGTTGTCTGCACTGACATCGTCTTCCTCTTCTTCAACCTCAGGGTCACTAAATGACCTGGATTGACCTCTTCTTCCATTTGATGATCATCATTAAAGGCACATTCACCTTCACCAGCTTCGTAATGATAGTTGTGGTAACTAACGCTGCTTTGGTAGAAGTTGTACTCGGGTTGATACTGGTAGCCTGCTTGTTGGTTCCCATCCGCCTGTTGAGCTTTTTCTTCATATGATGGGAAGGATTGATGATGACCTCCAGTTCCATCATGATACTCCTGCCTCCAGCTCGAGTCTCAGTACTCCTGGTGGGGATGATCTTCGTACAATACACTCCCACCGTGAATACTAGATGTTTGGCCATCTCCAGAATGACCTACAACGCCTTTGACCGCCTCGGTGTAAACGAACATCTTCGATTGTTTAATCTTATTGGTGGTCAAAAATTGGACCATGACATCAACGTCCTCCTGAGTCGTAAAGAGGAATTCCTCATTCCACAAGCCAGGTTTGTTTGGATATCGATACACCATACGACCAACTCTTTTAGGGTCATCCATGCAGGTAACCTCAGTGCACATTTGATGGAGCTCTTCAAGCATCGGTCTCGTACGGACCTTCATTTTATAAAAATTGTCACCCACGTAACTTAGAACCTTTCCTGTGTCTTTCGTGTAACCATTCCACCGCAACCCAAACGTGAACTTTTGGAATGCCATCTGCAATAAAACTGTAATTAAGTTACTAGCATAAAAATCACAAATGACAATGAAAACTAATACAAAATAAACTTACGAATTAACGTTAATCGCAAAAACTAAATAATTTAAAGGTGCACAACTGAAATTTGAAGAAGGAGTGGAGTGAAATTTTTTAGTTTTCTGGACCTGCCTTTTATAGGCAAATTTTCACTGGAAACCGCAGGGGGGAGCGGTTTTAGTCTGTCATGCAACCCCACCCATGCAACCTCCTGCATGCCGACATATCGGATGTCGGGTGACGAGGCACAAACCGCTGGGGGGGGGGGGGGAGGGGGAGGGAGGGGAGAGCGGTTTATGTGTCAACATGGTAAACCGATTCCCTGTGGAGCGTTTTACCTTGCTGACACATAACCGCTCCCAGAGGACGCGGTTTGTGCTAAGACAGCCATGAAAACCGCTCCTTCGAAGAGCGTTTTTTCCAAAAAACACAAACTGCTTGTCTACCAGGCGGTTCCATGGTAAACCGCCGCTTGGGTGGGCGGTTTCTGTTTCACCGCCCCTAAGTGGAGCGGTTTTTAATAAACAATGATAGATTTGGAATTTTTTCGGAATGAGTGATATTTTTATAATTTTTTTATAAAACACTGATAGTTTTGGATTTTATCCATACAATTAACCCTAATTTAAAGTAAGGGATGTTTGAGAAAATCAGAAAATGAAAAGTAAAGTACATTATATACCTGTAAGGCTGTAACCCCAAATTTCCTACCCTACTTCATAGAAAGCCGCCAGTCCGCCACCGATAAAAGCCGTGCTGCGTCGTGAATCCGAAACCCTAGCATCCGGAAATCCGATTCTCAAACAGCGGCAGCAATGGTGTGCATAAGAAAAGCGACGATCGATGACCTGTTGGCGATGCAGGCTTGCAACTTGCTCTGCCTTCCGGAAAATTACCAGATGAAGTATTACTTCTACCACATCCTTTCCTGGCCGCAGCTCCTCTACGTTGCTGAGGACTACAATGGCCGGATCGTCGGCTACGTGCTGGCGAAGATGGAGGAAGAGACGAACGAGTGCCACGGGCACATAACTTCTCTCGCTGTTCTCCGCACTCACCGAAAGTTAGGGCTCGCCACTAAGCTCATGAGCGCCGCTCAGACTGCCATGGAACAGGTTTGTCTTCGATTGACTGTATTTTGGGGCCTCCGTACTGCTGAATGTGCTTTCTGTGGTGATGGTGTTATTGATTTGTTCTTGGAAGCCTTGAGTGATAAGTGATTTTTTTTCTCTCGTGATTATGAAAACAAAAGAACGAGATATGGCTTGCTTAGTTGAATATCAGGAGAATTTTATTTTTTTCACTGAGCTTGGTATCTTTGGATGGATGGGTAAGGAGTGTTTTCATTGTCAGCTAGCTAAATCGTGACAAAACCCCACAGCTAGCTTTGATAGAAGATACATGTGTGAGCTTTTCTATGCATTGAAGTGAATGACTAGATTAGCTTGCTGTAGTTTCATCGTTGCATAAGCATAGTAGGAATCGTATGGAACCCCAGTGTGCAAGTTTGATGATGATTATCCTACCCTTTAATCCGTTGCCATGGCCCATGGCCAGTTGATGATCGATCATTGGATTGGATTCTTGGCTTTTAACTTGATGAGGCAGTTAATTAAAGCGCTTAAGCATTCATCTTTCATGTCTGATGAAGGATTATAGTGATTTAGTTAGCAGAACCAATGTTCTGCATAGACTTTTTGCTGAATTGAGTGTGGAATGAAATAGGTGTTTGGGGCAGAGTATGTCTCGCTGCATGTGAGGAAGAGCAACCGGGCAGCTTTCCATCTCTACACTGAAACCTTGGGATATAAAATCCATGATATAGAAGCAAAGTATTACGCTGACGGAGAGGATGCATATGACATGAGGAAGCAGCTGAAGGGGAAGCAATATCACCACCACCATCATCATCACCATGCTGGTGGTTGCTGTGCACCGGAGCCCAAATCCTTGGAAGCAAAACCAGAATCTAAATCTGAGGCAAAATCCAGCACCAAAGCTTAAGCGAGAGTGCAACATAATGGTGGAAGTTCTAGGTGAAGCGGGGATAAATTGTTATGCTCTTCTTATTGCTTAAAACTGCATTGCCCTTTGTACTAGTTTGATTGTACTAGCAGTAATAATGCACTGGAGATTGGAGAATATGTATTGTTTTCATGCGTTTGCTAGTTGATGTCCGTGCTAATACAGTACTGAGTATCGAATTTAGGTATCTTGGTTCACTTTTGGTCTATTACAGTATGCTATCTCTTTTTACAAGTTCATCTCTATTCTGTTATCTGAACTTGGGGTATCTCCAATTGATGCATGCCTATTCATTTCATTATTATTAGTTTGATTTAATTTCATCAGTAGCTTGATTCTTCCCAGGCGCTACGTCTATCTCCTGTGTTGCTAACATTGTTTTGATGTAGTGATGGAATAGCAAACTGGAGCTCCTTTGGTTCTTCAGGTTCTACGCATTTAGTTTGTGCATGGGTTTGCCACAGATTAATCTCAACTTTCGTTAATCTAACCAACATCTACTACATGGTTTCCATGGCTAGCTCTGCCATGATTGGCAGTAAGGGTATATAGCTGTAGATGTTTTTAAGATTTGTCAGACCGCAAATTTCACCGCATTGGGGCACCTCGAGGTTTGAAGAAACCTTGCCACAACTCGGCCTTCAGTTTTGTATTCCTCATGGAGAAGCGACCTTCTTTGTTCTTGCTGAACCTTCTTGCAACCTTTATGCATTGATAAAAGCGGATATGAACCCCAGTATTATCAATGTACAACAAATATTTTAGAGACAATACCCTATCTCCTGGTTGGATCGAAAATACCGGGTAATGGACTCCAACTGGTAAGCGTTTTTAATAGTATGACATAGTTGAACCATAGTCAAACCATGATTTTAGTATAAAATACCCTATCACTTACTTTTTTGCTATAATTTCTGGTACAGTTTTATAATATTTGTGTACAACTAGTATAAAAACGCAGTCAATGATATAAAAAATGTGGATCCCTACAGAAAGGAAATGTCCCAAAGAAGCAAGATAATTTGCTCCGTAATTAGCCTCACAATATACATGCTCTATCTTGACTTTGCAAGGATTAAATAACCAACGTCTAATCTTTGCTAAACACATGTAGCGTGGATGATAGTAAGTAGTTGTTTCAATGCGTGTCTTGGCTGTAAGCGTATCCACCTGATGAAGAACTTTCCTAGTCCACAATTCTTAGGTGAGCCTCAAATCGTTGCACAATCTCAGCCAGCTATATGACACGCGCATGGGTCGAGCTTGAAATTCCTAAAGTCGAAGTGCACCTACTCTATTCCTAACAACGACAAGTATACCTATACTAGTTTTGTAGTAAAGTGGTTTGGTTGTATTCCAATGGAACCTTAAACTTATTATTACTTTGCTACGAACTACTATCTAATCAAATCGGAAGGTCGGGATTAGAACTACACTAACCTAACTAAAAACAACCAATCAAGTGGTTGGGAGACCGCCATAGATGAGATGGTTGTCTATGATCGAATCTCTCTATCTATAGGTTGATATGGGCGATAATCGAATGGTACTTTGAGGTGCGGAGGTCACAAAGGTGGAGATCGACTTAATGGTCATGCAATTGATCCCCCCCCCCCCCCAAAAGTTACGTTCATGGCCTAATGTCACCTCAACCAATCTACCTAACTAGGATGGTTCTACCTCCTCTAATCAGATTGTATCCATTCACATACAGGTTGGGTAAGTCGATAGTCACGCGCTTATCTAACAACCATCAACTAGGTGAGAATCTAACTATAAGGGTATGATCACCTTGACCTCTAACTAGACCTCTAAGTCAACCAATCAAGTTAAGAAGGATTCACACGCATCTAAACTCTAATCAGAAGCATTAAACACTCTAGTTAAACCCAATTATTATACCATAAATTAGTAAACAAGACAATGATAATTTCTCTATTATCTAGGTTGCAACTAAGGCAAATGGAATACAGACAATCCCACACCAATTGATGTTTATGCTAATTTTGACATAGGTTAAGAACGAACCAATCACAATCAAGAGATTCTTATGCGCCACATCAATAGACATAGATAAATAGGTTCATAATCATGCGTACATATGACTCATACTCATTCTACAAATTGGGTTCATCTTTCCTAAACAACCATAGGGATTCAAGTCATAGAGAGAGAAATGAAATACAAACTAAAAAAGAGGGAAAATACTTGAGTTCATCTTCTTCGGGTCTTGACCGTCCAATATAACGGTCAACTCTAGGGTTTGACAAATTAAGTAAAGCTTAATACTAATTCAGGTCACAATGTTAAATAGTAAAATTGGCCAAAATATTAAATATAGGAAAATTTCGGGTTAGATAACAATGTTAACCATTAAGTAATTAGATTTAATAGAGATATTGAGAGATCTAACGGGCCAAAACTATATAGCCCGCTCCAAATTCCCCCGCCAGCCCAATTAGCAGCTTCGCACGCAACCGCAACTCTTCTCCTCCCCAAACCCAAAGCTTACCTTCCCACTTTTTAATTTTTACTGTTCGTTCATTCTAAAAAATTCAACAACCCAAGACTCAATTGCCACCCGCCTTCTCTTCGTTTCAGATCTACCTCCAATTTCCAGTCTCCCGCAGCTTAACCGTTCGCATCCTCCACCGCCACCGCCGGTCGGAGAATCTCGACGCATCGTCCCTGTCGCCTGCGGCAGAAGGAGTGACCGCGTCCGTATCATAAATTTTGTTCCCCCTGTTCCTCGAGTGATGTGGAGCTCGATCGAAAATTTGAAGCAGAACCTGAACAAGATTGCACTCGATGTGCATGACGATGAGGACGAGGAGCTCGAGATCTACGGTTTTGGTAATGGTGATGATCAGTCGGTATCTGGTCGCAGGAACTCCCACAGTTCCGCGCATGCGAAATCGGTTTCCCCGTCTCCCGTTGCCAACGGCGTTGATTCGCCCAACAACTCTCAGGTATAGTTGCTACGCTATTTGATTTTGGTTTTCTTTGTTTGTCTCGGTGTTGCTAATCTGATTTGTGATTTTATTTTTTTGCGCCAATCGGCAACACCGTGATTCACCAACTTCTATTTTGAAATCAGAACATGACTGGCAACTCTTGAATTGCCGTGTCAATTATTGCAAATCGGTTAGTTAGCGTGCGCTTGATTATCGTGAGATTTTCATAAATAGATGACTGAGGCACACCCGGTGCTGTTTCAGAATGGATTCCGATCATTCTTCTGTGGTTGTTGCAATGAGGAGTTCTTGTGGTCTTCTTTCAAGACTGTTAGTGATGCTCGGTTTCGGAGTTTCATACTATGTCATCCATTAAGTGAGATGTTTGAGCGTCAGTACTGGTTGTTAAGTATTTCACTTAGCCATAGTTCAAAGATAAATGGGTTCATCGGTTGGCTCTCCCATGCTGTTGGTTTTTCTTTCCATCCCCAAAAGCCATGCCCAAATTGAATGATTCCCTTGTTGCAGCCTTGTGCTTACTGTGACTCCAGGATTTGTCTATTCGTTTACCTAGAAGTCAGAGTGTTGATTGAGATTCATGGTTCCTGTTCTTTTTGGTGCATATGTAGATTGAACAGTACAGATCAGAGATTAGAAAGCTCCAAGAATCTGAAGCAGAAATCAAAGCGTTGTCGGTCAATTATGCCGCTCTTTTAAAAGAGAAAGAGGTACTTACCAATGCACTACTGCTATGTTGTTTTCAAAGCTTGGAACTGCTGCACACCTCCCATACATGTTTTATGGAGGTTTTGCGACTTTGCCATAACACCTACTTTATGGGTAGCATATATAACGGTGGACTTGGGAACTGTGTATTATATCATGGAGCAATTGGGGTAGGCAGTTTAATCAACATGGTAAATTGGTTTGATGGTCATATATCAGATGCATATAAAGATGGAATATTAATCACATCTATGAATACAAGCAGGTTTAATTTCCGGACCTGAAAGGATATACAATTCGAGGTTGGTGCATGGGAAATCAGTCATTTAGTGTGATTGTTTCTGTGTCATATCAGTAAAGAAATCATCGGAACAGCTTAACTTAGCTAAGTTTTGAATGCTGAAATTTTTGGGTTTAATTAGCACATTTCATTGTTTAATTTTAGTGATTTTATGCAATATCGTGGTTCTGCATATGTTATTGGCTATACTCTGAAGAACCATTGACAGTTTCAACCTCCTACTACTGCCTTGATGGTATAGGATCAAATTTCCAGGTTGAACCAAGAAAAAGGCTTACTGAAGAAAAATTTGGATGCAACAAAGGAAGCCTTGAACTCATCTAGAACTGAAATTTCGGGAACATCATCATCTAGCTCTAATGGAATAAAGGTAGTTAGTGGCTGTCATCCTACCTATCGTGAGTTCTTGATAAGTACTGATAATATGTTCTTGGAACTGTACAGCGAAGTGGTGAACAATCGCCCAAAAGACCCAACAAATTTTCACCAAAGGAAAAAAATCGTTATTCCAGTTATCCTCATAACGGGGGTTCCTCAAAACAGGAGGTAGTAAGCAATGGGATAGCACATGGTCACTCTGACAATGGACAAAACAAATTCGAATTAAAAAGTTCTTCAGGGAAGGAGAAGGTAAGAAAGCCTCATCCTGATACTTTCTTATTTGTAAATGACTTACTCTTTTTTTGGATTTAGTGCTTTGAACGGAGAAACATCTTGACAACAGACACTGAATGTCTTCTAGGAGCTTGCAGATTTGCTGGAGGAGAAAAATAAGTCCATGGAAGCTATGCAAGCTAGTCATGACCTGAAAATAAAACAGCTAACTTTGGAACTCGAGAAAGAAAGAGGAAAATCGGCAAATGTACAGCAAAACCTGCAAGGTACATTTCATCAGAGATTGTCATTGTCATGTGTTCCTTATCTTCTTTTGTTTACTTCTACCAAATGGTTCACAATTTTGCCTGATATTTATTTGTTTATTCAATTATCAGAGGAACACAAGTTGAATGAATCTTTTCAGGAGGAGTTTAGGATGCTAAAATTGGAGAAGCACAGAGTGAGTAATCGCAGCTATATTAATTTCTTTATGACTTCATTTTCTACTTCTCCACTGTTTTTCTTTCGCTCTTTCATTTACCCACAGTTTAGAACCCAATGACTTAAGAATCCATTTTGTTCCCATGTTTGGAATATCACATTTATATATAAACGAATCGAATTGAATTCCAAAATCACGGGGACACAGAATTGAATTGTGTTTTTTTCCCCCAAGACTATAATTCTATTTTAATTTGCATTCAACTTCATTGATTTAAGTTCTGGTATAGGTATAAGCTGTCTTTATATTTATGTATTGGTTTATTTCCATGGAGAGTTTAATTCTGCAGCCTTATTACCAAGAAAAATATTAACCGAGTATGATTATGTTAACGTTGTCTATACTTTAATTAATATCTTCATTCCGTGCTAATTAGTTGATAACGGTGTGCAAATGCATTCATTTTACAATGACCTGCTAAAATTATATATAGTCCCATAGAATTCAAGAACCGAAATGAAATCCTCAATGTTTCAAACTCACAAAAAAATTATTTTGAAAGGAATTCCTAAAGATATCGTGAAATTCATTTGTTTGAAATAGTAGGTTAGTTTTTCATGCTTATCCACTATTTCTTGTTTAATTGAGTACATTGCTAATAGTAAAAGATTAAACATCAGTGACATATTGTTAATGCTAATCTTTTAAAGTTACAATAACATATTGTTACTCTGAAATTTTCTGAATAACTAGGATTTTTTTAAGTTACATTTTTCTCTTGTTGCATGATTGCAAAGAATGTTGTTAGTGTATATTTCTTTTGATTATTCTAAATAGTACTTCCTGCTGTTAGATTTTCAGATATTCTGCTTATCCTAGAATGTCAGTTTTCTTTTTTAGTTTGCTAAGATGTAAACCTTCTAGCTGACCCATTCAGTCTTGTATCTTATTTGTAACTGGAGTTTCAAAGTATACTCAAGTAGTTTGTAAACAACTGCAGGCCACCATGGAGTTGAACAGACTGCAAACTGAGTTAAATGGAAAGTTATCCGAGATAAGTCGACTGCAGATGGAGTTAACTCGACGGGGAGATGAAAATGCAGATGAAGAAGCAGAGAGTTTAAGGAGAACTGTTGAAGATCTAAAAAGAGAAAACATCGCCCTAAAGGTTCGCCTGCTGGTAACTTCTCAAGTTATTATTTGTTTCTTTACTTTTCTTTGCAATCTAATTCATTCAAGAGATGTAATGTACTGTATGTTATCTGGCTGTTGTAATTGTTTATATGTTGATCATGTAGGCAGCGAAGGAGGAAGTCGAAGCTGCTTTGGAAAAGAGCATGACTTCTTCAGAGGAGAGGATTGCATCAGATGGGGTAATTTTTCCGTCTAAATGTGATTCACTGTCATTAATCTTTGTTGTTTCACTGATTATACCCTCTTTGCTTTTACCAGAAAGTAAATTTATCTGGTAGTTTCCCTGGGAAGAAGGAACTCGAAGCCTCACTGCTGAAGTTGGAGAGTGATCTCAGGGAGGCACACAGTGACAAGGAAAGAGCCTTACAAGAGTTGAATCGTCTTAAGCAACATTTACTAGAAAAGGTCTTTTGCAATGGCAATGATTCAGCCTGTTAGTTGTGTTAGTCTTTTTATCTAAATGATTCTTCTATACAGTTAGTAATAGGTTAGCTTGTCTTTTTCAGTTTCACATGGTACATTGCTCGTTATAGTGTGGTTGATATCTGTTGAAGATAAACTCTGTTGTTTTGTGAACTTAGGAGTCGGAAGAATCTGAGAAAATGGATCAAGACAGTCAAATTATAGATGAGCTTCGTCAGAATAATGAGTATCAGAAGGCTCAGATATCGCATCTGGAGAAAGCTCTCAAACAAACAATTGCAAATCAGGATGATATCAGGACAAGAAACAACAATGAAGTGTTGAAGTCCAGGGAAATTATTGAGGATTTGAACAGAAAATTGGCAGAATACACGAGCATAATAGAATCTAAGAATGTGGAACTTCTAAATCTACAAACTGCCCTTGGACAGTACTTTGCTGAAACTGAAGCCAAGGTGAATTATTATATCTGTTTTCAAATCATAATTTCTGTTGGATGTTATGCAGTCTCTCATTTTTGTTTCTCATCCTCTGGGTTGTTGGTTCAGGAACATTTTGAGCGACAATTGGCTTTAACAAGAGAAGAATTAGCAAAGCTTTCAGCCGTTCTAAAAGTACGTCTACATCCTTTTCTTTTCTCGACTATCCATATCTAGACTTCAGAACTCTTGATAATTTTTCCAACTCTAAGAATGACTCTTCTAGAAAGTAAAAAAGCGTGGTTTTCTGATTGTATTAAGAATCAAGTCGCCATGCCATGTATAAGTTAACGCAGTACTAATTTTGCTGTCTTTTTTCCCCCTTAGGATGCCGAACAAGGATCTGAGGCTTTAAAGAAGGAGAAGGAAGACATTATAGTTAGACTTTCAAGCACTGAAAAGAAGCTAGAGGAGGGAAGAAACAGGGTAAATAAGCTTGAGGAGGATAATGCAAAACTACGCCGCGCAGTTGAACAGAGCATGACCAGACTTAGCAGAATGTCCATGGATTCAGATTTTCTAGTTGACAGGTTTGGCAAACGGATACCTACTCAGTATTGTTAATTTGCATTCTAGTCAAGAAAGAAGGATGTGTGTATATGGCGATGCGTTATTGGACTTCCATACATAATAGGAATAGTTTTCCCCCTCTTTTTACAGGCGAATCGTAATCAAATTGCTGGTGACTTACTTCCAGAGGAACCACAGCAAAGAGGTATTACTCTTTTCATCTTCTCCATATGTTTACACCTGAAACCACTGAATTCCTCTCGCATCATCTCTGAGATATTATATCTTTTGTGATATCCCTCCAGGTCCTTGATCTTATGGTCCGCATGCTAGGGTTCTCTGACGAAGACAGGCAAAGAATTGGTGTGGCCCAGCAAGGTGGAAAAGGGGTTGTTCGTGGAGTTCTCGGACTACCTGGTCGCCTAGTTGGTGGAATTCTCGGAGGAGGATCGGCTGATGCACAAGCCAAGGCGGCCCCTGAAAACCATGTATTTAGAGAACTTTCAGTGTTCGTATCAGGTCTCTTTGTTGTTTTACAGTATCTGAATGTTACTTTTTGCCGGCTCTCCAGTCCTTTGCAGATCTATGGGTCGACTTTCTTCTCAAGGAGACCGAGGAGCGGGAGAGGAGGGAGTCTGCTGCAGATGCAGGAGAGGGTAGCCCGACGGTTGTTGCAGGGTCTAGCCCATCTTCTAACGATCATAGAACGAGCACTACAGGCAATCAAGTGTCGGGTTTTGGCAGACCGAATTTCTCTTCGAACTCCAGTCCTCTGCCATCTCAAGGCAATTTCGGACGCTACGAACAGTCTTCGGATTCCGAGTTTTCTACAGTTCCCTTGACATCCTTTGATAGCAACCCTCGCCTTCCTAGATTTGCCCAGAAACATTGATAATGAAATAGACGTCTACCCTCTTGTAAGTAATCAAAGTGTTGTAAATTTTATTATTGTGGTGGATAAGGTGAGAAAGTAATGTAATCCCTTCGATTCTTTCATTTTTGCCATGGATAGGATTCAGTTGTCAGTTCGTCATTCACTGCATTATTTGTTGTTATTTTTAAATTCCATCGGTACGCTTTCTTTTAAAAAGGTTGTATGCTTGGCAAGTTGTTCCACTTTGTATGCGTTTGCAAAATTGAAGACGAGGAATCTGATTTCTAAAAGCAAACATATGTACAGGTTGGAGGAAAAAAGAGAGTGAAAACAGTTTGTTCACGTAATCAATTACTCAAATCAATTCATCCTAGATAAAATTATAGATCAACCAACATTTATCATTCATTAAGATCTTAAGTAGATTTTACAAAAAAGTGTAAAACCAAAACATCATTTCCAGCAATTTTTGTCACATACTTGGATATCATCCGTATTGATCCATTCCTCAAATAGATCGTCAGTTAAACATCCAATTTCTTTTATTCTTAGAAAATATCATAATAAAGACATTAAATTTTCTTCACTCATACATCAATAAAGAATCAAACCAAGACATCGTTAATTACCCATTTAATCATAAATTCAGGTAAATATCATTGGTTCGTTCTACCGGTTCATATCATTAACATCAATCAAATCATCATGTTCACATCATCAACTTAATATCCAAACTCTTTTATCCAAAAGATAACCTCATAACAAACATGTATTGTCATATCAACTATAGCATATAACTTATCAATCTCACTTCATCGTAGTTTCATCCAAAACACGTCATCACACAAATAGAAACAACATAATGCATATGGATGAAATGCACACACTTCAGTTATTATTGTCATTAGGCACCAAGATCACAATACGCCCATTCCTCTAGAGCATCATCTTCGTCATTTATGGCCAATTTGTGATACCACAATCATAATTCAAGAAGAATCTCGCTAAATCTATTCATTCACAAAAAAATTGGGGGATAAGTACATGTCCTTCTCCGTATAAATGATTTTACACGATCACAAAACAACACTATCAAATTCTCTCTTTCATCCTTATCTCAATCGATACATAAATCAATTTCCATCCCACACATAATCTCATGTCAATCATCTCACCATCATCCTCAACTTCGTATCATTAATCATGAATATCATTTCTCCAATCATTCTTCTCAAATATAATTAACATTTTTACTATCTCATGAGAATCAAAATATTTCATTTCTCCAATTCTATGTAATTGCACAATTATCGTATCATTAATTTTCAGCAAATATCCATTTTCAATCATCAACATCATACTGAAATAACAAGTCATCAAGCATCCAACTAAGGACCAATCAAACTTATGACCTCATTAACCAAATTCATACAATGACAATCATCCTCATAAAACCCATTTCCTTTAGCATATAAAAAATTCAATGTTACCATTTTCAACATTTTGAACGCCAAATATCACATTTAAAAAAAAAATAATATAGATAATTATAACAATATATTTTCTTTCATGAAAGATATACTTTTCCATAAACCCAAGAACTTAGCAAAACATATGTCAACATGCCAAAATCCCAATTTATTAACCTCAAGCGTAAACGTATATTTTAACCATTTTTTCCCAATATATCCATATTAATCACTATGAAGTCATAATACTTATCACCAAGTAACATATAGTAATTGTAAAAAAAAAGTAACATATAGTCAACAATTATATTTCAGCAGCCAATGATTTCCAATTATTGATGGACCCATATACCTCAATTTCTAATGAATTCTGCTCCAATTATTTTTATTTTAGATTTGATCTTTAAAGATTTCTCTAGTTCTCACAGTTTCTTAGGAGAAGACGCTTTTTGGTATAGACGTCAAATGACTGCAAGTCATTGGTCGAACATGAACAAATTGGAAAGTCACAAAGACACATTAGTAAAATTTTCCCATGGAAAATTAAAAAGAGATTTTTTACTTTACGAATTGTCAGGAACAATACCTGAACTTTAAACTGAGAAGTTTGACTTAAAAACTCCCTATCCTCGAATCTCCCTCGTAATGACACCAAACTTATGCTGCTAACTCCACGATACTCTTGGAGACGAACTCTTTGCAATGGTACCAACCTTGTGAATAATCATTAACGTTGCTGATTTTATTGCATTGAAATATCAACAAATCTATGATCATCAATCAACCTACTCATAAGATATAGATAAAATTGCTTTCCCATTATCGAGTTGGCTCATTAGCTATCTATTCAACTCATGAGTTAAAGCAAACCAACTGACGAGTTGAATTCAACAAGGAGTCAAAACTAGCTCGAGAACTAGGCAAGACTTAGCTCAACCTCGACGTATTAATAAATAGAGTTTCCTTCAAGCACTTGTTTCTCTCCAGCCAATGGGACGGTTTGATTTTGTAAAGTTAGAGAGTCACCTCCTTGACCGCTAATCCAACTACCATGAAACAAGTTTACAACAATTGGTAAGTGGTCTCGAGCTTCCCAAATTCAAGCAAAACGGTGGACAGCATTGACCAATTGTGAAAGATGCTAGACTTGGTAAATCGCTCATCTCATTGTTCACAAGTTACAATCCTAACGATTTTCACTTGATAGAGTAATTGCCAAATTCGTTTACCCCCAAAAGCTTAGAAAACGGTCTACTGGGGAATCAACAAAGGAGCAGCACTAACTAGGATAATATGGAGATTCAAAGTGACAAAAACTCAAAACATCCACGACCATCGGACACAGGGCTTCTAAAACTTCTTTGCTTTCAGTGCCGCAGCAGTTGTTGGGATCTTACTCAGCACCTTTGCATCGAAAACAGCATACTGCTTTTTAATCTCGATCGTCGCCTTCTCTGCTAGTGGGTCGATTTTGTGTTCGTACTTCTCGTAGATCAGAGGAACAGTGTGCAGTAGAACAAAAGCTGTGACCAAAATCAGAGCGGGAATTTGAATCGTATTAGTATCTGCTCAACTATAAATAACATCTGAGTATATCTTTGAATCCAACATAATATATAACACAAGTGAAATGAGCTTTCATTGTCCTCACCTGTGTAAAACAAGGTCAAGAAATTGCAGCCACTTCCCAGAATCGACATGAGCCACAAGCCAGCAATGACCTGATTCAGAATGCATTTGCCAAATGACAAGCTTAGACAGAAAATCACAGTGGAAGGATTCCAAGGAATTAAGACATAAATGACTAGAAGTTTATATCAAAGAGACGTGGCAGAATTCAAGTTTGCGCATCTACAAATGTTCATAATCAGTAATCAGCAAATTCAACACCGGAATACATACCATTAGAAACTTCTTCAAATCCTTTCCTAAAGCGATGTTTCGCAACAGGGCAAGAACTTGGTTGATCTCAACTGCCAGCCCTGCAGCAGCCTGCAGCACTGGTTCCTCTGGAAGATGGATCTCCGGTATCTTTGGCGGACTCCTGCAGAAACATCAGTAAAAGCAACCGTGAGCAAGATCCCTGACATACAATTAAAGTCTTCGGTAAAACAATCCAAGAAACCGAATGCAATAAGATCAACTATTGGTTAGAATCATAAGATCTTACTTGTGGATGAATGTATGGGCATTAGACCACAAGAACAACAGAGCAAGTGAGAGTATCAAGGTGTGGCAGACCAAGGTCAGCAAGTGATATTCAACCAATTCAAACAGAACCCAGATTAGGGTAGCACCACCAAGAATGATGCCAGTAGACTTCTTGTTTCTCCACAACATCACATCAGCAGCTGCATAAATCGCGGCTCAGCCAAAAATTCAGACCAATAATCTTGGAAGTTGAGAGCATGTACATCGATGTTACTCAGATCTTCAATGCGTCAATTATAAAGCTTGAGCACTGTTCCTATGTTTCTTTCTCATTTCCTATCAGATCAACGATATGAACATCACAGCATACCTACGCTACGAAGAAACCAAACAGACAAAGCAGACCGAGCTGATCTGAAAATCCAACTGATTTTCCTCGGTCTGTTTCAACTAAAGCTACAAATCAAGCTTTTTCTAAACGAAGTATAACTCAAAAGAAATCGAATCGCTTGTCAATCAGTGAACTTAATCTGCAATGGCAGTCCAGCTGCTTACCTTTGCCTCCGCCGAGAACGTGGTGAACAGGTCTCTCCCTACCAAACAACCTGAAAATCTTCTCCTTCACCGAAGACGGCGATTCTGTTGCCTTCTTCTTCTTCTCGGAATCGGAATCGGAGTCGGAGGAAGAAGAGGACGACGAATCGTGAGAATGGATCTTCTCGCTGATCTTGTCCATCACGGACTCAATCGGACTCTCAGAATGCTCCTCCGCCATTGCAGTTAGATCTACGAGACCTTGGATCCAAAACCCTAGTAGCTCTGAGCAGAGAAGCAAGTTGAAAAGGGAGCAGCAAAGCAAAGGAAGTGGGAACACAGTGGGAGGGGAATGGCTCTCCTGCAGTGTGCAGATTATAAATATACCGTAGAAAAGAGTCCGAGGCTGAGGCTCGGAGGTTGGCTCGGGTAGAATTTGAAATCTGACGACGTTAAGATTCCCGAGACCCGAGGAGTGACGACGTTTAGTTTGAGAAAGAATTAGAGGCGACGCAATTGCTTTATGATGACTGCAGAATATAATGGGGACGGACGGTGGGGATGGATGTCATGGAAAGGACCGACCACAAAAAGGCCGACACGTGGCGATCGTGAGTGGAAGGATCGGCCGAAATGGACGGCCACCACTTTTCTGTGAGAAATCCCTGTCATTAGGGGAAACAGAGTGTGTTTAACAAACAAACCAGAGGTGGATCCGCTTTGATCTGTGGAAAGTAATCTCCCTACTTTTTTCCTGGCCGCATACCAAACGAGACCTAAATATAATTAGTTAATTACATTGCCCGTCATTAGACCGGGCAAATTACAATTCGATCCATTGACCCTACCCGAAACCGCCCGAAAACTAGAGATTTTTGTAACCCGAAATTCGAATGACTCAAACCCGATAACCCATGATTTTTTGGGTCGGGTTGGGTGAGTTAGCGGGTCGACCTGTTAGACCCGTTTCATTTAATCCGAAAAGTGTGTTCGTTAAGAAAATATGAAACATGTTTGATATTGTTTCTGAGAACGCTCATAATCCGAAATGACCTGTAACCCGACCCAAAACCAAATGGATTGGGTCAATATTTGACCCGAAATAAGCCAATCAAATATGACCCGAACCGTAACCGAAGTTCCTAACCCGAAATTACCCTGCCCAATTGCCAGGTCTACCGTCATTGTACATTTCATCCTGGGCCACAGATTGAGAAATGAGAAAGACTACCGCTTAAATCATCCATTTGAACAGCCCACTCCATCACCAGCGATTGCTTAGGCTCAACGTTTGTATTGGGCTTTATCAACAGATGCCTACGGCCCAAGAAGGGATTCCAGTAAACAGTCCGAAGCCCATGGAGCGTCCGCTTGCAGTGGCCTCTTTCTTCCACTCGCGTTTTTTTTTTTAACTTAGGTAGCTCTGTAATAGGTAGGGAATTACACAAAGTTGAAAAATAAATAACGGAAATCAGCCAAGTGCTGATTAGCCGATGCAAGAGCCGTTTTTGTCACGCAATGGGCAGCCATGTTAGTCCTACGAGGAGAGAAAACAAAACGAATAAACGTGAACGCGGACTTCAGCACTCGAACCTCCTCAAGGATTGCTCCACCACGATCATGCTCAATGATATTTTCCGATACTCGCCGGATCACCAATTGCGAATCACCACAAAAGCAAACAGAAACAATACTTCGGGTTAAGCACCAATCCATTGCATCGCGTAACGCTAGTAGCTCCATTAAAAAGGGATCAGAAATACCTTCATAATACTTGCCACAGGCATAAATGGGTGATCCCGCTTCTGAGAATCCAACAAAGCCTATGCTGCCCCCCTCTCCATGTCGCGTTGCGCCATCAAAGTGAATCAACACACCTCCTGCCGGACAGGATGGAGACGGCGGAGCAGGTCTGGGGCGGCCATGAGAATTCCCTCCACGTGAGCCGGAGTTAGTTGCTGCTGCCCATTCATCCTGCTGCTGCCGAAATTGCCGAACTAGAGGGCCTGGGAGATACTGCACATGGTCATAGCAAGACCAACACCGGGCCTTACATATTCGCCAAGTAAGGAACACTAATTCCGCCATTTCCACTTTGCTCAGCTGCAACGAGTTGAAGATATGGGCCCATGCCAAATCGGGTGACAAGGTAGCTATTGACCGCCGAACCTGCTCATGTCCAGCGAGAAACCAAATCTCCCTAGCCACCCTGCAATCAAATAGACAATGAGCAACAGTTTCTATTCCTCCAGAACAAACAGGGCAAACTCCTGAATCACTTAAGGATTTAGACTGCAACACATCCAAACAAGGCAGAAACCCCCGGACAACCCGCCACAAAAAGAATTTTAACTTGGGAGGAACCAGTAAACTCCACAAAGTTTTCCAGAACCGGGTATCGAGATGAGGGGGGAGGTTGTTAAACATCTCCGATCGCTCTTCCGAAAGCAGGTGGTAACCTGTCTTTACTATTTCCTTTTTTTTTTTTTTTGTAATTTTAATTTGGTGGTGAAATGCTTTCGTCCGGTCATCCCTTTCCTTTCCCCACTGAGTCTCCCACTTCCGCAAAGAGAATTAAATGCGGGTGGTCGCTCAGTTTCCCAAAACTCCTCCGCTAATTAAATGCAGCAGCTGGAGAATCCACCCACCACCACCACCCAAAAATCTCCATTCTCCATTTCCTTCTTCCTCCTCCGCCTAATGGATCCACCTCCAATTTCCACTCCCCCACTTCCTTTCAAATGTCCTCCTCCTCCGCCGCCGCAGCCGCCGCCGCCGCCAGCGCCGTCCCCACCACTCCCTCCCCACCAATCATTCACAATTCCCCAACAACCCCTTCCAATTACCTCGCGAATCTCGGCCTCGGCTACTCAATCGCCATTGCCCTCGGCTTCCTAGTCCTCCTCTCCACCATCCTCCTCGCCTCCTACATCTGCTGCCGCGTCTCCCGGAATCGCAACCCTAATTCCGACCCGAATCCGGCAGCCACCCGGACCCATCATCGTTCTTCCGATGGGATCATTCTCCCCCGCATTATCTTCGTCGCGGAGGACGACGACGACGACGGCGAGGGGGGCCATGGCCGGGACGGGGACAGCGCCGCTGTTGGGCTCGACCAGGCGGTAATCAACTCGTACCCTAAGTTTCAGTTCTCCAAGGATGCGGCTGCTGGCGGGAATAACGGTGGCGACGCCACCTGCTCGATCTGCCTCTGCGAGTACAAGGATTTGGAGATGCTGAGGATGATGCCCGAGTGCCGCCACTTCTTCCACTTGTGGTGCATCGACGCCTGGCTGAAGCTCAACGGATCTTGCCCCGTCTGCCGGAATTCCCCTCTCCCGACCCCGCTCTCCACGCCGCTGTCGGAGGTCGTGCCCCTGTCGCAGTACGCCGCAGATCGGAGGAGGCGGAGGTGAATGAATGGCGTTTGGTTTTTGAGAGCTCATTTTGTAAATCTTTTGGGCCATTTGTCATTTGTGGATGTAGGAGTTTCCAAGATAATCGATAGAGTAGAGAGATCGTGATTCGGGTATTTTGGTAGGCAGATTCGCAAGTGTAAACAAAGTCGAAAGGGAACACCTTCTCTTTTGGATTTCGTTCAATTGGAAGTTGGAACTGTAAGAAAGATTTGATTTTTCCCCCCTCCCTGCTTCTCTTAACTCCATGAATTGTATAATTTCTTAGCATAATACTCCATTGGGGAATGTCCTGCAAATCTGCCAGAAGAACACTTTGCTTCTAATGCAATCTCAGTCTTCCGAGACGTTATTTGGCGGGCAAGTGGGAACTGGGTTGCTCATAACTCGCTCAAGAAGAAGCAATCAGCTGCAGAAAAGGATTGATTAATAAGCAGGAAAGAAGGTGGGTATCTCCTTTATTTGCTGATAACGTTGTCAGTAAGCCGTTGACTTGATTGCACACTATTAGTTTACTTGTTTTAATGGTGGTGGAATGGAATAGCGTCAGGATGGAAGCTAGTGCTCTCAAAGTTGAAGAAGCTCGGAGTTCGACAAATCACGGATTATAAAATTCAGGGGGTGATTTCAGAACTCGGATCTCGAAAATCTTTCAGCATCTATCTCCTTGCAACCAGTCTTCCAGTTTTTCAGGTGCTCTTTCCGGCCGAAAGTTCTCTGCTTTTCCCAGTGACAAAATGCCAAAACCCAATTGTTGCCTCAAGCTATTGGGGCGATGGAATGGGTTTCACAAGTCAATCTTTATGCTGATCATCTTGGTGATTCTGTTATCCATCGCCACCCTGTCCAAGTTCTACTCCATCACATCTCTCTCAATCTCAGACACCTTATGCAGCCGGGTCGTGAACATCGAGTCCTCGAGCAGGTTTTCTGCTGCAGATGATGGTTCAAGAGCAGCTCTGGAGACGGTTATCCAGAAAATCCGTGATGAAATGAAGGAGACAGGGGCTGCTGCATCAGTAATTCCAAGCTCAAGGTACAATGCTTTCCTCGGCGAGATTCTGGAGCTTCTTCTCGTCCAATCTCTGGCTTCCCCTGTTGAAAAAACAACCCAAATCCACCCCCTTGCGATGAGGCCGAAACACGACGAAGCAGCGGCAGAGTTCTTCCTGATCGAGGAGATTCGCAAGTACGTGAGGATCAAACCGAACAGATTGGGGAAGCAGAACTTCATGGGAGCCAATGGAACTTTCACCAGCATCGGTCACGCCTGTTTCGCAATGAAGCAGGATCTGGAGGAGTACATGGACTACGACGTGGGAGAGATCTGCAAGGACGATTGGAAGCTAGCTCAGAAGCTGATGGTTCACGGTTGCGACCCCTTGCCACGGAGGAGGTGTTTCTCCAGAGCTCCACAGCTCTACATCAAGCCGTTCCCCATAACCGAATCGCTGTGGAAGCTCCCCGACCATCGAAACGTGCGGTGGAGCGGCTACAGGTGCAAGAACTTCACCTGCCTGGCGGCGAATGGGACTCGAAAGGGCTTCTTCAAGTGTGCCGATTGCTTCAACCTGACGCACCACGAGATGCCCCGATGGATGGAGCTGAAGTTCGATCCCCAGACGAATCAGACAGCGGATATCCTCATCTCGGACGTGCTGAGCATCAAGCCAGGGGAGGTCAGGATCGGGCTGGACTTCAGCGTCGGGACGGGGACGTTTGCAGCTCGGATGAGGGAGTTCAACGTCACCATTGCCACGGGGACCATCAACCTCGGAGCGCCATTCAACGAGATGATTGCTCTCAGGGGGCTGCTGCCGATCTACCTGAGCATAAACCAGCGGCTTCCGTTCTTCGACAACACGCTGGATTTGATACACACGACGAGGTTTCTCGACGGTTGGATCGACTTTGTGCTGCTGGACTTCATACTGTACGACTGGGACAGAGTTCTGAGGCCCGGAGGGTTGCTGTGGATCGACAGCTTCTTCTGTTTGAAAGAGGAGCTGGATGATTACTTGGAGTCGTTCAAGATGCTGAGGTACAGGAAACGGAGATGGATTGTGGTTCCGAAAGTGGACAAGGATGATCGAGAAGTGTTCTTCTCCGCTGTCCTGGAGAAGCCACCCAGACCCTTTTAGTTTTGGAGCAGTGTCTCAGACTCAGAATGTGTGCTCTGTAGATTCCGGGGTTCTTGTTTTCATATGTCACAAGTGTCACTGGTGCACAAACTTTCTCCTTTTCTGTTCGTAGTTCGTCATCAACCAGTTATACATATACTGTCTTTCCATTGGATTGGGCACATGCTCCTATTGCAGGTTGACAGAAAGGTTTGCAATCAGCGACGGATCTGGGATAGGGTAGAGTACTGGGCCATCTTTGAAGAAAGACGGAGAGGGTTGGACCGTAATGTGAAAAATACTAAAACGAATATAAAAAATCGGAAATTACAAGTGCTATACTAGCTCGAAATCCAGAGGAGGGCTGGGCCGCAGCCCGGGACGCCCCCTGGATCCGCCGTTGTTTGCAATGTGTAATCAATCAATTTAAATGTTGTAAATTTGAGCACCTAGCCTAGAACTTGGTGATCATTGAGATTTCGATTGTGAAATGTGTAGAATACTATATGGAGCGAAATGGTGCAGGCTGTGACGATATTATTGACGATGTACTACTTGTTCGACCTTTGTAGTTCGACCTTTTTAGTTAAGATGAGAAATGTAACTGAAACCAATAATTTCATCGAGACATGCATACTCTCTTGCAAGTTTTATTCACCTAAACAGGACGAGCTACAAACAACAAAGCACAGAGATACAACCACATTGAAAACCCTACTTCAAACCCAGATCCACCACATGATCTTGCTCTAGCTCTCACTCTTCGGTCTCGTTGGACTCTTTGGAAGAGAAGAAGACATCAGAGAGCGTAGGGAGCTTGATCTCACCCTTGCTAGTTATAGGAATGGTGAAGCTGCCAATTATGGGGAGATCAATGATAAGCCCAATCTCCAGTTCATAGTCGATATCCCAATCTTTGGAAATGTCGACCACCAAGCTGACCAGCACGGTGTGCGCCACTTTCACTATCACATCCAGATCCGTCTTCCCGTTCGCCTTCAGGCTCCCTGGGTCCGGGATCGTCCCATGTGCAATCACCCTGCAACAACAACAGAGACCAAACAACGTATATATGAAAAAAAATTTGCTCTGTTTCACCAGAGTCCTCTGTTTCTGCTCTGTATTTTTTTTTTTGGTTATGAAAGGAAGATGGTTTGAGAAGTGGAGGAGAATCAAAACCTGGCGCCGCTCTTGAGGTTGTAGGAGATCTCCATGATTGGGATTGGAGTCGGGTAAGGGTTGTCGACGGCGACCTTGGCGAGGTATTCGACGTGGTCGAAGCGTACGCCTTTCAGATCCACGTCGGTGACGGTCGCTTCAGGGGTTTTGACGGCCGACGCCATAAAGTCCTTCGCCTTCTCCAGCAGACCCGCCATTAGTTGAGAGCAGCAGCTTTGTAGAGTGTATTACTAGTTATGAATACAGAGTATATATTTGATTTGATTTATATAGAAGGGAAAGAAGGTGAATTAAATTATGACTCTCTTCCTCCTGATCAGCTGTGAGCGTTGATCTGCGTCTGGGTCGTGGGTTGGCCGCGTAATGAGATCGCTGCTTCCTTTCTTACTTTACGAGAAAGAAGAAATGGAGACACATTTGAAAAAAAATCTTAACGCGTTTTTAAAAGAATCCCAGAGAGCGAAATGCGTAGACTAATGGAGGATACTCAACTTTGAAGCTAAAAAAAAAATGAAAGTAATGTCGACATGTTCTCAAGTTTTACTGTGCTTAGGATTAATTTTGTGCGGATCATGGTTGTCAACTTGTCATGCGGGTGGCATGCCACCCGGTTGAACCTGGTTCAATCTGTGCCGGTGCTGAAACCGGCATGACACCACTAGTATGATCGGTATGATCGACTTACGCATTCTAAGTAAAATGACATCATTTTAATGAATTTAATGAATAAAAATAATAATTTATTATTCATTTTATGAATGTAATAGTTAAAAGTTGATGATATTTGTTGGATTGTAACTAAATTGTCCACAAATATGTTTTATATATAATTAAATACATTGGATATTAATTGTTTTCACATTTTTTTAGACCGGCATGAACTGGCACAAACTGGTTATATCACCGGTCGTACCATTCCACTTGCCAAATCGACACAACGGTATAAACCGGTTTGACAACCTTGGTGCGGATGCAACGCTGACAAGGGATGCAAGTGGGATTCGCGCGATACGAGGATAATTTAATCTAATTGTGTCTACGGTCAGTCAAGGGGAGCCTATGTTGCACTCACCAATGCACACCTATTTCCTCATTAAATTGTAAGAGATAAGATCTCATTCATTTTCATTCTACTTTTTTCCCCACAGATAAATCACGTTAATTATTTTGAAATATTAATGATATTTACTTTAAATATTTTGGAGAAAATAAATGTTAACCTGCATTGTTTTATCATGAGAGATGGAGGTGGCTTTTTTCTAAAATAATATCTAAAATAATATCTTTAGGAAAAATAGTATCCAAATTACCATAGTTTCGAAAATAGTTCCTCCGTGTAATAGGTGTTGGCCTAATTGTGAACCAGTGTAAGAGTATCTTTTGTTGCGAGTTATGGGTCGACGCCGAGAGTCACTTCACTTGGGTTCAGTGGTACCACTGGTGGCGACTACTTTCTCGAGAATCTTGGGTCGACCTCGGGTCTACCCTATGCACCTTGGCGCCATCATCACCAAACTTGATCGATACTTCAGGGTGGACACCACCTACTGCACAAAGGTGGGGTGAACTGAGATCTTCCCGTGGAGACACTCCACCACATGTGGCTGGTTCGCATTGAGCGAGGCATCGAGTACATCGATGGCCTTCGACCTTCTGCTTTGCTTTGGCCTGTTGTGGAGGAGGCACCAGAGTCACCACATAGAGCACCACCACCATAACGTCGTCGTGGCCATCACAGGGGATCATCATCATTCGGAGTTGAACCATCTTTTTTCTTGGGGGACCTAGAGACCCAAGTCTCTGCCTTTGAGGGCCAGTTCGCGGGTGTATCATCCCAGATCGCCCAAGAGCTAAACGCCCTGAGACATTCACACCTCTTGATGGAGGAGCTTTCAAGTGTTCAGGGAATTGAGGTTAAGGACGAGTGGCAGCCATCACATGAGTGCCATGTTTGCACTATAGTACTTCCGCGTTCTTTCTCCCCACTTAGACTCTAGACTTTTTGTTCATTCTTTTCGTGTGTTGAACTAGTACTACTATTGCGTTTTTTATCTTTTATGTGATGTTGAATAATGTTATTGTGTAATAACCTCGCATTGAGTATGTTTGTGTTTGTCTCTTGTGAACCTCTCTCGCTCGAGAATGGTCCTTTTCTAGTTCAACTTTCACTCGCCAATCGATTCGGTAAATTCATTCCACCCTTCTCTTTGTTCCATTGGAGACAATGTCGTGCTTAAGTGGGAGGGGGTACATGTATTGGCCTGTGAATAATGAGTGTGAATATCCTATTTGAATGTGTTGGAGCCTTGTGATTTCCAAATTTCTATAATTTGAGGGCTCCAACCACCTGTGCGTGAATGAATGATGTATAGTCGATATTGAGATGTGTTTTGGGACCTAGATTATTGCTTGAAATTGAAAATTTTAGGGGTTCCGATCACAATTGTCCTTATCATGATCTTGCTTAGTTTGCTTTGAATTGTTTGATGACTATGATGGTGTGCAGTACATGGAAGAATGGTGCCATGAGAATCCTTGATGATGACTGGCTTTACTTCGATTTCGTCTTAGTTGTTTCGATAATGTTTATTATTGAGGTTATGACATATGTATGGGAATCCCCAATATATGACTCCAAAATATTTTGCAAAAGGTTCTCCAATTTGGATTTTTTTTTTTTTGGAAAATTGAGGTTCTCATGTGAGAGACAACCGGTCATAGTGTTTGAGTTAAAAAGTCGAATGGCTCTTCTCTCGGTATGAAGTTCCATTGAGGATGTGTTTGGGGTTCAGATTGTTTTTTAGCATCCCGATCATCTCTCGGAAAATTGAGGCTCGTATGGCAAGAGACAAAGTCTCTTTAAGCGAGTCACGAGACCTCGGCTCTCATTAGCACCTGACATGTGTGGCAACTCGTTTGTCGTTGAGACGAGGAGTGCAGGTTGAAAGTGGTGCTCAGTTAATGAATCAGACCATCATGTTTCCTACATGGGGCCAAGATACATAAGACAATGTTCCTTTCGCTCTAGGTCACGAGGGGAGATGCATTGATTTGAAAAATTGCAAAGTGGTGGCGTGCATGAAAAATTTAAGTTGAGGCTCGAAAATTGAGTACTCTTTTGAAAAGTGGGATCACCACCATGGAGTCCTTGCATTTTCACATGTTTTCTATGAGTCCCCCAGTGCACACGTCAAGTGTCTAGACCTCCTTAGTTGACAAGGTCCTAAACCGAGAGTGCGCATGACACAAAGAGATGGAAATAATTTCTACCCAACTTTGATTATTTTCGAGGCACCACCGATGATTGATAGTGCATACCATTGTTCTTGTCCTACAAGTTGTACTGGTTTGAGCATGTTTGCTTGGGGACAAACAAACGTTCAAATGTGGGTGGTTTGATTACGATTAGATTACACACTTTTGTATCCCTTGACTTGTTACGTTAGATGTGTTTGTACCATCATTCGATCTAGTTTACGCGGAGTTTGTTCATGTTTTGTCATGTTTCAGACCTCAGTATATAATCTTGGCACTGGGATCAAAATTCGGTTGGAAGATGATGAAAAGGGGAGCAAAATGGTTGAAAGTGCAGACCATGAAGTGGACAAGCAAACCGTAAAGTTTGCACACTTCCATGAGGTTTTGTATGGCTCATGGACAGTGTCAAGATCACGGTCTCCAAAATGTGTTCCACCGAGATCGTGATTTTACTGCCGACTTCATGGGCGTGATATGAGACAGCAGGGGCGGAGCTACAGTGATGGTGGGGTGGGCCCCGGCCCACCCGGAAATTGTTTCGGCCCCTAAGACCTTTACGATATTTAGTAAAAATTTATAAGTACAAATCGTTAACTATATTGTGTAATGCAAAAGTCATATAGTCTGATGGTAAACATGCTTAACTTTTAATTTAAAGGACACTGGTTCAATTCCTAGTGGTAGTACTGTTTTGCTTTTTACTTTACTGACTTCAATCATTATTAATAACCACTTTGAGAAAAATCCCTTCTATATATCCTAATATTTTGCTTTTGTTTTTTACTTTACCCACTTCAAGTCTTCATCATTTTAATTCCCATCTATAATTCCTTAAAATCAAAAGATAATCACTTTGAGAAAAAAATCCCTTCTACATATTCTTAAACCCAAACGAAACTTTTGACTTTGAAACTTCATTATTTTAATTCTCATCTATATTTCCTTAAACCAAACAAAGAAAAAACCACCCTTTTCATACTTTTTTATTAATTTTATTGAGTGATTTGCCATAAGTAATTATTACTTGATTTAGATTTAATTATTTTTCGGCCCACCCAACTTTGAAATCCTAACTCCGCCCCTGTGAGACAGTGATGTGTGCACTAGGGAGCTACATAAAAGAGAGCGAGCTGATTTGAAAAGATCGAGAGAGTTCTAGAGCGAGATTGAAGGTTTCTTCTTCTAGGCTTAGAAAGAGAAACCTACGAGCTAAGAAGGAAGGAAGGAGAATTTCAACTACCCAAGGTTGATTTCTTCTGCAATGATTGAATCAAGCATCCATGAAGACAGAGAAAGTACTTTGCTATTCTAGGTGTATTTTCTCTTCTAGCAGCCAGGCTTTTATTACACAGCAAAACAAAAAAAGAAAAGTGACGACTGATCACAACGCCGACCGACAAACTAAAACCGGCGTCACCAACTCGCGATGATATCGTTCACTTTTTGGAAGAGAAGACGTCGGACAAGGTGGGCAGCTTGACCTCGCCCTTGCTGGCCAGCGGAATGGTGAAGTTGCCAAACACGGGGAGATCAATCACCAGCCCCAGCTCCAGCTCGTAGTCGATGTCCCAGTCGCGGCCGATGTCCTTGACCAGGCTGACGAGGATGGAGTGCGGGACCTTGACCGGAACCTCCAGCAGGGTCTGACCGCTGGCCTTGATCGAACCGGGGTCCGGGATGGCGCCGTGGGCGATGACCCGGCCGTCGCTCTTGAGGACGTAGGTGATGTCGCAGATGGGCAGCGGGGTCGGGTACGGGTTGTCGACGGCGACTTTGGCGGCGTACTCGATGTGGTCGCGGTGGACGCCCTTCAGGTCCACGGTGGTCACGGCGGCTTCCGGTTTCTTCATGTTGGCGACTTTCTCGGAGATGTAGTTCTTCGCCTTTTCCATCACAAAGAGCTGCTGCGACGACAACATTTTATAGTGTGAGAAGTGAAGGAATTAATTATTATTATTAATTTGACTGATCAGAAGGGGCAATAGAAAAGAGTATTGTTATGCGATGAGTAGTGAAATTGAATGTGAAGCAAATGGATGGTTTGCTGCTGTTTATATAGAGGGGGCAGACGCGTGTGACCATAGATTTGGAGGTCAAATTGTATTTTTCTTGTTTGCTTGCAAAATGCGCTTATTTTCGATTCTTCTTTTCGTCTAACTCAATCTTTGGAATCCTTAATTGAACATTTGAATATTAATGTTATATAAGTGTATGTGAATTTTCAGTACTATATATTGGATCTAAGTACGACAAGTTACTTTGGTGTAATGTTATATGAGATTACTCATATGTTAGATGAGATTTGATATAATTTATCATCAGGATAAGTACAATATAATGACTCTTTCCATATTTCCGGGCTAAAACGGTTGACTCGTTAACCCTTGACCCACTAGCTCGACCGGGTCCCGGTTAACCCGCGGGTTGACAACCTTGGTAGGTAGGGATAACAATAGAGTAGCTCATAGGGTGGCTAAAAAAAAGTCTTTTCTTTGTATTCTGACTTGATTTGGATGGTTCGATTTTTGTGTTTGGCTCCGGTCGGAATTGTAAATCGTTGTCACCTATTATTTCTTGGTAATGCAAGCTATCTTTTCGGGGGGAAGAATCAAACATTTATGTCATCTCAGACAAATCATTGCGTAATTTCTAAATGAATTTTTGTGTTTGGAATGTTATTGTATTCAAATTCTTACAACCTAATTGAATTCGGATGAATTATACCAAAGCATCTCAGAATTGCTCCTGGAGGGTCATCAATTGATCTCCTCTGCTTCTCTTTGTAGTGGGAAAAAAAATTGTATTCCGTATAGCAGTTTTTTTCTATTGGAGTTTTCTCCCTTTAGTTTTTAAAAAGTGGGAGCCAGACTACAAAGAACGGGCAGAGTCGAACACGAGGAAAAGAAAGAAAGAAAGAGACTTTGATCAAATCCCAAAGGATGCACCGATGGAAGTTCGCGTCAAGCGGAGGAATTTGTGCAATTGGGGACCGGCCGCCGGCCGGAGGAATTTATGCGATCGGGACTTCCATTAGAATTCTCATCTCGTCATTTGACGTTGATTCGGATTCCAAGATCGAAAACCATTATCAGATAGATAGCAACAAAATTGAGTCACTTTTTCGCAAGCTTCGTGATTTTGGAGGATAATAAGAATTACCAAAAGGATTTGCGAAAGAAAAAAAAAACGACGGAGAAAAAGTAGAGGCATACCGTTGCTCTACGCGGAGATGAACGGAAGGGAATTGGATCGGCCGCCGACGGAAGAGGAGGCGGAGGCGGAGTTCCGTGATGTGGAGAGAGCGGGGAAGAAAGAAATTAAAGGTGCGTTATGGATTTTCTATCCAATTCTTCTAAATATGAGAAGAGGATTAGTTCATCCAAATTATTGAATGCCATTTCAAATTCATGGCGATAACTCTTACCCAAAAAAAAAATTAATTAATTAATGGCGATAATAATAAGAATAGAGGAATTATTTTCAGAATATTAGTATTACCTACCCTTGGGAGAGAAATCAGCAAGACCAATGTATATTATTATTATTATTATATCCTTTCCTATCCAGGCGGAAAGAGGGAAAGCAAAGAAAGGATGACGACAAATCGAAACCAAATTCTAATTAACACCAAAGAAAGAGGAATTAAATTAAATCAAATACTAATTAAATTACTAATCCTCCGTGGCTGGCTCTACTCACTTTCACCGGGCGAAGTTAAAGTACCAATCTGTAATTATTATTATCTTAACTATCTAACTTACGGTAATTCAGATTATACAGGAACAAAAATAACCGCCCGCAACTCTCTTAGGGAACCATATTCTTCTTTGTATACTAATTGATGTTCAAATGATTTGTAGAAAATGAACCTCCATCGAGCAGCTGACAGAGAAGAATTTGTAACTTCGATTTTCATAATTAACGTTGGAGATCGATTGAGGAAACATATGCATATACTATACATGTATCACCAACACCATCACCACTAGAGCAGGTGACCAGCCATAAAAGTGTAATTGTGAAGTGTGTGTATATATAAGTAGTTAATTGTAATTCTGGGTTTAGGGGAGACAGACATTAATTGTAATTAAAAATAAGCGGAGGTCCAGCGCGCTGATCTCCAGCTAGAACCTGCCGGCGGCGGCGGCGGCGGCGAGGAACTGCATCTGTTTGAGGAGAGGGGTTAGGGTTTCCATGAGCTTCTCGCAAGGATGGTTGTGGATTCCCTCGTAGGTTGTCACCACGATGCTGGTGTCCTTTGACAGCCTCTGCACTTGCTTCTTCACGTTGCATGTGTGGTGCGTGCACCTGTAGTAACTCCTGCATGCATGCCCGCGCAAGCTATTAATTAATTATTCAAATTCTTCCTCCATCTCACAAGCTTATACTACTATATACACCACAAATAATGCATCATGATTTTTCATATATTGCAAGCCCATCATAAGTACATTATTTATCTATTTATATATACCCACAACTAGCTAGAGTATTAGATCTTACTTAATATATTATCATGAATCAACTTATCTCAATAACTCTAGTTATTGGGAGAGGTCAATGCAGGGCCGCCAATGCTCATTTAGAGAAGAAAAAAATTGGTACATGTAATTTTAGTTGAGGTGAAATTGAAAATGTATCCAGTGCATAACTTACATATCAATAACATGACTCTACACTTATCATTTGTGTAAGACAACTAACTTTTAGTCCTAATTAGTTGTAACCGTCTATGTATCTTTCATTTGAAGCTGAAATTAATTGTTTTTTTCACAAATAAATCAGATTGATTGTGTTCTTCAAAATGACATTCATTTTAATATATTTTAAAACAAAAATTGAGATATTTATTACTAGTTAATACCATGGTGGTAATGTTTGATCGTGCATAAGATTATACCATGTAGTATAAATATACCATTGTGTAGAATGATTGTATACATGATATTAGGAATATATCACGTTTAGCATAAGTTCAGAATTAAATTAAATCAAAAGTTTCCAACTACACCCTTATTAATTTTCGGTAGAAAAAAACATTCATTGAAAATTCATCTTCTAAAAGACGCAAGTGACAAAGTTATTATCCAACCAATAAGGCAAAACTAAAAAAATAAGTTAAAAAAACTAGCAAACAATTTAAAGATCCATCTTCTAAACAAATAACAATTTAATTTTTGAACCCTTTCTAATAAATTATTTATGTTATGCAGGCTTTGTTCAGGTGTGGCTATTGATAGTGTGTGTCAAGAGTTTGGTGCGTTATATCTACATTTACTATGTTTCCAATATTCCTACTCAGCTACATATTTCACTAAGAGTTGTTCTTTTCCAGTTAGACGATGCCTTGCAGCAAAGCCAGGGATGTTAAAAGCTCCACCTAGCAAAAATTTTGCAGAACGAATGAGGAAGTGTCGCCAAATAATATATGTAAAAGTAATTAGTTAATAAATGAGGATAATTTTATGATAATTAGTAAAATACTTGTGGGATCCATTTAGAAAATTTCATCTCAATTCCTCAGAATTGCTATAAGCAGTTCCAATTGTATAGAATTTGAAATTTAGAATTGAAAAATGAATTTTTTTAAATACCAAACACGCAAAAAAAAATCAATATGAATTTATTAAAAATTAGGAAATTTATTTATACGAAACGGTATGTTACCATCACAATGGCTTAAACCTTTATGAAATTTCTCTGTTTTTAGTTTTTTTAACGGTTTCGTTTAGTACTTTCATTGGGTGTAAAGTTATCATATGTTATATCATCATATTATACTAATTCTACAAATTAAAATTCAAAATCCGACTCCTTAATACTAGTTTTTGAGTTGGGTACATTGAACGCACTCATTTTTGTGAGTGCGCCGAAGTAGTCACCATATATATATATATATATAGGTTCAACATTAAAAATTCAAACCTCTTTGTATATATTGATTATTTCATGGTGATATAGATTTACTTCAATTTTTGTTTAATTACTATTTAAATTATTCTAACATGATATTTCCAAGTTGAAAGCCACTAAATCAAGCAAGTGATCTACTTTGGTCATAGAAATTATCGGAAGTGCAGGCTTTTAATCAAGCAGCTGGGAAGCTATTTGGTCGTTATAGGTGAAAATTAGTTGCATCCTAGCCCTAACCCTATTTATCTTCTCTTGGTTCACCAATACATATATTTTTTTTTAATATCGGTTAATTGCCCAGCTTACGTCCGGTCTGGGCAATATCTAGCTACAGTCGGCTCACCTACTTAAACTGGTCTTTCCCTCAAATAATAATAGTTGTTATTAAATATATTACTGACAATTTTCCATGCAACGTGTAAGGAGACAAAATAGATAAAAAAAAAATAGTGATTATAGTAGGAATTAATAACGTACCTAGGATAGGCGCTGTTTTTGACGGCCTTCTGCCCGTACTTCCTCCAGCGGTATCCGTCGTCGAGAATGTCGTCGGCGCTCCTGGTCTGGAAAGCGAACCTCGGCCTCGCCGCCGATTTCCTCGACCCACCGCTTCGACGATGATGGGGATCACCGCCACCATTCCTCGCGTTCTCTCCGTTGTTATTACACCCACTAGTTGTATTCCTTTCCATCATTAATCCACCACCTCCCGTTGCCGCCGCCGCTTGCTGAGCCCTATAATCGTAAAGATCGCCGGTGGCGAGTAGCCCCTGAAGTCCGCCGCCGCCGCCAGAGAGAAGACTGACCCAGTCGATCTCCGGAAGAGCATGCGGTGCAACGGCGGCGTCGTAGCCTGCAGGAAGCTGAAGCAGTGACGGGTTGTTGGGAGCGTATAGCAGCGCGGGAGGAGGAGGAGGGTGAAGTTCAAGAGGTGAGGTGTCCGACGGCGGTGGTTCTTGACGTTGCCGTTCTTCCATTTTGCGGTGGAGGGGAAGAGAGGAAGGTGTGGAAATGAGTATTTATATATATGGAAAGGGAAAAGTGGCGGAGGGGAGGAAGGTGAAAGGAAGGTGGGGGCAGATTTGGGACACAAACCGAAAAGGAAAGATAGAGAGAGAAGGCGGGGGGAAGGGAATGAAGAAGAAGAAGGGGTTTAATTTGTGGGCTCAATTAAGCTGCAACTAAATCCCAACTACTTCGGTTCAACTGCTCTCTAGCTCCCTCCGAGTTACCCTTAAGCTAGGGGAAGACGTGCCCCTCGATCTCTGTACGCTTATCGTTACCGTCGATGTATGTACCTCAATTTCATCCGTCGCGCGCAAGTATTTTGTGTTGAAATCGTAGTTTAATATATCGTTAAAAAAAAGTCACATGTGCCAATATTTTAGACTAATTCACAAGAGGTTTCTATGTACTGTCGATTAGGAATGATGATGGGTAGCTAAGCAGATCGGGTCAGAGGTATCTCAATACCCCATACTCTTTCTGTGGCAAGGTGGGTCCAAGATGCTTGGCCAAGGATCTTGAATGGGACTATTAGCCGTTACGACTGGTAATCGGGGGTCTCGCTGCTTGGTCAGTGAGTGGGGTCCAGGGGCAACGGTCCGGCCCACGGTGTATGGGCTCAATGTTATTTGGGTTCGGGTTCTGGGCCTGGTCTGTAACCTTTTCTTTTGCCAGATTGGATTAGGTTTAGACCCACATGGAGAAGTACTATAAATACTTCTCATACTCCTCTGTAATCTGTAATCTCCTCGATATAGTGAAACTGGCTCTCTCTCGCCCGTTGACGTAGCTAACACACATCGTGTTAGTGAACCATGTAAATCGTGTATCTGTGTTTTTCGATTCTCGCTTTCGTATTCTTCCTTTATCGATTCCGGCGATTTCCCGATCCGTAGCAGCGCGTTTATAACAGGTATGTTGTTTTGGGACGCAGGTCAACCCATACGGGTATGGAATGTAAACGAAAAACACTGGATACATTGATATAAAGTGTACAACTACAAATCAAGAATGAGAAACAGATCATGTCGAGGACCATACCTATACCTTGTCCAGCTCCACCTCAAAACAAATCAAAATAGGTCAGGTAGGACAAGTGATGTGAAAAATTCTACAATCGACAAACAATAGGAACAAGTCATGTTCTTAAATGGAATATTATCGGAACGGACAGGAATTGGGGCCTTCTTACTTCTTAGATTTTCAATGATCAAAAGAAAAATAATAAAAGAACTGTTCTTTATTGGGACACATACGTCTTAGAATCAAGTAGACTATTTTGTGCAGTTTACCAACCCAGGATGACAATGGCGCCTACATATATGTCTACTTATTTATACTAGTTTCTTACTCGATTTATTGTTGGAATACAAAATATTTATAATGCGTATATTTTAAATTTTTTAAAATTATTTGAAATTTTTTATTTTATATGACATTAAAGTAATTTCAAAATTATTCTCAAAACTACTAAACTAGGAGGCCATGGAGAAAATATTTATTATTCCTTTGTTAATAACCTTTCATCAAAGACTACACTGCGGATGAGCTCGGCATACCACCCTCAGACTGACGGCCAGACGGAGGTGGTCAACCGCTACCTGGAGCATTATCTGTGTTGGTTTGTCCATCAGTAGTCGCGACAGTGGCTAGCTATGCTTCCGTGGGCCGAGTTGTGGTATAACTCTGCATATCACCGGGCTATCCAGACCACCCCCGTTCGAGGCGTTGTATGAGCGACCACCACCCTCCTTGGTGCGCTACCAGAATGGTGCTAGTCTTGTGGATGCAGTGGATCGATGGCTGGGGGCATGAAACGAGGCTTTGGGACAGCTCAAGGCCAACTTGGCGGCTGCGAACAACAAAATGAAGCAGCTGGCGAACGCGGGAAGACGCGGGGAGGAGTTCAGGGTGGGGGATTGGGTGTTGCTTCGCCTGAACCCGTACAGACAGGCTTCAGTCTTCCGGCGGGCGTACCAGAAGTTCGCAACATGATTTTTTGGACCTATGCGGTGCTGCAGAAGGTCAACCTGGTAGCTTACCGCCTACAGTTACCCGCGGATGCTCAAATACACTCGACCTTTCACGTGTCTCTTTTGAAGAGATATCGAGGGACGTCTGATCGGGTCGAGACTACTGCGCCATCGGTCTCGACCGATGGCGACCTGGAGATGTCTCCATTGCAGGTGTTGGATACGATGTAGACGAGGAAAGGCGACCGCTTAGTCGAGGAGAGCCTTATTTCGTGGCAACACATGGAGCCGGAGGATGCCACATGGGAGGAGATGTCGGTCCTTCAACAGCGTTTCCCGATCTTCGACCTTGAGGACAAGGTCGTTTCTGATGGGGGAGGGGATGATAGAAACCCGTCTAACGGGTTGGGTCAGTAGGGGCGGGATTGGCCGAATAGGAGTGACATATTTGTTATTTTGTGTTATTTGTCTAGAACTCATACAAAAAAGTTAAGAACACTCATTTTCAGATAATATCAAAATCCATAAATCCTATCTTTCCCTTATTGTTCTTCAATTCTTCTCAATCCCTAATTCTCTATCACTTCTACAAGGTTCTATCAGAAGTGAGCTCATTTTCAGCCCTACTCCTAGGGGCTAGGCCTGCAGGAGTGCAGGTACAACACAAATGATAAGTCTAAACCGTTCTTTTTAATTTGTATCACATGCCCCCCAAGAAAAGTTTGGTGGAATCAAGAATTCAATATAACCAGTTAAATATTTTGGTACATTGTGTACCGATCAGTATCTTTCGTTTCCGTCAAATGAAACAAAAACCCAATTCTGCAAGCCATGTTTAGGTTTGGATTTTGTAGCAAAATCTCAACACGCAGATAACAAGCTTCTCCGAGGTGCCTCTGCCTCATCATACGAAAACTTCAACAAAGGAAAAGATAACAATGTCCATCCCAAGTTGCAAATTTCAAAATACAAAAGAAAACCCATGTGCCCTTTTCCCCTTGATTTAAATAGCTTGTTGCTCAGGATCCACAAATATGGAACGACAGAGAAAGTTGCCCCAGCTTTTGACGTGTTTCCTCAGACGTCAGCAATACGCCTCCGGAAGGAAGAGACCTTACTCCTCAAGCAACCACTCCCAATTAGTTCACCTGTTTAAGAAACTTTCTGCTAACATTCTCATCTATTACCTTCTCTTTCACACCACTAGCTAAGAGTGCCGAACCTGCAAGGTAATGGAGGTCTACGGTCTCCAACCTTCACTAACAAGACATATCATGAAGTGTAAAAATTGTTATATTCCAAAACCAACCAACTTCAACTGTCTCTGACTACCACAAACTAAACGGGACGCCATTTTTATTCACCCACATGAAGCTTACAACGGCTCTCTGGCCATCTACTGACGAATAGACATATGTCGACTGCGAGGGGGACAAACGACATTGCAACCGTATGTGGTTGTAGTATCAGAACAAAGGCTTCTTACCATTCAACATCCCCAGCAGATGGTCCAACACCTGCCCACCTGCGTCTCGAAGACCAGAGTGCATGTACTCATTCGTTATCCATAGCCTAATCCCTGCGATTTTGGAGGCTGTCTCCATCGCCAGCTTGAAGTTGACGTACATATCATCATAATACACAGCAGCTGCCACCGGCACCTGCCAATCCCATCATTAAACCAAACGAGAATCATGGGAGAGCCTTTAGACTATTTTGAAAGGGCACTGGGACTCGTATAAAATACGTGAGCGGAAGAGCAATTTTCAGAGTTTTTCTTTACGAATTCTCTCACAAAAGCCAGGTAGATGGAATTTGAAGAACGTGTAGAACTGTAGATGGACAGACCTTGTTGCAGCTTAGCACAGCAGGGTCGTACAAAGGAGGCCAATCCTGCTTTTCAGCCAACAAATGAGCAACATCTTTATATTTCTTCAAGGCAAAAACTTCGTCAAACATCCATGGAAACACCATCTGTAGAAGAAATGTCACGTAAACAACATGAGAAACCTGTACAACAGGGCCCCCAGAGAAGATGGTCAAAATATTTGGATACCAGAACCTCTTTATCATACCCAACTAAACAATAAAGTGAAAATTATGAGTTACCAAAAAGAAAGAAGAACAAAATTTCTCTCACGTTCGAGAGGGTACCCCCTTCCCTAGTAAACAATATTCAAAAGCGCTGCTGTAAGCAGTTATGTTCTCAAGCACCTAACCTTTTTTGTGAGGACTTAGCCTCTTCGAATGGGAACAACTATCAGGTAATTCAAATTTCTTAAGAAAGAATGTTATATATTCTCACCTCTCCTGTGAAAAATACAGGGCGGCCCTCTTCAATGGATCTGATTGCATTGAATTTATCGTCATACTCCCCCCTTATTCTATGAGCAGACCACCGTGATGAGGCACCCTTGAAGATAATAGAAGAATTAATAGAAATAAGAATAAATTAGACTGCTAGAGAAATATATGTAACTTGAAATTTCAAAGATCAAACCTTGGTGCTTATATCACCTATGAGATAAAACGCATTAGTAATTAGCCTGGAACCACAACTGGCTAATAATCAATTTCAGCATCCTCAGAAAGAACCAGCCCATGTCTCATCCACTAGCATGGTCCCTTTAAACTAGACCTCTTCTATAATTTACAGGAATATTTGTGATACAACAATGATTAATTTGAAATTGAGCATTTTTACCTGACAGTATATTGATTCATGCATGAGAGCATAGAGTGGATTTGTACCAAAATCCAACCAATTGTCAAACTGCAAACATGAAACGATGCAGGTGAGCCAGATTCACCATGAGAACATAATTCTCAGTTAATGTACGTGATACTTTTGGTTTAGTAAATGAGGAGCAGTGTACTTACGCCATTCAAGAAGTAGTCACTGATTTGCTTCTTTGATCCCGGAACTATAATCGGATCCCATACTCTCTCAAACCTGGGCTTCAGAAAGAGCAGAGAAAGAAGAATTAGAGAAGAAGGCTCAAACTAAGGAGCAAAAAGTTGCAACTATTTCAGCACAATGTTTTGCAATTGTGACTTACAAATAATGCAAACGTTCAAAACCTGAACTAGATCCCAAACCGGAAAGACCAAGAGTTTGCAGTCCTTTTGGGGTCAGGATTCCCCCTGATGGAAGAGGCACCTATAGCCATAAAGGAATAAAGTCAATACAGTTACAGTGTGGAGTAAGTGTTTGATCTCAAGTTTATTCAAATGAATAAGATTAACGTAAGCACATGATCAGGATTAGCCAAATTAAATATTTGAGCTCCTAATACACTTAATTTTGGTAAATGCACACAACTCATCTGAGGTAAATGGAGTCTGGAAATCACAAGATCGTATTAAGAAAAATGGTTTGTGAAATCCTCACCCCGCCTCCTTCAGCATTAGCTAAATACTTCACAACTTCACGAACAACTTCAACATCATGAGGGAACCTTTCATAGTACTTTGCATTCTGATGAATAACCTGTTCACTGCATGCTCTGTAGACAGTATCTGCAGTGCAGTGATCCGCTACAAGAGGTATCCCTCCAGTTAGAAGCACTTGCTTTAGTCCTCGAGGTGCAAAACTCAGATAAGTCACTGCACAAAATCCACCATAACTCTGCATATCCAGAACGCGGAGCGATTAATGATAAAGCTACACAATGTTGATTACATGAGGAACAGAAAGAAGATGAAGAAGATAAAGATGAGTGAAGATACTGTCCAAGACCACAGAAGGAATATTAGGGAAGCTGCTAAACTATTTTTTTGAGGAATAGCTGCTAAACTATTCAAGTGTAGAGTAGGGATGGCTTAGTACAACTCAACAAGGACAACTATATGTATCTGATGCCCAACGCACAAACAATCATCCTCCGTTTAAAAATTAACCTTCCACAAGTACCTGGCCCAAAATTGTCCAAGGTCCAGCATCAGGAACAAGTCGAACTCGGATAAACTCAGCATCTTTCACTATATTGTCCGCACGAAAGTGTTTCAAGTACTCAACCACCTTCTCTGCAGAACCCAACTGAGACATAGATGAAGGTGTCAAGGGAGTAGACAACCCTGTTCCTCTCTGCAAGAAATACCGTTCCCAGGAATTGTAGAAATGATCATTACAGGGCAGCCGGGCTGAGGAAGGAACAAAAACACAACAATGCAAAAGAAGTCATGCCTGATCCATGAGAACAACACGAAATTCCTCGCAGGCCTTTTGTAGCCATCCACTAGCTTCAGACGGACGTGGACACTCGAAGCCCGGGCCACCTTGAAGGTACAATAGGTAGGGCAGCAATTGATCTTCTTTCCCCACTGTAACATAGACATTGAATCAGTCCATAATTCAAAGAATTGGCCTAAACTTATACATGGATACCGCACATCCACCCCCTGAACTCTCTTGCAATGTCTGTAAGATAACATGTTCAATTCAACGAGCTTTCTGCAAATTGATGAATGCGAATCATTGCAGAGAACGGTGAATTAAACAGGCTCGTAATCAGGGAAAATGAATGTTCATTCTCCATTTCATATATGTTTCAACGGAAGGGGCAGGCAAGAGAATCGATCCTCCAAATTCACAGTGGAAAGTGTAGTAAACAATGGATCAAAGGAAGTCAAACTCATAGCGGGAAATACATAACGAGGTAAATAAAAATGAGATGGTAAACGAAGTACCGCCTACAACTTCGCGAGCGAAGACAGTGAGCTTCGTGGAAACACCGCAATCGACGGAGGAATAGTCGAGGGGAACAGTGAATCGATGGTCGCGAAGCCGAAGTTCCGGGACGGAGTACCAGGGTCCAACTACATGCGCCGGCGGAGAAACGAGCGCGGATGGACTATCCGCAGCCATGGTGGCGAATCGGCGAGGCTTGACGCGGAGAAGACACCTAGCGGCGGAGGTGGCGACTGAGAGCGGCCGCGAAGTAGTCGGAGTCGGAGTAGGAGATGACAGGAGAAAAGACGAGGCGAAGAGGAGACGGTGGGACTTAATGAGGAAAAAAGGTGGCGCGTGCGCTGCCAACATCATCCTGGTTCGGTCCGTTCCCAGTTGTTTTGGACTCTCACGCTCTTCTTGCTTCACTCGGGTCAATGAGGAGAGTGACGTGGCAGTCCACTCCCCTATCCGCTGTAAAATATAAAAAGAGAGAGAGAACCAGAGAGATCGGATCAGGGTTAACCGGTTTGGTAAGTGATATGGCACAATCAACAATAATCGATTCATATTAGTTTATGTCGGTTTAAGTAAAAGCATGTAGAGAAATGAAAATCATTAACACTAATTGTTTGAGCCTAGAAAGTACTAAGCATGCGTTTATGCAGAGCACGAGTACGGCGTCTGATCTTGATGGAGGGATGCACTCCAGAATCCTGTGAAACAACCGTCCATGGTCGGTTGCCCAGGACACTCTCCGAAGATTAAGTTAGAGGGAGAAGTAAGAATATGTGTTAGATTTAGAGAGAGTGTACGTAGTTGAGTTACTATCAATGCTCTCATGGAGTACTTATACGCAGGCCGCAATTATAGGAGGGTCCAGGGCATTAAATGTCATGTTAGGCGCCCTAAACCTACTCTGCCTCGTGCACGGCCGCATACGACGGTAACTAATGCTAAGTCCTGCTTATACCAAGGTGAATCTTAGTCGATCATTGTTTTATGTCATGCGGTACTCTTGTCTTGTCTATGGGTGGCCGCCTAACTCTCCTTATCTGTATGCTCGTTGGGCCTGCTAACTCTTCTCCTTGGGCTTTAAACCCAATAGCGCTCAACCACGTGGGCCCATCACTAATAAATGATTCTAGACAAATTTATAATATATTTGAAGATAATCTCTTTAAAATTAGTATTCGTATTTAAATAAAATATAATATATAACATCCAAATGAAATCAAAAGATTTAACTTTCAAATTCGAGTAACAAATCAAATATTATTTTTAAACTAAATTTGATAAAATAATGTCAATTTGTAGAAATAAAAAATCTGTCATCCTAATTAATATCGGACTGTTCCAACCGATTTTATGACCGATACCGATTATATTGTCCAGCATACGACGGGTTTATCATCCATTGCTAGCATAACAAATAATAAACCAACCCGTGCGATGAAACGACCTGCTCAGCGGCCGTTTGGGGTTAGGGCAAAAGGCGCTTCGGCCTTCAAACAACACCGCCGCTATGCTATAAATCAAACACCAGATTCGCCTCCGCCGCGACAGACTAAGTTAGTACTGGGAAAACATATCAGAAACTCTTATTACGTTTTTTTTCTTCTTCCTGTTCCAGTTCTTCGCTTCGTGCTTATGTGGGATGGGATAGGTTTCAGTCTCTCTTATGAATAGCAAGCAATTTTGCAAGAGGGGGAAGAAGGTGATGAAACTTCTGTTGCGGACGCAGCATCCATATCTCTGTTTTCAAGATATTGGTTGCGATGAGCGGCGCTTTCCACACGAGATTTCTGATTCTACCTCTCTGCTTATTCACTTTTTTTCGTTGGTCGACTCTCTTGATCCTCCATTGTAAATATCAGTGGAGAAAAAAAAAAGAAGCGGATTTAAGTTTTTAACTTCGTGAGTTCTTGGCTTTCGTTTTTTCCCGGTGTTGAATTAACTCTGCCGCCAAGGCCGCTGCCAAATATAAGTTGCAGAGAGGACTTGGGGGAGTTAATTAAAATTGAATGGTTCTCTTTAGCTAATGGAAGAGATTAGCCTTAGTCTTATTTGATTATGAGCTATACAAGTATTCGTCTAGCGGAGATTTAGTGGTGCAATGCTAAAGAGATTTCTGATTGTTCGCTAACTCGAAAACTTACATTTTCTTATTTTGGCTTGTAGTTAGGTTTTCCCATGTTTGGGATTGCTACGGATGCACAATGGGGAGTTAATTAAAATTGAATGGTTCTAATAGCTTGAAAGTTTAGGTAATTAGACCATGGTCCTAAAGTTCCAAAATTTGGGGCTATAATTGAGAAAATCCCAAATCCTATTCTATTTCTTATTTCCATTCGACCAGTCGCTCCCTTTCATCGACCAGCAGCGAGATCTCTCCTCGTGGTTGGTGACTTGAGATGTTTGAGATTGTGAAAAAGGGTTCTATGTGTATATGAATGGATGAATAATGATATGGTGACTTGGGTTTTTGTGGAATATCTATCATATATTTTTTTCAACGTTTAATCTCCCTTAGGCAAACTACTAATCGGCTTGGGTGGTGCCTTCTCGTCTAGATAGCGACTAGCGTATTCTTGAACATTGACAAAAACAATGAGCACACAAGTAAACTACAAATAATTTGTACAAATTGTTGAGCATTAACGATAAACATCTATAAACCAAATGATTAATTGAAAGCTTCTTTCTCCTTGTCAACTAAGTTTTTTTACTCTCCACTCCTTAATATCAACTTCATTCTACACAATCAAGGAGAACAAATTAGACATATCTTCTCAAGCATAAAGAAGTTAGTTGGTCAAGGTGATATATTGCTTAGAATATTAAATATGTTGAAAAAATTATAACAGAACAATTTGACTCAGTTGTTTTATTTTGACACAATCTGGAAAAATTGATTCGTTTGACAACACAAAATTTAGATGAAGCAATTCTGCCCGGGAAATTTCAAACTGACTCGTTTTGAAACAATTATAATTGTCTTAGGTGGGGGCAGACAATTCGAATTGACTCATTTTGTAGAATAAGACAACTGGTCTAATTGTTTCATTTTTCAATTGGTCCATCCAAACGAACCCTAAATGTTTGATGGATGCAATGTTTTGATTCACACATTTGAGATGGCTAGACACAAAAAACCTCAAGCACTTGTTGAGGAGGTAAAATTGTTTGCCAAACATGCCCATGATGGAAGAGAATATGACCTACCAACCGTGGATGATGGTATTGCATTGATTGTGGATGAAAAAGGTCAGGATACTTTTGCACCGAACATTATTGTTCAATATAAAAGTTCTCAATTGGAGAGAATTAATCATCATGGTCCATCTTTAATGACGTTGTAAATTGTAATATCCAATTCCTTTTCTTTACAAGCAGGATGGATGGCATCGTAATATTATCTTTGATGATGATGATAAGGATAATCTTTGGAAGGACAATACATTGACGCAATGTGATTTATTTTGCCTATCGCCTACAGACAATATTCCATCAATCGAATTCAGTGTTATTAGTTGGAAAATTGTTTTGACAGTATGTGGTAAATGCATATGCTTTGGTGGAAGCTGAACGACTACATTGGATTCGAAATAACCCACCTAAGTTGTGTACGCATTATGTTAGTAGTTTGCTCGATGTCTGTCTACGAGGTGACTCTGATTTTGAATTAACTGGCAAGCATGTCATTTTGGCGGCTTCTCATACGGGTAGTCCACGATAGAGGCATAAAAAGTTCCAAGAGGCTATGGCAATCTGTAAGTGATTTGGATACCCTGATTTATTTATTACATTCACCCACAATGTGAATTAACAGATAGCTATATGGATTTCTCTTGTTTAGTGTGATTAACCACAAAACAAGCCATATGAATAAGTGTGCCCATTCAAGGACCCTCTTATGTGGTGTGTGATTAACCACTAGCCATTTTTTACTAAATGCAAAGGTTTGTGATCATTTATGTTAATTACCCTTCAATTATTAGAAGCCTAGGGTCAACACCAACCGTCATAACCAAAATCAAGCTAACCTTAGTTGCTACCCCAAGGGATCAGGGCTTTAGCCACAGTAACCATTTGCGTGAGGATCTGTATTTATAGTATTGAAAAACCCTACCGTATTGACGGTTCAAACATAATTTTTTTTTACCAAAGACTAAATTGGCAAACGATATTTAGCAATAGAAAACGAACACAGTTTCAACAAAAAAACCCTATCACTTACTTTTTCAATATAACCTCCGATACGATTTTTACAATCCTTGATATTTATCAAATCGGGGTTTTTACGGTAGTGATGGGTTAAAAGGTCATTTAGCAAGGAAATTATGCTGCCAATCAAGGTTCTACAGACAATCAATTGTTGGTCAAAACATAAACGAGTTACAGTATGGACTTTTCTTATAGCCCCTTTCCTTCACATCCCTTTTATTATCGTCACCGTTTTCAGAAACTAGAAAATTGTCACAAGAGATTTCCGGTGGAAATTGGAGTGACGAACACGGTCGCCATGAAATGGCCTCTAGTAGGCCAAACGGGCATGATATATGACAGCCATATAAAGGGCCGGTGAAGCTACAGTTAAGCTTATTCTCTACCATCCGAAACAAAAACCAGTATCAACTTGCCGGCACGGATGACTGACCGAGACAATAGAAAACACATTTTCTCCTAAAGTCCTAAACTTGCTCATCTATCGTTCAGTCGTGAGATTTACTAACCTTCTCAGCCGCCGAAGCTGCTGAAGAGGCTGCCTGGTCCAACCCTAACTTCTGTAACTCGTTCACAAAACCACCCAGATCAGCTTCGCTTATTTTATATGGACTGTGGTCTGGACCAGGAAACAAACCACTCGTCACTTCTTCCTTGTATTCCAGTAGTGCTTTGTTGATGACATCTCCAACACGTGCATACTGCTTGCAAAACTTTGGAGTGACCTGCAAAACATCCATACCAGTTAGTCGGCTCGTTGATTGGGGGGAACACAACCCTACAACAAAAAAGGAATGAACGAGATGGAAAAGCTATAGAACTAACCTTCGCATGGTGTGGATGCTGCATCATTCCCAAGAGGTCGTGGTACACAAGTACCTGCATCATCAACAATAGAACATGAAACGATGAAAATTGGAAGGCAAACCAGAACAGCATTCACACAAGAGAGATGATAGTCAAGTTATTATGCCCTTCTGTTATGCCCTGTGTATATTATGCGCCAAACTTTATGCATTACCTAACTTACAACCTTTCTGTCTGGTCATTGTAAACGATTTTATCATTCGAATGCAGAAGAGTTAGGCTACGCTGTCCTTGAGATTTCTCACAACTCTTCGTCACCACCTGAACAAAGAAACTAAGAAAGTAGAACTAATGCAACGTAGGTTCACAACACAGGATCACGATTAACCACCAATTTGGCACACTATGAATAATAGAAAATGGTCCACGCAGAAACAGTACAACTATGGAGGTCCCACGTTTGCTCTAAGACAAAGGATACAACAAGTGGGTACAGAAGCTACTAATGAGGTTTCGAACAACTGTTTCTGTCAATGCAGAGAGATACTCATCAACCCATTTCCAATTAGGGATTCATTGTCACACATTTGAGAATCCATCAAGTTCCAGCCAAATGACATGGTGTTGCAGTACATTGACACAACAAAAGCACAACAAGATCTAAATTAAAGCGCATTAACCATGGAAACAAACACCAAACTGTCACGAAATCGCAGATGACTTCTCTGGCAGTGAATTTAGATTAAGATACACGAACACCCGAGTAGTTTCACAAATGGATTTGACGCGGCAAGACTCTCAAGATTTTACCTGGCCACTGCAGAAAGGCCCTGCCCCAATGCCAATGGTAGGTATTCGGAGAGCAGAAGTAGCAGCTGCAGCCACCGGCGGAGGGACACACTCCAGAACAACAGAGAAACAACCTGCTTCCTGCAGAGCCAATGCCGTCTCCACAACCTGTACCGGAGGAATTCAAATCACTAACTTGGAACACCAGAAACGAAGAAACAAAGCAAATGATTGAGGGGAACAAAAATGAAGCATATGCAGACCTTGACGGCGCTACCAATGTTTCTCCCTTGAGCCCTAAATCCCCCAAGAACGCTAATGGCCTGAGGAGTGAGCCCTACGTGGCCCATAACCGCAATTCCGGCCTCCACAATCGCCTTCGCCGCAGTAATTCTCGACGGAGACCCTCCTTCCAGTTTAATTGCATCCATCCCTCCTTCCTTCAGAACCCGCACCGCCGTATCAACTGCCTGCGCTCGAAATTCAAACAACAATTGCTTCCCTACAATCACCAGTCTAATTGCAGACATTCGCGGGGGAAAAAAATAAGAAAATTCTTCCGCTCTGTTCGTAAAACTCCTGTCTCAAGGAAAGATTACCTGAGTTGTGTTGGATTCGTAGGTCCCGAAGGGCAAGTCTCCGACGAGGAGCGGGCGCTTGGCACCGCGAGCGACGGAGCGGCAGTGGACGAGCATTTCGTCGAGGGAGATAGGGAGGGTGGTGTCGTGGCCGTGGACAACCATGGAAGCGGAGTCGCCGACCAGACAGATGTCGATTCCGGCAGCATCTAGGTGAACCGCGGAGGGATAGTCGTAAGCGGTGACGACGGTGATGGGCTCGCCTTTCTTGTGCTTCTGCCGCAAATTGGTCAGCGTAACTCTCTGGCTAGGGTTCTGATGCTGCGGTCCGCCGTAGACGGTGTTCTCCGGGACATTGCTGAGGAGGCGGGAGAAAAGGAAGCCCGGGTTAATTCTGGAGGATGATCGGGAGAGTTTGGTGAGAAACGCCATTTCTGTGAGATGGAAAGACGAAGCGAGCGTCTTAGAGCACAGCCGCTTCAGTTGAATTTTTAAAACATTTTCAGTTTTTTACCATACAGTCCGGCTCACTCGAGGTCGGTCAAGATTGTCAAACCGGTTTATACCGTTATACAGATTTTACAAGTGACATGACTCGACCTATAGTACAACCGTTTTACCTTTCTTTTATGTCACTTTAAGCCGGTTTTGGGAAAATATGTAGCGAAGTGGCACATCATTAGCACTAAAGAACTTTGTGCAAATAGTAAAAACTAAAAAGTATGAAAATCTCTCTAAAATCTACTTTTATATTTAAATAAAATATAACATTCAGAAAAAATTAAATTTATCATATTTAAATTATTTAAATTTAAATACAACATTTAACCCCGATATTCAAAAGTTTATACTTGAGTTTAATAAATAACATCGACATGTAACTTTCAATTCAAGAAACAAATAAAAATAATAATTTTATCAATTAAATACACCAAAATGGTGTCATCTTATTAAACAGTGAGAAGATGATCATACTGGTCATATCGAAGTCATTCCAACTGATTTTGTAACAGATATCATCGTATATGTTGAGCCCGATTCTACTGGCATAACAACCATGGGGCGGGTGTGTGCAGTAAGGCATGCCACCGGCATAACTCATCTCCCGCCGGCAAGTCGCACAATCTAGCAACGACGCCTCTGCTAAGCTTCAAAAGTTATGAAACATAGGGCTTCGAACCCTACGACTAGCAGCCACGATGCCACCGATGGAGGGGACGACTCTAGAACGTGAGCAGGGAGTGGAAAGAATGATTACTCTTCTGCTTTGCCCCGAAAGAAGAAGGGATGAGAAGAAAAGGAAGAAGAGGATCAAAATCAGGGTGCTCGTACGGTCTTGTTGTCCGCGGATCAGACGGACACGTGGTGTTGGTAGCCGGTACGAGTCACCAGGGAGTAGTCAACCCCTGCATGGCAGAGCTCCTAGCAGTAAGAGATGCGATCACCTTCGTCGCCTCAAGATCCTTGATGCACGTGATAGTGGAAGATCATTACGAGGTGGTCGTCAACCAGATCCGGCATGGTGTCTTAGAAGGTTCCTTTGGAGGTCTGGTGCTCCAAAAGTGTCAGTTTGTATAGAGTTTAGGGCGGTTCCAAGACCCGCCAACAGTGCTGCCCATAGAGTGTTGTTTAAAGCATTGCTATTGTCTCTTCTAGAGTTGAGTCTTTCGACTTTATTGGGTGGCTTCACTAGGGCGTCGCTTGTTGACGATTTCTGAGTAGTTTTGTTTGTATAACTCTTGTTCTCTCTTGATATCACTAGGAAACAAATAAAAAAACGAGGGTAGACATTATTTGTAAATAACTCTACCGCAAATAAGATGATCCAATATTATAAGTTGAAGTTCTCTACTGAGTATTGATGGATCTGTGCTTGATGGGTTTATGAGAATTTTCGTCGCCTGGTAGCAGTAGCACTGTCTCTAATGTGCTATAGCCACCATTGATTACTCATTAATATTATTATGTTTTTGAAAGAATATGAGGATCATAACCAGAAACAGCGAAGAATATGACTGAATTCTCAACTAAGCCACTCAATCGTCTTACTACAATGGAATTTCTGCTTTGTTCCGCACCTTTCTTCTACAATCGAACATTTGTTCCATCACCAACCACACATTTGTTTGATCGTCTCTCTAAACAACAACAAAATCTCTGTATCTAAGCAACAAAAAAAGAAAAGCTTTCGATGGTCAGTAACAACAACAACAACAACGATTAAATTGAATAGAACCCATTTAAGCTAACTGTTCTCTTTTTTTTTTTTTTTTCTTTCTTAAAAAAGGGTAAAGTAGCAGGAAAGCAGAGCGCGAGTCGCATCACTCAAGTCTCAGAAGCTGCCGGCGGTGGCGAGCCTAGGGAACCCAAATCCCGTCGGAAAAGGCACGGAAAAGCAATCCCCCGCAGCCAAACTCGTGAGCTCCTCCAAACCCACGAAGAAATCGTCGTCCGGAGCATCCGGCGAGAATCCGCCGCAGTTCCCCGACTCATCGTTGTCCTCCTCGTCCTCGATCATCTCCAAATCCACCTCCTTGCTCTCCGCCGTCGCCGTGCCCTGGAGGAGGAGCTGCTGCTGATCGTCGTCCTCTGCGGGCGTCATCGGAGACGAACTGGTCGGCTTGACGTCGGAACAGGGCTTCTCCGACGGCTCCGATTCGTCGGTCGGAGAGGTCTTGTGGCGGGTGGTTCCGGCGAGGGAGTTGCGGTGGGAGGGAGCCGGGTGGCTGTGCTCCGCCGTGTAGGTGACGATGAACATTCCCGGGTCGGATCTGTTCCGCTCCACCTGTTTCCGGGCCATACAAGCCTTGGATGTGCTACATCGGTAATATCCCCTGAAGAAGAGAAATCCAATCCAAGGCCAAATTAGGAAAAAATCGAGAGAGAGAAAAAAAAGGAAAGAGGAAATTTCAAAATCTTAAACATCATCAGGCGAATCGGAGAATTTCTAGTACCTAGGGTAAGGAGAGCCTTTGATGGGTTTCTGACCGTACTTCCGCCATGCCCAGACATCGGCAGAGAGCGCCTCCGCCGGCACCTGGCAAACCTTCTTCACCTGGTTCTTTCTGTCAAAGAGAATAAAATATAACAAAAAAATTAGTTTATAATTAGAAAGAGCGGAAAGAGAATCGGAGGTGGTGCAAGTTTTTGGGTTTTCTGTTTCTTCGTTCTACCTTCTTTTGGATCGGGATGAACTAGGAGCGGATGCAGAGGAAGGAAGCGGGCGTTTGAGCGGCGGTTGGTTGCGGAGGAGGAAGGGCGGCGGAGCTGGGTTCGTTTGGTCGGCAGGAAATGGAGGAGAAATCAGGGAGGCGGAAGCATTCGTCGTCGGTGGCGGCGGCGGCGGAGGGAGAGACAGAGAATGATGAGATCTGGGGAAAAAGGGCTTGTAAAGCTCATGCAGCTTGTCTCCAATTAAATCCCTTCTCGCCAAATCCACGGGGCTGGCTGCTGCTACTGATGATGGTGATGAACTGAAGAATCGGGAGACTTGCTCGAGGCCGTAAGGGGTGAAGGAAGACGACGGCGACGGCGACTGAGAGTGGAAATCGAGCTGGAAGGATGATGAAGCGCTGTTGCTGCTGCTGCTGGTGGTTGTATTGCAGCAGGTGGGGATGGCGGAGGAAGAAGCGGCGGAGCAGCCTCTGACGACGGCGAGGAGATCCCAATCGTCGGCCATGGCGGGGATTGGGAGGGGACAAGAGGAGCGGCCGGTGAAGTGGTGGGTATGGGGAAACCCGTGCTCTGTCTTTGTGGTTGCAGAGGAGAGAGCTCTGTTTTTCGGGAGAAGACAAAACAAGGCGCTGACTTTTGCTTATGAGAGAGAAAAAGGAAAGAGAAAGAGAGAGAGAGAGGAGGTGAGGGGTTGGACTTTGTAGGAGCAGAGCAGAGGAAGAAGTCAAGTGGGGGGAAAACAATAATATATAGAACCAAGGAAGGAGAGGAGAGAATAAATACCTAAAAAAGTAATAGCTACAAAAAATAAAATAAAAAGCAGTGGGGTTAGATTATTTAAATGACCATTTTAGTGCTTGTTTTTTAGTTCTTGTAAATTTCATTCATGGAAAACAAAGGACTATTTTTTTCACCAAATCTATTTATTTCGGGCAAAATAATTTGGTATGGATTTTGTTGGGTGTATGGCTCGGGTCTAGACGCGCCAAGAAACCAGCACAACACCGACCTAGATTAGTTAGACGCGTTGGCGAGAACATAATCAAAGCCGCATCCACGGCCGCGCTTACGCGAGAAGCTTGAGCGCGAGGAAGCATCACTCGCGGACGTAAACTCAGGACGACCGAACGACGACGTTTCGACCAAAAGTTGGCTAGGGCATGTCTACCTCGAAACGGCACCCTGTCCCTCGAAGAGTGGTCACATCAGAGTCCTATGTACAATCATGGACAAGCCTCCTAGTCCTAGGTAGGAGTATGGTTGAAAAGGTCTGACATGACAGCAGTCTTGTCACCATGTAACTCACCCACCACCATGTAGCCTATAAATATGGCATTAACTCCGGTGGGTGAGGAGATCGCATCTTTCACTCCCTCACTAGACTTGGAAACAACTCTTTCTCTTTCTAAGAATATCTCTGTTTCTGGACCTCTTGTTGTTTACTCTTCTCGCCCTCTTTTCCGAGTTCACCTCCTACCCTCAGTTGGACTCAAACAGATTTTAAAAGTGAAGAGTATATGAAGTAATGTATTTGTGAGGAATAAAAATCTAGTTGATAGATGAAAAACAGTGTATTTAATAATAACATAGTGAGTGAATTTGGAGAAATGATTATGATATTAATGGGGTATCTTAAAATTAGATTTTATAAGGGAAGCGAAATTACTTTAACGAGAAGATTATAGATTTAAATACTTTGTGCGATTCAAAGTGAATAGTGTCTTTGACTTTGGGGGAAATGTGAACAAATGTATTTGTTTTTATCTAACCATGGATAAGTTTTGAGAAAAAATAAGTGAAAAAACAACCTCGTTATCTTTCTTCTTCTTTTTTTGCATAAATACCCAATGTGATATTAACTTCTTTTTTTTATGACGAGAAACACCCTCCACGATCACCACCTTCGGTGATGCCGTAGTCGGGCTAAACCCCGGGACTCCGCCAGGAATCTGGACAAATGCGGGGTGCCTCCGGGAACACCATGGAGGAGGTGCAGATCAAACCTGGGACCTCTCGGTCACAAGCTCACCTCCCCTTACCACCAGGCTATGTGACCTTTGGCGGGACCTTAACTTTGAAGTTGCACAAATAGGCAACTATGATTCCAACATTCAATAGAGAGAAGAAATATGACTCAACTTTCGTGAATAACAGACTGATTTGACCCCGATCAATATGTTGACAAGAACGCTACCTATTAACTCATTTTAGCGTTAATAACTCAGTATGAGTTTATGCTATGGCTACCACATATTTGCCACGTCAACCGAAATCAATTTAACTAAATTTATTTATTCACTCAAATTCAGGTGAAAAATAGAACTATATATCCATTAAGATCTTTGAGGCACAAAAAAAAATCATGTTTATGTTTCGTGATCAAAATAATTAGGCGTTGTCATCTTTGATGATCACTCCTTAATAAATTAAATTGGGAGGATCCCATGGCTGTTTTGCTTTTAGGTAATGTTAAGCATAGAGATTCGTAGACGAGGGAGACGAGCACTTGATAAAACTATTAATTATTATTTTTCATAAATAAAATAAAAAAGAGTACAAATAAACAATAAAAACAAAAGGTAAATTCTAAAGCAGTGTTGTGAGTGAGAAAGAAAGAAAGAAACAGAGATGGTGGTGGTGGTGGGCAATATGGCATCTCAATGCTTATCTTCTTTTTTTCCTTCCCCACTTTCCTTCTTTTCTTTTTTTTTTGGTTTTTTCTTTCGCGTTTTTTGCGGGTTGACCTTTGCAAAATGTCAAAGGGGTTAGGAGTTTCGTTCAAAGAACACTCAGTCGGCCATCCTACCCGCGTCTTCTGGTGTAGCCATCCCCACGCGTTACTTTTTGGCTTGTTTTCGAAACGGAAAAAAAACAGCGAGGCCGAGAGAGGGACAACAAATGGAGACACGGGGAAGCAGCTCAAACTCGCCGCTTCGATTTATGTTGACTTTCTTTGACCCTTGATCGAGGTATTGTCAAGTATCAACACTGTCAAACCGGTTTATTACAGTTATGTCGGCTTCGTAAGTGGGTATAGTCCGACCTGTAGTATACCAGTTTATACCGTTGATGTTGATTTTTAGTAAAATGTGTAGGGAAGCGAGCAATCATAAAGACGAAATGAATTTAATATATATATACACATACATATGAGCAATCTTCACAAATTTTACATCCATATTTTAGTAAAATACGTTAATACGACGTTCCAAATCCAAAGAAAAAATCTTCATAATTCACCAGGGAAAAATTCCTTGTATTTAGCATAACATTAAATGCGAACATTAAAATTTTTATCATTGAATTAAATAAATAAGATCAACATTTAACTTTTAAATTCAAGATTTTTTGTTTTTACTAATTAACTTCGTCCAAACGAAGTCATTTTCTTTAGAACTCAGAAATCGAGTATACCTAAATCATTCCGGTTGATTTTGTACCGATACCGGTTCAACCCTACTGTATTAGAATCCAATTTGTCTGTGCTGGGCATCTTTTCGGTTCCTCCCAACTTCTGCAGGGGAGGGCGATGGACTGTTGTAAATGGAAGCTTATCCTTGGACTTTACATATCCAACAAATATGTGAGGTAATGTGAGGATTTGATTTGGTTAGGAATTTATGGGTGTTTGGAATGTTTTTAGAAGTCTAAAAGATTGAATCAAATTGTATTTGGAAAATTGAAGGATTGTGCTGGGATCATTATAGTTCGGTTTCGAGCACTAGTGCATAATCTAGATCACCAGTTCTATGAGTCCGAATTAGGTGATTAACGCGGGTGGTTAATCACTTGACTAAACTTTTTATAATTCTTAGATCTAAACACAATAATCTAATGATTAAAAGTGAGAATAGCTTTTTATTTAGCGAAAGGGTTAATTTTGGTATTATGAAAAATTGATTTTATTCTATTTTATTTTTCTCTCTCTCGTATCACTTTCCAGCCATCCATTTTTTTTATTTTGACTAAATATGACATGTTCCAATAATTCGAGTGACCAAAATTGATATTAAATTTTTCTAGCGACTAAACATGACATAATTTAGTAATCTAATTGACCAAATGTGGCATTTACCCAGTAAATCGCTCTGGGCACAATGTCCTTGTTCCTCATCCATTGCCATTGCTGGTTTCTTTCTTTGGCACGGTAGCCAAACTCCCAAACCAGTTTCCTCGCAGTAGTCGGACTTCCTTTTTCGAGCAAAATGCCATAGTAAATAGCTTCCAGTACGAGGTTTGAGAAGGAACAAATCCAACAAATACCCAGAGCCAGAGCCCTAGTAGAATTAACATTCGACTAACTTCCAACTCAAACACACACGTATCGAGCACCGATCTAAAACAGCAAAAACGGACACTTTTTAGCAATGCGCAAACTTTGTGTCTACTCAGGCTCCTAATTATCAGTCATTTACAAAAGATACATGGAAAACCCATTCCGAGGTGAAAGCAAAACTGCAAGCCGCTTTGCCTAGAACAAAATCAAGCCTTGAGAGATTAAAATCTATTACCTCCACTAGTTTGAACAATTTACAGACCTCAAATCAGGAAATACTTGATCTCTAACGGGCAATCATAACTCTAGTCCGACCACACACGCAATCTAGTCAGCTTCGAAAACAGCTCTTCGTCTGTTAAGTTTGGCGTTCGCACATTCTGCAAGGACCGACTTCAGGCAATATTTTCCACCAGTACCCACGTCAAATGCTCGAGATAAAAGTAGCTCCCGTAGTTGCAGATGCTGGAATACAGGTTCTGATCAACCAGAGCTTGCAAACAAGGAGCTGAGTTTGGATGCAAGTTTTGCACTCTTGTAGTCATCCCTGAGCTGGATAAACCTGTAGGGAAATCCAGTTCATGTAGGCCGAGGAGAGCGTTGTGAGTATATATACACTAAAGCTGCCTTATTTGATATGTGATATAATTGACTAAACAGTAACCACGACAAGTAGTAATTAGTGTCAAGAACCAGTTGCTCCCAATAACTCGAGTTGTTGGGAGAGGTTCAATCGTGGATCATATACCACAACACTAACAATTAGAACATATAACTGTACTGGTACCTTTGTGCGTCTTTCCGGATACTGGGAGTACCCTCGAACAAAGAAGAGAGACTTTCAGGAGCCACAATAAATACATTGGCCATTCTGGAAAGAAATAAAAAGAGAGAAGGAAATATCAGAACAATGAACTGCAGCAAAATAAAAGCTTTGGAATGGAATCCGAAACACCATTGCAATGTAAAGAAGCAACTCACATGCCCAACAATTCAAACTTTTCGTCAACGGTAGGAGCGTTGAAGCTGCGGACAAATTCTCCGTACTCTGTTATATCACGTTTCAGCCGCAGGCCTCCACTGCAAAATGCAGTCAGATGGGTGATGCCATCAGGTTCAGTGAACAAAGTGGAGGGAAAACGTTTGTAACAGAAAGGTCACGAGGATTGTGATGTTTGGTGTGAGATTTTCAGGTACATTTCTTTAATGGTGACCACAAAATAAAGCTATATTAAGCTGGAGTTGGAACCAGTACTGTGATAAAAGACCACAGTAAAAGAAGTAAAACCCAATGAAGAACTGTGATCAACTAGTTCAACCTCACCAGAGCCCAGAAGAACAGACTTGCCACATTCTTCAGGACAATATATGATGTTTATTTGAAAATTGACGCGAGCTGTGAAAACACAACATAGCGGACAGCACCAACCAGAACCCCTCCCCTATCCTACACGACCCCCTAAGTTTTAAAAAAACCCAGAAAACCTTACAAGACTCCTGCTGTTGCTAAAGTTCAAAATGTGGTATAATATATTTTCCCAACATCTTGATGGATAGCATTCAATAACATTAATACAATACTTATACTTAAAAACAATATGACCACGAGATTTTTGGTTGTGAGCATTTGGACCGATGTTATTTGGGGTACCATGAAAGTGTCTCAGGAAAATATTTTTGTGGGTTGACAATGTCGCGCATTTGAGGTGCAAGTTCAATTACATGGCTAATCTCAAAAGATCTGGCCGCAGTACCTGGGATTGAAAGTGAACTTCTGCCAATGAGTAACCAGTCCTTTGTGTAAGCGATTCCCCTGCAAGAATAAACAATACCATTGTCAACAGATGTTTTCTCTTCAAATGATACAGAAAAATTGACCAAGAGAGGACGGTAAGGCTGCATCAATAACATCAGTTCCCTTTCCTCTTCTGACAAGAATATCTCAAGACCCTCTGCTGAAATTATATGAACCCGAATTACAGGTATGATACACATTTTACTCATTTCCTCCAAGGGCATTTATATCAAAAAGTCAAGTTGAAGCCTAAAGTTTAAGAGGACACAAATATGCAAACAAGACGCACAAATCTTGAGACTGTAATTGAAGCCACTATTAACCGTCGAAGCTATTGCTTATGGAATACCATACCCATGGAGTTCACATTACGAAATTATGGTTCGCAATTCAGAGATACACATTTGAAGTATAATATGAGGAGTGAAATATCTAGGCACTAATTCTGATGTCAGATATTTAGCAGTAACGGCATGGCACCAAAGCATATATGATTGCACCCAAAATGGAAATAATACCAAGCTCCATGTCTATCACCGTGCTCCTCCTCCCCGAAACCAATGAAGATGTAGTTATTCTTTACTAACACTTGCAGAATCAAAAAATATTTTCAAATACATCTCCAAAGATGAAATGGGCCTTACCAATTCAGTTAAGAAAGCTTGCTTGTTAAGGCCTTCCAATGCAGTGAAAGCAGACTCAAGGACACGTGAAAGGTACGCCACCACTCTGCAAGGAAAAGGAGTATATCATCAAAATACTACTAAGCTGAAAAGACATTTCCTATTTGGCGGGACTCTTCTTTTCGTAAAAAATTAATGAGAAGATTCTTAAGTTAACAAGAGACTGATAATGTACGAGTGACCTGGGTGAAAGGGTACATCAACAGAAAACGAAAGAGGAAGAAAACTGGAGGTGCAATTTGATTCAAAAGAAAAGAATACAGTTGAGGCAAAATATAGAAAACGGGATTGTTAGGCACCAATGAAATCATCAGAACAGATCTACATCAAGAAATGCCACAAATCCTGTTGGGACCTTCCTTTTCTTTTTTATACGAGGAACACCCTCCACTCCAAGGTCACCATTGGGACCTTTTAGCAGGGTTAAGGGTGAATTTTTTTATTTTTATAACAATACACTAAGAACCTGCAGGAATCTCCCATGAGATTTGACAGGAGAACCTGAAGGATAAATGTTACTCTAAAACAAGATCGTATAAAAAATGCAAATTTGTGCCAATGGATACGCCACCAGACTAAAAGTTGAAGACATGAACTTTTATCATATTGAGATCTTACACTGAACTGTTACAAGGAACCATAGTTCATGGGGATTAGAGATGCTAACTTCTCAACTAATTGAGGATTTGAATTATGTGACAAGATAATTGAATTCAGTATCTTCGTATACTGTTGTTTTCATGCCAAAGAGGAGTTCCTAGTTTATTCCATTTTACATACCTCGTGCATGCAGTTGTTGGACGATGATCAGGAATAATACCATCATCAGGTGACCGGTAATCAGTTGCCTTTTGTTCAGCCGAAAGCAATCGCTCAACCTGGAAACCAGATTGCAAGAGTAAGCTGAAAGAAAGAACCGAATATAGAACTGATATGAATAACGAACAGTAAAAAACCAACCCTGTTTGTACATAGTGAACAAAGTGAGGCAAAAGCCATTTTTACCTCTGCCATAACTGTTTCTATACATTGCTGAAGCCCTTTGTAAGCAGCACCCTCTGCACTCGACATAGCTGTTGCCATTTCTTCGCATGAAGAAGCATGAGCAACATCCACAGGTAGCAAGAGCCGGGATATAGAATTTGCGAAATACTATAAAAGAAAATCAAACCAATTTATATTGTAAGAAACAAAAATGTATATAACTTCATTTAGTGACAATCATATTTATTGAGCATACTTGCTGAACTATGGCAACACTGCTGCCACAACGTTGAACAGCAACCATAAAGGATCTGAAACTGCTCTCGCCAGCAGCTGCAGCAGCTTCTGCCTGCAAAATAAATACAATGATGAGGGGAAAATAAAAGTTCAGGCAAATTTTTCGAACTTAAATAACTAGAAAAATTAAGCAGATCTTGATTGACATTATTATACTATAAAGTAGCCAAAGTAAAAGAGTAGTTACAGCGGATGCAGCTGCAGCAGCCACCCTCCTACTAACACTTGTGCCCAGCACAAACCTTTCCCTCAAAGCTGCAGCTTCTGTCAAGCCATCTCTAGCACGTTCAAGCCCTTCTGTTATATATTGGCTGACCTGTAAAATGGAACCTAAGTAACTATGACACGAAACAGCAAAATTTGTAAACTGAGTTATGGTACTTACCTCATCTAGCAAGCATGTGAACACTCCTTTTACATTAGCAGCAAGTGTTGCTGGCTGCGGATCACATCGAACATATAATCAGTGACAAGCCAACACTGGACACGGGAAATATTACAGAAGATACCCAAAACTGTCACCTTTTACTCATTCACCGTCTTTGAGTAAAATGATCTTTGATCCACTAATAAATAGGCAGTACCCACAGAACCAGTTCAATATAGAGCTCTTGTTAAGCAACTATTATTGCATCTCCAAAAACTGAAAACCTTTTAAGCACCTATACGACTATACTCATGTGGGAATGCATGTAACCAACATGAGAAAACATTCTATTTCTCTACCCAAATTGATTGAGGTACCTAAAGTACTTACACTAAACTTAGATGTCTACCCATTCAAAATATAGGTGGCCTATGTAAAGGCGGGTGCAGAGAGACATAACCTGGGACGAAAACAATGTGCATCTTGATATTGCTTCCTCATTCCACCTAACAAATTCTGTCACAACAGTGACAGATATCTGCTGGTGTGACGATGCTACCGAAGCTCCTTTTGAACGTCCAATAGTCCCACTTCCCTCAGATACCTGGCCCTCAGCACGCAATTCCTCCATCTGTGTATAATAATGAATTAGCCACATGAGCCAGTTACAATGTCATTTGATCAACGAAATGGATAAGAACCTTTGCTTGATAAAGTTGCTTAAGCGATGCACTCTCATGTTCAGGATACTCATCCTTGTGAGCAGAAAACAGAGACTCCGTCAAACCTGTATAATAATGAGATCTTGCTATGAGAAACTGAAGGGAAAAACAGCAAGTAAACTAGGTAAACCTTATTCTATTTTGCTTTCAGGCACATTAGGATTCCAGAAAACAAAGGACTGATATCTGCTTCGTAATATTTAACTACAGCCTCTTAATGGAGGTTTGACTTCTTAAAATGGTCACAACCTTCAGACCAGAAAAGCAGGGAAACATAAAGCATGATGCCTCACCCTCCACATCCAAGTCACCACATCCAACAGCACGCAGGTCTCTAGCCAGCTCCTGTGTCTTTTCATATGCCACTGCTAGCATTCTAAGATACTGAGCCCTCAAGTCAAACCAAAATGAGAATTAGGATCTGTAACTTCAATCTGTCATAAACGTATGAGCAAAACAGTGAATGAGTAATTTCACTCACTAGCAAAAGTCCACCATCCTTTATAGAAGGTAAGTTCACAAGAGATGGTTTCACAAGTAATTTGTCTAGAAGAGCAGTAACTCGTTGCTCCAAAACTCTCTGCATGTAACAAGAGTTACCACAGGAAGAATAAATAAATGGAGGCATGCACATGATATGATCCAGAAGCAAGTAGCTTACTGTTCGTAGAGGAAAATGGAAGAGCTATTTGCCAGAATACCTGAACCAAAATTGACATGACTTCATTAGGAGAAGGGAATACAGCCATAATTGTTGCTGCTTCTTTCCGGACCGTATCTGCAGGATGGGACAAAAAAATGTAGCAGGTTTTTTAAGACATAACCATATAGCATTCAGATGAGAGTATTTTCCAAACCTGTGATTTCTTTGTACAAGGAAGAAAGGCCGCGGGCAACATTGCTAGGACTAACTTGTGAACCTTGATCGCCCAACACCAATCTGGTGTCAGCATTCATCACTTCCACATCGATGAACATTGGACGGGTCGCAACATAATGTTGCATGGCACTGGTGCCTCTGTTAAACTGCAATGTGGAAGGAAACCAATAACAAGGAGCATCAGAAAAGTCTACAGGATCCTCTGGAGTCTGGAGTAGGTTCTCATGGTATTCATAAACCAACAGCTAGGTTTACATTAGATGTTTCAGCTCATTTTCTAACGCTAACAATTTGGATCGACAAGTACACCCAATTAACTCCCATAAGTAGTATTAGCACAAAACTTGAATTAAAAATATTTTCAATCTCGGGTCACAAAAGATTACCTGAGACAATATTTTGGCACATTCTGCCATCGTAGACAATTCCCTTCTTTGTGATGCAGCATCAAACCGGGACAGCAGTCTATTCTCAAGTTCTGCATGTTAAGTTACCATCAGAATAATAAACTCACAACCATTAACATTTGGAAGGACAAAAGAGATCACATTGTTCATCCAAAGCTCATATGAGATATGCCAAGATGATGAACAAGGTAAATGAAATGGTTCATAACGAGGATCAGGGATTAAAATGGAACTATTTTCTGTAGTCAATGACGAGACCATCATGACCTCATAGTAATTTACATTCTAAACATGGCCACCTCATTCTAAGTTCTAGACGCAGAAGGATACCCTACTAACATTATATGATCACAAAGCTAAGTGAATTTCTCTTCAGATATAGCGGGTACCTTATGCAATTATAATTCTGCAGCAGCTAGATTACACTTCTAAACACCAAAAGCTTTCCAAATAATATGATAACAGATATGAAATTAAAACAGACCCAGGACCGCACGTACCATTACAGTAATCCTGAAGATTAGCTACTGCAACTTCCAAACCCCGGCTAGCTGTGGCGTTCCCCACAACAGATGATACAGAAATGCCTTGCCTTCCAATGTCTTCTTCAGCAAATGACCCTTCAATCCAATGGACAAGAATTAAATGTCATATTGCAGAGAATAGGAAATCTATTAACTGTAATATCTAATCTCAGTCACTACTCGCTTAACTGTCGCATGTTCTATCATTTATTCCTACTATGTTCATTTTTGTTATGACAGGTCCACTGAAACCCCTTAACTTGTTTTTCTATGAGTCTGACTTACCTAGATCGTACAAAAATCAACATGCAACATGCATTCCCTCACAACATATCCGAATAAACCTCTCTCTTGATCAATACATCCAAGAAAAAAACCAGTAATTAATCCGGCATATCCATGATAGAAGTGTGGTGTCCCACTAATGATAAATTAAAATTTTTAAGAGAGAATTATCTCACTCAATTTCTGAGCAATTGATGCTGCCTCTGCAACACGGCTGTCATCTGAAAATAAAGGTGACAGTTCCATTAAGTCGCCTGGGCTGCTGTTGAACTCCATCAGGTACTGCAGCAAGTGACGAAGAACATCAATGCATTTCCATTTCGAACCAAAAATATGCATGAACAGATATGGCGATTGACCTACCTTTATGAGTTCTATTGTCTGACTGGCAGTTTCTCTCTGGGCATCAGCACTCTGAGAAGAGCAAACTAGCATGGTGATAACGCACACAAGTGGAATTTTAAGTAAATAATAAGAGCGCCAAGATGAAACCTTACTTGCAAATGATCTCCAATTTTGGCAGCAGTTTGTCCAACGCTAGAAATGCGTGAATCCAACCTAGCAAAGCTGCTGAACAGGCCATCCACACCTTTCTCGAGCTGAAAGATAAAAATACATAGAAAACAGTCTAATTCAGACTTGCTCCATTCATCATAAAGGAAAAATCAATCCCAAATTTCCATACATTCTTCCTATAATCATTCTGGTTAAACAATGAGACCTTTAGTTGCAGTAAATGAATAAATCTTTAACCTTTCCAAACAACAAAAGTTTGACACTTAACATCGTTACACATTCTCTGCTGTACACAATAAAAATGGTAGAAATATCATTCACAAAGGATCCCACCATCTAACCTCAGCAAGTGTCTTCCTGTGCTTTGTGTCCTGGACGGTGACGTCCTTTTTCAGATTGTTCAGCTTTCCATCAATCTTCAAACCAAAAAGAATCGGTTAGAAATTTTTGAGACTGGCGATTACTAGTATTTACATAGTCAAATTATCCACCTGCTTTCGGAGGTCAATCAACTCCTTGCAAGAATCCCTGAACAGAGATAAGAGAGCATCTACTTCAGGGAATAAAGGGGAAGATACCACTTGTGCGAACTTTGTCGCATCAGATGGGGCTCTTACATGCCCATTGGGCATGCCATCAGTCCCACCAACGTGGCCATGTCCTTCTGCAGAATCCGCATCATCTTGTTGAAATGCTGGGAGTAAATCATTGACCATGCTCCCAAACAATGCATCGAATGAGAAATCTCCCTACAGTTCAATTTCCAGATGAAGAAGTCAAAACTTAACCAATTCTGAAGGAGGCCAATTGTCCAGCTACAGAAAAGAAACGAACTAATGACTTGAGTGAACACCTTAAAGTCCTCTATATCAAGGATGAGAGGAGAAGAGCCAGCCGTCGAAGGCTTCGTAGTCCTATCGCCCCGACCTTCCCTAGTCTCTTTCATCTGGCTCACATTTCACATTAATGCATTGCAACAAACAAACTATGTCAACATCAAACTTCAACCAGCCTATTAATCGATAATTCCAATGCAGAAAACCCAGCTGAAATCCCTAATTGTAGCAGAGTAAGGAGAAGAAAGCAATTCCGACTCAAACGAGAGTACAATCAGCTCATTAACCAATTATTAACCAGGGCAAAGCACCATCAGATGTATGTACCCCACTACTCTCGATTCTCTCCGGAATCGAACAGAAGAAAAACACTGATCCCGAACTTCCTATGCAGTTACCGAAAAACACTTAACCGAAGCAAACAATCACGGAGGAGAGAAATTCAGATAAGCAGAATTAAACAAATCCAGCAAACTCCGACAACCAGAGCCGAACGCTAGTCGCCTCGGATCGTATCAGCTGAAATTGAGGGAAGTGAAGTGTGATGTTACCTCGACTGTGATTTGCTTGAGCGGCTGCCAACGGAGAAGACGACGGCCGGAGACTATTCGCTTCCTTTCTCCCGAAGATTTTGGTTGGGTAGATCGAGCTTCGAGAGGAGGGGGAAGAAATGAGGATGGAGAACTGTTCTTCAATGAGAGGAAAACAATAGAAAAATAACAACAGCGTAAATGACGATATCGGGCTTTCGATCACTTGGGGGCAATGATGAGAACGCAGGGGTAATTTGGAAAATCGATACTCTCAACAAATAAATGCTGGACATTCTTTGTATTTATTTTCTCCTTGTACAACAATGCTTAAGACAATGCCCAATGGACATTCTTTCTCCTTGCTTTGTTTGTTTGTAGCGGATTTTGACTTCTGAATTTTTTTTTTAATATGTCTTATCGTAGGTTAAATCGGTAGGCGGTATTTAGCGGTATGAAACGGTTGAGCTACGATTAAACCATTGTTTTATCATACATTGACCTCCAACAAAGTTGGTTTGCTCAAATTGTGGTGAGGCATCAATCATAGACTTACACTCCTCCATAGTATGGCTTGAGTCGCCACACCAATCACATTTCATAAGTTGCATCCCATTGCCTTTCATTGTTGACGCAACTTGAACAATTTTCTTGGAAAATTCTTGTTTATGAGACGCTAATGATGATGGTTCTTCGACCTTCATTTAACTTCCCATCTTCATGCTCTTGCCTCTCCTTCCGTCACCCAAATCATAGCTAGCGTCATCTCTTCAATCAATCGTTGAAGTTCACCGACTTCTTTGTTTCTAATGGCACCTCCACTAGCCACATCGATGAGGTTTTGTGACTCTTTTGTCAAACCATTATAAAAGCTTCCCACTTGTAACCAATCAGTGATGTCATGGTGTGGACATTTGAGTAGGAGAGATGTAAGCCTTGCCCATGCTTCAAACAATGGTTCATCTTCCTCTTGATGGAACATAGTAATCATGAGGAACTGATTGTGACGTGCAAGAGACTGAGTGGGATTTGCTCTCCCCTCTCTCCTGCTTTTTCTGACTTGTGGCCGTTGAGGTTCCCGTTGGGCACTTAAAATATGGCACCTCCAGCGGAGGCCACCGCCCCGGAGCCTAAACCGCCGGACTGCTCACTGACGCAACCCTTCACCGGCCTCCCACAACCGGCGAGCTCACCGGCTTCTTCGCCTAGTCAACCAAGTAAGAAATCCAAGACAACATCAGGAGAGGAGTTCTCAGGGCACACCCTAATGGATGTAGCGATCCCTACAGCAAGGGGGAACCCGGAAGATTCAGCAGATGAATCGGGAGGGGGAACCGGGTTTGAGGCTTACCTCGATGCAGAGATGAGCGAGAAGCCAATCCAACCCCCAATTTCCTACAAGGATACAATCCTTGGAAACCAACCACCCCCGTCGATCCCAGATTTTGGCGACGAGCTCATGTCCGATGAGTCTGAGGGTGAGGATGCTGAAGATGACCCGGACTGCCCAACAGTTCGCATCAAGAAACGAACCAATGCCCGGGTCCAGCAAAGGTGGTGCAGAGCCATTACGTTCAGAATTCTGGGTAAGACATTCTCCTTTGCCTTTGTCCACCGCCGAATCCAAAAAATGTGGTCCAAGACAGGTGGAATTAAGATTGGAGACATAGGGAATGGGTACTTCCAAGCGGTTTTCGATTCCCAGTTAGACTACAGCAGGGCACTCTATGGAGGTCCCTGGACAATTGAAGACCATTACATAGTTTCTGAGCCTTGGAGACTCGACTTCGACCCCGACTATGATGTCATCAATAAAACAGCTGTCTGGGTTAGGCTGCCCCGCCTGCCCCTTGCATATTTTGAAGAGGAAATCCTAATGGATATTGGGAGCAAGCTTGGAAGAGTGGAAAAAATCGACTACAACACAACAAATGGGTTCAGAGGTAACTATGCTAGACTGTGTGTGGAAATTGATTTGAGGAAAAGACTTGTATCCAAGTACAGACTTAAAAGGCGAGTTAGGAGAGTTGAGTATGAAGGGCTGCACACAGTGTGTTTTCTTTGTGGACATTATGGTCATACTGATGAACAATGTCCATTGAAGAGCACAAGGGAGAATACCACGCCAGAGGAAAGAATGGGTATTAGCAGTGTGTCTAACGATCATCAGGAAGTGCGCCCAGAGATCCTGGAAGACTATGGGCCTTGGATGCTTGCAACCAGGCCAAGAAGAAAGAAACAACAACAGAAGAGCAAAAATTTGGAAGGGAATGCAGCAGAAAGGGAAGGCATCAAAGAGGTTACTGCCTCTGGATCACGATTTAGCGCACTGGAAGCGGAAGCAGAGGAGGAAGAAGAAGTTGACGAGGAGATACTAGTTCAGGAAATGATAGAGGATGTTATGACAACCGAGGAAGCCCCACTGCAGATTACAACGGAAGGTGTGACTACCAAGGAAACTCAAGGAACGGGAAAGACAAACAACTCTGAAAGCTCAAGAGGAAAATCAACAGATAAGAAAAAGGGAGCTAAGGAAGATCAAAAGAGCAAAGGGAAACAAGTTAAGGAGACACCAAGAAGTGAGAAAACACTGGGAAAGAACAAAGAGGCCTTGACAATGAACAAGAAAGGAAATCAGAAGGCCTCCCCTGAGTCCAACCTGGTGAAGCCTGCTGCTTCCACTACGGGGAAGAAAAAAGAGTTATCCTCCCCTAGTATTCAAGTCATGGCTACAGACAGTAAGAAAGGGGGTTCCATCCCGAAGCATGTCACTTTTCCGATCTCTCCTGGGAACTCAAGTAGCAACCTGATACCAGGTGGTACTGTCACGCCCAGGAACAAGGAAGTTTCGTTAGGTGATTACATAGGGCATCAGCCCAAAATGAGATCACCTGGTGAGGCGGGAAATGGAAGGGTAGCACCAGTTCAAAGCACAAAAAATTCTACATCGGGAGTGGGTGCACCGAAAAAGATTGATTTTGGTCCTGAGGCTAGTGTTAATCATCTCAAGCCAGAAAATGCAGACAAGACCAAGGGTTCCAACAGCAATGCTGCCCTAGGGTCTGGAGCAACGGCAATGGCCGTTGATAAAGAATGATTTTTCTCGACCTTTGGTCGATGCAGGTGGACTTCCTCTCATTTATGATGATTAAAGTCTTTGCCTGGAATTGTAGAGGTGCTAAGCACCACAAGTTTCACTCTACGATGGAGTTCTACAAAGGAATTCATTCACCTAATGTAGTCTGCATTACGGAACCAAGAATTAGTGGAGAAGATGCGATTGATGTCATTAAATCCCTGGGATTTGATAAGTGGGAAGTTTCGGATGCCGTTGGTTTCAGTGGTGGCATATGGGTTTTATGGGACAGCAAGCAGGTCACACTTGAACAAGTGGATTCTCACAAGCAGTTCCTGCATCTTAAATGCTCTATTGAAGGGAAACACATCGGTTTCATAACGGCTATCTACGCCAGCCCAAATGAGCATGAAAGGGGTGAGCTTTGGCATCTGATCAGAAGGTTGGGAAGAGGTATTAAAGACCCATGGCTCCTTACTGGAGACTTCAACTCCATCTCCAGACCGATTGAAAAGCAAGGAGGAGCCCCCTTTAGCTTTGCCAAATCAAGGGAGTTCAACGAGTTTATTGAGGATTGCAACCTTTTTGACCTCGGCTTCACAGGGCCCCAGTTCACCTGGTTCACCAGGTCGTCACGGATCAAGGAAAGACTTGACCGAAGCCTGTGCAACCAGGCGTGGAACCAAGCTTTCCCGCAGTCTACTGTCTACCACATCATGAAGCTAAAATCAGACCACAGGCCGATTTTGACATGCTCCACCATTCAACCTGACAAGAAGAATTTGGTGAGGCGTTTCCAGTTTCTGGCCCCCTGGCTTGCACATGATGATTTTTTTCCTTTCATCTCATCTGTTTGGCGTAATGGTAATGATATCCCTGTTGCCTTGCAGGACCTCTCTACTAAGCTGAAAGATTGGAACAAGAATGTGTTTGGAAACATCTTTAAAAGAAAGAGGAAGCTCGCCAACAAGCTGCAGTCGCTCGAGAACCAAAATGAACGATCTCCCAATAGGTGGTCACTTGAAGAAGAACAAAGGGTCAGGGAGGAACTCGAAAGCACCCTATGGCAGGAAGAGATTTTGTGGATGCAGAAATCACGATCCAATTGGGTGATCCATGGTGATAGAAACACAAGGTTTTTCCACCAGAGCACAATGAGCAGAAGGAGAAGGAATAGAATCCTTGCGCTTCAAGATGAAAGTGGGAATTGGATTACCGACCCTGAAGTGCTCCAAACTATGGCAAGAAACCATTTCATTAAGCTTTACACCAGAGATGAGAAGGAGGAATGGCCTCAAATCGCTGCGGACTTTCCTCCTATCAACACCTTAATTGCTGAAGGCATGTGCAGAATCCCGAATATGGAAGAAATCAGAGCTACAATCATGGATATGAATGGCACAAAGGCACCAGGGAAGGATGGGTTCCATGCCCTATTCTTCCAAAAATGCTGGGATGTCATCAAGGAGGAGTTTTCCACGTTCATTGCCAACTGTTTTAGGAACCCCAGCAACATTGGAGCTTTGAACAGCACCCTGATCACTTTGATCCCTAAGATTGAAGGCCCATCGTCGATGAACCACTTCAGACCCATTAGTCTATGCAACGTTGGGTATAAAGTGGTGGCTAAAATCCTGGCCAACAGGCTAAGATCCCTTATGCCCCATTTAATCCACCCTAACCAGTCCAGTTTCGTTCCACAAAGGCATATCAGTGACAATATTTTGATTTTGCAGGAGACTATCCACACCATGGCCAAGAAAAAAGGAAAGAAGGGGATGATGTTGTTGAAGATCGACCTCGCCAAAGCTTACGATCGAATTGATTGGAGGTTCTTGGAGGAGACCATCCGTCTTGCTGGGTTACCAGAGGCCACCATCCAAGTCATTATGCAATGCGTGTCTTCTACAACAATGCAAGTACTTTGGAATGGTGGAGAGACAGACAGCTTCAAGCCCAGCAGAGGGCTCAGACAGGGATGTCCCCTCTCTCCCTATCTTTTTACTCTATGCATTGAACGCTTAAGCCACTGTATTTGTAGAAAAGTGAATGTGAAAGCTTGGAAACCAATTAGGTTGTCGGTTGGAGGACCAGCCCTCTCGCACCTCTTCTTTGCTGATGATTTGGTGTTGTTTGCTGAAGCTAACATTAACCAAGCAGATGTTATTCTTGAATGCTTGAATGATTTCTGTGAGGCCTCAGGGGAGCTTGTAAGCAAAGAAAAGTCTAGAGTTTTCTTCTCTAAGAACACTAGGAATGGTGACCAGGGTAATATTTGCAGGAGACTGGGAATACAATCTACTTATGACCTAGGGAAATACCTAGGAGTTCCTGTCCTTCATGGTAGATTAACCCGTAATACGTATAGATACATTGTGGATAAAATCGACCAGAGGCTCTCTTCCTGGAAAGCTAAGTCCCTTTCACTCGCAGGAAGAGTCACCCTGGCTGTCTCTGTCCTCTCTTCTATCCCCTCGTATGCTATGCAGACTTCGGTGCTTCCTGTTTCTGTTTGTGATGATATTGACCGTAGAATCAGGGGCTTTGTGTGGGGGAGTCATTCTGATAAACGTAAAGTTCACTTAGTTCATTGGGATTCAATATGCAAACCTAAGAGCCAAGGAGGATTAGGACTTAGGACAGCTAGGAGTCTCAATATGGCTTACATGATTAAGCTGGCATGGCAGATACTTAACAATGGAAACGATCTCTGGGTACAGGTACTTCAGGGCAAGTATTTTCACCACAAAGAGGGCATGATCACTACTATGAAAAAGAGCAACCAATCAAATCTTTGGAGAGCTATCCTGAAAGCAATGTCTTTGATGAAGCAAGCCGCTGTATGGAGTGTTCGTGATGGCCGCACCACAGGGTTCTGGACCCATCCTTGGCTGGAGAGTGGCATCACACTCGAGGAATACTCGCTGAAAGCACTTTCAGATGAAGAACGCAGCACTACAGTGGCAGATTGGACGGATGCAACAGGTGATTGGGATTGGCATCGCCTTGAAACCGTCCTGCCTAATGAGATTCTTGTGCGTATTGCAGGGAAAGAAAGCCCAAAACCTGGACTTGGAGAAGACAAAACCCTCTGGGGAGCTGAAAAGGATGGTCGATTTCGACTTCGATCTGCGTATGACATTGCAGCAGGCAACTCTGAAGGCGAACCTGAGCAGATGTGGAAGGATCTTTGGCAATGGCAAGGACCCAATCGGGTGAAGTACTTTTTGTGGCTCGCAACACATAATCGTCTCCTCACCAACAAGGAGAGAGAGAGACGCCAGCTCACGAACAACGGGACCTGCAAGCACTGTTCTGGAGTGGAAGAATCAGTGGAGCATATTCTCAGGAATTGCAAGAAGACGGCTGGGATCTGGACTTTCTTCAGAGACAAAATCAGGGAAAGAAACAGGAACGTGGACTTTCATATTTGGCTCATCAGCAACCTGCGAGCAGAGGAGACCGGCACTGACTTCGGGCATATTTGTTGGATCCTTTGGAAACAAAGAAATGAAGAAATCATGGATGGGAAGACCTTCTCGAAAGAAGGAACCATCCACAGGATTAATGCTTGGCTACAAATCAACAAGCAGGCTACTGACAACGTCCAAAAAAGCCTTCTGCCACCCAAGAATAGAAGAGAGACACAACAGATTGGTTGGAAACCTCCAAGGGAGGGGTGGCTGCAGGTTCAGACTGATGGCTCGGTCGACACCTCGACCGGGAGTGCTGCTGCTGGTGGACTTCTGCGCGACCATTGGGGCAGATGTAAGGGAGCATTCACAAGCAACTTGGGAGCTTGCTCGATCACCAGGGCTGAACTCAAAGGGGCAGCTGAAGGACTTGAGTTTGCCTGGAAAGAAGGATTCAAGAAGATTGAACTCAACCTTGACTCCCTGACTGCTATTTCGCTTATCAGAAACAGGGAGGACACTGATCACACCCATGGCTCACTTGTTGAATATATCAGTAGAATTTTGGATCGAGAATGGGAGGTTGTAATTAGACACATCTATAGGGAGAGCAATTGTGCTGCTGATTCCCTGGCCCGTAGGGGTCATTTTGGTCCTTTTGGCACGACATTAGTCGATTCTTGTGACTCAAACTTATGCTACTGGTTGAACTACGATACCATGGGAATTACCATGGATCGTGATATCATTAATACGATTTAGACTCCGCTGGAGTCCTTTTACCAAAAAAAAAGAACATAGTAATCTCACTTCTCGTTTAAGTCGTCTTAGATAGTGGAATATACCTTGCGAAGAACTTGTTGCATAGATCATCCCACTGGTGATGGAGTGATGGGGTTGGTTGTTGAATCATTGCTTTGCGTTCCATTCAAAGTAAACGGAAATAACCTTAGGCAAATTGCCTCCTGAGGAACCCCGATTACCTTGATTCCATCCGTTAACTCATAGAACGACTTGATATGTGTGTGAGCATCTTAAACCATCGTCGTATTGAATTGAACTGCACTTTGAAGCATCAAAATTGTGCCCTGTTTTATCTCATAGTTGTTGTTTGGCACCAATGGATGAAGAATAGGTGATTGAACATTGTTCACGCCCATCCTTGAGTAAGATCCCATTGTTTTAGGCCTTGGTGGAACTTGAGCTTGATGGTCCGTCATTGGTGGAGATTGATGTCTTGCAACTCTTCTTAGATTCCGAAGGATTCTCTCGATTTTTGTATCAAGAGGTAATATCTCCACACAATCCCTCTTTCGCATACAAAGGTGCTACAAGACACAAACTCAACACCCCGTGACGCACAAAATTGGATAAACAAAACACAAAACAAAACAAACTACGAAAATACAAACAACACAACAATAATAAACACAGAAAATAATATTAATATATAAGAACGGTTAGATTGGTATAACTTGTAACTTTTTATATTTTATTTTCTAAAATGTAAGAATAAACAACACATTTTACATGCTAGTGCACAATCAGTGAATATTATTAGAGATAAACTAGAGAAATTTAAGTACTACTTATTTGTGTTGCATAAAATACATATTAAGCAAAACATGATTAAAATGTTGTCTATTTTTATTTTTATGCGACACTTCTACAAAGTATTGCATGACAAAAGTCACTTTTTTCATAGCGACAATCCTTTAATCCATTCTAATTTAATGAATTATTTACATTTCAACCCCTCTTATTTTTTATTATTATTAATCATTAAACTAATTCTTAACCAAACCAATTATAATCAACAAGTAAATAGCTTACCGGTAAACATTTTGATTTAGTGATCTATCACTAATTGCTAAACTGATTAGCGATCATCCGAAACCAAACCGATTCGAATCTTGCAAGTGACCAAGTTTCAATGAATAGCGGGAAAAATATTGTGCAGGATTCGCGAAAGTTTCAATTGATACCGAAGCGAAATTTTCATTTCCCGCTCGATTTCCATGGACAAAAACGAAAACCCTCAGAAGAACATGACTAAGTGCTGAACGGCGGAAGAGCAGCAGGAAGAGTCCAAAAGGCATGGTCACCGACGATGAATAATCCCTTCGCGAAAACAATCTGTTCAATCTGCTACGAGGATCTCAAGCCCATCGTCGAGGATCTTCAAGTCATCTCCATCTGCGGCCATGTATTCCACGAACTATGGTACTGTTTCCGACTCCAATCTAACACCCATTTTCTTTTTGCGTTCGTTATTTTTTCGTCGATGAAACCGATGGTTGAGATTCCATTGTTTTTTCAAAATTTCCCTAGCTTGCAGCAATGGTTCGGGTACTGTTCCGGCAGAAAGAAGTGTACCTGCCCTGTCTGCAAGCAGAGTTGCAAAGCCGCCAATGTGTCGCGGCTGTATTTCCAGTCACTGGGAGACCCTGCCGATCACTGTGCGTCGCAGTGCGAGGAGAAACAGGCCGATCCCAAGTTGCTTGGGGGAGAGATTGTGAGATTGGAGGCGAAGGTTCAGGGGCTCAACTCCACAGTGGATTGCCAGGGGAAAGAAATTCAGCGGCTTAATGGCGAGGTAAGGGTTTTGGCGGAATTGGCTTTGAATTTCGACATCGTGGTAACCGGGGGCGACGTTTAGGGGTTTAACCATGGGTCTGGTTTGGAATATGATCTCAGTTGTATGACTGTAACGAGCAATTGAAGGCTGAGCTCTTGTTAAAGAATGAAGTGGTGAAACAAAAAGCATCAGTTCAGGAGATGCTTCGTTCCAAGTCTCAGGTGTGCTGTTATTTGAGATGCCATTCTAGTCTCCTGATATTGATTTCCTCTAATTCAGTGTCTTTTGCTTGGTGTTTCTGCTTATCAAAATACTTGCTCTTTTGCTGCCCCATGATAGCACTTTGTTCTCCTGATGATTCTTTAAATTGGAGAATTATCCATGTCCAAAATAGATGGCTCCTGGCGTTGTCATTTTCTGGGTGTGATAGACAAGGTTGTTGGTAGTTAACAGATTCGTCATTGCTTATTAATCTTGTTTTAGGAGCTTGATTTGCTGAAGAAAGACCATTTGAAGTTACAAGATAAGAGCATGGCATTGGCCAAAGAACTTGCAGCACTGAAACTGTAAGTAAATTTAAATTGGGTATGGGTAGAACTTGAATGACTATGACTTAGACGTGCATGTTATGGATAATATGGTTTGTCATCTGCAATATAGAACATCAGACCTGAATCTGGAGGAAGATGAAGTTTTAAAGCTTGCTTCCTTTGGTAACGAGGCCAATGCTAAAGATACTATTGACATTCTACGGAAGTCCTTGGTCTCCCGCAACAAGTAAGTTTCCCTGCCTGCCTCAGAGGATTATCCATAGCATGCTGATATTCAGCTGTATGAGTTTTTTTGGGCGTCACCTTAAAGTGGCTAAATCTCCGTCTTTGACTTTGTGGAACCGGTAGTGGCAGTAACAGCTTCTATGTGTGCTAGATGTTTATATGCACGGAATGTCGGCTACAAAATGAGTTCCTCTCTGTTACTTTTGTTTGACATATGCAAGTAGAAAGTACCGAAGAAAGCAACAACCAGAACTTGGACTGCGCATATATTGTTGTTTCTTTGCCGTGCATCATAGTTAACTTTGTGAGTTGTTTCCTGTAGGAGCTACCAAGAGTTATTGGCCAAGTGCAACCAGCTTGGAAGGGGAGAGGCTCGTTCTTCCAAAAATCTGGAGAAAGCAAAAGAAAAGATAATTAGGTTGAAGGTAAGTTATTGGCCACCTTGTTCAATAAGTATTAACTGGGGAAACTCATACCAGGATTTCCTTCACTCTGCTTTGTTTTTGACAAATATGAATGCCATTATGCCATGTATGATAATCTGTCTTTGCGTCACACTCAGACTAGGATCCAGGAACTGGTGACGGCAGTTGAACTAAAGGAAAATCAAGCTTTAAGGCTCTTAAAGACTTCAAAAGACACAAACTCCATGAAGAAAATTCCAGGTGGACTTAGTGATAAATTGGATACCCCTACTTCTGGCATTTTTAGACCTGGAAATCAAAAGGAACAAGTTTCCTCCACATCTCTGGATTGCTTGGTTCGGACTGCAAGTCCAATTGGCGATGCAAGAGTGCCTTTTTCCATCAATGATCATGGTTCAAATTTTACTGACGAGCCTTCAAGGAATCAGGCTTATGATAAGCAAAGAAACAATTGCATTATCATAGACGAGGGTGATCAAGATCTTGATTTGGATCACCCAACTGGAAAACAACAAACCAAAGAGCCACCAGTGGATAATGCAGGAAGTGGAACCAATAGAAGTAAGGATACTGCCAGCGCAGCTGGTGCTGCTCAGGAAGCCTCCTTTTCAATCGGTGGTAACGTTAATGTTTGGCCCGCACTGAATATAAGAAAGGAGTTGCCGTCCTCAGTTTCTTTTTCAAAACCAGGTAGTTAGCTTTTAATCTAGTAAGTTTGCAGCTGAACAGATTCAATAGCATAATGGATGCTTCCATTATGCAACAAGTTCTATACTTTCAGGGATCTATTTGCTTATGTATGCTTTCTGGTTGAACTACACTATCTCCAGCAGATATATGTTTCTCAAGTGGATTGCTGGGTCCTGATGGAACAACTCGGTATCTTGGGAAGTGGTGTAAACGTGACCAAAGCAAGCAGCCGGCCGGGCAGAAACCAAGCACAAACAGTGGAGACTTGATTGCTGTTGGAGCTGACGGAAGGGGTGGGAGAGTGAAAGTTTTAAGACCTGTGAATCAAGCCCTCATGGTGAGTCTACTGTAAATGGAATGCATACTTGATCATCTGAAAAGTTATTACAAAACATATTCTGTTGTCTAAACTTGTAGTCAACTGCATTCGGCCTCCAATTTCTTGGCCATTTCAACAATGACATTAATAAGCTCATACATGCAGTCTTGAAAGAAATCTGGCGATACGTGCATACCTCTTAACATGCTCGTCTTTGTTCTGTTTTCTCATGCGGCTCCATGCTTCATCTATTTATCGAGTTTACTGTTAACTGCATATTCAGGGTGGATCAGAGAGTTCCATGCCCGCAAAAAGGTGCAAGTTAGGAACCAAAACGACTAGTTTGCAGTCTCAGGGATGTTTGCAGATCGAACACTTTTTTGGGAAGGCCAAGCAGTAGTCAGGTACGTTCGTCCTTTGCATCAATATGAGTGTTTTTCAAGATAAGTCTTCTTCTGAACAGTTTAAGAGAAGCAAAGTGAGGGTGTTGGTTGGCACGGTTAGAAATCTAGTAAGCGTACCTTGTCATTGCTCAACCTTGCATCTCTGTTTTCCATTGTTTCAACTTTCAACCACTGCCACATTTTGAAATTTTCTGGCAGTGGTTTCAACGACAATCTATTATCTATGTTCTACCATACATTGTTTGAACGTTGATTGTTCCCAACTACTCAACTTAAAAGTTTCATGTTCTTATGCATGCTGGGTTGTGATATTCTTTTTTGGCAGGTTAAAAGAAACCAAGATTCACAATTTTGGCTCCGAATCTCGGGTACCTTTTGTTTGTCGACCACGTTCTTCCGGGATGCTACAACCATAGTAGGATGATCACGTTGCTGAATGCTGATGCAATGCATGACGGTTTTGGTTTTACTACCATGCAGCAGACGGCCTATTTCAAACCGACGACTTGTCACGGTCGCAGCAGTAAGCATATATTCTCTGGTCGGTTAAAAATCCCATTGTGCTTGGGCAATGAATGTTAATATCCTTGGACAAATCAAACCATGTAAAAGAAATCGTATGACTCTTTGTCCATGAACTAAGAGACAGGCCAACAGACCGGACCGGTTTTGCTCCCCGCGGGTCATCCCAGTAAATATAATGATAAGCAGGCACCAGCTCTATCGTATGAAACAACCGTAGGTAAAGTTACACTGGAAAAGTAATGATAAATGTTTTCATATCAAAATTGTGATTGAACTGTTTTGTATGATTAAAATCGTCTCCCGTTTGTTGAAGTGTGGTTATCCAGTTATTCTGATTTGATCTATTGATACGATAGAGTTTCTAAAACATATATTTTTTTCTTTTCAAGAGTCATATCTCGTTGTTTACAGCCTCTGGTTTCTGTGTTGCCAACTGATTTGTCAGAATTCAAAAGGCATTCTAATATATGGTTAGGTTGAAAATAATCTGAGTCGGCGAATTTGAGCGACATATCTACTTTTTGTGTATAAAATTGTATGAATTGCAATATAAAATTGTCGATACTCAATAAGTCGTTGATTTCCGCTAAAAGTGCACCACAATACTATAGAGCATAACACTCCCAGTAGAGAGACGCTGTCGTCCTGGCTGCGCATCCTACTGAATTACTCTGACTTACCTGAGCCTTCCCAACCATTTACCATGAGACCACAAAATGACTCTTCGTAAGGCTAACAATTCAATCATGAGCCCATTATCAACGACCTCCAGCCCCAACTACGAAGCTGATGACAATTTCGACTTGATCCGTTTTACTCGATCTATTTGATCTGTTTTGGGGCGGGTACGAGTATTCTCATCGACGCGACCTGCCCTGACCCGTCCCATTCTCGACCCCTTCTTGTCTAAATCGCATATAATTTTAGTCAAATTACTTACAATTTTCCTTTTATTACATCATATTTTAGCTATTATAAAGTTGTAAATTAGTGAAAATTTCAATTTCACCAATAATTTAACTATATTTTACCATATTATGATTTATTTTTTGGTCTTATAATGAAAATAATGAATATTTCTAATGCTTGTCATCTAAATTGCATACCCATTGAGTCGACCTGCCCCGATCCGCGCCCGGTGATAAATTACCCGACTTGGACCTGACCTGCTACAGGTCGGGTATGGGTATCGTGATACCCGTCCCGGACCTGCCCATTGCCATCCCTAATCCCGAGGCATCAAAGTGGGCTATGTTTGATTGTGTGAGATTGGACAACAATTGAGATTCTTGGTTAATTCATTGATATGACCAACAATCAGTGTATAGTTTAAATATGAAATTTTATTAGAGGGGCAACTTATAATCCAATTCACTAATCCAAACTAATCCATTCATTTTAATATTCAACTATTCTAATCATTTTGATCCGAATTCATTTAGATTGGTGAATTCATGGTCCTCCTTTGTGGCTCGACGTTTCTGTGCCACCAGCTTGTGGTTCTCCTCCATCATCCGACGAAGGATCCCCACTGCTTCACCCATAACTTCACTAGACGTCTCTGTTGGTAGGATCTCGCCCCCAACATTGTTTCCGGCCACCGCCTCTGCAACCTGGCCAAGTTCAATATTGGCCACCTGCTCCTCCACAAAACCAGCTGGAGCGTCACCTTCTTGATTATTCTGCCTCGGAGCCATCAAATCGAACACACGGGTCCCACAAGGTGTGCCAATGTGTTTTCCTGACTAGAAAACTAGAGTTGAACATAATGGAATTGTACCTTGACTCCTTACAAACGATTAAACAACATAGTCCACATCAAATTACTCCTACTCCTATGCCCTATGGAGGTTCAATGAGAGCTCCAGAATTACGACTATGACTAAATTTACAAAGGAAAAGATAAAATGATAAAAACTTGACATTGGGTTGTCTAGTGTGATCTTGGCGAACCTCTTCTCTGTCATCTTCACCTCCTATTTATAGCCATCATAAGTAAATGCCTCGAAAAAACTGCTCTGCTGACCTGGAGCGACGGTTACCCTCTTAACTACTCTGACCCCTCCCCCCCCCCCCCCCCCCCCCCCCCCCCCCCCCCCCCCACAATGGACGTGTCTTCGGTCTTCACCTCCTCCCTTTGATAGCTTCTCCTTAGCTTGACTATACCTCCACATGTATTGAGATGGTAAAAACCTACCGGAGTGGTGCTGAAAATAAATTTTCTAATGAGTTTCTAATCTAGAGATCGGTTGAGAATTTAATTAGGGTTTATAGGATAGAATTGGGAATTTGGAGACTTGAGAAGAATTTGGGGAAGAACAGAAGATAGTCGAGGGATTTAGGGAGAGATAATTCTTTTTATTATTAACTCATGCTTTATCGAATGAAAGATCAAAAATACATATTTATAGCTAAAAACTGTAAAAAAAAACACACACACAATAGACTATCGTAATATGACTCAAAAACTACTAATTTCGTAGAACTTCAAACCACCTGATCAGATCCGATTCGGGTTCAGACTTTTGAGTCTGAGTGCTAATAGTTCTGTTTGTAGACGTGTTACACGTATCATGACCGATCGTCTGTAAGTTGTACGGACAAGGCAACGACCTAGTTTTGTCTCCACCTACATCAAGGGACAAGGGACAAATGAACCGCCCAATCTAGTCTTAGCTGCTAGCTATAGTGTGTACTAAAGCAAAGCACTACTACTGAAACAAACAAAGACTCTCCCTTCTTCCTTAAGGTCAGCAGTCCTAGTTCTGCAACCAGCAACCACCCCCTTAAATTAAGGTATGACAAACCTGTGGAAAGGGCAGTAAGTGCAGTTTGGGCACGTTCTTGGCAACTTCCTCTTTCTCTCGTATAATTCCAATCTTTTTGCCTTATTCCAACAAAACATGATTCTACCTATAACAGCATCACCCCGCCTACATAACTACAAAACTATTGCCTCATTTTAACATGGACTACAATGTGCTGGTGTTAACTCAATGTGCTGGTCCAAGTAACGCTAAGTTTTTCGTTTTCTTAGATGAAAGTTTACCTCATTTCGATTTCGGACGACATCGTTTTATCGAGCTAGCACTTAACTGGTTGGGGATGGTATACCATGGGAGGTAAAATTTCCCCGTTTTAGCTACAGCAACAACCTTGTAACGAAGCAACTAAACAAGGTTGCGTTTAGAGAAAAAAGAAAGACGAGGAGAGCAATCCAAAACAGTAACCACCCGACATATCCTAATCCAAAATTTACATATTGTAAATAATCTCCATTCTCCTAATTGACTATTTTTTTTTTCTTCCTTCCTCCGCTTTTTGGATGATGTAATGGAACAACACGCAAGCTGGGACGTTCGGAGATTTGACTAAACACCCACTAATCCTTCCTACCCTGTGTCCAGGGAAATAGGAATGTCCCTAACAATTTTAAAAAAATTATTATTAAAATACTTTCGGAAAATTCCACCTGTAATAGAAAATGATTCGAATTCAACGATGAAATGAATAAACTTTTGTAAGAACTTTAAAGTTAAATGTACTATAACAGGAGCATAGTAGAAAAATGTGCGAGAAAAAACAAAATTGGACCCAAAAAAAGAACAATATATGGATCGCAATCTTTTTTAATGCTTGTATATGCTAATATTACACACATGCGCTGAAATATGCTCACATTGTTTTTTCTTTCTTTCTTTCCGTTTCCTAGTGGTCGGTATTTTCCTGGCTATAGCTTTTGAAGTTGGAAAACCGACTTTTCCCCCCAATTTGTACGTTGTAGGCAATTGAGGTTTTTCCATTTGCCCAGTTTCCTCGACGACGTCTTCGTACTCTGCCGTTTAGTGCCCTATAAATAACCCTACACCTCTCATCATGCACTCTTCCTTCCATTCACAAATCACATATCTCATTCAGCATTTTCCCTTCAGTTTTTTTCTCAACTACTTCAAATTAACGTCCCAAGGTTATTAGATCCACAGCAGCACAAAATATACGTACACAGCAAAGCAGTTATCATTCATTGTTCATACAGTTAGTTGAAAGTACGTAAGATTAATAACTAGCTAGAATGGAAAGCGTAAAGGGGAGCTGCGTACTGTCGAAGATGGCGACGAACGAGAGGCACGGCGAGAACTCGCCCTACTTCGACGGCTGGAAGGCCTACGACGCCTACCCGTTCCACCCGACCGACCGCCCCGACGGCGTCATTCAAATGGGTTTAGCCGAGAATCAGGTAGAATGTTTTTTTTTCCCCTTCAAATAATGATCCGATAGAATGTTTTTTTTTTTAAGAAAATAATATGTTAACCCTGAACGTACGTTATCGTATCCGCATGCAGCTTTGCCTTGATATGATTCGAGATTGGATCGAGAAGAACCCACAGGCTTCCATTTGTACCCCGGAGGGGCTTCACATGTTCAAGGATGTGGCCCTCTTTCAGGATTATCACGGCCTCCCGCGCTTCAGACAGGTAAAGAAAAGCGTCCCCAAGCTGGAAAAAAAAAAAATATTGTTACGTACTACGCGAATTATTGAGATCAACTAATGTTGGCGGGGTGGTTTTCTGCAGGCGGTTGCCAAGTTCATGGAGCGAGGGAGGGGGAATAAGGTGAGGTTCGATCCGGAGAGGATCGTGATGGGCGGCGGCGCGACGGGAGCCAACGAGCTCATCACCTTCTGCCTCGCTGACGACGGCGACGCTTTTCTCGTTCCCTCCCCATATTACCCAGCGTACGCTCTAAAAAAACTCTTGCTCTTAATTAATTATATTAATTCGAAAGTAAACGGCGGTAAAATAGGGTCTTAATCAAATGTTTTTATCTTTCTTCTCTCCCAAAAGAATGTTTTTTGGCATAGAAGCACAACCGTGGAAAGTGGAGTCTTAGCTGGATAGGATGAATTGTTTGTCTGTCTGTCTGTCTGTCTGTCTAGCTAGCTACGATGTTTGTTTGATCAAAAGAGTCGTGGGAAAGAAAAATGAAATTTTTTTTCTTCTTCCAGTTTGACAAGTGTGGCAATTCAAAGCAGTCCACGCCATGAGTTTACAAGTCTGAAACCAAAACAAGAAGTTGTACAAAGAAATTAGTGGGGGTATTTCCTTGCAGATCAAGTCAGATGCTTTCTCAAATATTAATGGCATACAAACAAAAGTCAAAGGGCTGATGAGTAATAACAATGACCCAATGAATTTTCTATTTATGGAATTAGTTTGTCAAGCTCGACCATATCTTACTACAGTGTAAAGTAGGCTTTTTGACATTTTAGTTAACATCAATTGGGTCAAACACTTGTTTGGATTGGCCTCTAACTCTCTCACACTACGTCGATTTGGTAGCTGGATTAAAGTAAAAGCAGGGGAAAAAAAAGTAAAATTAGGAAAAAACAAAACATCATTGTTAATCATATTTCCTTCTACCTGTCCAACCTCACAGGTGTTTTGGTTTAATTATCTTCCTAATTAAACGTGAAAAAAATTTACAGGTTCGACCGGGACTTGGGGTGGCGAACCAAGGTCCAGATAATCCCGGTCCACTGCAACAGCTCCAACAACTTCCAAATCACAAGACCCGCCCTCGAAACCGCCTACGACCAGGCCACCCGAACCGGCTCGACCGTCAAGGGCCTGGTCATCGCCAACCCATCCAACCCGCTCGGCACGTGCCTCGACCGCACCACCCTCGAGTCCCTCGTCGCCTTCGCCACCGAGAAGCGCATCCACCTCGTCGCCGACGAGATCTACGCCGCCACCGTCTTCCACAACCCCACCACCCAATTCGTCAGCGTGGCCGAGGTTATCCGCGACAACGCCGCCGACCCGGCCCGCTGCGACCCGGACCTGATCCACATCGTCTACAGCCTGTCCAAGGACATGGGCCTCCCCGGGCTGCGCGTCGGCGTCGTCTACTCCTACAACGACGCCGTAGTGAGGTGCGGGCGCAGGATGTCGAGCTTCGGGCTGGTGTCGTCACAGACGCAGCACCTCCTGGCCGCCATGCTGTCGGACGAGGATTTCGTGGGGCGGCTCCTTCTGGAAAGTTCCAGAAGGTTGGGCGAGAGGCACGGAAGGTTCTCGAAGGGTTTGGAGCGGGTCGGGATCCGGTGCCTCGAGAGCAGCTGTGCGGGTCTTTTCGTGTGGATGGATCTGAGGCATCTGCTGAAGGAGGCGAGTTACGAGGGCGAGTTGGCGCTGTGGCGCGTGATCGTGAACGAGGTGAAGCTGAACGTCTCGCCCGGGGTTTCGTTCCACTGCGTCGAACCGGGTTGGTTTCGGGTCTGTTTCGCGAATATGGACGAGGGGACCATGGAGGTCGCGCTGCAGAGGATCCGCGCCTTTATTCAAGGGAAGGAGGCGGGTGATGGACGTGAGAATAATGATGTTGGTGTTGTGAAGCCGCCGGCCGGGAAGAAGCGGTGGCAGAAGGATCTGAGGTTGAGCTTCAAGACGGTGCGGAGGTCGGAGGAGGGACACGTGTCGTCGTCTCCTTTGAGGATGTCGCCGCATTCTCCCATCCCTCGTTCGCCGTTGCTGTGGGCGAGGAATTAGAAGCTGGGAAGTGAAGATTAAGATCGATGCATTATTATAGGAGAAGCATAAGGGTAAGATCGAAGATTAATTAAGGAGACAGATTAGACTAATCAGTGACTGATCACGTGTTTCTTTTTTTTTTTCCTTCCCATTTGATTGGAAGATGAGATGCTTTGTGTGGGATTAGTGTTATTTGTCGTAATGGTTTTTGGAGCTCTGGATTCAGAAGGCACTATTTCTTTGTGTCTTGTATGGTCATGGGGCAAGTTTGTAATTTCAGGGGGGGTTTGGTAGAGTGAGTCAACGTATGGAAATTATTGCTAATGTGAATAGCAATGAAGTGAATAAAAATTATTTTGTATTATTGCTGCTTAAATGTGTAGTGCTTTAATATAATCTTTTATCAATTGTTTAGCACTTGTCGTTCATATTCAAACCTTGTTTTAATATGATCTTTAATCAATTGTTTAGCATGCATAGTACCGCCGAACATAAGATAAACCCGAAACGACACAATATGTAGCATAGCACATACATCACAAGTCAGAGTTGCAAATTCGTCAGCAAGAGAGAAATGACTAGCAAAGCCATAAATCCTAAAATCTTATTGATGAAAACTTTAGTTGGCTCAGAATATGAACTTGCTTAAGGTTTAGTGTGATATGAGTTACCGAGATTTACTTTTCTCGTGAGCAAATCTTCTGGATAGGTTTTCCATGGGCCAAAGATGTCAAACCCATGAAGAAAAGGAGCATCGGCTGCTGCTAAAGGCCTAAGCCCAAATAGAAGATTTTTAGGCCATGCTTTGACTCCAAGTTAAGAAACCTCTTCTTAGTTGGTTTAGGAGAGTTTTGGCCGATTTATACCCCTACAAATAGAGGGATAGACTCATTAATTCAGTAGGCTGCAAAAATTCACTGAACTTTTGTAAACACTATGTTTGAGGGAGAGCTTAGAATTTGTAGGAAAGGGTATAGGTAGGGAGATGCTTTCATCATTGATTGTGGTACCCTCATTTGCTCTATGTTTAGGTAGTTTAAAATTGATTGTATGATAATGTGAACTCAATTATCTTTTTACGTATTGATGCTATGATTTCATATCAAGCTTGTGTTGATGCTTGGGATTTTCGATGCCTTATATATAATGTATGGATGCTTTATGTTTTGATACCTATGTGTATGATATCAGTACTCATTTACTTCAATACTTATAATCAATGATGCTTATGACTCTATAGTGTGCTACTATATGCATTGTACTAAGTATTATCTAGGTTGTTAAGAAATTACCCTCTAGTGATACCCATTGATGCTACACGATTATAGAAGGAATGATCAGTCATCTATACCTCGAGTAGTATCAATGCTTGATTGTTAGATCATTGATGATATAGAACATCAATTACGAATCAAGAGGACCGCACTTAATCATATCCTATCCTAACTTCCTTGTTCTTCATTTATCAGGTAATGACATGAAGCGAAAGCACACATTAGCAAGTTAAATCTTTATCACACAGGCAAATGCACGGGTAGATAATGGCCTTATTGGAAGGGATAGAGTGATGTTAAAGATAATTTATTGATGCATGATATGATTGAGCTTTAGTATGCATGATAAAACTCGAGATTTATCTTCGTATTCAATAACGTAGTTTTACTTTTCTGCATCTATAACTAGAAAAAACCCTAAACAACTTTACTTTTCCTTGCTTTAATTTCCATTGCTTGTTATTCGAGTGAAACCCCTTAAAGAGTCTCTTCTCTTTTGTGTAGCATAGATGGTATAGTTCGAGTATTTTTGCATCAGAAGACCTTGTGGAATATGACCATAGGGCATCCTAGGATTATAACTCGATTTCGCGACCAATGAGTTACTTAACATCGAATTGACTTGACCTGGTTTCTAGCTTGCCGAACCAGCCTCATTACCGCAAGAGTCCCAAGGAGAACGAGATACTAGGGGAGTAGAACTAGCTTTGATCTCGTAACGGTATATATAATATGCAAATCACATTGGAGTATCACTTCATCATCTCAACACGGGACTTGGGGGATAATCTTCGGAGTGAAGCTTTCTCACTTTAATTTAACCTTGTTTTATTTTCTTGTTGGTTTAGTTAAATAGCTTAAAACAACGTTTCTACTGCTAGAAAATTTGTAGTTTGCTGAAGTAAGGACACATACCACCAGGGTTTCGTAAATCTAAATATACTTGTTGTATACTACACTTAGTCATAGGTTATACTTGGTCGATGATTGGGAGTGTAGTTAGGCGTGGATCCAATTCTATCATAATTTTACTTGCTTTTGAGAATCATATTCCAATTGAATTACTCGATTAGTAAGGCTTTGTAGAAAGTTCTGTAGCTCACCTATAATGTCTATAATAAATGAATAAATAAATCATATTAAAATTAGTAATTTAATTCATTAAATACGGATATTAAACGTGTTATACGGGTTTTATACGTGTTTAATACGAGAGTCATCAAGTGAACGAACAAAATGAAACGACTTGACAATAATACGGATACGGAAGTTTTAAACGGATAAAATACGTACGGATACATAAACGGATAAAATACGTGCGGATACATAAACTAACTTATTTACACACGAAAGGTTAATCTAAATTATTAATAGAACCAATCGATTGAAAAACAGAAACTCTTGCTCCTAGGAGTTTAAAATCTTACCACCTAAGTCTGAATTGGAGTACTAAACTTTTCCAAGAGTCATTAATTAATTCACTCAATACGTTTGTGAATCTTTCAAACATTTTCAGTAATATTCTCATTTTTCGCTCATTCATATTCCCTAACTAACACTCTAATCTTTATGTCTTTAACTTGAGACGTACCTTCATTTCTAGTCTCCCGAGTCTTCCAAATTTTGATGTAACATGACACTCTTATTAAATCACTCGAATAGTACTGGTACAAAAACTTTAGGTAGCAAGCAGTAGTGAATATAAATAGAATGAATTGAAGGGTACAAATTTATAGTAGTATTACAGTATAATCCCACTCTACTCAAAACTAAACGAGTAAAATGAAGTAGTGGAGCAGAAGTGGATGGGTTCAGAGGCAGGGGCGGGACATGTATGAATTGGTTGGGAAGTAATGGACTAGTATTGGATGATGTCCTGATGATGAGCTGCTGCTTTTAGAATTAGGAGCCGGCGCCGGCGCCGGAAGTGATTTCTGATCCTGATCATGATCTCCATGAACATGAAGATGATGATGATTCGTCGAGGCATCGGAGACCTTGGAGGAGGGGGCAGAGTGAGAAGAAGAAACCAAACCCATTACAATCTGCGTATCTTTGAAGGTTTTTGGTTAATATTGCAAGGGTTTAGGGTTTGTTCTATGATTTCCTAGTTAGCTGGCAACAATGTTATTTATACTGGTAGTAAGGAAGGAAGGAGGGAGGAAATTTCGATCTGCAAAATAGTAACTGATGGTTATGAATATAATGGTCGCTGGGTAGAGAGGAAGCCGCCGATAAGCCGTGGGTGTCAAGGCACCAGAACTTGACTTACTTTCCTCATATGTCATCATCATCACTATGTTTGAACGACTTTTCCCGTTTCCACAAGATAGATATCTACGATTTTACTTTGGGAGCAAGGAACCGTGGGAGTTGAAAATTGTAACGTTGTGATTAGAGGTGTTATAATCGGGCCGTTCAAGTTGGGTTCAATTGGGTTATGGATTTTGAATTTTTCGGGTTGCAAGTTAGTCGAATTTCGATTGTGAAATATGTGCAGCACACAAGTATAGTTTTATAAAAAGGAGATAAATAAAACACGATTAATTATGAATTGGTTGTCTGGACATGTGTGTTGGGCTTGATGACCAGTTGCTAAAAACCAAGTGTTTCACGAGATGAGCTTTGACCCTTATCGAGTCATCTTCAACTTTGGATGGACAAGGTAATGTTCATGGTTAGAAGCAAATACGGCAATAGAGAAGAGTAAGGAGAGACACACATACACAAGATGTTTGGTTAACCGAGTTCGCGGCATACTGCTTTACGTTTAAGCTCAAAGGTGGCTTACCCTTAGAGACCTAATGTCTAGGTTTTTATCTTATTCCAATCTAGCTCAAAGGTGGCTTACTTTAGTGTTGTAAAATAACGATCATATAGTGTAGAAGTTGAAACAAATGTAGAAGCATAGAAATAGGCAAAATTAAGTTAACTTTTAAAAAACAATTTATTCTTCAATTCCTTCTTCTTCGGGTTGAGCCCGATTCAACCATCGCTTCCTTGCTAACTTTAGCTCCCTCTCACGTGCAAGTAGCCGGAGAGTTCAACGGATGTTGTCGAGTGGCTCCAAGGGTCTACTTTTCATAATGCGCTAGAAACTTGACTCACTCGTAACTATAAACTCAATCTCACTACAACTCTCTTCTCTCCTTCTCCTTTGATACCCGACAATGCACGTTTGACAGTAAGCCTTCACGCCCGTGATGTGTATAGTGAAACCGTGATCTCGGGGCAAAACGCATCGTTTCACAGTCACTTACACACTTCATGGTTTTATTGTATACTTCACCGCCACGAGCCCGTTATCCAAGCACTACACGCGAGACGTCCAAATGCATGCTCCTCGAATTTTGCTCACTTTGTTGTAATCTTCACGGTCTCCTGCCAGTGTCAATCTCCTCTGAACCTTGAACAATGCAATTTCCAGCACTTTGTCACGCTTACGATCTCTTTCATCTTACTTTCGATCCTTTCGCCCATTTCACCTGCTAAAGCCGGATACATTCATACTTAAAACATTCCAAAACCTAGCGTAAAATGGCTTCAAGGACGGTGCTATACAAGTCAAACGACAAAGTCAGAGGAATAAAAACATGTATATAACGGCTCGAATCACAAATACTCTTAGTTCAATCCCGGCTTATTAGTAAACAAATCGAATATCGAACAAGTTTTTCTCGAAACAGTGCCAAACCTTGATTCATTTGCAGCCCCATATGTTTATATATTCGTCCCATTTTTAGAAATGGGTCGGAATCAGTAGATTGGGACGAAAGAGAAGCCGATTGGAGTGCCGAGTTGATGAGATGAGGAAAAAAAGAGAGAAAAGAGGCATGATAATGCAAAGTGATGACAAATGACAATGAATCTTTTAATGAAACGCCATCCGAACAGAAAGCTCCATGGACTAGCTGCTGCCGAGCCACCGCACAATAGTGGGCTTAGTGGGGAGGCGGACGGGTAATGCAATGTCATCAACGATGATAAAGGCGGGGACCCTCATGACATATGCCTTCTCATATCATGTGAACCATAATGCTTCATGTTTATTACTATGAAAGTAAACTCATGAGTTTGAAGTTTGCGCAGGTCCGTCTTATTATGTGCTTGAAAGACAACGATTAATATTGGGGATCGTAAGGATTTTAACACGTGATCTCAAGGACAAACCAGCTCTAAAACTATGTCACAAACCAGTTGGTCCCAATAACTCGAACTATTAGAAAAAAGTTATGTTGGTTCCACATTAGTACATATAAAACATATAATACTCGGCGGCCCACGCTATTTGTTTTTTTTTTTTTTGCTTACGTATACGGACATCGATCCATCGCCCACTAGAGTTTGGGATAAGGAGAAAGCAGCCTGCGGCATGCAATGTGTAATTGTATTGTAGCAATCCATTTCCCATGCTGCCGTGATCTAATTCGAAACATGCTTACATCATTTAATTATATTAAAAAAAACAACTTAATTAACGACACACGCCACGCATACATGTGGCACATAATTGTAATTGTGATGACCACAAACAAAAGGCTAGCGTATACAAATATATAATTATCAATTCACACCTATCTTTCGATTCGAGTTATAGAATTGGAAATTCAGGTTCATCCATTAAAGTTTAGGTTTAATATCATGTCTCAAATTCTGGTTAATTTATAGTCTAAATAATAATAATAATAAAACAATGGATGTACGGTAAAATAAGCATACGCTAGCGCCTTTGTTTATGATGTCATTATTGGAGGAAACTACAATGATAATATTTATTATAACACAATATGATGATATTCAATATTCATACAACGTTCTATATACAAGGGCAATATTATGTTGTTCCTTTTTTTCTGTGTTTTTCTTGCTTCCTGGATTCTCTTGCTAGGAGCTTTTGTCTCCTAAGCAAACATCACAACAATGGAAGATTACCGAGATGATAACAACAACAACAGCAACAAAAAAAAAACCACCATCATTCGTTTCCTTCAACAAATGACGCACGCATTTGGGTTCTCCTCCATGCTCTGAACGTAGTAATGAGTCGTCATGTGAGGATTATACGCCCTGTAAGCCCTCACAAGCTCCAGCACCGGGTCCGGCGGAGGCATTGTCGCCGCCGCTCCGGCCGCCGCCGGTTGATCCTTCTTCTTCTCCTCCCCATCCTTCTTGTCCCCATCCTTCTTCTCCCCTCCGTCGCCTTCCTCCTTCTTCTCCTCCCCTTTCTTGTCCCCTTCTTTCTTCTCTCCGCCTTCTTCCTTCTTGGGCTCTTCTTCGGGCTTCTTGCCGCCGTCGTCCTCTTTCTTGCCTTCCTCCTTCTTGGGCTCCTCTTTCTTCTCGGGCTCCTTGGCCGGCCCAACTAGGATGATGTCCGTCGTGGGCCAGTACTTCCGCAGCTTGCTCACCACGTTCACTGGATCCACCGACCCTATTACCGTCATTTTCCTCTCCTTCATGTCCATGGCGATTGAATCGATTCCTGCATGTGCATGTGACAGCTGACATATCAGTAATAATTATGATATTAGCGTACAGAGAGCGGGAAAACATGTTGTCAGATATTTTTTCAGTATACAATACTGGACTGGACACTGGACTGCTCTCATCAAGTTGTTTTTACTAGACAAGAGAAGTGGCACTAAACATTCACGTGCCCACCTGATTCCCACTTGGCTGGACAGCTCGATATAACGGGTTAGGTATCTCAATATTCATATCAGTTTCTTATTAAACGTTATGGTTTAGGAAATCATCGGTAGGTATCTCAATATTCATATCAGTTTCTTATTAAACTTTATGGGTTTAGGAAATCATATCGTATCAGTCGGTCTGATCGGGAATATCATAGATTAAGCCCTAAACGCTAGGCGGTTTTAGCGTTACAAAATAGCTTATCCACGGTTTAATCATGATTTTTAGTACAAAATATCCTATCACGCAAACTTTTTCGGTATAAATTCCAGTACAGTTTCACAACCGTGGCTAAACGCGAGCCAGGTGGGTTGATTTTTGTGAGAGTAGCCAACCCATATGTTATTTCTTCAAACAAACAAAAAAAAGTGTTGATATTTAACTATTTTACAAGAACACATACTGAAAATACTTAATAAATGAATGAGAAATCGGGTCTAAATAGTTCGAAAATATAATCTTAAAATTTCTGTCGGATGAAAACTTGATTTTAGAAAGGTAAATTTTTTTTTAATAATACATATACATGTTGATACAAATCTTGATAGAAGAACCAGTCGAGAAGGGAATATGATATGTCAGAATTAATACCTCTATCACTACTACGAGTCGGATAATACTCACTTTCAAAAAGAACGAGACAGATCAAATCATCGTGAATCATGTCAGAGAAATTGTTATCAACTCCATTTACCATCAAATTATTTCATATCTAATCCATGAAAGCGAGAAGACTGAGAAGTTTTCATTACATCTACGCAACAGTGACGGTTGTGTAATTGGCAACGGATCTGAAACAAAACGACGACATATGATTGTAAAGTGCTTTGATTGTCATGCCAAAATAGTTCGCTGAGAAAAATCATAAAAGAAAGGGGTGGGTTGCATAAATGCTCAAACAATTATTTGGTTTTTTTTGCTGACATGGGGCAATTTGGGAGTTTGCTAGCATAATACGAAATATATGAACTAAAAAAAAATTGAGAGAAATGTTTGAACATCCACCATTTTATTAATAGGGTAAGAGACGTGTACATAGAACGAAATTAGATGACGGATGATGCAATATATCACCTGCTTATTACCTTTTTTATTTTTTATTTTTTTTTGTCAGCATATACATATTTAATAAATATATATTAAATAATAATAATAATTAAGAAACATGTGTACACATGATCCTGAATGTGGACTACACATTAGCATGCCAAACCTCCAACTTTCATCTACTGGAAAGTATGTTAGCATTATTATTGTATCAAATTTAGTGTAATATTATATTTAATGTTGATCACATTTCAGAGTCATAATCACTACACAAAATCAGTATTAGTTCATAAAAAATATTAATTACCCAGTTGAAGAAAAAAAAAAGCAAGATGGGTGTATGACTGAGTGATAGTGGGCGGTGTTGGCATTTATTGGATTTCTGGTAAAATCCAAACAGAAAGCTATTGGGGCGGGGGAATGAGAGAACTGATCAAGAAGTATCACTTTACCAACCAATCCCATCTACGAGAAAATTCCAACCCCAAATAATTAATTACGGACCAAGTAATTAACAATTCATATAGAGCTTAGAATTTCAACGAAATATATAATTAAGATGGGTTGGTTCAAGTTTAGTGTGAGATTATGACTGCGTACCAGACAGAGTCGACACCGTCTTGAGTGCCTTCTGCTTGGCCTTGTCATCGTTCAAATCCAATTTCAGCACCACCTTCTGCAGTTTCACACAACAATCATAATTAATAGTATCATCCTCAGATTAAACGTAAAATATAAGTTGGTTTTTTATAATTAGCTGGCTTCTGAAAAGATTCAAACGCGCGAGATCCTCATATTTCAAATTCGTGATATTATCATCGGACCAAATCGAATTTCGCGAAAACAAACACAGGACTTTCTGGAGAGTGTTGGTATTTTGATCTCTGGAAAAAAAAAAAGATGAATTCTTTACACGGAAAGGGAATCATAAATAAAACCCTTTTCCTTGATTTGGTTAAAAGGGTGGTCAATTTGTGTAAAGGGAAGTGAGTTGTGAATTATACCCAATAACCCAAAAACCCAGTAAAAGGAAAGGAGAATCTGCAGGATCAGAATAAGTGATGTGTTTAAGAGGAAAACGAACCTTCATCTTCTGGCGCTACTGTCTTCCTCCTTTCCAGATCAAAGCTGCTGCTCAATGAATGAATGAATATCAGAGAAGAATGAGAGGTTTGTGGGAGAGAGAGAGAGAGAGAGAGAGAGAGAGAGAGAGAGAGAGGGAATGGATGGTCTGAAAGGTCGGGGGAGAAAAAGTAGTAGCAGCAGCAGTAGTATTAGTACTGTGTTGAAATAGAGAGGAGGAGGAGACGAAATTGTTGGGTTTTTGAAAGATGGGAGCTTTTTTTGACGACGCCAGCAGCACAGGGTAAAAAACACAAAAAGATAAGAGGGTTGGCTGCCTCTGCTTGCCCGCTCTCTCTCGGCTTTCCGAATCAGAACAAAGAAGTGCAGACTAGGAAAGAGGAAACCCGTCCCCAAGTAATAAACACAAGTTAGGTGGAGAGGAAAATAAACAGACACAGAGAGAGGGAGAGAGTGTGTGGATCTGTGGAAGGTAGAAGGATGGGTCAAAAACAAAAGGAAGGGAAACGAAAAGTAGTGGCGGTAAAGGAATTGGGCCCACAGGCCCGGACCCATAATCTGCAGCCGCCCATCCGAAAACCAATACGATCGGCTAGAATTCCACGATCTTGTTGTGTTAATGAATGTAAGCCTAGGCGTAGCCCAAACAACGTAAAAAGATTTTGACCAATGGAAAAGAACTCTCTCTTTCCTCGGGTAACTATCATAAATGGTCACAAACCTATTCATTTTGTACAAAACGGTCACAATTTATGATAATTAGCCCACTTTCCTCTCATCTTTCTCACACCAACATGAACCGCGCGTACGTTAGACTCCTTTTCCTCGATCATGCGGAGGGTCAATCAAGGAGTGTCGGAAGCTCTATCCGTTCCCTTTTGAGCACATCTTAAAATTGAATTTCCACTAAACGGGTGAAATTTTTACTTGTACTACATAGGAACTAACATCATCTTGTAGGCTTCCCCCACCATGATTCAACTAGTATCTCTTCCAAAACTCAATTTTGTGCAATAAGAGGTCGCATCACACTTGGATTTCACCCCTTAACTATTTGTGGCGACATCGTCCTTAAGTATATTTGTCATGGTAGTATTTCGGTTCGTGATGAAGATACGATCTCGCGACAGTTTCTCAGCGGATCGGGAAATTGGAGGATTCGACAAATCAAGAATATGAAAACAAGGAAGAAAACGACACATGGATTTGCGTGGTTCGCTAATACAATTTGTGTTACCTAGTCCACGGGCAGGAGAGAGCCGGTTTCACTACACTTCGAGGAGATACAGATTACAAATGAGTATGAGAAGTATTTATAGTACTTCTCCATGGTCTAACCCTAATCCAACCTAGTAAAAGAAAAGCGGTTATAACTAGGCCCAGAACATGAACCCAAACAACTTGGGCCCATACACCATGGACGAGAAATCCCTTCATCCTTGCAGAATTCGTTGAACACAGAACTGCATAACTCCAGACCATTTTCCGTTCAAAGTCTCTTGATCTTCTTCCCGGTCTGATTCTCCACCAAGGCCTTCCGCTGCTTGAACTTCGTGAAGGCTTCACTTTTCTGCTTCATTATGAAAATCCAAGTATATCTTGAATAATCATCAATGATAGCCAGAAAATACATGCTTCCTCCAATGGATTCAACTCGTTACTTAGGGACCCCAACAGTCAGAGTGGAGGTAATCCAGTATCCCCTTGGTCCGGTAGATACCCCTTTTTAAGAAACTTAATGCGATGTAATTTCCCAAACACACAATGCTCGAAAAAAACTCGAGTTGGTGGAAAAAATTTAATAATGAATCTTATACTATTTAGTAATTAGTATTTACTAACACTTCCCTACTAACGAAAACCAACTTATACGTGCTTAAAGTTTCTGTAAATTCGAATATCATGTGCTTAACAAATGGGGTTACAAAAATTTGAACAAATAAGATATTGATCGCTCATTCTCAATTAGAATTGTCCTAAATTTCATTCTCAATTAACCATATACTAATTAATTCATTTTAAGGAACCACCGGTTACACTCTCTCTACCCCTTATTGAAATAAAATTATTTTTACAAATTAGCTATGATTTGGTGGAAATTTGTTGTAGATATTGAATAAATATATCTATAATTTTAGGCATATCATATGCACAATTATCATTTGTACATAGTTCGTTATAAAATATTAAATATGTCAATCCACAATTTATAAAGCATACATCAAATATTTGAAAGATCAACCATTTTCATTTAAATACGTATTATTTAATACCGTATTAACTATTATACTTAATTGACCATTTTCCATCCCGAGCTAGGGTGGGTCCCGAGCGGGACCCACCATTTAACCCTATGCCTCCACCCCTGATTGTGTATGTTTGCAAAGGTTCGAGGAAGGTGCTGAAAGGCGTGAAGCGTGAGACCTTGTATGCATTACAAGGGTTTGTGTTGTCAGGTTCTGTTGTTGTTGCGGTTCATCAATAAGATATGAGCACTCTGTCACACGAGATTGTGTCATATGAGTGAATGAGGGATGCGAGTTAATTTATCAAGTTTTTCTAAATACAAAATTATATCATTATGATTTAAAAAGCTAACAAATTATTTTATCGTGTATATTTTTTCTAAATGGACCCACCCTCGACAAAATTCTGGCTACGCCCCTGTACACAACTCCACCTTTTCCGTTGAAACTGAGACTCTTGATGTCGAGTAGACTCAAGGAGATTAGATTCTTCGTCATTTGTGAAACATGCCTGACTTCGTCTATGGTACAGAACGAACCATCATGTGTCTAAATCTTGGTAGACCCAATTCTAACCACCTTGAAGACAACTCCATCGGCCATAACCACCTTACCACCATCTATTTGCTCGTAGGTTGAGAATCAATCCCTATTCAAGGACGTATTATATGAGGTTGCAGTATCTAGAAATCACATATCGTCATGATGTGTCTTCTCATCTACAACCAATGCGAGATCATCTTCTGAACTGTTGTCCACTACAGCCACGACAGTTGAACCTTGGTTCTTCTGATTCCCTCTCTTTCTGGGACATTTGTACTTCCAATACCCCACTTCCTTACAGATATATGACAGACATCGCTTGACGGCGGACAGTAACCCGAATACATATTCTCGTAATCTGTCTAAGGGAACCAAATATACAAATCTTTTTTTTTTACAAGACAAATATACAAATCTTAACTAAAACCAACAATCTAAACTAAGTATAAATTTGTATTATAGACAATGAGCCGATAATTATGACTATGAAATCCATGTTAATTAATTTTAATCGGATTGTATTAAATCTTCACTATATGAATGAATACTTGGAATCAATAAAAATCTCAAAATTTCTAAAAATATAATTTAATCTAATTAAATATTTTGGGCAGGCTACAAGCTAATTATTATTAATCTCTCGCGCCTGTTTTGACGCGGTTCGCGGGTCTTGTTTTTGGGTTGGTTTGTTCTTTAGTCAGCAACCTAAAAATATCTTCAACAGCATCCCTCTTTTCTTACGATCCCCAAAAACCCTAACCCCAAATTTAGACTCTTCTTCTTATTATTACAACCTGATTCCGAGCCGCCTGTTTCTAATTAGATTGTAATTTAATTAATTAAAAACCTTCCTCGTTGAAATTTCTTTCAACTCCAATAGCCAAAAAAAAAAAAAAAAAGGAAGAACAGAAAACGAAGAAAGAAAGAAGACGAGAGTTTTCCGATCGCCCAAATTCCATCCAACAACTAACTACCGCTTCCCTGATTTCTCATCTCCTTCCCCAATTGAGAAATTCGTTCTGCCCATATCTGTAAATCCGTCCCTAGTAGCCATTCCTGTTTTCTTCTCTCCCCGTTTTTCCAGTTTCCGTTTCCCTCTTCGCCCAATCGGAATCGTCGCCATTTTGTTTTTCCTCATCGGAAGAAAAACCCAGATGGGTCACCAGGAGCACGAATCCAATTCCTACAGCATCATCTCCAGCTCCTCGTGGCTCGAAATCCGGCTCTTCTACGTCCGGATCACCCCTTGCGTCACCGACACCGTCCCCGACCATCTAACCCTCCGCCATCTCCGCCGCGAGAGCAGCACCCCGCTCGAGATCAACGGCTCCAGGATCCCCGCCGTCGACTCGGCCTGCGTCAACCTCCGCCGGGACCGCCTCAACAAGGACTCCTCCGAGGTCACCTACGTCAGCACGGACACCGTCCGCGTCACGGGGGCGCTGGAGTTCGAGGTCCTGGAGAACGCCGAGCTCCTCCTCTGCGGCTCCTTCGAGAGGATGGAGTCGGCCTGGGGGAACGGCGCCGTCGGCACGGAGAACGATTCCAAGACCGGGTGGAGCATGGAGTGCTACGTCGCGGCCTCCGTCGGGGAAGGGAGCTCGCTGTTCTTCCAGCCGCGGATGGGGGTGTCGGCTCCGGCAATCGAGGTTTACATCGCCGGCTGCTGTGGCGGTGTGCCGGTCATATTGACCAAGACGATTATGGTCAGCCCCAGGAAGAAGGTGTCCAGGCATGCCGCCCTGGATGCGATTCCGGAAGATGAAGAGATGGAGAAGGAGGAGGAGGAGGGGGAGAATGAGCGGATTGACGGCGGCAGCAATCCCTTGTCGCCTGGCCTGCGAAAAGTCCCGGTATTGAATTCAATCCTTCTTCTCCCCTCTGGAGTCATTAGTGTCTTCTTTCGTATTGAATTGGTACCTTGCTTTGAATTAGAATTAGTCCCCCTTATCATTTTAGGCCATTTAGGATGGATCGAATTCTCTCGATTGTGGATTCTGTATTTGCTGCTATAAGTTCCAAATTCTGTGATTGTGTTGGCTTGCAAAGCTCCCAAAATTCTGAATTGTTAATCTCCATTGGAACTAAACATGGATCACAATTTCTTCCTCGATCAGTGAACTTTGGTTTGGGAACCTGCATTTCCTTTGTTTGTTCCATCCACTTGTTCACTTGTTGAATTTGCCTCATGAAATGATAAAAGACCAAATTCAAATGGGTTCCCATAGTGATGATGATGGATTTTGTAGTATGCGTGCAGATGTAGAGAGGAGTAAAGTAGAAGGTAGGGAGTGTGTGTGCGTCGCTGTTCGGTAAATTTGATAGGTTACAGGGTAATTAAGTTTCCACAGGGTTCTTGTAGACCATTACTCCCTTGCCCACATTTGTTTTTCGGCCTCCATGCACATTCTTGAATGGTTGAACAGAACGTGAATCTACCGTGGCGTGTGCGTCGCAGATGTAGAGAGGAGTAAAGTAGAAGGTAGGGAGTGTGTGTGCGTCGCTGTTCGGTAAATTTGATAGGTTACAGGGTAATTAAGTTTCCACAGGGTTCTTGTAGACCATTACTCCCTTGCCCACATTTGTTTTTCGGCCTCCATGCACATTCTTGAATGGTTGAACAGAACGTGAATCTACCGTGGCGTGTGCGTCGCAGATGTAGAGAGGAGTAAAGTAGAAGGTAGGGAGTGTGTGTGCGTCGCTGTTCGGTAAATTTGATAGGTTACAGGGTAATTAAGTTTCCACAGGGTTCTTGTAGACCATTACTCCCTTGCCCACATTTGTTTTTCGGCCTCCATGCACATTCTTGAATGGTTGAACAGAACGTGAATCTACCGTGGCTGCAACTTCTCTGTGCTCATGATTAGTTTTTTTACCCATGTTTTGTCAGTTGTTGATATCGTAGAAGTTTAAACCGATACATTTTGCTATAGTTATTGCAGCGTCCACCTAGGCATATGGTGATGAATTGATGATATTCAGTATAGCAGGCAATGGAATGCTGACAGATGTATCATTTCCTTGTGCAGAGTAGCGGATCAGAAGATGAAGAAGACTATGAACCAGACATGAAAATTGGAACCAGATACTACCCTGATCAGGACATGTATTATGGTGAGGATGGCCAGCTCTCTTGGTTTAATGCTGGTGTTCGAGTTGGTGTTGGGATTGGCCTTGGCATGTGTGTTGGGATGGGAATTGGGGTTGGACTGCTGATGCGTTCGTACCAAGCAACTACCAGGAACTTTAGGCGGAGGTTCTTCTGAGCGCATTTGCTTCCCCATTTGATTAAACAAGTGAAGTCAAATTCCGGATGAATAAACAGAAGGTTATCTTGCAGAACTGGATATAACTTTCTGTCGGGTACCTTGAGATTTGTGGAGAGTGAAATAAGAGCAAGAAGGTTTATGTCACAAGAATACAGAGTTTTGGTAGATAAAATGGGAGTTGCTGTACAGTATTTTTCTCTTCAGTAGAGTGTCCTACAATCTTCCTCAACGAGGAAGCTCGAATGCTAGTCAAGAAGGATCTCCATGCTGTGACCCTGCTGCTACTTGCTGAACTTTTTCATTGGTGAGAGGTGTGAATGCAGGTTTCGTCTGCACCATTTGAGAGCAGTAGAGTTCTGATCACTCCTGGAACTGGAAGAACTGAACATGATATAGTTGGCTCGAGTGTTCGTGCAGAAGCGAGTTTGCTTCACATACTTAGCTACTTCTTTGAGTCTTGTAGAATATTTGTGGTGTTGTTGTCACCCTTCTGTTTTTCCTCCCAATCTGGCTTTGTATTTACCCTTTCTTTTTTTCTTGATTTTGGGCTCCTTTTCCAGAAAGCGTGGCAGTTTTAGGTTTTCCTTGTAAAAACGAACTCCTGCTTTTTGCTATAATCTAACATTCGATTCATTTGTTTGAAAACATGCAAGGGTATATTTATTAATACGACGTAAATAACACAAATATAGCGTGAATAACACAAATGTAACGTAAATAATTTATAATTAGGTGTTTTGTCACCTGACGCGACAACATACTTCACTTCTTACTATTTGACAATCTGTATTTTTGAAAGGCAAACAACTCCTAATAGTACACGTAAGAAACAAGAAGTCAAAAGGAGAAGAGAGGGTCTGATACGGATCTGGACATTTTAACCTTTTCCTGCAGCTGAATTAAACAAAGAGAAAGAGAAGAGAAGCACAACATCATCCCTCACTCTTTAGATTTTGCACTTCACGAACCCAACCAACCAACCCGCTTCAACTCAACTCAGTCAGCAACTCAGGGAAAAAAAAATGTGCCTTTCCGCCCAAAACCCGGCGAGAAATGCCCAATTTCTGCTCAACATTAAACCCTAACCACCGCAACCATCTCCCGCCCAACTGTCTCAAACCACCGCGATCGCCATCTCCGTCGGAGGCCGTGAGAGCAGAGAAGGGCAAATGGCTGCTAACTCCAGATCCTCCGGGGCAATAACCATGTCCCACCGCAACAATCCCGCGCCATCGCCGCTCCCTCTAGTGGTCACTCTCAACTGCATCGACGATTGCGCCATTGAACAAGACTCCCTCTCCGGGGTCGCCACCGTCGAACACGTCCCGCTCAGCCGCCTGGCCGATGGCAAGATCGAATCGGCCTCCGCCGTCCTCCTCCATTCCCTGGCTTACTTGCCGCGAGCGGCCCAGCGGCGTCTCCGCCCCTACCAGCTAGTCCTCTGCCTTGGCTCCGCTGACCGCGCCGTGGACTCTGCTCTTGCCGCCGACCTAGGGCTCCGCCTCGTCCACGTGGACACCTCCAGGGCCGAGGAGATCGCGGACTCTGTGATGGCTCTGTTCCTCGGGTTGCTCCGCCGGACTCACTTGCTTTCTCGCCATGCCTTGTCTGCTTCGGGTTGGCTGGGGTCCGTACAACCGCTTTGTAGAGGTATGAGGAGGTGCAGAGGGCTGGTTTTGGGGATCGTCGGTAGATCTGCTTCTGCAAGAGCTCTGGCCAGTCGGAGCTTGGCGTTCAAGATGAGCGTTCTTTATTTCGACGTTTACCAGGTGCGCAATGTTCGATCTTAGCGGTTCGGCAGGTTGTTGATTTGGTTCAATGTGTGTGTTTTGAGGATTCATACTCCAGATAATCCTTCAAGGGGACTGAGGAAATGAAGAAAGCATGTTCTTTTAACAAATAAAAAAAAAAAAAAGGTATTTCAGGTGAATTGATCGTACATGTAAATCATCAAAAGCTAGTTTTATTTGTAGTGAAAATGTTTTGACAATATATTTATGTTGGGAAAATCCAACTAAAATTGATTAATCCTCAGCTGAGGAGTAATGGCAAGCTTCTTTTTGTTGTCCAGAAGATCTGTTGATTAGTTCCTAAATAGGTGCTTTGGTGAATTTGCTGTGCATAATGCATATGAAGAACTCAGTTGCTTCATGAATTTCTCTACACATTGGTCTGGGGAAACCATAGACTGTAAACTATTAGAGTATATATTGATTGATGCGAACTGCTGTTAATTTTTAGTCCTGTTAAACTGGAATGTGAGGTATACATTATGTGCTCAGTTCTGTGATTCTATAGCTCGTTTCTCTTTCTCATTTTTTTATGAGTCTGGAACTGGGGAAAGCATGAAACAGAGCAATTGTTATGTTATCTTGGTCTCTCCTTTAAGAAACATCGTCTTCTTCATTGCTTTTCTTTGATTCTGCTGCAAAGGGATTTGCAATTGGATCTTTTCAGCGAGTAACTTTCAACTTGTGTGCATGTATGCAGGGGAATGGACAAGTCAGTAGGTCTCCTATCAGCTTTCCGTCAGCTGCTCGAAGAATGGATACTCTTAATGATTTGCTAGCCGCTAGTGACCTTATCTCTCTTCATTGTGCTTTGACAAATGAGACAGTTCAGATAATGAATGCAGAGTGTTTGCAGCATGTAAAGCCTGGTAATACATTTTCCTCCTTTAAAGAACTAATGTAGCTTTCTTCTGATTAGTTGGCTGTGGATTATAAGGTTGTCTTTTTGTTGGATACAGGGGCATTTCTTGTGAATACAGGCAGCAGTCAGCTACTGGATGACTGTGCTTTGAAGCAGCTTCTGATCGATGGGACATTAGCTGGGTGTGCTTTGGATGGTTATGAAGGACCACAGTGGATGGAAGCATGGGTATGTATGGGTTCTTGATGTATTGGTCTCCCATCCTTCTCCAAATTTTGGATTCTTCTATCGACTCTTAACTGAATTGTAATATCAGACTGAGATCAACCAAAATTGCAGGAGCTGTAATATTGTGGGTTTAATTACCTCCTATTTCTCACGGTGCCAGAGAGCTGCAACATTTTTCTGTTGGAAAGTTGTAGAAGTCATAAGCAAGCCTGATATTGGGTTTAAATTTGAAGCCAAAACCCTATTAAGTCCATCTGAAGAGAGCAGTGGTTTGCTTGGATTCGTCACTAAGGGTTTTTGGTTTCAGGAAGCTTTTGAGTTGTGGCAATTCAGGGTTTAAGTGTGTGGCCTAAAGTTGTCTGTTTTAGCTAGGTTCATTTCATTGTACTGCTGTAGGCAGTATTTCACTAACATGGAAACATATCATAGCCTTCTGATCTATATATTCTAACATTTGCTTCAGGTAAAAGAGATGCCCAATGTATTGATACTTCCTCGCAGTGCAGATTACAGTGAAGAAGTGTGGATGGAGATACGGGAGAAAACAATTTCTATATTGCAGTCCTTTTTCTTTGATGGAGTTATTCCAAAGGATGCAACCTCTGATGTTGAAGAGGAGGATGCAAGTGAATTAGGTGGCGAAGACAGTGAAATGTTCCACAAAGAAGATGGAGAAAGTTCTGTGCGTATGACTGATGAAGTTAAGTTGAGTCCAGACAGTGGCCATAAAAGAGCTGTAGATCATCAGTCATCCGAATCTCCTGTTCTGGCTCAGGTTTCTGGCTTGTCGTCTCAAAATACAAACACAAGGTCTGAAGGGAGACGCAGCAGATCAGGTAAAAAGGCTAAAAAGAGACATGGCCGCGCAAAGGCACAGCAGAAGTCAAGTGATCCATCCCAATTGGAGAAAGAAAGTACTTCACATCAAGAAGATGATACCGCACTGAGTGGCACCGACCAAGTGTTGAGTTCTGGGTCACGTTTTGCTTCACCTGAAGACTCCAGAAGCAGGAAAACACCTATAGAGGCTACCATACAAGAGCCCTCTTCTTCTGATCAGTTTTTAAGCTCAAGCAGGCAGCAGGGCAATGTTAGGTCATGTGAGCTGCTGAAAGATGGATGTGTTATAGCTCTGTACGCAAGAGACAGACCAGCACTCCATGTGTCTAGGCAAAGAGTTAAAGGAGGAGGTTGGTTTTTGGATGCCATGTCATCTGTCACCAAAAGAGATCCTGCTGCGCAGTTCCTTGTTGTTTACAGAAACAAGGTTTGTTCAGCAGAAAGTTCAACTTGTTTATCTCCTGGCCATGCTTCCCTGGGTTTTGCCACAGGATTTTAGTTTACTTAAATAACATTGATTTATTGCTTCAGGACACAATGGGGTTGCGATCTTTTGCTGCAGGCGGAAAGCTGTTGCAGGTACTTTTCACATATAATGATCAAACTATTAGAATATGTGTTCAAGTGCTACTCTGCATCTGTTGACTATCTTTACATTAAGTGATATTGTTCTTGAAATGTGTTTGAGCAGAACACACTTATATCATTGTCATTGGTGGTTGAAGCAGATCCTTGTGTAGCCTGATTGGATAAATATACTTTGTTTCCCTCGATGCTCTCTCATATGGCTGCCAGTAATAAGCAATGACTTTCCCTATATAGTACATAAGGAATCGGCTAACTCCGTTATAGTGAAGGCTTGGCGGAAGTGTAAATGTTATTGCTGTGTGAGTTTGCACTTTAGAGCAATAGGTATCTGCATCAGAACCAAATTGGATATCCTAGTTTAGGAATTTTTATAGAAAGAAGGTTTTTATCATAATGGTTAGTGTCTGTATCTTTTTGCTAATTCTTTATCTCCACAAGGCATGACATACTTTACTGGGTGGTAACTGCTCCTGTAGTCTCACCTGGCATCATTACATAGTGGCTGGAGCAAGGAGTAGTGCGAATGTGTGTTACTCACATTTTTATTGGAGACTAAGTCTAAAGTTTGGGAATGCAGATAAACAGAAGGATGGAGTTTGTATTTGCAAGTCATAGCTTTGATGTCTGGGAGAGTTGGATGATGGAAGGATCATTGGAAGAATGTAGGCTGGTTAACTGTAGAAATCCTTTGGTAAGTTTATCTCTCTTCGCCCTTTCCTTGATGTTCTCCTTTTCCTGTGGATGACATGCGTTATACAAATCCTGCCCGTTCTGTGATAATATTTCTGGCAAGTGCATGCTATCATCGCTTCTACAACTATGTGTCTTCTAAGTAGTGTTAATCATGATCGTGATGAGCTGTGCTCTTGCTCCTTCGCAACCACTATAGTCTTTATAGGGAAATTTTCCTGTAAAGCAGAAAGCGTAAAATAAGAATAAGGTGGTGAAAGCGATTGATTTTTCTCATGTTGTCAAAAACTGCAGGCTGTTTTGGATGTACGTGTTGAGATTCTTGCAGCTGTAGGAGAAGAAGATGGAGTTACTCGCTGGCTAGATTAGGCCATATATAAAACAACAGAGTTGAGTACTCTTGTTAAACTTCATTCTGCAAATTTTGGTTTTTAACACGCATATGTAGTTGGTCGGAAACATTTGTGTAAATCAATTTCTCCCCATCTTCTTCCGTGTTGGCATGTGCTGCTTTTTAGTCAGTCTCCCTATCTTCTTGCCTTTACTACCTCTTTTCATTTTCTTGTTGGGATTGTGTTGTCTTTGTTTTTTGTATTATTGAAATGTCAACAGTATTTGTATGGAGTTGATGATGATTTGGATTTTGATTTGTGATCTCTTGATGAATGAAAGTACCTTGGTTTACGAGAGATGTTGCTACTCGGCACTCGCTATATATAGCTTCTCCGGAAACCAGTAATGGCGATGGGATCATCGGAAGCTTGTTTGCTTCACCATAGATGTTCAAGTTCACATTTCAGTTCTGGTGTTCATCCATTCCAGAAGCTTATTTGCAAGATGGTGGAAGATATTACGATCGAGGTAGGTTGCAGGTGTCTGGAGGACAAAAGCCACTTGTGTTAATGTGGTAAAGTTGAGCTTGAATTTCTCATTAATCTTGGTGGTGGTTTAGTTTACAGTTCAAGTTAGGATAAGTATCTGGTGCGCTACATTATAAGATGTTTCAGATATGCCAGAAGATAAATACAGTCGGATATTAACAGAACATGAACACATTGGTCGCATCTTATCACGCCTCCACAAGCGGAATGTGGTCAACGTGGAGCTTGTTACAGAAGCTCTGTAAACAATGTGTGGCCAACGTGGAAGCTTGGTACAGGAGGATTAATTTTCCTATGCTTCGACTGCTATTGGAAAAATTGGATTTCAGACACACGATCACTTGTCAAACCAGCTCTGGTATCATGTCATAAACCAATTAGTTCAATAACTCGAGTTATTAGGATAAGGTTATGCGGGATCTTATACTACTTTCTTACACTTTTCACTTATGTAATGTTAATATACGTGTAATTGGTAACATATTTGCTGAAGTTATAAAGAAAAATTATTACCCATGAATAACCATGGATACCCGAAACTCGATTTTCTACCCAATTCTTATGTGGATGTGGATATAGATAAAATCCGAATTAACTTGGGTAAGATAATGAATCTGCATTATCCATCCCGACTCAATCGGTTGCCATTCCTTTACTGCCAAGCAAGGTTGTCAAACCGGTTTAAGTAAGGGGTTTGAGGTTTAATGGTATGATCGGGGTCCGACCGGTTTGAGCCGTTGTATAAGTTTTCTAAATATATATACAAATACGGTAGTAATTAAAGATTTAATGACTGAAATGAAATTTATCTTACATGTATCTATTTAAAACTTATTTTCCACAACTCAAATCTACCTAATCTCTATGAATCACCCACCATCTCCCTTCCTTCGGTCTTCTTCCTCTCTTCCCCCTCTCTTCTTCTCCCGACTGGGGGACTTGTTGTAAACCGTTTTGAAACCCGACTTAGATCAGATCGGGTCCAACCGGGAGTCCGATAGGGATTTGACAACCTTGTTGCCAAGACTTTGGACGTTCCCCCTTTGGAAATCGATTGGTTAATTGATCGGGGCGACTTGGGTCTTCAGTAGTGTATTGGGCCAGCGTCCAGCGTTTTCGGTGGGCCTATCTGCCCAACCAGCATCAATATTCAACAGCAACACCACATTGATGTTATCATTTGACGCCCAATTTATCGACAATCTCACCAGTTTTCCCATTTAAAGTTTGCCGGTAAACGGAAAAGTTGGCGTCTGGCCAGACCGGAAATGCCACTTGCACAATAGGTGGTGAGTGGTGGTGACTCCCATTGGGCCCAAGGGACAGGTGTCCGGCCCAAATAATTGTAGATACGGTAAATTCCGTCCTCCTCCCAATTTTTCTCTCTCTTCTCCCCCACTCTATAAATTTACGCCACACATTCCCCTCTAGCTCCCTGTTCATTGTCTGACTTGCAATTTGCAAACTCCCTCAACAAAAGCAGAGCGCACACAGCCACAAACTTCAAAACGTACTAAAAGCGAAAAAACCTAACCGCCACACAGCAAAAGCAGAGGAGGAAAAAAAAAAAAAAAAGGCGCGCGCCGCGTCTGATTCTCGAGCTTTTTTTGGTATCCCTGAATCCGCACTCCGGCTTTCTTTTTCCGTCTTCGATTCGATGAATAATCCCGTCAATTCTGGCGTTCCCGGACCTCCTTCGGTTCCGCCGGCGGCGGCGGCGCCGCCAATCACCAGCACGTCCGCCAGCACTCTGTCCTTCGGTGACGATCCTAGCAAGAAGATTCGGAAGCCGTACACGATTACGAAGTCGAGGGAGAGCTGGACCGAACAGGAGCACGACAAGTTTCTAGAAGCTCTGCAGCTGTAAGTTGGAAATTTGCCCCATCCCTGTGATTCTTACTAGCGATTTCCTGCTCTATTCTCGCCTCTTTGCTTTCTCTGATTTTGTATTCGAAGTAAATGGAAATTTTGATGTGGATTGTGGAATCACGCCGCCATTTTTTTTTTTTTTTCATTTTTCAATTTCGTTCTCTTCATCCCCTGTTTTTGGTAGTTGATTTAATCAGTACTTACTAGTTCTCTGAACTGACGAGCTCTAGGATAGGCGAATCTGATTATTTCTGCCTTGCCTGATTATCATAGTTACTTGGATTGTTTGTTGATTACTGGCTAGGTTCTGCAATTTCAATCTTTGATGTACTTCCTCTGATACCAACGTTCTCTGTAGCTGAACTTTTGCTTTAGTTGACGAAACAGTCCGTGATGTAGCAGTTCCTAAGCATCTAGCAAGTGGCTGCGAATTCTTTCCCCAGAAGATTTTTCGGGTCTAATGCTTCTGACATCCTTTTTCATGGATTGCTGTTACAGATTTGATCGCGATTGGAAGAGAATTGAGGCCTTTGTTGGGTCGAAGACAGTGATTCAGGTGAATTACTTTCTTGAATGATGATAATCGACCCATTCCGTTTGCATCGGTTCTCTTGATAGCGCTCAGCTCAGCCTTCTATGCGATGTTATGCTGACTTCAGATTGTTTGTTCCATTATGTTTGGTTTACTTCCTATTGTTTGCATCAAGTCTAGCGGTTATTTGTTGTCAGATACGCAGCCATGCGCAGAAGTACTTTCTGAAGGTTCAGAAGAGTGGCACAAGCGAGCATGTGCCTCCACCGCGGCCGAAAAGAAAGGCATCTCATCCTTACCCGCAGAAGGCTCCTAAAATTGGCAAGTATTCGAAACATGGTTTCCTTATATTGTTTAAAACTGTTACTGCTCGATGGCTGAGTGATAACACTTTGTTTCTGACACTTATGCAGCTCCTGTTGTTCCCCAACTCGCTGGTCTTTTCCCCGCTTCCATTGAAAATGGATACATTTACAGGCCAGACTCGTCTTCGGTTCTTGGAAGTCCCATGTCTGGTGGAGCTTTATCTTCTTGGAACTATTACTCTATGCCACAAGTAGCTCAAGGTATCATTTACTCATATTCCCGTGCTTCTTTATGCGTCCTTTCTCTCACTTTTGGTACTTGGTGCATTTTTAGATTCCATTCTGCGATGCTAGTGGCCTGTGCATGCTAAATTTAATCTTTTTTCGCACGAAGACGATACAGGGGTAGTTGGAACAGCGACTGCAAATACCTGTTGCTATAGTAGTAACAATGAAAGTACGCCAAGGACATGGCCACCTCACCAAATAGTTCACAGAGAAGATCAGAATAAGGCAGTTAGAGGTTTGTCTCACTGTGCTTGCTTGAACCAGTGGTACAAGCGTAAAGTATGGCATTATGTTTTACTGGATACATTCTTAAGCATACAAAGCAACACAGGGGAATATCAGAGGCGTTCTGCTGAAGACATCGCGCCTACTGCTTTTTTCTTCCACCTCGTTGTCTCTGCAGAGTTATTTTAGGATTTATCTTTTTTCTCTGGGTTCTTGGTGCCTAATTGTGGAGAATGTTAGGAGGGGGTTCTTCTCACTTCTCCTGACTCTGCATTGCACCGAAATCGCCTCGCTACGATTTCACTTGCATTTCCTTTGGCTGCAGTAATTTATCTTTACATTCTATTCGACTTCGTTTACCTGCAGTAGCTGTCGATCAAAAGCTGCCGCGTTTGATTGTCCGTTTGTTGACGTCACAAGTTTCCAAAACTGATTTGGTTGTTCTGTGAAAAATGCAGTGATGCCGGACTTTGCTCAAGTGTACAGCTTTATTGGGAGTGTTTTTGACCCTAGTGTGGGTGGCCACGTTGAGAAATTGAAGCAGATGGATCCTATAAATCTCGAAACTGTACGTAATTTTGTTTCCTCCATCTATATATTTTGCTGTTCTTTTTGTGGGAGTAAATAGAAGCACTTGCTAACTCGGATTGTCGATTTGGATCTCTTGCAGGTGATGTTGTTAATGAAGAACCTGTCCTTCAACTTGGCAAGTCCTGATTTTGAGGATCATGTAAGTACTTTTAACACGTTTTGTCGCATATATCCGTGATCATATTGCATCTGTTATTGATATTGCATTCTCTGATAACGGCTATACAATGTTCGTGCATCATATCAAAACAGAGAGAAGTGCTGGCATCGCACGATCCAGCTACAGAAAGAGGAAGCCCTTATGGTAATAAAACGCCTGATACACCGGGGAGTGCAATTCCGGCAGTCTGAAATGAGAAGTAAATGAAGGTCTGCCACAAACCTTTGGTTGTCTGGGGATGGGGACTGAACTGTTACTGAGAATGATTCAGTTCCCCCTTGTGGATCTGTTGCCCCAGCTCGTGATGCCACCAGACCGAAGTGAAAATGGACGTGAACATTGTGTGGAGGACCGACCGATCATATGGCTCGCCGTTGGTGGTTTCCGAAGGTCTTTTATGTTGGTAAATATGCAACTCCTGCAATCTCGTTTGTACATAGTTACAGCTCTGCTCTCTTATTGGGTAGTACCTGGCAAACTTTGCCGGGATACTTTTACTTGCATCGACAGAGGCTTCCTTCCATGTTTTGGTGTAGGGGTTTTGACCTGTGAGATTCGTGTGCCGAGTAAATTGCTGTTGCTGTGTAATATTTTTGTTTCGAGCCCAGAAGTGTCTCCTGCAGGAGGTTGCCCCAGTGCGACTTCAAGTTAGTGTGCTTGCCGGTGCCTTGCTTAGGTTTGGGCTTACTTTGCTCGTTAGTTTCCCAAATGTTAAGTGACTCGTATCTTCCCATTGTCGTGTGCCTCGACCAGTGTTTGCGAGTGCAAATTTCTAAGTTGCAGGACGTAATACATTTTCGGCGTCCGTGTTGCCTCTGGACTACGGGGTGGGCATTGGTACGGTCGAACCGATTCAAATAGCACCAAATCGCTTATGCGGTTGAGCCAAATTGTGCAGTAAGACTTGCGGTTTGAAATCGCAAACCGCAACTAAATTATTCGCTCATCTGTTCTTGGTCACCTCCGCTTTTAGAGGCTGATGTTTTGTACGAAGGTGGATGTCACCAACAAAATGAAAGCAGCATGTAAGCAACATCAGAAGAAGCTGTAGACAACTTCTTCTTTCTTGTTTTATGATCTTGGCTCAAATTTACCATGCGCTGTTTCTCTTACCCATGTCAATTATGAGTAACGATGAATCCTGTGAAAAACACGATCACCATCTTAAGGCAACGTCGGCCTGTGTCCTTTGGAACAACTGAGCAAGCGTTCCAGACTTCTTAGCAAACCGCTTAAAATCAATCATAGATGCTCTCCCTCATGTCCGACTTCATCTTCTTCGTCATCACGTCTCCTGCACTTTCATCAAGATTAGCTTGGTGTCATCACTTCTCAGTCATCACTTCTCCTTTCTTTATTTCGCAATTTTTTTTTATTTCTTTCTTATCCTACTGGCGGTAATTGCTGGATTAATTGACATGGTAAGAGGAACAGAGCATGGTAAATTTGAGCCAAGATCATAAAACAAGAAAGAAGATGCTACAACTTCTTCCGATATTGCTTACAGGTTGCTTTCATTTTGGTGATGACATTCACCTTCATATAAAACAGTAGCCTCTAAAAGCGGAAGTGAGCAAGAATAGATGAGCGAATAATTTAGTTGCGGTTTGAAATCGCAAACCGTGTGGTTTCGGACAAATCCGATCGCAAATCGCAAGCCGCTAAAAGTTCAGACCGCATATTAGACTGCAAGTCTTACGGTGCGGTTTGGAGTGGTTCGACCGCACCAATGCCCTCTCCTACTTGGAAATGGGCGTTTAGTTGTTTTTGTTTTGTTTGGTTGCTGTGAAAGTGGAGGGAAGAATAGGACTACAAGATGCTCTTGATTTCAGTGTAATGAATCAACATAGCTTAGCAGATATCATGAATGCGGTTTTGGAAACAACTCGATCTGACCAACCTTATTTATTATCAATTGACATGAATCTTGAAATCGTATAAAATTGCATTAATCGTAGATTTTAGAGATTTTGAAGTTTTTAATTGGAATTTTAAGGCTCAAAGATTTAGTAGTAAAATCAAGGACGCATAGGCAAAATTGTAATTTTAAGATTATAATCAGGATTTTGACTATATTGCTATCAATAATTGGCTAGTTGGGGAAATCTTGACGATTGGAGAGGTTTAACTCAATACATCGAAAGCTAAGAAATGTGCAAAGACAATGATTACGCAACTCATGCAAGGGGCAAAAACACACCTTCCAGACTCACAAGTAATGTAAAATTAATATACATTAACACTTTATGTTACTCTTTACATTCTTATATAATTCAAGAAGTAGAGGGGTAACTTGTGGAATATAGATTAATATGCCTTATACGATAAATTATTATGTCATTAATGAGTCGAAGCCCACTCGAGGAGGCCCATAACCCCTATATAAGGAGGCTCAAGCCCTCCAAACAATGGATCTTCTCCCCTTCCTCCATTTTGGACCACTCAAGGTTTCCCTCTAAACTCTCTCTACATTCACATACCACCTTCATATCTTGTACTAACTTGAGCATATGAGCATAGATCAAGGGACCACCCCCTTATGTCCACAGGTTCCTCCACTCCCGAAGAAATCAAACGACAGGGTTCATATCAAAACCCTTAATTACTACTATCAACTAGGTCTCACGATTTAAGTAGAAACTGAAATGACCATTAGATTATGAAATCCTTTCGCTTAAGACTTTCGAAGATGAATTGCATAGATGGATTTGACGATGAATTCCTCTTCGGTGGTGGTAGGGATCTTCATGGGGCAGGTAGAGGTATCATGGAGAGAGAGATGTGAGAAAGGAGAGAGAAAATATACGACAATGAAGGGGAAAGGATATGAACCTGAAAACTATATTTTACGTTTTGAAAAACTATTGATTAATTTATTCTCCGATAAATTATAACCTTATAATTAATATTTAAATCTAAACGCTCTTAGAGTAAGGTTAGCACCTAATCTCATTCAAGTCGCAAAAAATATTTTTTTTTGGGTGTAAACGACCTCTAAATTATTAAGAGGAGGGATTGAAGTTGGTATTGGTTAAAAAAAAAGTGTACTAAAAGCACACCAATTTATAAGTTCGTGTTCTTTCCAACCAATTATATGGCTTTATCAAAGGAAAGGTTGCGGATTCGGTAGACATCCCGGATACATTGCTCATTCGGGCTTTTGACTGAGTTGTTCGGAGGGAATGACTTTCTTGCTTGGCACATCTTGTGGCCCGTTGGCTAATCCTCGTTGAGGAAGCGTTTTGCTTGAGATTGTAGGAGCAAGGATTTTGACATAGTTGTTTTCAATTTTTATAGATATTCGGTCATTTGACGCTATTTGTTTGTTCATTTTGTAGGTGCAGCTGCTCATAGGGCTGTCCATCTTGTGGCAAAACCGACCCTTTCATCGGTAGTTCGACTATTTGTCGACTACCGCACAATGTTATTTTATGTTTTTTGACTCTGTATTGGACATGGATTTACCTGGCTACTGTCTCTCTTACCCCCTGTTCTCGAAAGATGGAAGGAAAATGGAGGGGAGGGGATTAGGAGGTGAGGGATAATTTGGAGGTTAAGGAAAATGGAAGGAAAATTGTGTTTTATGGAGGAAAGTGGGAAGGAAAATGTGTATTGGAAATTGTGATGGTTATGTTATTTTATTGGGTTATAATAGTAAAATAATTTTATTATATGTTAATATTATTTTCTTGCTTTTGGAGAAGGGGAAGCACGCACGAAGAAGGTGAAGGGGAAAAGAGAGAGAGGAGAGAGATGGTTGAATTAAATATGATGGTATTAGTTTTCTCTTGTTTTTGGAGGGATTGATGGTGCAGTAAATTTTCTTTTCTTTTCCCTAACCCCCTTCTTTCAGAAACAGGGGAAAATACATTGGGAATTTAATTTCCCTTCAAACACTTTCCTTCACCCCCTTTTCCTCCGTAAAAAAACAGGGGGTTAAAAAAAAAACCTAACCGCCTTTGGATCTGAGGGATCGTTTGGAAGTTGAGATTCTTTTTTTTTTTTATGAAGGGAAGTTGAGATTCTTTAAATATGTGTATTTGATGAATACATGTATTATAAATACAAAGATTCTAAGAATTATATGATTGGATGAATGTCTTGTTTGTTTGTAGCTATTCAAAATTTTTAAAGAAAAGAAAAAATCACTTCATGAGCTAAAAGTGAAATAAATTAAATCTCACATTCTCAAAGGAATAATCTCACCATTTTACTGAGATTTAAAATGAGTGATTGTGTGTGATATGAGATTTGAGGGTACACCACAAATACATGTATTGTATAAAATTTTGGAACAAAAAAATGAATTCTCCAAAATACATAAATTCAAAAAATCATTCATCTATAATCGTAACTTCCAAACCAACACCAAGACAAAGGAAGCTTCCAATTAGATAACAGCGTGCAAAACACGCGCCATTTTCCGCTGTAGAAGAGCCGGTAGAAAAAAGAAATCCTTCGTTATTGAATCTAAATTCTGTTTAGTGTCTTTTTTCCAGCGTCATTTCTGCATTTCTCTGCTCATTCGTCGCTCTCCCTCTCTCCGCAACACGCCCTCTTCGATCCAGAAAAAAAAGAGCTTTGAGGTTGGATATTGAAACCCTAATATTCAGTCTCTCGGTTTCTGTGCTTCTCTTTGCCATCTGTGGTGACTTGCAAGTTTTGTAGATTACATCACAAAAACCCTAGAAATTTTCTTGCTTCTGATCTCTCGTCCTGTACTTCCCGTTTTCCCCAATTCTCTCACGCCCGGAATTCGTCAAATTGCCTCCGATAATCGAGCGGCTTGGATGGCGTAGGAAGCCAGATTCGAGTTTCATTTGATAAGAGCTGGTGATTGTTTGTATATATCTGCATTTGTGCAATACCCGATGGCCTTATCCTTGTGAGGATTAAGGTGTTTTGTAGATAGGCTTTGTTTGTATCGAGAATTGCTAACGATTTGGATTGATCGGAGTGCTAGATTTTCCTGAGATCAGCTCGGATTTGTCATCTTTAGAGCAGGGAAGCTGATTCTCTTTTCCCCCCTTTCGAATCCGATTGCCCGTGGTGGTTGAGCAAAGTTAGCGTTTCCATTCCTGTAAATCATTGGACTTAGAGCTGACTTGAGGACAGTGTTAGGCAGACATGCTGTTTTAAGAATGGAGATGGAAGTGATTAGGTTGAGGTGGATAATCTAGAGGCTACATCTAGGCATGGGATAAGTCTGATTGTCTTATTCGAGACCCGGCTTGGCTAGCAGTTGGTTGTGAGGTTTAGAAGAACTCCCTGTCGACCGGTATTGTTTCGATAGCTGAATTTGAGCACAATGAGTATAGTGAATGAAGAACGAAATGGCCCGGATCTGCATGAGGAAGCTTGCACAAAATCTCAGAAGTAATGAACTCTCTTTCTGGCATCCTCTGTTTCTCATTGTCTCTCTCCATTGATTTCATAACTCAGCATCGAGCTCTGACTTTTAACTCAAATTGTTTTTTAATGTCCAGGTCAAAATTGTTGTACACTAGAGAATTTCTGCTATCTCTTAGCGACTTGGATGTTTGCAAGCGGCTGCCGAGTGGGTTTGACCAATCACTTTTGAGGTAATTTATGCATCAGTAGCAATGGGGAGGTTCTTGATATTCTCTAAATCGGGATTTTATATGCTATGAAGAAAGAGTTTTGATTGTCACTCCTTACATGTTCAGAGGTATCATCACCTCACCTTTTCCTTGCTCAATACTTTCTTCTCAGTGAATTTGAGGATACTTCACAAGATCGGTTTAGAGCCTCTGGTGGTTTGCCGTTACAAAGTTATAAGCGAACAGAATATGGTTCATCCCCACCAACCCGAGGGGAGACAAGCAATTTTTCTCGGGGGATTCAGGGAAGATGGGATAGTCGCTCGTCAGTTAGAAGTGACCGTGACAGTGATTCACAATCTGATAAGGAATCAGGTTAGACTGATGCTCACTGTCTTTGATGGACAAAGTATTTCAAAGTATTTGGTTAAGGAAACTAGAATGCTTTTAGTTTCTCACTATAAGAACTTGGTCGAGGAAACTAGAATAAGTTTTGTTTTCACACAATTCCCAATTGGTATTTTTGTGACCAGTTTGGTGATGTTAATGTGTAGATACTGGAAGACGTTATGGCAACCAATCTCGACGACCTTGGCAGGTTCCTGAGCATGACGGGCTTCTTGGAAGTGGTTCCTTCCCAAGGCCGCCTGGGTTTGCTGTAGGCTCTTCAGCTTCAAAGTTGCGAGAGCCCAGCAAGGCTAACGAACCATATCAACCTCCTCGCCCTTACAAGGTGAAGTGTGGTAGATTTGGTATAGTGCAAATATATCTGTATGTATGCAGCATGATGCTATTCTCCTGCCTACTTGTTCTAGTAGCTTGTTTAGTTTCTCTATATGCTCCAAGCCATTTCTTTAATAACAAAGAAATGAGCAAAATGCGGCGTGTAGTGCTGCGCCCAATTGATGTTAAACTGAACATCCTATTATTCAGGCTGGTCCTCACTCTCGTCGGGAAACCAATGACTCATTTAATGATGAAACTTTTGGCTCTTCCGAGTGCACAACCGAGGATAGGGAAGAAGAGGAAAGAAAACGAAGAGGTAAGGTTCTTTTTACTTCTGGTTGGATAATTTTGTTTGTTTTGACGTGTTCGTGTATCGCCCTATCAAGTGAATGTAAGCTCCGTTTTTTCTGGTTTTGTTCAGCTTCTTTTGAATTATTGAGGAAGGAACATCAAAAAGCTTTTCAAGAAAGGCAGAAGTTGACTCCAGGAAAGGGTAAAGGCGACTTCGATTTTGCTTCATTGATGGAAGATTCAAGAGATGACAAGAGAAGTCAAGACAAAAGCACTGAATTGGATGGACCAGTTTCAATTAATAATTCTCATAAAGCTGCCTCATCATCTGCCCCTGTATCTAGACCTCTCGTGCCTCCAGGGTTTTCAAATGCTGCCGCTGAGAAAAGCACAGGAACCAAAGCGGTGGCGAACTCTCAGTTGGAGGTATTTCTTCCACAATTGTTTTTTAGATCTGAGAATTTGGCAGATTAGGTCCTTTTTTACATTTGTGCTCTTGAAAGTTCATTAAATTTCGTTGAATTTCTTTCTCTAAGCAGTTCAAGTAAGAGGCGTTAATTATATCAGACACTCTATACATTATTGGAGAGTGGTAATGTTATTTAGAAAGGCCCAAAGAAAGGGAAAGTGTGATTACTGTTAGTTTCTATTCTTCTTGGACTCTTAATTGCCATAACCATCACCGAGAAGATTTAGGTGTGGGCAACTCTCCTAGTTGCAACTGTTTTTTGAATAGTGATTTTGGTTTGTAACTGTTCAACCTCATAAGATTTTCCTAAAAGCTAGCATGGAATTCGAATGGTTCTATTCAAGATCAGATAGTGACCTTTGCTCAATATTTGTTGCCTACTTTGCGAATTTTCACAGTGCTGGTAGCCTGGTACTAATTCAAATTTGGCAGTTTGTTGTTGCTTAATGTTTTACCAAGCAGTAACCTCTATATTATGTTGGTTGGCAGGTAGTCAATGAAGTTGAAGGCAACCTTTCACACGATAAAGGGAACAATTTGTTTATTGGAGCTTCACATAACCAAGATCAGATGCAGCCTCTAGAACCCCTAAATGTGAACGAGCAAGGGCTTGGCAACCTTGGTATTAATGTTTCAGTCCATAGCAGCAAAGGGCAAAAGTCATTGGATTTACCTTCAACAGTGGATGCATCTAGCAAACTAATTGGGAAAGATAATCTATTTCATATACCTCCCGAAGTTTTAGAAGTTTTTCAAACTCAAAAGAATAGTATAGTTACAGATCTGAGTCCCGAGGATGTGATGAAAGGTAAATTCATTGGTGGATCTGGCCCAACTAGCTCCACCTCAATTCTGGAAAAGCTTTTTGGGAATGCTTTAGCTCTAAATGGTGGTGATTCTTCTAGTTCTGTTGAGGTAATAGTTCTCTCACTTTGCACATCCTATCTGAACTCATCCTGTTTTAGGAGGATAAGCCTCTTTTAACATTTTCTTTCTGCAGCAACATGATCCCAAAATGGAGGAGGCATGGATTTCGCCTGATGTACAATCTTCCAAGTTTGCCCAGTGGTTTCTTGAAGAAGGTATGTCAAAGTTTTCAGGCCTTTGTGCGTCTCTTGGTTTCCTGCCAGTTGTTGGGTGTTTATTTTTCTTGCTAAAATAGGCCTTTTGCTTTTATATATTATAAGCTTCATTTTGGACTGAGTCCTTGCAGAAAAGAATCTAGTCGACGATGTCTCCTCTGGTGGCGCCAACAGTTTGCTTTCTTTGATTGTGGGAGGTGAAAAAGTGCTGTCTCATCCTTCTGATGGTAGATCAACTAAGCAGCACATCTTGCCTGACCTGTCCATCCGAAATGGTGAACATGCAAACAAGGATAGGATATCAAGCTCAGCGCTGCCTACTGTTGAAGATACTGAAAAGACTCGACCGTTCTCTGATAATAAGGTGGAACCAGTTGCAGCTGTACTTACATGTGAAGACCTCGAACAGGCAATTCTGTCTGGGATTACTGGTAGTTCATCTTTGTCAGCTAGTGAACATGGCAGGAATGTTGTGGATCAGAAAACTCTTCCAGAGAAAGCCAAGGGCGATGATCATGCATCCCAGCATATTCTCTCATTATTGCAGAAGGGCACAAGTTTGAGTGATGCATTTCCTTCTTCCGTTATAGGAGCCAAGTCTGTAGACAATGTAAAGGATATAGAAGAACCTAGTATTGGGCTTCCAGGAGTCTCTATTCGGTCAGATACTGAGCATTCTGCTACTCCGGGCAAGGCTTTGACTCTTGAAACTCTTTTTGGAACCGCTTTTATGAAAGAACTGCAGCCAGTAGGAGTACCAGCTGAAAGCCAACCGGCAAAGGTGGGTATTGCTAAAGTTGATATTCCCGAGTCCCATGGTCTACTTCAGTCTACTTTAGGAATGACATCCAACTTATTAGGTCTGGGAAGTGGCATCCCACCTCCAAACCAGCATCAGCAAATTAAGTCAGACAGGATTGAGGATCACTTCATAGCCTTTAATTCTAGCAACAAAGTAGATACTTCACAGATCCGGTCTGAATTGGTCCCCAGACTTGGTGGACTTGATGCATGTGCTGACATTGGGCTCCCTGAGGAGAACAGCCTGCTTGCAGTTAGTGACCCTCTGAATCGACCTGATCTTGTACATGCTAGGAACATGTCGAATAAGATTGAAGTGCTGGGTACGCAAGGGACTGCAGTTGACATTGCTGAAAAGTTTCCAGCTTTAGGTTCTTCGTTCAGAGATGATAGGTCTGTCATAGGAGGCCAAGATGGTCTACCTTTTGGTCGCAGTCCTTATGATATGAGGGAACAGGACATTCGGTATCATAATATTCGGGTCAATCCATCTGGACGTCAGCTTGATCCCTCTCAAATCAATAATGCAGGATCGATGTTTCACCCATTGGATTCTCAATCCTCTATTAATATCAATGGTCAGATGAGATTCATGTCCCCTGAGAATATCACTCATCGTGATGTTCCTAGCAATCAATATCATGGGAACATGCTTCCTTCAACTTTCCATCATGCTAATGGCAGCAGCACACTTACTGGGTTTGATCCTACCCCTCAGAACGTGTTGCTGCAACAGATGCACATGAGAGGCAATTTTCCTCACCTGTCACGTGGATTTCCTAGGGGTGCTCCTGCTGTTCCACTTCATAACAACCAGATGTCAGGCTTTATACCTGATGCGAATCCTATGCAAAGTTTCCCTTTCGGGCAGAGGCAGACCAACATAGGCGCGGTCGCGATTCCACCCCAGGGTGAGTCTTTTTCGTGTTATTTTCTGAGATATTTGGCCTTCTGTTCGTTGCTATTTTGCTTAGTTGATAGCAGAACATTTGTGGCTTTCAGTTTCACACTGAAAGAGATTTTTTTTTTATAACATAGCTGTTACAGGGAACCTTATCTGAACTTTCATGAGCTTATTTTTCGGTCTGAAAGCATGCAATCTTGTTAGGCTTTGTTGCCTTAGTTGATGCATTGAGATGGTTAGATGTGATATGCAGAAAATAAAGCTACTGCTTATACCTGGCGGCTAATTTCCTGTGTAATGCACATGAAGCATGCCTATATATAGGATCCTCTTTAGTCGTCAGCTGAAACTTGTCTACTCGAGATTTATTGTTGTATCTTGTGACGTCTACCCTATTCAAAACACATCTTGAGGCATCTTCCTACTCTGATCAGCTCCAGGTGTCGACAGTGGAACCAATCGTCCAGAGGCGCTGCAGAAGTTAATTGAGATGGAACTCAGGTCGAAGCAGAAGCAGGTTCACCCTTTGGCTGCAGTTGGACAAGGTCAAGGAGCGTTTGGTCATGAGCTGGACATGGGCTTCGGTTACAGATAACTGTAGTGCTGTTCTCTGTTACCTTGATGGATATGTGTAAATTTGCAGTGTATTCAAGCAGTCCTCGGGGTTTCGGGTGTTCATTTGGCGTATGGTTTTCTGTTTCCTCGGAGAGCAGGGATTTTTAAGAGTTCATGTAATGGAAGGGGGATTTTTACTTCAACCAACCCTTTTGTTTGAGGGGTTTACTTTGAAATCCAAATTCCAGAGCTCATATGACCATCGTTTTAAATGAAATTCCCATAACAAATACTGAAGTTTTTATTTTATTTTATTTTATGGCAGGGTATGTGGTGTGTTTTATGTGGTCTGAAGAAGTTTTAGGAGTATAAGGGCTGGGATAAAAGGAAAATTGTTAACCCAATCTAATTTGGAAAAAGAATGAGGAATGGTTTCGTGGACGACACATATTTGGCTTCATTTCTTTTGTTCTCGTCACCTAATAGTTGAGACCCTGACTAATGGATTGTTGAATGACACATTTGGCCTCATTTGGACAATTGAATAAAGAGAAAACCAATATTCAGGATGAACTCGAACCCATATCTTTGTAGTCTAGCTGCAATTTAGTTGTCGATTCAAACCTAGTCAGATTGCACTAGGCTTGCCCCCATGTTGATCAAGTTCCACCCAAATTTTCCAAAATACCAGACTTTTGCCCTGGTTTGCTTGACAGACCAAAGTGGCGTTGAACAACGAACAAGCTTGTTCGTTGCTGTGAGAAGCGAATTACACATTTGTTCGCGGTTGAGAGCATCGATCAAACTTAATTGCTGTTGTTAGGAGAAAACTAAACAATAGTTCGTTGATTGTGTATTGTCTTTTTTTTTTTTTAGACCGCTTCAATCGGCCGCAACCATTGTCTAAACCCTTATAAAAAATTAAAAAGCCGAACAAACACTACTAATGAACTTGAAAATCAATTTCAATGCATCACAATATTCATTAAAACACAGTAAACCACCTACATATTCATTACAACACAAACACATTACCATCAACTGTCATCTCTAATTCCGGGCAGTTGCACCTATCATGCCCTTCAACTCGGCATGAGGAGCACCAATTCAAAACTTGATGTGGTCTCCCTAATCTATCCATCTCATTTCGAATCTTCTACACTCTAGGTCGACCTTTGGTGCACTTCAAGTGCTCATAAGGGAATACCTCTGCTCCATGGTACTCGGGCCAATAAGCTTCATGAGCTAAAGGCACGAATGAGTTATCCCAAACCAAGGCGAACAAATGAGTCTTGTAGTATGAACTAACAAATCGAAGTGGGTCCATGTGCACGCTTATAGAACCAGCATATGCATGAGAGCAAGGCAAGTGACTTATTGAAACTTCCCGCAATTGCATCCCCCCTCTTCAACCCGAAGTATCAAATGTGACGGTTTGAGCTTTACCTCCTTTCGTGTTGCTCGAGGTGCCTCTCAATTTGAATTGCAAAAATGTCATCTCACCATCTCGCCAGTTTAATAAAGTCACCCTATACAAGTTGGACCTTGTCTTTCATAACTCCATGTCCATGGTGATCATTTTTGGGATGATGTATCCATTGTCAAGCATCTTAATGACATTTTGGTACCGTTTAGCGGATCACTCAATCGTCCTGAATAAGGTATGCAATATGAGAGTTGATATTGGGATTTGCTGCTAGTTCTCGAATTACGTATGAATTTGAGAGGTTGAATAAAATTCGACGAGAACGTCATAATTTTTCTACTTCATAAAAGATCCATGAGTTGTTACAAACTCAAAATAGTTGGTATTAGAGTCGTATATACGAGAAGGATTGTTTTGTTGCAGTTCGATTAGTGTTTTGTAAAAAGAAAAAAGTCACATGACTGTTTTGAAATTTGGACGACACTAATGAGTGATGAGCCTAGATTCTAAGGTGATTAGTTTGGAAAATAGTCCACAAACGCAGTCAAATTCTCTTGTTAGTAGCTTATGATCCCGTTTTTGTTTGGCTTGGGCACCCGTTTGGATTTGGATTATTCATCGGTGCGGAATTTGCCGCACGCAGCAGTAATTGATCGGAATCGGAAGACACCCATTGTCGTCGGTATCTGTTCATTGCTTTGCTTTCCGTTCCGGCGGTGAATCAGCTAGCAATTAATAGCGGGCAAATCGAGAAACAGATGCTGTGCTGCTTCCAGATAACGTCGGGAAGAGGAATCTTATCACCACGTTCCTCTACTTCTTCTTCTTCGATGGCGGCAAACCCATTCCTGGTCAGGGCTGAATCTCGTTCCATGGCTCCTTCCTCTGATCTCTCCCTGGATCGCTCTCTCTTCTCCGCTAGCGACTCCTCATCCTCGCGCCGCCGCGAGCTCGTCTTCGTCGTCAATCCCCGAGGTCAATCTTCTCTTCAACCCTACCCTTGAGCCAAAGAACAATTCTCCCCCATGTTTAGATTTCCCCCCTTCATATTGTTCTAAATGCTGAAATTGGATGCAGGTGCTAATGGAAGGACAGGGAAGCAGTGGAAGAAACTGCTCCCATATCTCAGGTCTCGCCTTGACAAAGATTGTAAAGTGAGTTCCTTTCCCCGTTCTTCTTTTTCTTCTTATGCTCGTCATAATTTGAATTGGGTTGTTGCCATTGTGGCCAGATATGTGAATCTTTGACTTCCGGTCCTTATCACGCCATTGATATAACCAGGGAGGTACCACAGACTTCTCAACCCTCGGCTTTCATTTTGGTTTAGCGTCCCACTTTTTATAGTTAGAGACTGATGTTAGCTTTTGGGAACTCTTTTGAACTCTATGAAAGGCCATAAGAGAAGGTGCAGATGCTGTTATTGCAGTTGGCGGGGACGGTACTTTGCACGAGGTGCAACTTCCTTTCCTTGTAATATTCATTTTAGTGTCACTCAGCCTTTGCTGTATTTGTGTTGCTTATCGACATTTGCAATAAGCAGGTGGTCAACGGTTTCTTTTGGGCTGGGAAACCTGTTACCAATCATGAAAGAGACGCTTCACGCTCAACAGCCCTTGGCGTAAGTGGTCGCCATGCTTGACAGTCTTTTGTTCAGTTTACATTCTGTCGTATGTTACCAAACTATTCTGTTATGGGTCATATGCTGGTCTAATTACTGGCTTAAATTTAATCATTTTCCAGCTCATTCCCCTGGGTACTGGTTCAGATTTCGCTAGAACTTTGGGCTGGTAAGAAGCTCATTGTTATGCACTTTGTAGCAGTGTTCTGCTAGCTTATTTCTCATTCGAACTGATCATGATGGAGGTGCTCTTTTGCACTTGGTTTATTAGGAACAATGATCCTCGGGAAGCAGTTGATCGCATTGTCAAAGGTGCTTACCTTCTAGCTCATGTGAAGGCCTAGTTCTGTATCCTTGCCTCGCCTCCTTAGTTTGTAACTTTCAGATGTCGCCATTGTGAAGGTTTCAGAACCCGAGTTGATGTTGGTGCTATAGGCAGTGACAGTGAAGAATCTCACTACTTCATTAATGTTGCTGACATTCATTTGTAAGGCTAACTTTTTCCACGAATTTATTGATCTATGCGAACAACTGTTCTTGAAACCTTAATTTTCCCACTGATGGTATTTATTCCAGGAGTGCAAAGGCTGGTTACTATGCAGCAAGGTACAAGAGATTTGGAAATCTGTGCTATGTTATTGGTGCTCTGCAAGCCTTCATGAGTCACAATAACCAGGACCTCAGAATCAAGGTGGGTTAGCTAAAGCTGTATGTAGTTGGACTTCTGTTGATTTTCAGTTAGTGGCAGTTCATGGTTCCGTGGACTGGTTTAATGACTTCATTAGCGTTCCACTCGGGAAGCTGTTCAACAGCCTAATCCCTTAGATTTTACGTATAGGTCAATGGAGGGGAGTGGGAAGCATGCCCTCAAGTGACAGCCTTGTGTATTGGAAATGCAAAGTACTTTGGTGGTGGCATGAAAATAACTCCAAATGCCGACCCTTCAAATGGGGAGTTTGAGGTTTGACACTTTTTCTTCTAGGCACTTAGCTGTCGTACAAACTTGAATGTAGGCTACTCCTATTTGGAAAGAAAGAATGAAACTTTTGAGACTTTAGCCTGCTCGTGTGTAATTGTGTATGTAATGAGTTTTTCTCTCTTGGTTTTTGTTCCGTTCTGTTGGTTGTAGGTTGTTATCCTCCAGGACTTCAAATGGTATGACTTCATTCTGAAGCTACATAAACTTTACAATGGGACACATTTATCTGTGGCAAATGTAGTCTCAAGAAGGTTAGTTCACATCTGTTGTTGCATCTTACTATACCTTTTTACATGTTTCTGGCTTCGATCTTTTACAACTTGCTTTAGATTATTCTCCCCGAGTTTAAATCGACTGAATAACGAGTCAAACTCAAATCATTGATGGGCTTAAGATCATCAGCCAAACCAAGCAGATGCTTAGAGTAAACAGACGACACTATAGTTATGGCTTTCACTTCAATGTCCGCAGGGCACACTCGATCGAGATCGAGGACGTTTCTGGAAGTGGCAAGATTTTTGTCCAGTCGGATGGAGAGTACTTGGGGTTTCTCCCTAGGAAGTTTTGCATTCTACCATCTGCTATTCAGATGATACGGTGACATTTCTATGCCACTTCCAGGCTCCTCTCATTCCTATTGAGACGTTGAGAGCCATATGAAGAAAATCTGCGCAGCACGTCTGAATAACCACAGAACAAACAACAGCTTTATGCCGAAAGCTTATGAAATAACATGACCTAGAGTACGACTCCGACAGACAGTTGCGATCCTGTAACAGCTTTTAGTTGTTTAAGTAAGCAATTTTGAGTGAAGGCAATCAGACATTTCGGTTGTTTACTTTACTGCTGTCGTCGGTTGTTTACATTACGATTGGATATGATCACAAGCTTCTACCTTTTCTTTGTTTCTCTTCTAGAGATTGAATTTTGCCAAGATAACTTCTGCAAATTTTTCTCTCATTGTTGCTCGCAGCTCTCGGTAACTCTTTTGGGCGGTTTGCTTCACGGTTGACAACCTTTTTAGTAACTGAACACTGAATTACTATATGTAGCTCTTTAATTTGTAACGATTCGATAACAAAATTTTCTACTTAGAACAAAACGGTCACAACTTAAACAAATTGACCATTTCATACAAGTTCAAACTTTTGTTAGCGTATTGTTATAAATTAAACTTTTAGTGACCGTAAGTTCGAAGGTTTGAACAATCAATCACTGTTACAATTTGCTTTAGTTGAGGTATGGTGGTTTTGTTAATTTATGTGAATGATATGATCGTAATAAAGGATGATAATGATGAAATTCCACGTCACAAACGGGTTTCAGGCTGCTTTTAGCTGGAAAAAAACTTGGTCTACTTTCTTACTTTCGAGATTGAAAGGTCACCATAGGGCATTCTTATTCGGCAAAGCAAGTATATCGTTGAACACACGACCCACCATTTTATATGCCGTTCAAGTGGTTAGAGTCATATACTTGTTGACGAACACATAACCTTACCTCAAAACCGGCACAAACATTTAATTTGTAACGACTCGATAACAAACCTTTGCACTTAATGCAGAACGGTCACAAAATAAATAGAAGTGACCATTTTATACAATTTCAAACTTTTACTACCATATTGTTACAAATTAAAAGTTTGTGACGTTTTGTACTAAGTACAAAGGTTGTGAGGTATGAAAGCCCCGTGCCGGACAGCCTGGCACACCCTCGAGACCGGCCCTGATCACATCTCTATAGGTGGACTGGTGGAGAGGTTGGTATATCGGTGAGCTTCTGTTACTGTACTATTGAGACACAATTTAGAATCAAATAAATAATAAAATCATAAATGATTTATATCATCCTTCATAATTAACATTATGAATATAACTTTTTTTTTTAGAATATGAAACACATCCAAATGAAACACTAAGCCACACAAGTCGAACACTACCTCGGTCACCTCTCCCAGGTGGCCATGTTTGAATTGTTTGCAAGGTAGGGCTGGGAAAATAGACCAGACTGTTAGAAAAATCGTGATCCAAATCGTACCGCACAGTTTGGTCTGGACCGTAGGCCGTTAAGTATGGTCTGGTCCATGGTTTGGTCTAGACCGTGGTTTACCGGACGAAACCGTGGACCCAACCGACCTGTCAATACGTGTTAATAGCCCATTCGATCACTCTCCCAACGACACCCAAGTCTCAACCTTAATTTTGAGAATCTCGTCGCTCCTTCATTCACAACCACATTTAACCAGAGAGTAGAGATAATCGTGTCTGTATATGATATTATGTTAATGTTTATAATATTATGGTGCAAGTTGGGATGCTTTTACTTTGTATCTTTGTTATGTACTAAGATTTAGGGTATCAAAATTATTCATGCATATTAGGATTAATGTCTTAAGACAAATAACAATTATTTTTCTTGGTTATTAGTTCATTGTTTTGTGTGTTGACTAAACAAGTCTCAACCTTAACTTTGTATCGTGGGTATAAATTTTTCGTTCAGTATGATCTATCTGGACCAGACTAGACCAAATCTGACCGCAAAGGCGTGATCTGGACCGGATCATATAGTCTGTGATCTGATTGTGATCTATACTTCAGTCTCTCGATCTAAACCATAGATCGTACCGTTTCCCAACCCATTGCAAGGTGCAAGAGTAGGTGCTTTGTGTCTCCTTTTACGACTTCGGGGCCGGATTGGAAGCAAGCGGTGGTGCTCTCCCGCTGGAAATTGAGTCAACCGAAAATATTAGATATCTTTTAAATATATTTTTTTTAATAATTAGCTTTCATCCCAATGCGCTATTATTACCATGGTTAAAATCATCAACACCAGCAAAGAAAAATCAGATTATTAACGAGGAATTTTTTTTTTAATCTTGTGGACGCCCCATCTCCCAAGCGGCAAACAGACTCTTTTTTCCCCACCGCATGTCTTTCTTTCTTTCCCTCTTCTTCGCATCCTCTGTTCTTTCTTTCTCAACGAAACAGTAGTGGCTCCTCCAATCCTTCGCTCTTCTTCTTCCTCCAAATTGATGTCGATGGTGATGCCATTCGTTGGGTTATTCCCTGTTTTCTTAAGAAGTGGGTTTAGACTTTAGACTACACCCACAACGCAATTAAGGCAGCAGCACCAGCCCACTGTTTTCTCTCTCTTTCTCTCTCTCTCCATCTTCACTCTGCACTTCCCCTTTTCTTACTCTGTTCGTTTTCCTATTTTCTGCCCCCTTTTCTCTCACATCCAACCAAAACAGAAGCTGAGAAATGTTGGAAGAAACGGTAGCATCCGCTGTACATTCTTCGATCTGGGCATCCATGACCAGCTGGTGCACACCCACTCTCCTTTTCCTCTTCCTGAACATCATGATTGGCACCATTGCCATCACCTCCAGCTTAGCTTCCCAGAAGGCCACCAATCATCAAGACGACCATCACCAGCAGCAGCAACATCAGCATCAAGATAAACAGCACCAGCACCAGCACCAGCAAATTTGGAGGTCACCGTCTATGCTGCAGAGGCTCAAGTCCATCAACTTCTACAGCCACAGATCTCAGGAATCCCAAGTCCATACTACTGTAGCAGCAGCAGCAGCTTATGAGAAGTCTCCGGCGGAGGGAGTATTCGAGACTGCTGCTACACATTATTTTGGAAGCTATGACCAAACCCACCAGGAAAGCCAGCAGGCGGCGGTGCCGGCTCTCTCCAGATCTCCTTCCGTGCTGCAGAGGCTGAAATCCTTCAATCCCTACAATTACATCCAGCCCCCCCAAATCCCAACCACGCCGCAGCGGGAGGAGCCAGAAGCGGAGATTAATTACACGACTCGGGAGCAGCAGATCGAGGAGGAGGAAGCGGCGGAGACGCTGGACGAGATATACAGCAAGCTGCGAACCGGCAACAAACTGGTGGGGAGATCGAAATCGGACACGAAGCCCGTAGCCGGGGAAGTCCCCAAGAAGCTGGCGAAGAAGATGAGGAAATCGGCTAGCACGAGGTCGGCGTTCGCCCATTTCGAGGAAGTGGAAGTGGTGGAGGCGCGGAGGCCGGCGACGGTGAAGGAAGGGAAGAGCAAGAAGTTGGTGGCCGATGAGGAAGGGGAGGAGGACAGCGGGGTGGATGCCAAGGCGGACGACTTCATCAACAAGTTCAAGCAGCAGCTGAAGCTGCAGAGGGTCGACTCCATAATCAGGTACAAGGAGATGGTGGGCAGAGGGAGTGGTACTGGGAAGTGATAATTAATGGCGTTAGTGTTGAAATGAGAGTGAGATGGGGAGGTGGTTTTGTGCGTTCATTCATCTCCATCTTCCCTTCTCCTAAATTTGGTGCTTTTTGTTTCTGGGTTTTTGATTGATTAAAATGTTAGATCTGGTGCTCATCTTTAGAATTCAATTTGGATTACAGTGCTGCTGTGGCAGTAAGATCAGAGCTCCGGCTGCCTTGCTTAATTAAACTGTTGCTTTTTGCGGTTTGGCGATATTGGTGGATGTGGATTTGTGTTTTCCTGCTTAAGGAGTCTTCCAGCGGATGAACTCTGGATAGAAAAGAAAGGCATAATCAACAACCAGCCAGTGCCCAGTGCTTTTCTGCAGCAGCATCGAGTAAGTCGGTAGGTAGATACTCGTGCCAATTTTTCACTCCGTTTGAGACGCCACCGTTTCTGCGGTCCGGTCTTTGGAAAATTAGGGTGGTTTGCATTGCATGACTGCTATGGATATTATTATCAAGCATGGCTAAAAGGATGACCACCGCCGTGGCGGTATTAGTGATGGCAATTTGAATTCGTCTTGTGGGGCGGAACATGAGTATCTACTTTCGTTCTGCCTCGTCTTGTTCTTGTCTATTTTGTATTAATTTTTTAAAGAATTTATTCATATTTTGATTTATCTTTAACTAGGTAGACTTGATCTTTCAACTAGTTAGTTTTGACTATTCGTTCTATTATCACTATTTTTCACTCATTAAGTGTTTTTTACTTTGTTTTATCGTAGAAAGTAAAATTTTGTGTGTATTTTTTCCAAATAAAATGTAAGAGTGGTTCGACCAGTCCTGTCCCATCCCCGCCCCGACTCGAACTAGCATGGAGCGGGGCATGGATATTGAGGTACCCCTGCCCCATTGCCATCACTAGGCAATATTGCAAAACAGTTCAATTTTCTTTTTGAGTCTTGAGTGGGAAGTAAACTTATCTCACTGGTATAGAGGAAGTTAATTTTGTCGTTGATTACTTTATGGGTAAGAGACATGGTTATGATTTTGGCACACATCCTTTCAATAAGTTTGTGTGACGAGGGGCTAGTCCAATGACTTTGCTACGTGGTGGGTGTTTTTTTTGTGAAAGTTATTTCTTTTTTAATGATGTACTTGTTTTATGATCAAATCAATCAATAAATAATGTGTCCATCCATATAACCAGACATTTGGAAAACAAATTTCATGTATCATACAATATGGAGTCGAGAATATGAGTTCATCTTCTCATACATTTCTCATTACGACGCAGTTTACTGGTCTATGAATTTATATGTGTCAATAAATCATTGAAATATATGTGCATCAACATTACAATACATTTGAAGTACGAATTTCACTTATTTGCGGTATGCTAACTCTTAGAAGGAAGAATAGGAGATGCATAGCATGGATTGGTTTGCATTCATTAAAAACGTAAAAGCGACAGTTAATACTAATCGATCTGCCGATTAAAGAGTTGTTTTATGCCATGCAATAGGGAGTGCCTTCTTGTTTATTTTAGTGAAGTGTAATTCAGTTTCTTTTTGTCCGGTTCTACTGTGAAGTTTCAGATACCAATTATTTATTCCGGGAAACAAGTGAGAGTCGGCGACGGACATGTGTATATTGAGTCAACTAACAGTTTGTGATTAATGCAAAGGGTGGGTGTCCTGTCCATCACGTGGTGGTAGCTAGCTATCGTAAGATGGGTGAAGCTCTATAATTCCCAGGGCCTTAAAGATTGTTCAAACTTCAAACCATCACCAACCAGTTCTTCCACCAACTAACCAGTTCTTCAAATTCAACAATTCATTTGATCCAATTCGATATAATTTATGAATCAACCAGTGTGGCTCTGCCAGTTAGTAATTTTTTTTTACGTATGATAATCTTTATTGCGCTTTAAGATTGGTTACAAAGAGGGACAAAGAACCGGCATTTTGGTTTCAACAAGAGTAAGGCTCCAGGGTACTCGGTTACAATCAAACTACGTTTAGGAAATATCGATACGAAGAACGAAACGCAGACTGAAAGCAGCCACCCAAAAGAGCAAAACTATTGAACGGAAACATATGTCATGAATCTCTCTAGCAACCAACCAATCAGAGTGAAACAAGATCAACTTGTCTGATCATATTAAAATTCATGGCTAGTGATCACATAAAATCATGTGCCGCCTCCTGGGGATAGTTCAAAGAGTCCCATCACAGTGAATCCTAGAAACAAGTTTGCATGACAGTGGAGGAGAATATGAAATGGATTACTCTAAGCTAAAGAGGTAGAGGAAGCCGAGGCAGAGAGATTGGGTTCAAAGTAAAGCAGAAAATCTCATATGAATTAAGAATGAATGAAATAAAGGAAACTAGATTAGGTGTGAATATAGTATGAAAATTCCTACAATGCATATTCCAATTCTAGGTCGAGCATACAATTTATCTAATTCAAAGAGCCATAAAAAACTACTATATCAAACATGTTATACGTAATTCTAAATCAGTTTGACAAATGTAGAAATATAAAAATTTCAATTCAAACGAATGAAAAATCAATAAGCTCCTAAATCATTCTAAGAGTAGTGATGACAATGGGGTGAGGTGGGTGGGGCGGGCGGGTACATCAATACTCATGCCTCATCCCATGCTATTACAAGTATGGGCGGGGCGGGTCGACCCACTCTTACATGTTATTTGAAAATATACAAGTAATATTTTACGTTTTATGGGAAAACACTTGGTGAATGCAAAATAGTGATAATAGAATGAGTAATTGAGTCTAACTAATTGAAAGATTAAGTCTAGCTAGATAAAAAAAATGCCAAATATGAGAAATATAATTAGATACGGTAAGAAATTGAGATAGAATGGGCTAGGAATGGGGCGGGGCAAAACGAGTCTGAAGTAGGTGCACATCCCCCCCCCCCCCCCCCCCCTTCGGGCCGCTACTGCGGGTCGGGTAATACCCGCCCTATCGCGATTTGTCTGTTACCGTTAGTAATTTTATAACTTTTATCTTAGTTAAAATGCTAAGATTTTGGAATGTTGACTGGCAAGTGTTTCTTCCAAGTCAGTTTCATGTTGCCAAGTCAATATTACTAATAAAACTTCTAACGAGAAGTTAACATTTGGCTAATATTTTATATTTTGAGATGTTTGGCTAATAAATTTTATTTACCCTAATTTTTAAATTATGAAGTTTGTTTTTGGCTTGAAATTTTGAGTTGCTCAATGGAGGAAAACATTGTATCCTTTTGGTAGGTGTTAGAGCAAATTTTGAACTTAAGATGAGAATGGAGGATTTAAGGATGTAAAAAATAGTACGAAATCAACTTTCATAATATGGAGGTAATTGTTCTAACACAAAAATGCTAGAAAACCGCCGCATCACACAAAGGAAATGGCAGCGGCCACCCTGATGTCCTAGCCACTACAAAACCCCCATTTTCGGCCACCAACACCACACAACCCCTTATTTTTTCACTTTCCCTTCTTTCTCTTACATGAAAATCCTCTCTCTTCTCTCTATAATTCAAATATGCTTCAAGAAGTTACATAGTCTACAAGGACTAGGAAACCCTTTCCTAGTTGGTTTAGGAGAATTTTAGCCAATCGAGTTTTCACCTATAACTAGAGGGCATGGCTAATTAGTTCAGGAAGGCTTCACAACCACAATAAAACTTCTATACTATGATCGAGTAATAGCTTAGTTTTCGTAGGAGAGTCTGCAGCTAAGGAGATGTTGTCATCATCAATGGTGGTACCCTCCTTCTCTTCTATGTAGCTAGTTCAAAATTGATTGTGTTGTCATCATTATATGTATTAATGCTATGATTTTATGTCATGCTTGTGTTGATGCTTATGGATTTTGATGCTCATTGTGCATGCATGGATGCTTGGTTTTTTTATGCTTATGTGATGATCATTGTTGTTTATCTATTATGAATGCTTCTTTATCATTGATGCTTATGATTCTACAATATGCTACTATATTCGTTGTTCTTAGTATCATATAGGTTGATAAGAAATTACCCTCTAGTGATATCCCATTGATGCTACACGAGTATATAGTAAATGATCAACCATCCATACCTCGAGTAGTATCAATGCTTGATTGTTAGATCATCAATGCTACATACCATCAATTATGGCTAGTAGAGGTCCACGCTTAATCATGTGTTATCCTTACTTCCTTGTTCTTCACTAATTAGTCGATGACATGAAGCGAAAGCACACATTAGCTAGTCAAATCTCTATTGCAAGAGAAGCATGCACATGTAGAGAATGGATTTAGTGGAAGGAATATAGTGGTGTTATATATGAGTTATCAATGTATGATGTGATATTTTGCATGATGGTATTCAAAGCTTACCTTCATATACAATAACATATCTTTACTTTTATGCGTCTATAAATAAAAAACCCCTAAACAACTTTATTGTTCTTGCTTGTTAGTTGAATGAAGACCACTAAATGCCTTTATTGTTTTCGTGTGAGTCAATGCGGGTTTGGTGTGAGTAGTTATGCATTAGAAGACCTTGTGGAACACGATCCTTAGTCATCCTAGGATTTATAACGTCGATCTGTACCGCATGATCATGGATCATTTTAATTGCTACATAGTGAATCTTAAAGCCAACCCTAGCAATGATCGATTCCTTTGAATGTAATGGAACAATGTTAGGCATGGTTTTCACTACTTGAGAAAGTGTGTTCTCGAATAATGGTTGTGCAGTTATCTTGCCTTCTCCACTGGATTAAGATCCATTGTCACGACTGTTTCTACGAATTGATAAATCGGAGGATCGACGGGGCAATAAAAATGAAAGCAAGAAATGAATACGACACATATATTTATTTGGTACACTAACAAGATGTATGTTAGCTAGTCCACGGATAGGAGAGAGCCAGTTTCAAGATACTTCAAGGAGTGCAAATTAGAAAGGAGTATGAGAAGTATTTATAGTACTACTCCATGTGGTCTAACCTTAATACAATATGGTAAAAGAATAAGGTTACAAACCAGACCCAAACCAAAAACCCAAACGTGTATAGACCCCCATGACTTATAGTCGTAGCCAAATAGTTCGATTCAAGTCATATCAACAAAATCTCCACCTTGAATTGAATCCTCCCTTCTGAAATATCGGATGTACTTTGATCCTTCTCTCTCTCCTGCTATGAATGCCCCTTAGGGAGGATTCACCCACTCAGAACATTCAACAAGTCCAAGCATTGTTAGAACTTGGCATGTGGAACCAGCTTCCTGAACATGTCAGCAGGATTGTCCGCAGTGCCAATCTTCTTCACCTTAATGTGCTTAGTCCTCTCACGGTGGACTTGGTTATTGGCCAAACATATTACACTCAAACTGTCACAATACATTACTGACTGATCATGATGTACACCCAGATCACCAATCAACCCCTTCAACCATATTCCCTCCTAGGTAGCTTTTGTCAACACCATGTACTCTACTTCAGTAGTAGAAAATGTTACAGCCGAGTATAGAGTTTCTTCCCAACTCACCACAGAACTCCCAAAGTGAATATAGAACCGGCCATAGATCTCATCGCGCCAACATCTCCAGCATAATCAAATCTAAATAACCAGCCACTAAGCACTATGTATCACTTCAAAGATAATCCCCAAATCATACATATACCCTTAACGTACTGCAAAATTTTCACAGCCTGCCAATGTTCTTTCCCATGTTGTATCATGAACCTTTTGACAACACTAACAACATGTGTAAGATCAGGTCTAGTGTAGACCATATCATACATCAAACTACCTACTACACTGGTACTCATTGAATTAATATTTTTTTTCTGAAAACCTATAAACATTTTACTGATTTTTAACGAATAAACCAGCAAAATTGAATTTGGATTTGGAAAAACTCAACTCAATCGAGTCATTCCTAAAAGTGGTTACTGTGGTAACCATTTTAATCAGTAGTATTAAGATAATTTGGTTTGGTTTGATTAAATTTTTTAGTTTGTTTGGTTTGGTTTCACACCTTTCTAACCAATCAAACCAATTAACTAGTTAAGCAATTAGCCATGTCTAATATATTCTGTACATATACTTAATACTTTGCATAACCATTGGAGAGTCAAGCGTTCCTACTTTTGGACCCATACAAGAAATGAAGTGCATTATTGTTCTTATAGTTCCTTTGTTTTTGTATAATGTAGACAACATATTAGCACCTAATTTAGATAAAAACTCATACATTATGTTGCATGAAAACCTTTAGGGAAAGGATTTTTGCACTTAATTTAGATAAAAACTCATACATTATGTTGCATGAAAACCTTTAAGGAAAGGATTTTTTGCAGCATATGATAATTGGTAAGAGACTAATACAATTTACACAACACATCCTATTTATTAAAATCATACCATTGTTTTTTTTAAGATTGTATTAGTTCCATGTATTTATATTAATGGCTAATTATGTGTTGGATTTTTATGTTTAACCAATCCAATTCTATTTAATATTAGTTTAATTAGTTGAGTTGTTGTATTAGATTATTAGTTTGATTGGTTTGATTATAATATCATATTCAATAGTTAATAGAATTTATTTGGTAATGAGCACTAACCACTTCTCATTTATGCGGAATTACTCGATTATTATTTAAGCCAAGGAACGGGTCATATAAAATCCCTCCCTCCGTCTTCACAGAAAAGCTAAAACCCCAGTTTCCCCTCCCGAGCCCTGAGTCTCACCAAGCCTTCTCCCTTCGACTGTCGAGCTCGGCGATTCGGCCATGGCGTTTCCTTACTTGGAAACCGTAGTAGGTAAACCAGCTGTCCTCTTATTCTGAATCGGTTCGCAAGTAGCTGGAATATGTATGCACTTCAAGCTTATGTACAGTCGACGTCTGTTGCTCTTGTTACTACGTTCATGGGCGCTCCCCGGCTTCCCGTTAGTTTCTGCCCTAGTTTCAATTCCAGTTAGATAGCTATCGAAACAGTTTGCCGTTCTTCTTTCTCTCGATTTCTCAAGATTGCGGCGCAATCGTTTGAAACCCCTGGGGGATCATGAGATGCGTCTTGCGGACTTTTTCGCTCATTTCTGATTTACGTTTATTGAGGCGCTAGTCATTGAGCAGGGTGTCTGTCTGTATCGCTCCCTCGAAAGTTCAGGTTATAATTCACGAGTTACCTCCTTGCAATCGTCCATATTTTGTGGATTAGTAGGGTATGACAGCAAATAAGTTCTTGAGGCGCTAATTTTGATTCAAATTCCATTTTGCCGGAAGCTTACCGAGAGTCTTGATTACGTTGGCTTTACATTTTCTTCTTGTGGTCCTTGTGGCCATTTCACCTTCTCTGTAAATACTTTCAGGTTTTATGATAGTGATGTACATCTTTGAAACCTATCTTGATCTTCGGCAACTTGCTGCGCACAAACTTCTCACTTTGCCAAGATCTTTACAAGGAGTAATCAGCCAGGAGAAGTTTGAAAAAGCTCGTGCGTACAGCCTCGACAAAAGGTTGTTCTCAAGTTTAATGATTTCTTTTTGCTTTCAGTAGTCTTAAAGCTATTTGTCCAGGATGCTAGAGCACTCCCAAATAGTGATATTATTTCTTTTTGTTCATGGTACTTATTTGTTAACATGTTATTAATATGACATTGATTATTATGTTGTTCTCAGCTACTTCAGTTTTGTTCATGACTTTGTGACTATCGTGCTGGACTCGGCCATACTGTGGTATGGGGTATTGCCATGGTTTTGGAAGGTAACTTGAATTGATCTGGTATGATGTTATTGACCGTGACTGTAGTTTGGTTAGCTGAGTACTCTGTACTATATACAGGTATCAGGGAACTTTCTGGTCTCAATTGGTCTCAATGCAGAGAATGAAATAATCCACACTCTTGGCTTCTTGGGCGGTATGATGATATGGTCACAGGTGTGTGGATATTCCTCTGGTTCTTGGCAGTTTTGAAAGTTACCAATGATGTAATTTGTGTTATGTTTCTGTAATACATGCGTAGGGCACATATTATGTAACCGTATGGTGCCTTGTATGAGTGTATGTACTTTTGTTGCTTTATTTTCTCTTCTTTTGGGAGCATAAAGATTCAATTTCCTGGTTCATGAATCAAGTCTACTGCAAGCATGTCTTAGATTGAATCAGTTTACAGTCCACTTAACTGGAATATGAACATAGACAAAGCTCTTTGTTGTTTGAGTTGTGACTGAATATGCCACTTAAAATGCTAGAGGTTCCACTTAACATTTTGCTGTATCAATAATATATGCATGGTGGATTCTTCACCATATTTCTATTCATGTACTTGTCTGGTATTTGCGCTGTGTTGGTATAGTTATAAAATGGAAGATAGCTTAAATTTCTTTGAACTTGTGATGCAGATCACTGACTTGCCATTCTCCCTATATTCAACCTTTGTGATCGAGGCACGCCATGGTTTCAACAAAGTATGGTTTCTGGTTTCAGTACTGAATCTAATATCTTCAATTGACATTCCTTTTCACCCTTTCTGTGTCATGCAATGTCATTTGCTTACTTAGCTTTATCTGCTTTACAGCAAACAATATGGTTGTACATTAGGGACTTGTTCAAAGGAATTCTGCTCGCTGTCGTTCTCGGACCACCTATTATATCTGCAATGATCTTGATTGTACAGGTACGTTGCTTCATATTATTGAAATAATGAAATTACTGCTCGCCTGCTCCTGATTTGCCATGTACTTACTATCAGCATTTGCCAATTTGTTACTGTACCTTTGCACCAGTTAACCTCTAAATATGTTACTTCTCTTATTATTTGAGTCTGATTTCCATGGTTGCAGAAAGGTGGTCCATACTTGGCCATTTATCTCTGGGGCTTCATGTTTGCCCTCTCACTCGTCATGATGACAATCTATCCACTTTTGATTGCTCCCCTTTTCAACAAGTTCACCCCTGTGAGAAATCTTGCCCGCTCTTCAGTTTTCAATAATTACCGTATTATGCTCATATTGTTGACTTAATTTGTGCTTATGTTGTGAAAATAAAAAGCTTCCAGAAGGAAGTCTCAGGGAGAAGATCGAGAAACTTGCTGCATCACTCAAATTCCCTTTGAAGAAGTTGTTTGTTGTAGACGGTTCCACAAGATCAAGCCATAGCAATGTATGTTCTCAAGACCTTTCCATTCTCATACAGAGACCTTACATGATTCAAGAGTGGTTCTATTAGTTTTTGTCTAATTTTGCTTTAGCATCGAGGAGCTTTTACATTCTCTCATTTCAACACTTGTTTGTTGTTTACAAAATAATTCTTATCCTTCATTATTCTGGGTAGCCGAATTTCACATATCTATTGGTTGCAGGTTTAGTTTACTTTATCATATTTCATACCATAACCTTTATCTAGCAATAATGTGCCATTTTTCCTCCTTCGCAGTTACTTAATATTTTGATACAATCTCTGTTTTTATGTAGGCTTACATGTATGGCTTCTTCAAGAACAAGAGAATAGTGCTCTATGACACTCTGATTCAGCAGGTGCGCTTTATTTTTCCGGGTCTAATGCTGTCTGCTTTCTTTGTTAAATTATTTTTTGTATTTTCTTGTAAGGAATGCTTTCTTCATCAATCTTGTGAACATGTGACTTGGCTGATCGTTTGTGCATGTTACCAGAAGTATTGGATTCAACAGTCTTGTATATGGTGTACAGGAATCTCCTTATGGCTTTTTTTGGTGATGTGGTAATTGACTGTACTTGTCTCCTTCGCAGTGCAAAAAAGATGAGGAAATTGTAGCTGTTATTGCTCACGAACTCGGGCACTGGAAGCTTAATCATACAATGTACACGTTCATAGCCATGCAGGTGATATTTCTTCCATGAAGACTGACGTAACTGATTCTCCTTGGTTCAAAATTGTACCAATGCTTCTCAGCTCTATTGTGCATGCTTTTGATTTATATCTGGTACAAATGGCATTGGAGAGGAATAGAATACTTGTGGTTTATGATTTTGATCAAAACGAGATGCTCTGAATTTGCATGGGTTATAATCCATCATGTTGTTATTCTTCAATGCAGATTCTTACCTTCCTGCAATTTGGAGGGTATACCCTTGTAAGGAATTCAACGGATCTCTTTAGAAGCTTTGGGTTTGACTCTCAGCCAGTGCTCATTGGGCTGATGATATTTCAGGTACTTGTAGCTATATAACATAGCTGTTGCGAAGAATGACTTGTGTTTGAAGGGATTGTCCTTTTAACTGGGTCCTATTTGTTTATGGATATATTTACTCACTGTAATTTGTTCATCAAATTAAATAGTTGTTCTTGATCTATCTTGCAGCATATTATAATACCTGTCCAGCATCTTGTGAGCTTTGGCCTTAATCTGATTAGCAGATCCTTTGAATTTCAGGTATATCCCTCTCTCTTCTCGCACACCTAGTCTTTCCAGTTCTCGCTTAACTTATAACATTTGGCTAATAATGTAGGCTGATGCATTTGCTAAGAAGCTTGGCTACGCTGGTCCTCTTCGTGCTGGACTAGTGAAACTGCAGGTGACTTTCCATTTCCTTCATGAATTTGCTAGATGGGTTATGCTGCTTGTTCCTTGTTTGGGTGTGTGTTTGGTCTGGCATTTGCTACAAAATCAAATTATGTGAGGAAAGAATTGGGAGTGGATTTGATTAGAGTATAAACTGATGAGTGGCCATTGGTTTAGAGTAATGAGTGTCAAGTAATAGGACAGTAAAGAATTTGTTTAATAATGAAATTAGTGACTGAATTCCTGGCTATCATGGGTATGAGTTTTAAAACAGATTCGTATTTTGAAAGGGAATGAAGTTTTGTTAATTAATTTGTAGGGTTTTGAAGCCCAAGATATTCTCTCCAACGAGTTGGGTCATATGAGTGTGTTTTGCTTTTTTAATATCTTCTAACATGACTTCTTAGCCATAACAAACACACAAAAGTTGTATACTTCCACTTCCAGTCCCATTGCAATCAAAAGTTGCGTGTTTCGATTTACACTTATATGCATGTAAGTTGATGACAACATTTGTTGTTGTGGTGTTGCATTTGCAGGAAGAAAATCTATCAGCCATGAATACTGATCCATGGTACTCAGCTTATCACTATTCCCACCCTCCCCTCGTCGAAAGATTATCAGCCCTTGATGAAGTCGACGCCGACGGTAAAAAGGAAGAGTAATCTGTGGATTCCCGCGCAGCTCGCAGATAGGCACGATTTAGTTTTGTTTCGTCAGTGGACCACCAGAGAGAGTAATGCTGCTGTGAGTCGGAATTTGGTAGTCTAGGCCAGTGCCAGTCTCTTTCTATAACTTTGTTGTTCCCTTTCTATGCCTTTCGCTCCCGACGTTGTATTACTTACTACCTCCCTGTACTTGTACACAAACTGTTGCGCACAGCTCAAACACTCTGTTCAGATTCGTAGCGAAACATCCGGTTGAGAAGCAGAAGGAATCACCATTGATTAGTTGGGTTTCCAACTGGTCATGTTGCTCCAGGCTTTTGCAGTGGTCTAATTAGCTTGTTTGTCGAGCTATAGAAGACACCGATTAAGCTATAGCTTGTTTGGAGTGCTAGCTTAATCGGCAAGCACCAAATGCTAGGAAAGCAATTCTAGAAATTATGAAAGGTAAATCATCACTTTCAAATTTGCATATGGAGTGGAGTGGAGGCTTTTGTATTAAGGAAAGGGGGAAGTGGTTTGTCTTTTCTTTCTGTTGCTCCCCCATTCAATAAATCGATGCTATTCTTGGTTAGATCCAATCAAAACTCTTATTCTTGTATGGTTACCCATCAGATAAAGCTACTACTGATTGTAAAGAAGATGAGATAAATAAAGCTACAAAATGCATCTCAGTGAGCAAACGAAAGGAGGATAAAGGTGCTCGACGATGCTTATCGATACAAGTGGTTAATTCCTTATAGAAAAAGACCAACATGCTTTTAGAAAGAAAATTGCTTATAGAGAAGGACCAACATACTTTAAAAAATGCATGATGCATAAAAAATAATAATATACCATTCAATCTTATTAATAGGCAATGTTTTCATAACTGAACCAGAGAGTATAGAACATTAGTAAACGGTTAATACTTTACTGGTTTAACTGTATTAAACCGTTAAAAATTTGTTATTGAATCGATATCTCATAAACATGAATATTATCTATACTACACACATAATTACACACTAGATCATACATATAAAATAGTACCGCAATCCGCAAGATGGGATCTTTGAAAGCTCCTGAAGTTTATGAGCTAAATGCAATTTTACTCAAGATATGCTGTGACATCATGGGTAAATTGGTTGTCAATTCACAACCTTTTGTTGGCCTAATCTGCCATGATCAAAGAAATAAACGACATGATAATTTCTAATCTAAAGAATCTAGCACTGACCCCAGTGGAGCATTTTCGCTCGATTGGCCTATGTAACGTGACATACAAAATAATCACAAAATGCCTAGGAGAATAGTTGAAGGGTATGATACAAGAACTTGTTGGAAAAAAATATAGACGATCTTTGTCCTGGGACTACAACTCACTTATAACATATGTATCCTTTAAGAAGTTCTCCACTGAATGTGAGCCAAGTAAGATCGAATTGGTTGGATCGTGGTTAAGGTATATTAGGTCAAAATTTACGACCCCATAAAGTGGGATTTTTTTATGAAACACCCTTCTAGGGGTGGCATTTCAGTTATTTCAGTTATAACCGATAACCGATCGGCCGGTTATCGGTTAACCGAAATAATCACTCCCCCTACCGAAAATCGCCCGAAATAGGCTTCGGTTTCTCGGTTATCGGTTAACCGACCCACTTTTAAGACCAAAAAATATTTCGTCTAGCCTCCGATAACCGACCGAAGTTCGGTTACCGGTTAGTGGATAACCGGCCGATTATCGGTTTACCCAGCCGGTTAACCGATAACCGATAACCGAACTGGCCACCCCTACACGCTTCATGTTGTGGGTGCACCCTATCGTTTATTGACATTACCATGCAGTGCATCTCTTCGCCCACCATGTGAGTCCAATAGAATAATGCTCTCTCAAAGATGTTCTCTTCTTTGTGAGGCTTGAGACATGGATGTCTTCTATCCCCTTATTTGTTTACTCTACCATGTAAAGATTAAGTCATCTAATCTCTAGTTGTGTCACTAGCGAGTCCTGGAAGTCGATTTGGCTCACTAGACACGAGCCAACTTTGTCACATCTATTTTTTTTGTTTTTTGTTTTTGCAGATGCTTTAATCCTTTTTGGTGAGGCCTCCCTAACTCGAGCCTCTATCATCTCACAATGCTTTGAGGCCTTCAGTCTGGCATCGAGATAAGAAATCAATTGACAAAGTCTCGTGTTTTCTTCTCAAAGAATGCAACACCTGCAAGGAGCGCAGAGTTGAGTGTTGGCACTAGATATCCAAGCGACATTTTACCTCATACGCTACCTTGGTGTCCCTATGATCCAAGACTGGATAAAGAAGGCAACATACACCGATCTCATCGACAAAATTGACTCCCGCCTTGCAGGATGAAAAGCTTATACTATGACGCTAGATGCGAGGATAACTCTGGTGCAATCGCTACTAACTCTGGTGACGAGTATGAATGAGGCTTTTATGTTGAATCTAACTTGGCGATTGCTGACCGTAGAAGAGGCACTATGTGCTCTAGTCACGACAGCCAAATACTTGCATGAGATTGAGGATGGCTCGTAGTCGTGCACATCAAGACGTATCTCCAACATTTAGCTTTATATTGTTCATCAGAATTAACTTCCAACACCTTGACTTCACTATAGGACTGTTCATATGGATGGTATAGTGCTTCAACTCACAATATAAAAAGCTGAGCTTTTGAAACCTTGACATGTTCAACGGCATCAATACACGCTTCACCTCCTTCAGCTTACTTTGAACTACAAACATGGGAGTATCAGGAAGATGGACCATGTTTGCTACATCAATGTCCGAAACTCGGGATGTTATGCCTAATACTCGAAATATTTGAACGATTTAGAAAGGGAATACACCAGAGGCCTTATAGAAACTAAAATTACCACAATGATTCGAGAAGTTAGTTGTGACTGAGTACCTCCATTTTCAAGTTAGCGAACTCACTTATCCACTTTTCATTTACAATAATGATAAGATTTATATTCATCGTGTGCGAATAGGATTATGATCTTGTGTGTATCATCCGTGTAAATAATAGGTCACCTAATTCCAGACATCCTACCTAGCATCCAGCCTTGATTCAATCACCATTGAATTCGACCACATAACCAGACTAGAGCTTTCTGCCACTACTCCCACCATTGCCCCCAACTAGGGGTTCGAGACAATAACTCCAATAACATCTGAGGGGAGGAACATTCATTGAAGACGAAGGATCCATATAAAGAAAAATAAGAGTAGTGACACAGGTGTCCGATGCGGCTGGTCAAAAACGAAGGGCCAGACACCTAGCTAACCAAATTTTAGAAGACAAAACTACTTTCTCTCTCATGTTATTTTCCTTTGCTGGAATATCTGGAAGGCTAGAAATGAATGTGTGTTCAAGAATCGGATCCCTTGGCATCCGAACGCTATTTTGCGAACTTACAAGGAATTCACGGAATGGGCTAATTGCCCGAGGAGTCCCCCCATTGACTCTCCTTCTACTCAGCTCAGGGGGGCCCAATCACTCAATTCTCCACCGCCAAGCAATCACAATTTTGTGATTCACTGTGATGAGTCGTTCTTAAACGACTCTAGCCGGCGACATATAGTGTTGTGGTCACTAACCACCATGGACAAGTGTGTGATGGGCGAGCTGACACTCTCCTTTGTTCCACCCCACTCGAAGCCGAAGAAAAAGCTCTTTTGGAAGGTCTCAAATTAGCCCAAGAATATGGCACGGAATGTGTTGTCCAGTCAGACTGCCATCTGATTGTCAAAGCTCTCTCGGATGAGCCAAGAAATTGGTCGTGGCGAGGTGCAGCCTGGATTGGATCAATGATCTCAATCTTAAGAACGAACCCTCAAGTGAAGGTCAAGGCAGTTTCATGTGCTTTCAATGTTAGAGCTGATTGGGTTGCACGATCACTTGCTAGATCCTCTCTCACTGTTGAATGGATTAGTATTCTTGACCTAATTTTGAATTTCCTTTGATAAAGCGTATTCTCGATTTTTTCGAGTTGGAAGTGGAACAAAAGATGAAATTTATTGTCAACAAAAAAATATTTATCTCTTCTTAAATGCAATCTAGTGAAAAATTCAAATTGAATTTCCTACTAGGCAAATAAAAATTCCATTTATAAAATATGAAATACCAATTCATGTATAATTCCGTTTGTGTCCTTGGGTAGGGATGTCAAATGCCCATTCCTCTCTTCCAGCGGATCCTCCACTTTCTATTCCGTTCCATCTCACATCCGAAGACAAACTGACAGCTCATCACTCTCTCTTCTCTTCCTCCCTTTGCTTTGCTTCCTTCACAGCCTTGCTTTGCTCTCTGGTTTTCCTTTCCCCATATTCCCCTTTCTTCCTTTCTTTCCCCTCGCTCAGAAACATTCGCCGCAAAGCACTCCTCCCCTTCCACCGGCCGGCGACCCAAATGCCTCCTGCTTCTCCTCCCACCATCTGAACCCTACAATTACTGCTGATTGCCGGGACAGCAACTAATTGCCGGAGGGGGACAAATAAGAGAGGGACGGCGAAACTGGAAGTAGTGAATAAAACAAGCCAATAATGTCTCTGTACGACGCTGCATTCTTGAACACTGAACTCTCGAAGCCCACTTCCATCTTCGGCCTCCGCCTGTGGGTGGTGATTGGAATCCTCCTGGGCTCACTGATAGTCCTCGCCCTCTTCCTCCTCTCCCTCTGCCTAACTTCTCGCCGCAAAAGCCGGAAACGCCCCAAACTCGCCGAGCCCACTCCGCCCGTTTCTAAAGAAATCCAGGAGATTGTTCAGTTCCCAGCACATGATCACCACCACCACCACCACCACCACGCGGCGCCGGTCCCTGAGATTCAGGTAGAGATCGGCAAGATCGAGCATCGGGTCGTGTTCTCCGACAGAGCTTCCAGCGGGGAGAGCAGAGCCACCGCCAGCGGCGGGGAGACGGCGTCTTTTGGAAGCGGGAGCGTTGGGCCGGAGGTTTCTCATCTCGGGTGGGGGCGGTGGTACACGCTGAGGGAGCTGGAGATTGCGACGGATGGGCTTTGTGAGGAGAATGTGATTGGGGAAGGTGGGTATGGGATTGTCTATCGTGGGATTTTGGGCGACGGCACCAAAGTTGCTGTGAAGAACTTGCTCAATAACAGGTTCCCAGTTTTCTTCTTTCTCGCTGTTAGTTTGTCATCAAATTTGATTGTTGCCCATAGCTAAATTTAGGTGCTTTGCTGTTCCTAGTGACGTCAGTGTTACTCCATGGATAAAACTGGATTTGGGTTTCTGGTTGTTGGGGTTTTAGTTTTATTGGATTGTGGTTGGTGGGTACTGAATATTATTGAAGAATCAAATAAATATGTCTGCTTGGATTCCTCTGTTTCCAGCAGAGATCCCAGGATTGGAGACAATGAACGGTTAGTAGGAAAAATCTATGAATAGGTCAAATTTGTGTGTGTTTGAATCGATTGGTTCTGCTTTGATCCCCACACTCCTTCTTGCCCTTCTCTCTTGTCCTTTATACTTGTCGTGTCTGCTCCGTATTTACTTAATTACTTGGTGGATCAATAATTTTTCTTCTTATTAATCTCAACTGGTAACTTAGATCATCCTCTTTTCAGAAACTTGTTGCCATACTTCTAACTTGCTTCTTCTGTAGACTTTTAATAATCAACTAACCTTTGAGGATGATTGATGATCAGGGGTCAAGCTGAGAAGGAGTTCAAGGTGGAGGTGGAGGCGATTGGAAGGGTGAGGCATAAGAATCTTGTGAGATTGCTTGGATACTGTGTTGAGGGTGCTTATAGGTGAGCTGAAAATCATCAGCAAATGAACTGGCTTACAGGTTTGGTTCTTCAGATGTGACTGACTGATTATATGTTTTGTTTTGGCAAGGATGCTTGTTTATGAATATGTTGACAATGGTAATCTGGACCAATGGCTTCATGGTGATGTTGGTTTAGTGAGCCCTCTCAAATGGGATGTTCGTGTGAATATTATACTTGGGATGGCGAAAGGGTAAACCATAACTAATCATCTAAATCTTGTGTTTTGTTTTTCTTTTCCTCCTCTTTTTTGGAGAACTACTGCATTGCAAGTACTCAAAACTAATGCTTTCCACTGTTTCCAGATTGGCTTATCTTCATGAGGGTCTTGAACCAAAGGTTGTCCATCGAGACATAAAATCCAGCAACATACTCCTGGATCACAATTTGCACCCAAAGGTTTCTGATTTTGGGCTTGCCAAACTCTTATGCTCCGAGAGCAGTTACGTCACCACTCGTGTGATGGGAACCTTTGGGTTAGTTCATTTTCTTTTCCTGTCAATTCCACATTTGTTAGCATTAGCTTAGGTTGTTTGGTAATCTGAGTTGTGTGTTCCATTTAGTTCTAAGAATACATGATTTCTATCAGTTTCATCATATTCTTGTCTGAATCTGGTATGAAAGCCAAGCATTTCACAGCGCCTTGTGTTCCAGCAATTGTGTGAGGTCCTCCACCTTTACAACCCCTACAAACCAAGAACTACATTCTGACATTACACACATACTTGCAATTCGATATAGTAATAATACATGATTTATAAAAAAGTCATGTATTCCACATTACCAAATGACACCTTAGGAGTGCAGAATTTCATTACTTCCATACATGGCGATTATGATTCTGTTCTTGAAGTATTTAAACCAAATTTGCTGTTATCTCTGCAGTTATGTAGCACCGGAGTATGCTTGCACTGGAATGCTGAATGAAAAAAGTGACGTTTATAGCTTTGGCATACTTGTAATGGAGATAATTTCTGGGAGAAGCCCTGTGGATTACAGTCGTCCACAAGGAGAGGTCAGTTTTCAGTTCCTTTTTACTATTTTTGGCAAGAAAACAGAAAGTTCTCTCCTTTCGCCTAAACTGTGCTCGGGATTTTTGTTGTGGTTTAACTTACTTACTCAACAATCAACTGTAGGTGAATCTGGTGGAGTGGCTAAAAACCATGGTTGGGAACCGAAAATCGGAGGAAGTAGTGGATCCTAAGTTGCCCGAAATGCCAGCTTCGAAAGCCCTGAAGCGGGTACTCTTGGTTGCTCTTCGATGTGTGGATCCTGATGCGACGAAAAGACCCAAAATGGGGCATGTGATTCACATGCTTGAAGCGGATGATGTACTATTTCGTGATGTATGAAAACCGTTCGCTCTTCTCCAAAAATGACTGAAAAGCTTTCTAACTCGTTTCCATTTCCTCCTCAGCTTTAACTAGATAGTTCATGAACTCAGATTCTCTTTGGCTCTGTGATGATCATTTTTTCCAGGAGCGTCGAATCGGAAAAGAAGGACAAGCAGCAGCAGGAAATAAGTCTCGTGGGAAACTAGGAGATGTGGTCTCTGATAAAAGCGAAGAAGAGGGTAGCAGTAGGAATCAGCAGCAGCAAAGCAGATGGTAGAAGAAGAAGAAGATACACGTCCAGTCCAGTCCAGCCAGCGATTTTTAGGTGATCTCTAACTATTTTTATTTTCAAGTAATGTTTCAACTTGTTGCTGTCATAATCCACTATTATTGTACCATACAAACTCTAGAAATCAATAATCAGGAATTCCCTCCTCTTTTTCTTCTTCTTCTTCTTCATTTCATTATTTATATCCTACGTTGATTGGAGGATGCATTTTGTATTATAAATTCGGAAACGCAGCTGTAAAATTTGTAAGAATTCATTCATTATATTCTCTTCTATTTTTATACAATACAAAGCCATAACAGAACGTCCATTCTCTCCATTACGCCTCCCTCCACAGCCACATGGCTATAGTGTTATCATTTTTGTTGGTTATGTGAATTAGGGTTGTCTTTTTCTGCAAATGTTGCTTTCAGAAAGATGGAGATCTATCCGTTGGGTAGCCAACTAGCCATTTGTCTGTAAGCGATTCGATTCTTTATTCTTATTCATTGTTGCTTCTGTTAGGGTTCATCACATTTTGTGCTGGCTATAATCTGTTGTGTGTATGGTCCTTGATGGTAATGATACAGATTCATTGTGTCCAAGTTTAAGTACACAGCTGCTATTGATAGAAACATCTTGGTAGAAAGGAAAAGGGTTCAACATCACCCAGAAAATCCAAAGGGGAGCGACCCCAGAAAATGGACCCGGGCCAACCAGCTGGTTCCATGTTTTTTTTGGGTTTTTCTTCTTTCCCATCGATCCAGCTGGTTGCCCTGGAAATCGGGTCATATCATAGGGCTTTGATTTCAGCAGCAGACTCTGCCATTTGTTTGTGGGGTTTCATAAACGCAGGCAGACAGGCAGGGATTTTGACGTGCTATATTATTTAGGATGGGAACGCAGTAATTTGGGGTGGGCAAACGGTTAGGTAAATCCGAACCGAAACCGAATTAAACCGAACCGAAACCGAAATAATGCTATTCGGTTCGGAATTCGGAAGGAAAATATGGATAGTTTGGAAACCAGGGTTCTTTCAACCGAACCGAATTTTCAAATTTCCGACCGAAAAACCGAAATACTATAATTGCAAGCTCCAAATGGTGGATTTTTATGTTTGTAGTTGTTTTTAGACTTAAATATTTGAAATGTTAAATGACTTATGTGTTGAAAAGTTTGATTTTATCATTGATGATGCATATAATTGATATTTATTGTTTATATTAGGGTGAAAAATAATTTAAAAGTGATAAAATACAAGTAGCTTCACAAATTCGGTTTTGGGTGAAAAACCGAACCGAATTAAAATTCGGTTTAAACCGACCGAACCTAATTATATTTTGGTTCGAATTCGGTTTGAGGTTTGAGAGAATTTGGGGACCCAGTATTCATAATTTCGGTTCGGTCGAAACCGAACCGACCAAACGCCCACCCCTAGCAGTAATGCAGTATAATATAGTCCCTAGCATCGCGGGAGTGGCCTCTGGTATCTGACGATCAACATTAGTATCGTAATAGTGCAATTTAGAAGAGTAAAGTTGCGGAGGGGAAGTTGAAGAGAGATAAGTGTGGAGAGAAGAGATCGCCTTACTTGGAGTGTCTAGTGATATATATATATAGACAAAAACATGTGTTCCATTTTAGGGATTTGGCATGAACTTTCTTGAATTTGTCATGTTGGCTTGGGCCCATATTGCGCAATGTAGACTCTAAGTGTGATCAAGGTCGAGTTATATCATACATACAAGTCCAACAAATGTCTCACGGCTAGGTATTCAGTGGTACACTGGATGTTTAACTAGGAGTCGTTTGGATGGATCAATTGCAAAACCGAAACTATTTAGCCAATGAAGCATAATAATGGGCTTAATTCTCTATATATGAGAGAGATTAATGCTATAATTTATGTGTCATTAGAACAACCACCGACTATGTTAGCCACATTCCAAGTAGTATAAGAGGTTTGAGGATCCAGCTCAACAAGGTTGGTTGTTGCATTGCATGCTTCACCTCATGGCCATAAATAAGAGAAGTGACTGTTAGAGAGAAAGGATTGCATAATCACAATTCTCGCGCAACCATAGTTCGTGGAGGTCTCAAAAGGAAGGGAGTGAAGTAGCTTAACTTAAAAGTTTCATTTCATCGAACACTCTCTGCATTTGAACTTTGTTTGAAGAGTTGTCAATCACAAGTCATTGAGCGACAGCGGGGCCTACTAAACCACTGGGGGTACCTGCATACTAACCAGGGCTTTCTGCTAGGGAACCTCAGCCCCACGTGCCGCTTGAGCGACAGCAGGGCCTACTAAACCACTGGGGGTACCTGCATACTAACCGGGGCTTTCTTCTACCAACATCGGGGAGGCTTTGCCTCCGATACCAAGGGTGCCACCGGGAACGCTCAAGTGGCACCACTGGGAATCGAACTCAGGACCTCCCACATCCATAGCTCAATTGATCCAGTGATTTCACCACTAGACTATGTTACCTTTGGCTAGAATCAAACTTTTAAGTCATATATGTCATGTAAGTCGCAATGAATATTATCACTTTTTATTATTATATTTATCATTCCATTCCATAAAATAATAAACAAAAAGTTTGCCACTTGACACGCTCAAGTTTGGACCAAAAAAAAAAAGTGAGGCCCATAACACGAGTTCAACCAGTTCTTCCACTCGAAGCCCAACTACACCCAACCAGAAGGAACAAGCCCATCTCCTCTTCCAATCGTCATTCTTACGCAATAAATTAAAAATCGGAATTAAGACATGAAACGGGGAGTGGGAAGATAATCATGCATACAGAGCTGCTGCCTAAGGGAGTTTGTGCTTCTATTGATCGGATCAACAGGGATTTTGTTTGGGGAGAGGAGGAGGACAAGTCAAAGCTTCACCTAGTCGCTTGGGAGAAGATGGCGCTGCCTAAGAGTCAAGGGGGTGCGGGTCTCCGATCTGTGAGAAATGCGAATCTTGCCATGTTAGCCAAGAGCGGGTGGAGACTTCTTAAAGAGAGAGAGATGCTTTGGACTCAAGTTATTCAAGCTAAGTACGGGCGGAACAAGGAGAATCTGGATCTTTTTCAGCCTGTTCAGGGAAGTTCCTTTACCTGGCAAAGCCTTACTAGAGCCGCCCCTCTCTTAAAAGGAGGCTGCGCCTGGAATATTAAGAATGGAAATACTACTAAATTCTGGCATGATTCGTGGATTTTGCAGGAACCCCTCAATAATTATGCCCTGGAGGAGATCCCTAGCTACCGGGCGAACGAGGTGGTAGCAGATCTGACGACAGATGATGGGGTGTGGCGGACGGACTTGTTCGAGGACCTCCTTCCCCAGGAGATTCAGCATAAAATTATGGGAGTGGCGGTGGACAAGCTTTCCCCGAGGCGGACACACTTTTTTGGACGAGATCCTCGGATGGACGCTTTTCCACGAAGACAGCGTATCAACCCTGCTGCCGCCGGATACAGACAGTGATGCCAAGTTTTGGAAGATCATTTGGAGCCTTCCGGTTCCCGAACGAGTTAGATGCTTTATGTGGCTTGCCTGTCTTGGGAGGATTGCGACTAATGCCCTCAGATTTTCCAGAAAAATAGCCCTGTCTCCCAACTGTATCCGTTGCAGTGGGCAGGTGGAGTCAGTCATTCACCTTCTGAGAGACTGCCCTCCGGCTGCTTTTTTCTGGACCAGGTATGTCCCCAACAACAGGCAACACATATTCTTTTCAGCTACTACAGCTGACTGGTTCCGAATGAATCTGGAAGATACAGACAGTGGAGATGTGGGTATTGAATGGGCTACCTTGTTTAGCATTGCGGTTTGGCTGATCTGGAAAAGCAGGAATGACAGGTGCTTTAAAGGGGCCTCTCACACTCTCAGTCCACCTTCCTTGGCTCATTCCATTATTGCCAAAGCTAGACTCTGGAGTGAAGCCTGGAGTGCTCCTTCCAGGTGGCCGAACCTGAGGAAGGCCCCGACAGCCAGGGTGGTGGAAAACATTGCTTGGACTCCGCCAGTAGGAGGATGGGTGAAGATGAATATTGATGGCGCCTCCAATGGAAATCCGGGGCTGGCCGGCGCTGGTAGAGTTATACGAGATGAGGTTGGCTTGTGGCTTAATGGGTTCGTGGCCAAGATTGGGCAAGCTTCTGCAGCCTTGGCGGAGCTATGGGCTTTCTATCATGGCTTGGATCTAGCTTGGAAGGCCGGATATAGACAAATTATGGTGGAATCTGATTCGCAGGTAGCCATCCAGTTGATTAATGACAGACGAGATCCAGTTCACCCGTATGCCACTTTGTTAGCTTCCATTCGTAGGAGTATTAGTCGTGATTGGTTGGTGCGTATTGTTCATGTTTATCGCGAAGGGAATATAGTCGCGGACTGGCTCTCGAAGCACAGTCTCGTCTGTCCCTACGGTATGCATGAACTTGCGCACCCGCCATCAGGCGTTATTTCTATTCTTCAGGATGATATGCAGGGAGTGTCCTTTGAGCGGCGGATTGTTGACCACCGGGACAGCTCTTCTATCCCTACTCCTCCCCCCATGTAACCTTCTCTTCTTGGCTTTTGGCCTCCTGAAATGCAAAAAAAAAAAATCATGGATGAACTTTAAATTGATGGATGATATAATTATATTATATGAAGTTGACCGAAGCCGGCCTTCCAGCTAATAAATAACTATACAAAAAACAAAAACAAAAAAAAAATATAAAGAAAAAATGCCCCCAACACGCATCTTACCGTGTGTGTGAACGATCGACACACACAACGTTCTTCCCATTGTTTATATCCGTTGGATTCCTCTTTCTTTTTTTCCCCCTAAAAACAAAGAAAGGAATTCAACCCAAAAAAGATAATCTCAAATTAAAAGAAAATGGGCAAAAACGGAAAATCGTGACTGAGCATCTCAACCATTGGATTTAGAGGAACCCATCTCCCCAACCACTAATCTTCTTCCACGTGGTCGGCCAGTGAGACGCCGCTTTCATGCCAGCCCAGCGAGCCGCCCGTTTGCCCATTTCCTTCCGCCAACCATTAATTAATAAATTATTATCTAGGAAAAGAAAATAATAAAGGGCGAAAACTCGGGAGGAAGGGTTTCTCGAAGGAAGTTTCGTGTACGCGTTCGGAGAGAGCTTAATATCACGAAAAGTGATTTTCCCGGAAAATCTCCATACTCCTGCTCCTGCTGCCGAGTACTGTTTCAGGTACGAAATCGCTCACGATCGTCATTCGCTCCTTTCTGGACTTTATCCTTTTGGTTTTGCTCCCTCATTTTTAGGTCTTTTGGTTGGTTCGGTCCCTCCTCTATTGGATCTGAGAGAACATATTGTCGAGAAAAGGGAGGTTAGGGATTAGTTGGCGATTAGGCGGTTTTAGTTTTTGTGCTCCTTGAGGGGATTTAGGGAGAGGAGCTCTGATAAGTTGTGTGTCACTTCGGCTCTTGTTCTAAGCGGGGACATCTAGATTCTTGAGGCTTTCTTTGGTAAGTCTTCCTCTGGTTGATTGCTTCTCCTCTCTGGGTGTTTTGAATATGGTATTTCCGGTCTCTACTTTGCTATATTTCGGGTTGGATTTGATGGGTAAGGGACAGAATTGAACAAATAGATGCTCTGATAAGTTGGGATTATGCGACTTTGTTAAGAGGAAGAATGGAACTTAGATGATGGTCAGTCAAAGAACACAACTTTCATTTCTATTATAATTACTATCCTTTTTTTCTTCTTCTTTTGTTGCTGTTGTTGTTCTTGTTCTGGATGTCTTGTATACTGCAGATGATGAGATTCTAGTTAATGATCATGTTGAATATGGCTTGAACTAAGCAGAATGACTCTGAAATACTTGTGTGTTTCTCTCCCAGATGCATGTTACCCCTTACTAGTTAAATAGATCTGTGAAAGATCCTGTGAATTCGTGGATGGAATTTTGATTTCATGAGTTCTATTTTGAAACAATTGAGTAGTTGTTTGATGGAAGGGATTCCTTGCTGTTGGGATGTTGTCATACTAATAATCTGTTCTTGTTGTAATATTGCAGTGGACATTTGAAAATGAGTCGCCCACAGGATCCACACCGACCCTTTTTCCCCTTTGGAAATCCTTTCCGGATGATATCGCCAAAGGGCTCGCAGATGTCTCCTAGGCTTATTTCTATACTGAATAGCTTTGAGGAAACCTTGGCAGAGAGGCTGAGCAAACTTATTCCAGAAGACAAGGGTGATGTTCTGAGTCTGACATGGATGAGATCAGCCATGGAATCCCTCTGCGAGACTCACACCGACGTCAAAACCCTCATCACCGATCTCGAGCTTCCAGTCACGGACTGGGATCAGAAGTGGATTGATGTCTATTTGGACGTCAGTGTGAGGTTGCTTGATATCTGCATTGCTCTAAGCTCTGAGATCTCGAGGCTTAACCAAGGTCATCTCTTACTTCAGTGTGTCTTGCATAATTTGGAATCTGGGACCCCCGAGCGTTATATGAAGGCGCGTTCGTCCCTTGATAACTGGAGACGTCATATTTGCTCTAAGAACCCTAGAGTTCAGAGTTGTGGCTCCATCTTAGACAGTCTTGTCGAGACATTGGATCTTCCCAAGGTGAAGAATTCCGCCAAGGGGAAGGTCCTGATGCGTGCCATGTATGGTGTCAAGGTGGAGACAGTATTCATCTTCAGCGTATTTGCTTCGGCCTTTTCCAGCTCGTCAAAGAATCTCTTGGATTTAACTATCCCAGATACAGTCTTGTGGAATCGTGCTTTTTCCGATTTGCAAACAAGAGTGAATGGGGAAATCAGAGAGACATTCTCATCTGGAAAATTTACTGCTCTGAAAGAGCTGGAGTCTGTTGATTCTATTGTGAAGGCCCTGTATCCTGCTATTCAAGATGGGGTGCAGCAACCTCCTGAGGTGGAGGAAGCGTTGAAGATTTGCTTCACTGAGTTGCAGGGTGGAGCTGAGAAGCTATCGAAAGGCTTGGATCTCCTTGCTAAACAAGTGGACACCTTCTTCAAAATAGTTTTAAGTGGTCGTGATGCTTTGCTTTGTAATCTAAGAGTTTCGAGTACCGAAACAAATGCTGTGACGACGGCTGGTAACATAGTGGAACATCAAGTTGTTAGATGATATTGTGCAGCCACTCTGTATACAATAGTCTTAGGTCTAACAAGTCTGTCCTATGGCAACGTATATCGTGTAAGATTTTATCGTGGTCGTTGTGGCATGAGTTGTGTGTGTTTATTACTCGTTCACAGGGTTGTACAAGGGTTGTGTACTGCGAGACATTAAATATAGATAAGAATGAATTGTTACCACTTACCAATGTGGTCCTGTGTTCTAACTTGTTGCCGGCAATCGGCAACGCGAATACCATGCTTCCATCCAAAATATGTAGCTTGTAGGAAGATTTTGCAAAATGAGTCTCTTCGGTCGTGAAGTACAGAAGCGGCAGTGCCACAATGCTGTGTCCAACTCCCTCGCGTCCGTTGGGAGTCGCGAAAGGGATTCTTCCCTAGCGATGAAAACTTCTCACGATCAACTTCACGGCTGTGTAATCCTCATTGGCTGCTCTTCATAGCGCGCCATCGTCACGACTTTTTTTCTAAGTATCGAGAAAATGAGGATTCGACAATGTAAGAAAACGAAAGCACAAATCCACACACGATACACGATTTACGTGGTTCACTGATTCAATGTGTGTTATCTAGTCCATAGAAAGGAGAGAGTCCCGTGACTTTCGATCATAGCGACTGACAGTCCGATTCAGGTCACATCAATAGCCAGTCCCAAAACCCACCTCCAGTCCTACCCACCTTTGCTCTACACTTTGTGCTTAACTTGTCAGTCCAAATTGGTCAAAAACTCGCTAAGTTGTATACTTCGTTGAAAATTCAGCATTGAACTGGGGTCTTGCATTTGGCGTTCGTCCATGGGGTAAGGAGGCGATTATTCTTTCATATTTGTCATTTGAAGCAGGGAAGAGAAGAGGAAGGTTCAAATAGGCTTTAGCAAATGGCAAAACACAAGTCACCGCAGACCCAGAGAGAGAGGAAGGAAGGGAAGTCTTTTTCTTTTTCTTTTCCCCTTCTCCTCCTCCTGTAAATAAAAGTCGTATTGGTGAGATCACGAGGAAAGCCAAGTTTTTCCAGTTCAAAAGTTTCGCTCACATTACGAACCACCACCACCCGCGCGGCCTTTTTTTCTCCTTCCTTCCACCAAAACCCCAAGAAACGCAGACGACGAAACGGAGAGACGCGTAAGTAAAAGCCCACCGACACTCCCGCCCCTTTCCTCCTCCGTCGATCTCTTTCTCCCCCGTCCTTCCTCGATCCGCCTCTGAATCTCCGCTCCGCCCGCCGCCGGACCTTCTTTTCTTCAAGTTTTCTTTTGGTGTAGCTTGGAGCGGGAAGTTCAGAAGTGAGTTAAAAGAGTAGTACTCGAGTATGTCGACGGAGACTAGCACAGGCGAGCACAGCATCAGAGGAACGCCGACTCACGGCGGTCGATACGTCCAGTATAATGTGTACGGGAACCTCTTCGAGGTCTCCAGGAAGTACGTCCCTCCGATTCGCCCCGTAGGTCGAGGTGCTTACGGTATCGTCTGGTGAGATGTTCTTCCTTCCTTTTTTCTGCCTCTGGTACTTTTTATAGTGATTCCTTCTTCCTCCCTCTCTTTGTTATGAATGAAGATATAGATCGTGTGTGGATTAGATGGCCTTATTATTCTATTCCTTTTCGATCTCGATTTTGGCCGACTTTCTGCGCTACTGTTTTCTGTCTGTGCGATGAATTGCGAGAATTAGTTTTTTTCCCGAGGCTGTTTGTCATTGATTGCTTTCCAAGTTTTCTTCCAGCTGCTTTCGTTTCGGTGGAACTGTTAGTAGAAGAGTTTGAATTGCGATGCTTGGGTGCCTATGGCATAATCAAGATCTAATAAGTTCTGGGGAAGAAGGGGAAGGCTACCGGTTCTACATGCTTCCCAGGATTTCTGCTTCATTTCCGTTACAGAGAGAGCAAGAGACTTGCATTTGAATATTTCAAGTGCTATGTGGGAAGGCCAGCCTGATTTTTTTTTTCTCGTTCTTTCAGTGCTGCGATGAATTCAGAGACAAGAGAGGAAGTGGCCATAAAGAAGATTGGCAATGCGTTTGACAACCGTATAGATGCCAAAAGGACCTTGCGAGAAATTAAGCTTCTGCGGCACATGGATCATGAGAATGTGAGTTGCTTTCACATGTTGTCTGTGTCATTTCATTTTCATTTTTGGGTTTACGACGAAGCTTGTAATTCTGGATTCCCTGGTTCTTGTTGTGCTGTTGGTTAATTGTCTCACTTATAAACCAATTTGGTGTTCCATCTCATAGAACATCAGGCTCGTGGTATTGTTAATCCGAGTACCTGATGGACTTAGCAACTATCTGAAGGTGTCAATTGAAATTCATCAATCTTGTTTATCTGCACATGCACTTAGCTGTGATAATCTGGCCAGAATCCATTTGATTGAACAGTTAGACACTCATCTAACTTATTTCAGCCTTGTATTTCCATCTCTGAATATGAATCTAATAAATCTTTAAAGCATTTTCTGAGTTCTAACTGGGCGATGGCTTCGTGTAATTGGTATTTTCTGATTTGCTGGTGCTATCGTTTTTTCTGAATTTATTTTACCTTCTGGTTGTTTACTCTCTTCATGATAATTGTTTGCAGATTATTGCCATCAAAGACATAATTAGGCCTCCTCAAAAGGAGAACTTCAATGATGTTTACATCGTTTACGAGTTGATGGACACAGATCTTCATCAAATTATCCGCTCCAACCAATCATTGACAGATGATCATTGTCGTGTCAGTATGATCCTATGATTTATTGTTTGTCTCCTGATTAGTATGCTATGTGTTTCTCCCTCTTCATCGCGATTGCCTCAGTTTCAACTATTGAAGAGGTCCGAGAGATGCATAACGACATGTTGGACTTCCATTGTTAATGTTGGGAATCCGTCATTTTTGTTGCAGTATTTTCTGTATCAAGTTCTGAGAGGACTCAAATATGTTCATTCAGCGCATGTTCTGCATCGTGATTTGAAGCCCAGCAACTTGCTTTTGAATTCCAACTGCGACCTGAAGATTGCAGACTTTGGGCTTGCCAGGACGACTTCAGAGACAGATTTCATGACCGAGTATGTTGTTACTCGCTGGTATCGAGCACCTGAGTTACTCCTTAATTGTTCAGAGTACACCGCAGCTATTGATATATGGTCAGTGGGTTGCATACTCGGCGAAATCATGACCCGTCAACCTTTGTTCCCTGGCAGAGACTATGTTCATCAGCTGAGACTTATCACAGAGGTATGCAGAAACTTCATGACGTTCTAGTTGATGTATGGTACCGATCTCATCTCATTTAGGAATTTTTCCGCTTGCTTTCTGTAACTTAATTTGCATTACTTTTTATTTGTTTGAAAAAAAGCTCATAGGTTCCCCTGACGACATGAGCCTGGGTTTCCTACGAAGTGATAATGCTCGAAGATACGTGAGACAGCTTCCACAATACCCTAAGCAAAATTTTGCAGCTCGATTCCCTAACTCATCTGCTGGTGCTGTTGATTTATTAGAGAAGATGCTTGTATTTGATCCAAACAGACGCATAACAGGTAAACTGATTGAAGCCTCTGTTGCAATTTTTGTTGTTGTTGTTGTTGTTGTTATCTATAGCCAAATGATCCCTGATACTTGTTCCTGACCTGAGCAAGTGAACTCGGTCTAATGTTGGGTATCGAGGTTTAACCCTAGTTTTGACCTTTGCAGTGGACGAGGCTCTATGCCACCCGTACTTGGCACCTCTTCACGATATCAACGAGGAGCCAGTTTGTCCAAGGCCCTTCGTTTTCGATTTTGAGCAGCCATCATTCACCGAGGAGAACATAAAGGAGCTCATCTGGAGAGAATCTGCAAGATTCAACCCAGACGCATGAGAAAATGTCGTGCGGCGGTGGTGGTAATCGCACAATACGGACAGCAGTTGTTAATGATTCTGGATTATGTTCCCAAGTACCCATCAGTTGGCTCCCACTTTAACTCAGCAGGATTGTTGTTTGTTGTGCATGAAGAAGGTCGACCATAATTTGACTTGGTATGCAGTATCATTGGTGTGTATAAACTGACATTGCGCCCGCGGTGCAACGGAGGATGTATCTGCAGGCATTAGTTTCGTAGAAAGCCAAAGCTCCCTTTGCCTGTAGAAGATTGTCTATGCTTCTGATGTAGAACATGTTCCCATGCGAAGTAGACAGCTAGTAACCTGCAACGAACTGTCTCAGAACGAGTGGCGGGGTTTTTGTGTATTGTTGCAATAATGGAGATGATATTCTCAGGACTTTCATTTCTCTCCCTTTTTCTGTTAAGCATATCTGCTACTCTTAATACAAACTCTGCTACTCTTAATACAAACTGCAGAGTGCAGAATAAGCTACAGCTTCGATACGATACTTGAACAAAACTATGCTTATCACTTTAGTAATTAATCTTATAAGAGCACGTCTTGAGCTCCACTGAATCAATCGGCAAAGTCTCGGTGGGGAAATCACAGCCCTCCTCCATTTTCCCCGGTCCTTGCTCCGGCAACAGATCACACGGCCGGGGGCTCACCCCGGCCGTGATCCCGCCCACATCAGAACAAGTCCAGGGCACCTTCTTCGCCTTGGCCGCCATCCCGATGGTGACGTTGGAGATGCAGATCTGTGTGAACGGGTCGCCGGCGATTCCTTCCAGCCGGGCCGCCATGGAGACGTTGTCGGCGGCCATGTCCCTGTAATTGATGTTCTGGATGACGGGGAGGGCGTTGGGGTCGTAGTTCTTGTCGGCGTGGGACCCGTAGTTTCCGGTCATCCAGAAGGCCCACTTCATGGTGTGCATCGTCATCCTCCTCACGTAGATGTCCTTCACGAAGCCTCCCCGGCCGACGGCGGTCTTGATCCTGACGCCGGACTCGGTGTGGACGGCGGTGATGTCCTCCGCCCGGACGTCCTGGATCCCGCCGGACATCTCGCTGCCGAGGGCGATGGTGGCGCTGTACGGCGAGATGCAGGTGAGGCGCCTGATGATGAGCTGCTTGGTCGGCATCCCGAATGCGATGCCGTATTCGTCCCATCCGCTCTTCACGGCCACGCAGTCGTCGCCGGAGACGATGTAGCAGTCCTCGATTCTGGTGTTCGTGCAAGAGTCTGGGGAACACAAGAATGGGCCAAGGCCCACATTCTGTTTGTTAGGACCTATTAAGCCCACAGTTTGCAGGCCTAAAAAAAAGGGGGAAAGGGTTCTACTTGCAAAATGTGCTCCTGCTATTTATTTCCTACCTAATTTATGTGTATTCTCAATCAAAGTAGGCATAGAAGAATCATTTTTTTTCCCCACAAAGCTGGTTCACCTAAACTTAATTTGGCTTCCTTTGATCCAAATCTCATAGTCGTACACTTAATCACGGATGATTCCTTGTTCCTCTTTGATTAAGAAATAGAAACCCTAATTGGTAGGAAATTCACTTTGTACGTTGAGGGGCAAAATTGGAAATCACGAACAAATACCATACCTGGGTTAATGCCATCGGTGTTTGGTGAGGTCACGGGAGCTAAGATTGTGATACCTTTCACCAAGATATTGCTGCCATAAAATAAAACAAAATCAATAACGATGCAAAACTGACCATAATAGCACCACTCTACTAATCGTAACGAAAGTTGTATCGAAAAAATTAGTATTAGCATATTTTGTATTAAAATCGCGATTAAACTTGGTTCAACCATTTTATAGCGCTAAACCATCTCCCACTTAAAGTTGGGTTTTTTTTTTGGGTTGTGTAATCACCTGCTGTAAACCGGATGGACGTTCCACGAAGGCGAATTGAGGAGCGTGAGATTGGAGATCTGGATGCCATCGGAGAACATCAGCTCGATCAAGTACGGGCGGGTGTACTTGAGCTTGCCCTTATGGAATTGCTGCCACCAGAATGCTCCCTGCCCGTCGATCGTTCCATTCTCCCCTGTAATAATGACGTCCGTGAGGTTGGTCCCAAATATCAGGCTCGCAAATCTCCCGCCGGCGGCATCCCTTCCTCTGCCGTACGACGGCAGAGCTTTCAGCACCGGCCATTCATTAATATCCTGCGGCGGTGCACAATCTCACGAAAATCAATAAAGCGTTCCGTTCCGTTACTTTTTTTTACTTTTAGTTTGGTGGGTAGTTTACGACTTTACGTTACGTTGCTTTACCTGGGAGGCAAGAAGAACGGCGTCCTGATGGAGAAACAGAGTGAAGTGGCTGACGAGGCTGAAGCTGCCGGTGAGCCATTTCCCGGCGGGGACATAGAGCTGGGACCCGCCGTCCGACGAGAATTGGCCGAGGTGATCCACGGCGTCCTTGAACGCCTTGGTGTTGGAAGTTTTGCCGTCCCCGACTGCTCCGAACTCTGTTATGGAAGCGCTGTGGGCTCTGCAGCTCATCGCAATGTACTCGAAGGAGTCGACTACCTTTGCTTTTCTGCTCTCCGTTGATGCCGCCATTAAAGCCGCCAGTAGTAGCAGGATCCATACTCCATTCTTCTTCACCTGAAGGCAATTAAGGAAGGGAAAAAAAAAGGGTTCAGTACCCATTGATTTTAACTGGTCACTCTGTTTGGTTCCTGGGGAAAATGAGAAACAGGGTAGAAAACAGAGTAGAAACAGAGCAAATTACTTGAAATTTGATGGGAAGTGAATCCATGGTTTGGGATTATGCTCTAGTGTTTCTGTATAAGTTAAGTGCAGATGTGGAAGGAAACGGTTTTTTGTTATTTATAGAGGAGTGGGAAGGAAAGAAGAATGGACAAAAAGGGTTGCAACTTGCAAGTGGGCAGATACAAATACATTTTGGTCTTTATTTTTTGGTAATCTCATCAGCCATTTTTGTTGTTGTGGTAGACCTTCACAAGTAAAAGCAACACCCCGGAATGACATTTCTTTGCTTCGTTGCATACATACATAAGAAAAACAGTTCAAAGGAATGTTGATAGCCAATATTGCGTGCTTGCACGGCAATGAGAGTGGTTTTAGGTGGATTATCCTCAATCATTCTCTAATCTCTACTCATTTTCAAATATAAAAAATTTGTATTCATCCCCATATTCCCAGTTTTCGGGTAGTCAGAGAGAATTCCCGCCCCGTGTTATTACTATACCTAGAATCAACACATGTATATTTTCAACTATAACACTTAATGGACATAATAAATCATAAAATCGATAAAATATAAAATCATTCCGACTCAGACACATGTAATAAGCCATTGATAACTAAAATAATATTGTTTAACAAAAAGGAAAGAAGTGAAAGGGTGAAGGATGAATTAAGAAAAAGAAATGAATTTTAAGTTTGGGTGGCTACTCAATTACATTTCAACTCTTTTTTTTTTTTAATTATCATTCTCGCCATTGAAAGACTACACTATGATTCCTATATGTTTAATGTATAAAAAAATAATCTTGATAGGACAGGTATGAGTATGTGTATGTAACGGGGAGGCTAAAACAAAACCCGCCTCATTTTATAAAACAAAAATTGGTGGATTTTATCCGTACCCACCCCATACCTAATCAATATAACAATTTTCCGCGTTCACTGGGTCAAGGGATATCAGATGCCCACAATTGAGACTGATTTGAACTACCGTAATTGGAGGAGGGAGGGCCTAAATCCTTACCGACTATTCTAATTTTTAAATTTTATCAATATTTCAAAATAGAGACCACTACATCCCCTTTAACTTCAACCTATCAACTATGGAAAATATTCATACAACTATGGAAAGTATTCATATTCACGGGTTAATAGCCACCCAGAGTAAGGCAATAAACAATTGCACGCGACGCGACTCATCATTTCAGTTTCCACTTATTCCTCCTCAAGGTCATAGCCCCATACCTTCCTACCAAGCATGGCCATTTTTCTTCTACACAACTCTTGTTATCTATTATGTGATGATGATAGTTATGGTTTCCGTGCATCCACATGAATTTTTGTACCGCCCACACAATGGATTAATCATAAAAAAAACGAATGGATGTATATATAGATGATTCGACTATAGTTTGGATTGTTGGTATGATTTGATTCGGATTATCGGACTACGACTGGATGTCACTTCAACGAGTGGATTCCAGGGGCAATGCCCCGGTCAGGAGGTTCGGGGGGAGCGATGCTTCCACGGTGTATGGACTCGATGTTATTAGGGTTTCTGTTTTGGGTGTGGTTTGTAACCGTTTTTCTTTACCATATTGGATCAGGGTTAGACCACATGGAGAAGTACAATAAATACTTCTCGTACTCCTCTGCAGTCTGTATCTCAATGAAGTATAGTGAAACTGACTCTCTCCTGCCCATGGACTATCTAACACACATCGTTTCAGTGAACCACGTAAATCAGTGTGTCTCGTTATTTCTTGCTTTTATCGTTCCTCCTATTTTTTCCGATCCGCAAAAAAAGTCATGACACGGATAAATTTGAGGGTATCACATACTTTGAGTAAGAAAACACTATCTAGAATTTGAACTCACCTAAACTTTGTGACATCATATCCTACCATAACCCTTAAAGATTACAAAGTGGAATGGGAAAGAAAGGCTCGTGAGTTTGTGTTTTGTTGTTGAGTGCGGGAATGGAACCCCAAGTCTTGTGCCGTTGGTTGGTTGGTTTGGCTCTTTCGTTTTGGCCTCTTCTTCTACAATATACATGTGAGGGCAAAAGCAGAGTACTAACAACGGTGAGTGAGTGGGTTCCATGATCTCCTCCTTCCTCACCGCCGCTCACAAGCTTTCGTGAAGTCAGGGAATTTTCTATCCTAAAATAATAACTATATATATAGTGCTTTGTTTCTTTCTTTCGTTCTACAGTACGTATTTCATGAACACCATCTCGTGAACTTTTGATCTGTGTGTCTGTCTGTTGTGGATTGTTGTCACCACCACTACCACCAATCGCACTACTACTGCCGACCCACTTCTCGGGTTATCTTTCTGTTCATAGTATTAGGCTCCTCTTGTGACCCTTCGCCACCCCACTCACCTTTGCTGGAGACTCATTATTAAACTAATTATAATAACTTAGATGTTGTTGGAATAGAAGTAATGTGTCCTGTCTTGGTGATTGGTTGGTATTTGATGGCCTCTCGCCGCCTCGTTTTGATCGGTTGGGGTTGAAGTGTACGTCCTTATTTTGTGTCTATCAAATTGGGCCCCTATCGGGCTTTATTAATAACCCTGATAGTTCTGATGATTCCATACCTAGCTTATTTTATGTCTACTTAGTATCAATCTTCATCTCGTTACCTAGCTCGCCTTTTCGGCTTGATATCATCGTCTCGTTAGCTAGGTCTTGTTACTCATCTTGATGGGATGAGAACTTAGCCTCTTTATCCACCAAGACTCTTTACTTAGTCTCGGAGGCTTGATTTCATCTTGTCGGTTTATCACTTAGTTGACTTGCCGGCTTGGTACCCTGTTGACTGGCCACCAAGCCGGTCATGGCGGCTTGGTATTCATACTTAACTATATTTCACATCTCACTACCAAGCTTGTCGTGTTGGCTGGCTACCAAACCTGTTTTGTCGGCTTGGTACCATCTTTGCTTCAGACTTTGTCAAATTTCATGTCTTAGTACCAAGTCTGTCTTGTTGACTTGGTTCCCTATTACCTTGCTACCAAGACTGTTTTGTTTTCAGACTTAGTCAAATTTCATGTCTTTGTACCAAGTATGTCTTGTCGGCTAGGTACCCTGTTGCCTGACTACCAAACCTGTCTTGCAGGTGTTGGTTCGTCGAGAGCGAGACAATTTTCTCTTCTTTTCTTTGATTTAGAGAACCCAGCGCCTGCAACAACCTATTCGACTACTTTTTGCCAAGAACAAGTGAAGGAAAGATGTAAACAGTTAAGTTTGATCGAAAGGAATTTGCGTGAAGGCTTAACTTGGTGTTTTTGGCTGAACAAGAAGATTGCCTCAGTTGGGCTTTGATGCTCAGGCCCAAGAACAAGTGAAGAAAGATGTAAACAGTTAAGTTTGATCGAAAGGAATTTGCGTGAAGGCTTAACTTGGTGTTTTTGGCTGAACGAGAAGATTGCCTCGGTTGGGCTTTGATGCTCAGGCCCAAATGATTTCACATTTCCCTTTTGATACGTGCCAAGGTTGTCAACCCGGGTCGACCCGCGGGTTGATCCACTTTGACTCTGACCCGGTGCGAAAAACGGGCCACACGCACCCGCCGGGTCGATTGCCACAAGGTACTGGGTTGGAGGTCAAATTGTGTCATTTTTTTCTTTGTTTTGCGAAATCGCCTATATTTCGATTTTTCTTTTCGCCTAACTCAATCTTTGGAATTCTAAGTTGAACATTTGAATATTAATGTTAAATAAGTGTGTGTGAATTTTCACTATATGTTGAATCTAAGTACGAAATGTTATTTTGGTGTAATATTATATGTTATAACTCATATGTTATATGAGATTTGATATAATTTATCAGGATAAGTACAATATAATGACGTTTTCCATATTTCCGGGCTAAACCGGGCTAAAACGGGTGACCCATTAACCTTTGACCCACTAGCTCAACTGGGTCTGGGTCAACCCGCAAGTTGACAACCTTGATACGTGCCCAAGCAAGATATTTGCTGCAGAGATTTAAACCACTATCTCCACTTGAAGGTTGAAGTGCTGTGTTTTAAGATCGCAATTTCGATCTGACCTGTTTTACCCGACCTGTTTGATCTGCTTTGGGGCGGGTCGGCTTGGTGTTTTTGGCTGAACGAGAAGATTGCCTCAGTTGGGCTCTGATGCTCAGGCCCAAATGATTTCACATTTCCCTTTTGATAAGTGCCCAAGCAAGATATTTGCTGCAGAGATTTAAACCACTATCTCCACTTGAAGCTTGAAGTGCTGCGTTTTAGGATTGCAATTTCGATCTAACTCGTTTTACCCGTTCTGTTTGATCTGCTTTGGGGTGGGTCCGACCCGCCTCATTCTTGACCCGTTCTTGCCTAAATTACATGTAATCTTAGTAAAATTATTTAGAACTTTCCTCTTATTACCTCATATTTTAGCTATAATAAACTTGTAAATAAGTGAAAACCTTAATTTCTCCAATAATATAACTACATTTCATCATATTATGGTTTCTTTCTTGGCCTTTTAATGAAAATAACGAATATTTCTAATATTTTTCACATAAATTAAATACCTATTGGGTCGACCTGCCCCTTCCTACTGCGTTTCATTGCACTAAACCAGTTCTTCTCTTCCTTCTTTGTAAATCAAAAGCTCCCTGCAAATCAAAATAGACTTTATACCATAACAAGAAGAAGTTAATTTTGTATCACAAATAATTTTTTTTTTATACCAAAACATCGATTCTATAAAGTAGAGTATCATAAAATTCCTCATGTCCTCCCTGTAACCACTTGTCTCTTTGGGAGTTGTCTTTTCTAGGTAGAGTAATCATAAAAGGCTGGCTTTAAAATCTACGTAATTAAAAAAAAATTGTTAACCTAATCATTTATTTGAGAGAAGATAGTAGTTTGCCTTTGAGTTCCTGAGCATAACCAATTATTATGAAGAGCTTATAACTCAAATATATCAATTTATTTGCAAAGCAAAAATCTAGGATACATCTAATTTAAAAGACCAAAATGGTTTGATTGTCTTTGCTCGGGACTCCTGATTGATTATATTGATGATCCATCAATAGAGGAACTATTAGTCCTGCGCGTGGCCATCCGGTGATGTTTGGATGGTGGTCTCTTGCAAGTTCGATTGGGATGAGACGCAACAATGGTCATTGATAAGGTCAATCAGCTCGATAAGCATGATAATCTCTTTGAAGTGATTCTAGAGGAAGTTTTTTCCAAACTTGGGAAATAACTACAATATTATGCACTTTTGGAAAAAAAATCAAATACATTAATTGTTGTAAAATCCAGGAAATAAGGACATTTTTATGCTTTAACCAAACTTGGGTTATCTTTACGAGACTACTTTCATTCGATTGAAAATGTTAATGTCCCTGTCATTAACAAAAAAGAAATTATACATGCATCAAAGTGAAAAAGAAGAATCAACAATGATTGAGTCCATTAAGCACCGATTTGGGCGTATTTATTTCGGGTCAATTTTTAGGAGTTTCCAAAGGGGTACCATCGCAGATTTCGGTCGATTTATCTGAAATGCCATTTTCTTTCGATTATGGAGGCTACAGATCACGGAATCAGGCCGAGGCTATTCTCCACCGATAATGAAGTCTATTGATTCTATTCTCCACGGATGATAAGTCCGTTAAGCATCGATTTTGGCCAATTTATTTTCGGATGACATTTTCGTAATTTCTTGGGCGACGAAAGGCCATTTTCATTGGATATTGAAGGCTACAGATCACGGATTCGGCCTGAGGCTATTCTCCAACGATGATTGAGTCCATTAAGCAGAGATTTGGTCGGATTTATTCCGGGTCAATTTTTGGCAGATTCCAAAGGGGTACCATCACAGATTTCGGGCGATTTATCCGAAATGCCATTTTCTTTCGATTCTGAAGGCTACAGATCACGGAATCAGGCCGAGGCTATTCTCCACCGATAATGAAGTCTATTGATCCTATTCTCCACGGATGATTAGTCCGTTAAGAATCGATTTGGGCCAATTTATTTTCGGATGACATTTTCGTAATTTCTTGGGCTACGAAAGGCCATTTTCTTTGGATATTGAAGGCTACAGATCACGGATTCGGCCTGAGGCTATTCTCCAACGATGATTGAGTCCATAAAGCACCGATTTGGGAGGATTTATTCCGGGTCAATTTTTGGCAGATTCCAAAGGGGTACCATCACAGATTTCGGGCGATTTATCCGAAATGCTATTTTCTTTCGATTCTTGAGGCTACAGATCACAGAATCTGGCCGAGGCTATTCTCCAACGATAATGAAGTCTATTGATCCTATTCTCCACGGATGATAAGTCCGTTAAGCATAGATTTTGGCCAATTTATTTTCGGATGGCATTTTCGTAATTTCTTGGGCGACGAAAGGCCATTTTCATTGGATATTGAAGGCTACAGATCACGGATTCGGCCTGAGGCTATTCTCCAACGATGATTGAGTCCATTAAGCACCGATTTGGGAGGATTTATTCCGGGTCAATTTTTGGCAGATTCCAAAGGGGTACCATCACACAATTCGGGCGATTTATCTGAAATGCCATTTTCTTTCGATTCTTGAGGCTACAGATCACAGTATCTGGCCGAGACTATTCTCCAACGATAATGAAGTCTATTTATCCTATTCTCCACGGATGATAAGTTCGTTAAGCATCGATTTGGGCCAATTTATTTTCTGATGGCATTTTCGTAATTTCTTGGCCGATGAAAGGCCATTTTCTTAGGATATTGAAGGCTACAGATCACGGATTCGGCCTGAGGCTATTCTTCAACGATGATTGAGTCCATTAAGCACAGATTTGGGCGGATTTATTCCGGTTCAATTTTTGGCAGATTCCAATGGGGGACCATCAAAGATTTCGGGCAATTTATCCGAAATGGCATTTTCTTTCGATTCTGGAGGCTACAGATCACAGAATCAAGCCGAGGCTATTCTCCACCGATAATGAAGTCTATTGATCCTATTCTCCACGGATGATAAGTCCGTTAAGCATCGATTTGGGCCAATTTTTTTCGGATGACATTTTCGTAATTTCTTGGGCGACGAAAGGCCATATTTATTGGATATTGAAGGCTACAGATCACAGATTTTGCCTGAGGCTATTCTCCAACGATGATTGAGTCCATTAAGCACCGATTTGGGAGGATTTATTCCGGGTCAATTTTTGGCAGATTCCAAAGGGCCATCACAGATTTCGGGCGATTTATCCGAAATGCCATTTTCTTTCGATTCTTGAGGCTACAGATCACAGAATCTGGCCGAGGCTATTCTCCACCGATAATGAAGTCTATTGATCCTATTCTCCACGGATGATAAGTCCGTTAAGCATCGATTTGGGCCAATTTATTTTCGGATGACATTTTCGTAATTTCTTGGGCTACGAAAGGCCATTTTCTTTGGATATTGAAGGCTACAGATCACGGATTCGGCCTGAGGCTATTCTCCAACGATGATTGAGTCCATTATGCACCGATTTGGGCGGATTTATTCCAGGTCAATTTTTGGCAGATTACAAAGGGGTACCATCACAGATTTCGGGCGATTTATCCGAAATGCCATTTTCTTTCGATTCTGAAGGCTACAGATCACGGAATCAGGCCGAGGCTATTCTCCACCGATAATGAAGTCTATTGATCCTATTCTCCACGGATGATTAGTCCGTTAAGAATCGATTTGGGCCAATTTATTTTCGGATGACATTTTCGTAATTTCTTGGGCTACGAAAGGCCATTTTCTTTGGATATTGAAGGCTACAGATCACGGATTCGGCCTGAGGCTATTCTCCAACGATGATTGAGTCCATAAAGCACCGATTTGGGAGGATTTATTCCGGGTCAATTTTTGGCAGATTCCAAAGGGGTACCATCACAGATTTCGGGCGATTTATCCGAAATGCTATTTTCTTTCGATTCTTGAGGCTACAGATCACAGAATCTGGCCGAGGCTATTCTCCAACGATAATGAAGTCTATTGATCCTATTCTCCACGGATGATAAGTCCGTTAAGCATAGATTTTGGCCAATTTATTTTCGGATGGCATTTTCGTAATTTCTTGGGCGACGAAAGGCCATTTTCATTGGATATTGAAGGCTACAGATCACGGATTCGGCCTGAGGCTATTCTCCAACGATGATTGAGTCCATTAAGCACCGATTTGGGAGGATTTATTCCGGGTCAATTTTTGGCAGATTCCAAAGGGGTACCATCACACAATTCGGGCGATTTATCTGAAATGCCATTTTCTTTCGATTCTTGAGGCTACAGATCACAGTATCTGGCCGAGACTATTCTCCAACGATAATGAAGTCTATTTATCCTATTCTCCACGGATGATAAGTTCGTTAAGCATCGATTTGGGCCAATTTATTTTCTGATGGCATTTTCGTAATTTCTTGGCCGATGAAAGGCCATTTTCTTAGGATATTGAAGGCTACAGATCACGGATTTGGCCTGAGGCTATTCTTCAACGATGATTGAGTCCATTAAGCACAGATTTGGGCGGATTTATTCCGGTTCAATTTTTGGCAGATTCCAATGGGGGACCATCAAAGATTTCGGGCAATTTATCCGAAATGGCATTTTCTTTCGATTCTGGAGGCTACAGATCACAGAATCAAGCCGAGGCTATTCTCCACCGATAATGAAGTCTATTGATC